TATTTGGTTGGGAGTTGCCCAAAGTGGCTGGGGAAACCCAGCCAGATGGTCGAGGTATAAATAATAATAATAATAATAATAATAATAATAATAATAATTAAAGGGATTGAGTGGGGAAAGTGGGGCATACATTTTAAAGGAGGAAAGGGAGACACAGACTGATTTTGTAAAATGCAGGGGGGAAATGACAGCAAGATTAGAACTACCAATAACTTCTGGTGTTTGCAAATATGCAGTTCTTGGGGGCGGGGGCACAGTTCTTAAAAAATAATACTGCTAAACCAAATGACCCATATGTTGTACACAGATTTTCCCACAAATATACCTTTAAGAAAAAGAACACAAGCGAGGCAGGTAGAAATTATGTAGCATAAAAATTACATGGCAGCATTTCTACCGGTTGTATTTATGTGCATAAATCCAAGTATAATTTATACATCTAATGTTTTGTAGAATCAGAGTCTGACTATGTAAAAAAAATAGAACTGTAATCCCAAGCCATGTGAGATGTATTCATTGAACGGTACTGAAATTGGAAATATCAAAGCCTTAAACTGGTACCTACTTACATTTTTACCTGGCGGGTAATCAATTTTACTGGAACCATGCCCATTGTGGCTGACAAAGCCAATGTTCCAGGAAAATATGGTCCCTGAAAACCTAGTGCCATCCCCTGGGAAGTATAGTTTGCTACGGGTACTTAGTTTTTAGGGAACCGCTATTCCCTTCAGAGAACTACAGTTCCCAGATTGTCCTTGGCAAAAGGACTGATCGTTAAGACACTGGGAATGTTTGAGAGCAGGAGGGAGCTAACAAATTTCAGAACCCTTAATAAACTACAGTTCCCAGGATTCTTTGGGGGAAACCATAACTGTTTAAAGCGGTATGATACTGCTTAAAATGGACAGTGCAGATGGGTGTTACAAACACTTACACATGTGCAGAGACAACTTGTGCCTGTGTTCAGTGTAACACGTGAAGTCATAAACTTCAAATTCACGCTCAAGTTAAGTTTCTCCCCCACCTTCTTTGCGCCAACACTGTATGGAAGTCACTTGCTCCTCAGTAACAACACAGAGCAAGGCACATCAGGAAAATTTGTGCTATCTGACACCATAAATAGTTCATCTTCAGCTCGAGCCCAGAACTGAGTACCGTATTTTTCGCTTTATAAGACGCACCAGACCACAAGACGCACCTAGTTTTTGGAGGAGGAAAACAAGAAAAAAAATATTCTGAATCTCAGAAGCCAGAACAGCAAGAGGGATCGCTGCGCAGTGAAAGCAGCAATCTCTCTTGCTGTTCTGGCTTCTGTGATAGCTGCGGAGCCTGCATTCGCTCCATAAGAAACACACACATTTCCCCTTACTTTTTAGGAGGGAAAAAGTGAGTCTTATAGAGCAAAAAATACGGTAGTTCCCGTAAACCGGTATGCAAACCAGAATTACCAGAAGAAACAAGGACAAATATGCAGTCTTTATTACTCCTGTAGCAGAATTACCTCTTTTCTCCTTCTGTTTAAAGTAAGACAAGGGGAGGGAATTCTTTGCCAATGAGACTTTTTATTTTGTATCCAACGAGGCACACAAACGCAGACAGACAAGAACACAAATGCAGACGAAGATCACACTTTGGTCAAAATAACCCTGCTGAAGCTAACAGCCAGGCTTCCTTGATATCCTGCCCCCCATTCGAAAGTTATAGAGACAAGACTTTTTTCTGCCTGTATTGCTGACAATCGTTGAGTCTTAATTATTAGCATTCTAGAAGAAGCCTGTGTACTGATTGCAAGATAGGCGAGATCTGCATCTTGGAAACGTCGTGAGGTAAGTCAGAAGGGCATGTGATGAAATCAAACGCATCTGTGCATGGCAGGAGAGGGCATTTTGCATGAATCTCTCTCCATGTGTAAAGTTCTATAATTCATGAAGCAGCCCAAGCTACAAGGATTGACTAGGCTTCTTCAGGTGAGATGAGTTTACCATGTGGGAGAAAGGGGTAAAGGTAAAGGGACCCCTGACCATTAGGTCCAGTAGTGGCCGACTCTGGGGTTGCGGCGCTCATCTCACTTTATTGGGCGAGGGAGCCGGCGTACAGCTTCCGGGTCATGTGGCGAACCAGAGCAGCGCACGGAAACGCCGTTTACCTTCCCGCCAGAGTGGTACCTATTTATCTACTTGTACTTTGACGTGCTATCAAACTGCTAGGTTGGCAGGAGCTGGGACCAAGCAACGGGAGCTCACCCCGTCGCGGGGATTCGAACTGCCGACCTTCTGATCGGCAAGTCCTAGGCTCTGTGGTTTAACCCACAGCGGTACTTCCAGTTTCCCATGTGCTCTCTGAGGGGAATGTACTGTGTGCCCTTCTGTACCCCTGAAATCAGCTCTTATTTCTACAGTAGAAGAGGGGCATGGAACTTCTGGCCTTCCAGAACTACAACTCCCATCAGCTCCTAGCGAGCTTGGTGAATAGCCGGGGATGATGGGATTTAGCGTACAGCAACATCTGGACTGTCAAAGGTAGGTAGGTAAGATGTTTAAGAGTGCCTTTCAGTGTTTCCCGAACTTGGGTCTCTGGCTGTTTTTGTACTACAATTCCCATCATCCTTGACCACTGGTCCTGCTAGCCACGGATTATGAGACTTGTAGTCCAAATACAGCTGAAGACACAAGTTTGGGGAACACTGCATAGCTGCTTCAGCTTACTTTGTTAGGATTTTTTTAAAAAGGTTGTTTAACACACAAAACAAAATGTAAAAGCCCTGCTTATTGGGACTGAAATGATTTGCAGGACTGTTTTTTTTAAAAAAGTAAAAGTACCTTAGTACTTACAACACAGCTGTCTCAGGTCATTTACAACTGAAAATAAAAAAATAGATCTGTACCACAGATTTAAATTTACATTACATTGGCCTTTATAAAACAAGATGCTATATACTATGGGTAAGTGGTATGTGCTTTCTTTGCTTGTAATTACTGTCAGAAATTATGAAACTGCTCAGATATCTGCTACTTGAAACCTTAGTTAACATGAAAACACACGTTATTAATTCACAAAACAATAAAATGACGCAATTTTAAACTACACATTAATCCATCTGTTTTGATCCATTAAGCTGAAGATTCTACTCTGTTGAATACATTTCTTCGTCAGTAAAGTAGTACAACAAAATTTCAAAAACAGTATTTTCTCTCTCTCTTTTTTTTAAAAAAAGATTTTCCCCCCTGTCTATAATATTAAAAACATGTGCACTGGTGTTTCTACTATAAAGCTTTGCTCCACAAATCAAGTGATAAACAGTTATTAAACACATTTTACAATGATACCAGATAGTTGTGTGGACATGTCACCTTACACTTTACACAGAGTTTCAATATGGCATATGGAATGACTCGGTAAATCACTATTACACGGAGCAAAATCTTCAGAGATGAAGAGCAATATCCTATTATGGTAAATCAACAAGAACCGGTGGCGTTTTCATCACCCCCCTCCGAAAGTACTATAGGCAAATTCAGCACTTCAAAAAAATAAATAAATTATAGTTTTGAAAACCCCGTTTTTAAATGCAAACACACGATCCGAAGGAATGAAAGAGAGGAGGCTATTATTAGGTAGGTCCACATGTCACAATGATGTTGTGCATAACATGCAGACACCACATTGAAATACCCCGGAAATGTCTCTGTATTAGCCAGTTGTTACATTATGGACAAAATGGCACCCTTAAGAATCGAATCATCCTGCACAGCAAAAACTCCTCCAGAAAATAAATAATGAGTACAGTTGTTCATACATACATTTCCGTGAGACTGTAGCCAATATGCTGCCTTCTAGTTTTTGCTGGACTAATCCCTGACCATTGACCTTGCTCCCTGGGATTTAGGAGACCTGCAGTCCAGCATTTTCTGAAGCATCAGACTGGCTACACCTGCTGTATGTGGTTTATATTATATTATATAGGAGTAAGCTACTCCCATAACAGTAACGTATTCCTCCTCTTATTTCTCCTGTGAGTATTGGTTGCTTCGGACAATACAAATTTCTTGCAGTGCTTTCCCAACTCTTCTGTTATCTGGAACATTCCGGCTTGAGAAAATGAGAACGACTCTAAGGATCATTCCAAAGTGTTGCCAGCATTGCAGCAGTTGCCCTGGCAGGCTTAACCAGAGTGTCTTAATAAATGCAGATGCATTTGTTACCCTGTTTGAAGTGTACAATATGAAGCAACAGGGTGCTGCTGCTTCTACCCATAATTCCCTAATAGCAGACAGGAACACAATGTAGATAAATACAGAAATGTGTCCAGGAAGTGCTTGAGAATGACCTTACATCAATAAGCATAAAAACGCCAGTTATCATACAGTCAGCTCTTGCGAGTGCTATTTCCCTATAAAATCGTATGTAATTGGTTTTTGTTTTTTTGCTTCTAAAACTTAAAACATTGAAAACCTGCTATTAAAATGCTTTCTTAAGAAGCCGTTCTCCCCTCCTTAGGTCTTCTGTCCAGCTGCTTCAAAGTAAGGATTTTTGTTCTTTAAACCCACCTCAGTTATTGTTATATCTCTACATTTAAAGTAGACATTGAAAACTTCAAGTAAAAATAATGGCAGCCACATCTACTGGACGTAATACAAATCTATGACACTATTAGTTGTTGGGGTTGTGGGTCTGTGTGTTTCTAAACTTTTAAGTTATACAAATACACAATACATTCTTAAATAACAAGGGCCCACAGTATTATTAGTTTGTGAGCCTTTCCCAAATCACAAAGCCGCTTTTTCATTTCATAAATGTTTGCACCCACTTCTCGTTGCAGCTGCAGTTTTCAACTGGTTATTTCGTACATCAGTTCCACAACATGACAGTCCCAGTCCGTAGGCTTTGGCTATGGAATCGCTTATTTCAATGAGGCAATGCTGGTTATTAAGGCATGTTTCCGTTTCTCATTCAAAGCTTTATTTTAACATTTAAAAAAACAAAACAAAAAGGGAGCATGGCTATCTTGTATCTTCTGGCTCTGTCTTTATCACCTTCCTTTCAAGACTGTTGAAAGCAGAGTGAGGAAAATCTTTTAAGATACCAAGGCCTTCTGCAACAACAAAATGGATTCCTTTTAGAAAAATATCGACCCGAAACAACAGTGTTCTTTTCGACCAGTTGTAGTCAATACACAGCATATAAAATCTTACACAAATGTACCCTTCTAGTACCAAACAGCAATAAATTCAGTTTAACCACTAGGCTATATCTGCTTTCCGTCGTAATGTACCGCCAGCGGTTTACGACAATGTAAAAACATAAAACGAAACAATAAGATTATAAAAAGTTATAAGCAAAAAACGAAATTATAAACAATACTGATGTGGCATGCAGTTCTAGCACCCCATGTGGTTGGCCTTGCAGATATTTCTGCTGTGATATAAACCCTGAGGCATGCTGGAGAAATGGAGAAATAACATTTGAATGAGGCCCGAAATATCACTAAGCACTTAAAAGGCTATACAAGATGCCTGCAAATTATTTTCCCTCTCCTGAAAGAAAGTGCCCCACAAATTTCACACGATAGAGTTGGCCCCAAGACATTTTGGCACCTGAGGTAAACCATAAAGTGGTGTCCCCTCACCAGCAGGAAAGAAGGGATGAGGGAAGATCTACCCCTGGAAGATCTCCACTGGGATCTGCTGCCCCTGTGAAACCTGCTGCCTGAGGCAGTCACCTCACTTTGCCTCATGGGTGGGCCGGCCCTGGTCATAGTTGTTATGAGCAGGAAAGATTTTTACCTGAAGGCTGTGACTTTGCTTCAGCACTGGCGTACAATCTGCTCAAGTCACTGCAGAGAGGCTTCACGACGTGAGGCTCATCATCTAATGAAATGTGAGGCATATGCCTATTTGGTAGACTCGACATGCGTAGATTTAAAGGCCTTTCCCCTAAAATATATTGACAAAGAGATATCCATTCAATACTATAACCGAGAGGCAGTTCACGCACAGTGCTGCTAATGGTAGCCCCAACAGCCCATGTCACCATGATATGATCATAACTTAATATGATCTCTATTTTATTAATTTGTATGTGCTTTGGTGTGTGTGTTTTTATGTTGCCGTTTTCCTGATTTTAGTGTGTACAGTGGAACCTCGGTTTCCGAGCACCTCAAAAGCCAAATTATTCAGAACCCGAACACCAAAAACTCAGAAGTGAATGCTTCCGTTTTCGAACGCTCCTCAGAAGTCAAACGGCTTCCAAGGCGAGTTTTTCCATTTTCTCCATTGACTTTGTTGACCACCCATTGCGCCTTGGTTGTCAAACGTTTCTGAAGTTGAACAGTCTTCCCAACGGATTACGTTCGACAACCGAGGTTCCATTGTATTTGTTTTCATTTTAATGATCTATTGCTGTCTTTCAGACTCTACACCACTTAAAGATTTCCGAAATATTTGCACTCAAGTGCCTCAAAGTGACCTACATCGTAAAAACAAGACATTGTAAAAGGTAGAAAGGTAAAGGACCCCTGGACAGTTAGGTCCAAAGGCGACTATGGGGTGTGGCACTCATCTCGCTTCAGGCCAAGGGAGCCGGTGTTTGTACACATACAGCTTTCTGGATCATGTAGCCGGCATAACTAAACTGCTATTGGCACACGGAGGACTGTGACGAGTGCCAGAGCACATGGAAATGCCCTTTACCTTCCCGTCACAGTGGTACCTATTTATCTACTTGCACTGGTGTGCTTTCGAGTTGCTAGGTTGGCAGGAGCTGGGACAGGGCAACTGTAAATAAATAAATGTAAGTCCAATCCCTTCCAATTAATTTTATTGTACTAGCCACTGGCCATGGCAAATCTGAATCAAAAATAAATATAAGCAAAAGGCTTGTTGTGCCAGAAATTATGGACTATTTTTAGATCTCCACATCTCCCTTACAGTTCACTGTCCAGGGTCTTCTTTTGGGGAAATGTAAGTCGATAAACAATATCTCAGAGCTGTAGTAGCCCCTGCTCCTCTCGCAATCCTAAGGGCAACTTAAAAATCTTCCACCCATGTGGCTTGACTGCTTCCATATGGCATGTGGCATGGAAACATGAAGCTCTTTTCATAGCAGCCATTGTAGGCATGGTCTGGAACTAGCAAAATGCTTGTGAGATCATGTGGATGACCCAAGCCAGGTGGGAACAACCGCAGGAGAGGCAACCACGAAGGAATCTAGGTCTCAGAGGGTTTATTTCTCCTAACACAATATGTACACAGACTACATTTCTGCCCCCACAATATTCTCCCAAGAAATCATTAACCACAGGAAATTTCAGTTCGTCATAATTTAGCAATCATCGCTGTTGCACCAGTCTCACAAACGCTGACAATTCTAAAACAGATGTGTGATGGCAAATACATGCCTGGAAGCTACTGTACCTTGCCCAACACCATAATCCGATGTCAAGCCATTGGCACAATGCTCTTCTGAATTTTGTCTGTAGAGGCCCGTGGAAAGGCGTCTCTCCAAGCCAGCTTGGCTGCAGAGGAACTCCATCTGCTTGGCCATCATCTTCTCAGGCTGCAATTGAGACAAAGGCAGATTTAGGGACTTGCCACAATCACAATTACGATTACTAAGTACAGTCGTTTTACACCAACCAGATGCCAAGTGAAGTACTGTACACCGAAATGGCATAGTCTCGGCCAGGAATCCTACAAAGGCTGAATTATGGAGGGAGGAGACTGAATTATCTACGAAAGGCTGAATCATGGAAGGAGGAGACTGACAACCAGTAGTGGAGCTGGTGATCTCCAGGCAAAAAGAAATCAGGGAGCCAGCAAAAGGTAAGGATGACAGGATCTGAGAGTTGTTGCCTGGTTATTAATCCCTCTCAACGCTGACTGATAAAACACTCCAAAAAAGCAATCATAATGCGATAGTCAGGATTCTTTTCTTTTGGTGTTGTACCAGCACTCGGGAACACAGGTAAAACACAACGCAAGAAGAATCTCAGTACACTTGTACATTTGGTCACATCATGGTTGTTGGGTTGTTGTTGTTTTTGCAGACTTGAGAGAAAATAACAATTAGCTGAAATCTACAGCAAGCTGCTTCAATTCAGAATTTGTCTGGGGGAAATTCTCAAAGTTAATCAGAATTCACCACTCTGTTCCAAATTTCTCCCTCCCATCCTACTGGGGTACCAAAATCAAACAAAAAACGGAAAGGAAAACAAATCTACAGCTATTTTCAACCCACTTAAATATTTTGACATCTTTATGACCCTTCAGAATGAGCCCCTGCCCATTTTGAGTGCCTATTTCTAATCAATCAATCAATTAATATTTCAACAGCAACTTTTTTTTCCTTCTTTGAAAAATTGCAAATACAATTATGGCAAGATTTCCCTCAAGCTTTATTTTTGGAAATATCACTATCCTTTTTTTTTTTTTTTAATGCCAGCAATCTGCCATTCTGAAAAGTGTAGCATGGCAGTATGATTGTGGGGGGAAACAGTGTGAAAGTTTCGCCTGGAAAAAGACCAGGGCCTTATACACTACAGGAGAAAGATAATTAACAACCTGCTAAAAGAGAGTGCAAAATTATCAATGCCAAGAGAATTATAAACTCTGAATGTGATCTATTTCCATTACTGTGATGTAGATCATTTGGAAAAAGGCAGAATTGTAATTTTGAAAATGTGTAGGTTAAATGTGTGCACGGGATTTAGATGAGTCCTTAATCAAAGTCAAAGCAAGCTTTCAGATTTTGCTTTTCCCGTAGAAGTCATCACGTTTCCACAGATGGTGGAAGTGCTTTAGCACTTTTGCTGCAGGACCATCTCATCCTCTATCACCGAAAGTTCCCCTTTCCAGGGGGTTAGTTACCCTCCTACCCATGCCTATAGCAAAACTGTTTCTCTTGGTGGCTGGTATTTTTTCTTTATCTCTCCCTTCAGATCCACATCTCCAGTGCATACACCAATCTGGTTTAATCTGCAGCCACAGGTGCAATGGTCTTTGCGCAAGTTCTCTATGTATTTCCACACACCAGGCTTCAGATCCAGTAACAGCTGTCTCATTGCACTCCCCAAGCTTTCTGAGGTCAGGTGGACCGAGTTTTCCTTCTCACCTGTGAATACAATACAGTGGTACCTTGGTTCCTGAACAAATCAGCTCCCAGACACCTCAAACCCGGAAGTGAGTCTTCCGCTTTGCAAACGTTTTTTGGAAGCCGAATGTCCGGCGCGGCTTCCAATTGAGTGCAGGAAGCTCCTGCAGCCAATTGGAAGCCGTGCCTCGATTTTCGAACCGTTTCAGGAGTCGAACGGAAACCTGGAACGGATTAAGTTCGAGAACCAAGGTTCCACTGTACTAGCTTCCTGACATTCTCCAGGCCTCTCCTTCAAGAAGTATGAATAGAAACTGGCATGCAGATTTCTTGCGTTCCTCCTTGATGAGGAAAAACTCTTCCTTGGGACTTTTCTAGCTGATGTAATTATGGTCTTCAGCAGGTACAGGAAGCAGCTACAAGGAGATGAGCTCAGCATCCTCCACGTGAAAAAGCCACACCAGTAAAAATTGAAGCTCTCAGCACTGAAAGAACGGCATTCGATTGGTGAGTGCGCCAGTGCTTTCAAGGATGAAGCCATTGCACAACCAGACAGAACTGTGATGGTAGAAGAAACTCAGCTGAGGACAGAGAGCTCACAAACCCAATGCAAGAAATGCCATCAGTATGAATCTGATAGGAGACACATTGGTGCTGTCTGTAATGAAGTGGCTGACTCACTTGATAACTTCTTAAATAAATGTTTTGATACCAATCTGTTGCTTGCCGTGAAGCCGCTTGCCACCTATTGGAAACCAGGTATAAGTTCACATGGCGCTAGGTGCAGGCTTTTTGATCTAGCACAACTTTCCCTTGTACAACGTCAGTGATGTTCACAAGGAGACACTGTCCTGTTTGGTTTGTTTTCTTGCGTTATCCGGTGCACAGAGACATGTCACGACACTCATAGCACATCTTCTGGCAGCCGAGCCTCATAATACTGATGCTGAACATCTCAAGGGTGACCTTGGAAGTCCATCAACAGAAACAGACTCACCGCTGATTCAGAAAACGAATGGCTCCATATAACTACCACAATATGTTCCCATTCCTCGGAGGGGATCCGAGGACATCAGTGCTCCTATGGATTAAAAAAATGTAAGCGCAGAACCCACGGCATGGCTAAACCAAGACAGCAGGTGTGGTTTCAGAGATTATTTTTTTCAGAGGCCTGAAAGTGAAACTGCTCGTGATGCCCAGTCCCAGATGGTGAGAATCTAACCAGGTCGACAGTAAAATGAAATCAAACATGCTCAGCCTGGTGTGAAAGGAGGCAGCATGGCACAACAGAGTAATCTTCTGTTCTGTGTTTGTTGTGTACTGGTCTGTAATGACTGTATACCTACATATACCATTTAAGTATAGTTTTTGTTTTGTTTTTTAATTTTATTTATATCCCGCCCTCCCCAGCCGAAGCCGGACTCAGGGCGGCTAATAACAATAAAATAATACTATTGGAAGACACAAGATTTACCCACCCGGGAAGAATGGCAGATGAAGTTGATGGACTATATGGAACTGGTGGAAATGACTGGCAGAATCCGAGACCAGGGAGAAGAGTCGGTGGAAGAAGATTGGAAGAAATTTAAAGACTATTTACAGAAATATTGTAAAATTAATGAATGTTAGAAAAATGTTGGAATGAAGTTATATGGCTTTAGTAGAAATGTTATAAGGAATTAAGTACAGATAGGTTAACAGAGCATTAAAGGAAAAATAAGGTTAGAATGAGTTAAGATAAATATAGGATAGAAAACAGAGGAAGATGGAAAGGAATTGCTGAAATAATTAATAGAAGTGGAATACAAAGAGGGAGGTGTGAGGAGGTCGTGGAAATACGTGAATGAAAGATGGGATAATGAAATTGTTTGATTTATTTTATTGTTATTGTTTTGTTTTATTAATTTGATGTGTTGTATTGTCTTTTTTGTGCTTAAGATTTTGGAAAAATAATAAATATTATTTTTTTAAAAATAACAATAAAATAATACAACATTCTAAAATCATTTCATTATAAAATTAATTCAAATCAAATTGATGGCAACCATTGGGCTAGAGTTCTGTGAAGATTGCCAAAGGAGGGAGTCAGGCTGTGCCCTGACCAAAGGCCTGGTGGAACAGCTCTGTCTTGCAGGCCCTGCGGAAAGATGTCAAGTCCTGCAGGGCCCTTGTCTCTTGTGACAGAGCGTTCCACCAGATCGGAACAACAACCGGAAAAGGCCTGGCTCTAGTTGAGGCCAGCCTAACCTCTCTGTGGCCCGGGACCTTCAAGATGTTTTTGTTTGAAGACCATAAGTTCCTCTGTGGGACATACCAGGAGAGGCACTCCCGTAGTTCAATTTGAATCAATAAATGCCTTGGACTGGCCAAGTAATTAGTCCTCATAATATACTGTATTGACCGGGGGGGGGCAGGTTTGAGCAGAAATTCGGGGGAACTAAGTTCCCTTACCTTTTTAAAATTAAATAATATTTTTTGTCTGGGAGGTTGAAAGAGATAAACACCCAATGCCTGGGCCAAAAATCTACCTATATCTGTAATCAATGAAGTCGTGGGCATTTTTTAATCCAGATCATTGTCTGCTTGGGTTTATTAATCACATCTTACATTTAGCCACTGCCCGGGTCGTGTGGCACTGCAGCTGGGCCCACAACAGACAAACAAACAAACTTTGTGACGAGTTCCCCCACATTTTTTCCATAAAAAAGAACTGTGTATTGACACAAGGTTATGAAGATTTGAAAGGAGCCACTATTTATCTTCATTTCCTATTTATTTTTATTTTTTCTCATCTGTTCCTTTTTTAAGGGATTGCTTAGTTCCTTTTTAAATCCCACGCAAAAAATGTATCTCACACTGCACAATCGCAGCAGGCAGCATTTGAGACTGGCAGGGCTTCTGACGAGGGCTAGCTAGTCATGTGTAGAGGCTGAAGTGGAGGAGATCTCAGAGAAGCATAATTCTAGAGGATATCACCATGTTCAGCAGCGCAGAGAGTTCCCTCTAGCAAGGCAGCAGCACTCTGGTAGGGATTACCCCCTCTGCTATCTGCGCTGCTCATCTTGCAATGGCCCAGAGAGCTGCTGGGTCTCCACTGAAGTATCAGCACAACACACTATCGAGGCTGCACAAGATCTGCGCTATGTCACCTGCCTACACTTCACAAAGCAGGTGAGCAGGTGATAAGTTCTAGCACACCAGCCTTAGAAGAGGCAGAGGCAGAGTCTTAGAAGAGGCAGAGTCAGGGAGGAAGGACAATAGGGGGTGAAGAATGAGAGCTCTCGGTCTCAAGTTTCCTCCATAAAGTCGAAGGCAGCACAGCTTAGACAGGTGATTATGGGGGATCTGGTGCGGTTATCTGCCCAGATGCCAAACTCTGTACTGACAAAGAGGCAGAAAACACTGAAAGAGGCCCCTTGCTCCGGTCAGTTAAAATCTTCATTCCCTTACTATGAATGAAGATAAAGCTGTAGCCGTTACGAGTGTGTGTTCGTATGAGCATGCCATTTTCAAAAAAACACACACACCAGTTGTGAGTCATACCACCTACACTGGAAGTGAAACGATCGCAGCCAGGTCAGAAGGACCCCTTGATCTGCAGAACGGGGACAGAGTGTCCTGTAAGGAAAGAACTGTGATTGTTCTGTAAGAAGCATTAATACGAGGAAGCCTTTTATTGCAGCCCCTAGGTTGTTTACCTGTGAGCCAAGCGCTGCCAGGTCTTCACACTTTCCTTTTGACAATGCCTGTTGTATTTTGACTGAATCCTGCTGGTAAAAACTCTGGACTGCGTCGTGGAAGTCAGGGAAGCCATCCTGCAAACATGAAAAAGCAGGGAAAGGAGCTGTTACTATTTCAGAATGTTTCGATTCACAAGACTAAAGATATTTTTCCAGTCTTAAATCATCACTACAGCCAATGGTGTGTGTGGAGAGAGAGAGAGAGAGAAAAAGAATAGTTCTTCCGCAGTTATTTTAAGGGCAAAAATAAATGTTTCAAGGTTTTGAAGCTGAGCAAGTATATAACAAAAGTAGGTTCTTTTAAAGGCACAAAGAAATGCTTCGAGTGCAAGTTGTTCTACCTAAATGAAAGCTTGTGGCACAATAAATGTGCTGGCTTTTAAGGTAGCAAAAGACTCCTTGAAGTTTTATTTAGGAATTTCAATCAGGAATATCAAAAGGTCTGCTTTGTGCAAGTTAAGACATTAGGATGGAAGGGAAATAAATAAGTAACCTTATCAGCAAGCAGTTTCCAAACGCAGCCACGGTGCTTTCATTCTGTTGTGAAAGCACGAAAACGTACAACAAAACAGAAGCCCATGTTGCATAACGTCACAGGGACATCAAATTACGACTCCTTTTTCTGAATAACAAACTAGCACCACTGGTGAACCATTGCTAAACCCCCACCCCCCGCCAAAAGGCTTGGAACTGTAACGGGAAGCAAAGTGGAACGAAATCAGCTGTCCCTCACAGAGCGAAAAGCTGCAAAGTTTGCTCCCTAGAAATTCCAGATTACCATAAGCTCGCATTTAAGAAGACATGGTTTAAATATGCGTGGTGCTCATCAGCCTACAAGGGCAGCTTTCGCAAAAGGGCCCCTGCGACAAGCCTCATTTGGGTGCTCAAGCAACAGGTGGGGAGGGGATCGTGGATGCCCCGCCCTGCCCCAAAATCATGGGTGCTGCCCAAATCTTCCATTGCTGAATGAACTGATGTGGTTAGAAGCTTTCTTCAGATTTCCCTGCTCAATGGGGGAAGGCTTTGCTGAGAGCAGGGCTTGCACTAGTGACTCTACCGCCACCTTTACGTGAATTTGGTATGAATACCTGAAGAGCGCTGCAGTCTTGCTCACAGCACTGTGAACGCAGTTGTCCTAAGTGGCGAGGCAGAGCTTCTCTGACTTTCCATCCCCACCGCGGCTGCAGCGGCAGAGAAAGGAGAGGAGGAAGGTGGCTGCGACCAGTAGTATTTAAACCTTTAACCCAGAGCTTTTCAACCTTTTACAGTCCACGGCTCCCTTGACCAACTGCATTCTTTCTGCAGCACCCCTGTGGGGCTCAGGAGCCCAGTTACGTCACCCCCTTGCCTGCAGAGTTGGCAGCCTCTCACCCTTTTTCGAAGGGACGCGGGTGGCGCTGTGGTCTAAACCACAGAGCCTAGGGCTTGCCGATCAGAAGGTCAGCGGTTCAAATCCCCACAACGGGGTGAGCTCCCATTGCTCGGTCCCTGCTCCTGCCAACCTAGCAGTTCGAAAGCACGTCAAAGTGCAAGTAGATAAATAGGTACCGCTCCAGCGGGAAGGTAAACGGTGTTTCCGTGCGCTGCTCTGGTTCGCCAGAAGTGGCTTAGTCATGCTGCCCACATGACCAGCTGTCTGCGGACAAACGCTGGCCCCCTCGGCCTATAGAGCAAGATGAGCACGCAACCCCAGAGTTGTCCACAACTGGGCCTAACCGTCAGGGGTACCTTTACACCCTTTTTCGAACACCCACCCTTGTGGAGGGTTCCCTCAGCCTCCTGCCCTTGGGAGTCCTCTGGGCAGCCGCAGCTGCCGCCCCTGGTTTCTGAGCTGCTCCCCAATGCCCCAAAGAGAGGTGCCTCCTCACACTGCCCCATAGGGGCCTGGGAAGCACCCCCCGGACAGCCCCAGAGGCGCCATTCGCCTGGAGAGCTTGTAGCCAGGGCTGCTGCAACCAACAACCGTGCAAGCCTTTGGGAGGCAGAGACACAAGAGGACATCAGAGGAGGGAAGGAAAAAGGGACAGAGGCCAGTGTTGCCCACGGCACCCCTGACCACCATTCAAGGCGCCATTCAAACCACTGCTTCAACCATGTTTCACTGATAATTGCAGAATGATAACACTGCTTATTTGGAGGAAGAATGAAAACAAACACAGAGGTCTGGGGTGAATGTGACGGGAATTTCCTATACCCGTTCCTACCCAGCTGATCTCTTCCACCCTTGCTTTTTTGGAAGCTGCCCAGGATTGTATATGACTCTTCCTTCCGAGCCCAGGTGGCTTGGAGCAAGCATCGCAGCTCATCACCCAGAACTGCCACTACAGGCCCTAAGTCCAAGTCACAACCACCCCGCAAAAAAAGAAAGAAAGAAGTAAAATCCGTAACCCGCCTACTTGTTCCTGGGATGTCACTTTGAAAGAAAATATGTTTTTTAAAAAAACAGAGAGTACCTATTTTTTTCTCTTTCTTATTAAGTTTTTCATAGGTTTTTAAAATTAATATTAAATAATATTTCTTATAAGTATGATATGAAGATGATACGAAGATGAATGCACAGAGAAGATGGATAGAAAATATCTGTGTGAGAGACAGAGTGGTTTTTGTCAGGTGTGAGGCTGAGAAAGATGGGAGCTGGGAAGACGTGGATCTCATGTTTGTGAACTGAAGATAGGTTGATAGAATATACAATTTTGTGTTTGTTTGGGTGTGGTTTTTCACTCTCCCTTTCCTTTTCCTTTTTATTATTTTGATCTTTTAAGGTATTAGCTTTGCTTGTTGTTGTTTTTAATGTTGTACAGTCGTGCCTTGGAAGTCGAACGGAATCCGTTCCGGAAGTCTGTTCGACTTTCAAAATGTTCAGAAACCGAAGCGCGGCTTCCGATTGGCTGCAGGAAGCTCCTGCAGCCAATCAGAAGCCCTGCTGGACATTCGGTTTCCAAAGAACATTTGCAAACCGGAACACTCACTTCCGGGTTTTGATAGTTTGGGAGCCGATCTGTTCAGGAGCCAAGGCGTTTGAGATCCAAGGCATGACTGTATTTTATGTTGAAAACCTTTAATAAAATTGATTTAAAAAAAAAAATATTTAAAAATCTATGAAAAGGGGGTGAAGAGTGTCTTGATAGCCAAATGTTCCTTTCTCCCTGTTGCTCTCTGTGGCCTGCTCTATCAAACACACCCAGCGTGCTCCCTTCCAACTTGGCTCTTCTTAAAGCGATTTCTTTGAGCAGATGTTCCCAAACCCCACAGGCGCTTTCTTCCCCTCCGCCAAACACTTCTCCTACACGAACACCAGATTGCACCACTGCTGTTCTTTGTGATCTTCGGGGAGAGAAAGAAATCCCACACTCTCTTGCTTTTCAGCCCTGCTTGGCAGCGGCGTGGGCATACCCTCGTTCTTTTCCCCTCGTTCTTTCTCTCCCACCTTATAACTCATGCTGACATGAACGCCGAACCTCTCCCCCCCCCCCACCATCCAGCCCTCCCAGCTACCCACCCACCCCTTCCATTTCCCTCTAGGTCTCTTACTCCCACTGGATCTTTCAAGTTTCGCCCTCTCATCCATCTTCCCGCCACCTCCGCTTACGGATGTGCTGCTTGGGGGCAGGATCCCTTTGTATTGCTTAGTCCATAGGACTGTAATGACTCTGTTGTCTGTCTCACATGCCCTGCCAACTCTCAATCCTGTATTTTTTTGGGGGGGGGAACATCCCTAGCTACACACCCTTTTCTGCACAAAATAACAGCGCTGGAGGGAGCAGAGCTTTCCTTCAACCGCCAGTGATTTTGCTGTGCTTCCTCCGGGACAAAGACACAAAGCCTTGTGTGCTGTCGGTGTCATGGACTAGGGGGCGAGTGAGGGGGCACCCACATCAAGTCCACACTTACACCCACCCACACACCCACAGATCAAGGCAGCTGCTGAAGAGGGAGGGTGGGAACTTCATGTAACTAAAATATTGCTTTTGTTTCGTCGCACGTGAGAAGGCATTCAGGGACCTCGCTGCAACTCATTAATAGCTACTCCCAAATCCGAACCTAATTGCTGCATTCCTTCTCCCGCCCACTCGGCTCCCAGCGCTTGTCATTTTCCCGGGATTCCGCCCCCGCCTCTCCCTGCAAACTTACCCACCCACTCCATCGAGAAAAGGGAGAGGTCACATGAGGGAAGGGGGGGAGGCTTTCACAGGTAACCGGGTGTAATTTGTGATATGCTTTGCCTCCACCCTCTTTCTTTTGTGTTGCTTATGCAAAACTCCTTCCCCCTGCAGAGGTGATGTTTGCAACGCAGTCCGTAGGTCTGCTTGCCCACGCAGTCCTGCTCTCAGGCGCCTCCATCTCCGAGAGGGAGGGAGGAAAACCCTCCTCTTTATTATACTGGGGGAAAACCATTTCACATCACACCCCGAGGGTGTGTGTGTGTGCAATCATTTCCACCTGCGGAAAAGAGGCGTTAAACACCTCCCGAGATCAAAATGGCAGTGTTTTACACGCACTGACGTCGGTGGAAAGGCAGAAGGGGAATCAACAGTACAGTCATACCTTGGAAGTCAAATGGAATCCGTTCCGGAAGTCCATTCGACTTCCAAAGCGTTGGGAAACCAAAGCGCAGCTTCCGATTGGCTGCAGAAAGACCCTGCAGCCAATCGGAAGCCGCAGAAGGCCGTGTCGGACGTTTGGCTTCCATAAGTAGTTCGCAAACTGGAACAGTCACTTCTGGGTTTGCGGCGTTCGGGAGCCGAATGTTCGAGAACTAGGCTGTTCGAAAACCAAGGTATGACTGTAGTGACAATCTGGGCTCCTGCGTTTCAGTCCTCATCTAAGCAGGAGAACTGAGGTGGCAAGAGAAAAAATAGTTTGGTGTAAGGGTTAAGGAGTCATCTATAAAAGTTTTTGGCTCATGCTTCAGCAAGCTGTATAGCACTTCAAGAACTTAAGTTTTTTTAAAAGGGAGGGGGAACCACCACCTGCTGCTGTACGGGAGGTGTTTGCAAGAACAATACCAGACAGGCTGAAATCTTGAAAAGTTACTATGCCTCAATGAGGAAAACCATATTTCCGCTTGTCTTTAGCAAACAAACGGCACAATATCACTATCTGTAAACAAACACTGAACATCCATAAAAATGGCAAAAGTAATTTCTTTCCCAAATAGGTTTTTTCTTAAGCAATAGCAAGTAAGTAAAGAGTTCGCTTGTAATATATCAGTGGTTCAGTGCTCATTTCTTCTCATTCCAAAATAGATATTATCTCGAACAATTGCAAATGCAGTAATAAAGAGTCCACTTGTGATATAAATCACTGGTTCAGTGCTTGGACGTCCTGGTAATCCGATGTTTCGTTGCTAAAGAGCTTAGTCATTGAGCTTTGTAGTAAATAATACACAAGAGAAGGCAGTATGTAAATGACTTAAAGCAGGGTATATCTGTCCCCATCTGCATGTTTCCATCGGGAGAAACATAGAAAGAAGACGATGTCCTTCAGTTTGTTAAACCTCCTCCTCCTGTGTTGACTGCAGTAGTCATTGCATCACCGCCCTGTTTATTGTTTTACTGTTTAACAAACAAACAGCAAGCATTCTTTGTTTCAAGCATTACCAGGGGTAAGGATTATTTGCTTGCTTGCTCCATAGAGACAGGTATTGGCAGATTGAGTGGGCGAGATCAATAGTTGGTCCAATGGTCAAGAAGGCAGACTCTGCACGTGCCGTAGAGGGAAGTGAGGGGCAAATGGGGCTCCTCAACCTGGGAAGGTAGCCCATCTAGTAAAGGTAAAGGGACCCCTGACAGTTAAGTCCAGTCTTGGACGACTCTGGGGTTACGGCGCTCATCTCGCTTTATTGGCCGAGGGAGCCGGCGTACAGCTTCCGGGTCATGTGGCCAGCATGACTAAGCCGCTTCTGGCGAACCAGAGCAGCGCACGGAAACGCTGTTTACCTTCCCGCTGGAGCGGTACCTATTTATCTACTTGCACTTTGACGTGCTTTCGAACTGCTAGGTTGGCAGGAGCAGGGACCGAGCAATGGGAGCTCACCCCGTCGCGGAGATTTGAACCCCCGACCTTCTGATCAGCAAATCCTAGGCTCTGTGGTTTAACCCACAGTGCCACCCGCATCCCTAGCCCATCTAGGAGAAGGAAAAAACTCTGGACATAAACCTCTGCTACCTTGTAGGAGATCTTCAGGAGAAGAAAAGGCTAAGGAATAAATCCTACACAAATCCAGAGTAGAGTCCCTAAGATGGTTGGGTGGTGCCTTGTACGCCTCCTGCCAGCAACTCCTGCAGCCAAGCTGGTGCCAAACGTATTGCTCTGCTTTCCTTTGGAGCTTCCTGCAGCCAATCGGAAGCCACGCCTTGGTTTCCGAACGTTTTGGAAGTCGAACGGACTCCCGGAACGGATTCCGTTCGACTTCCGAGGTATGACTGTACAATCAAGCCACAGGAAATAATGGGCTTAAGTTACTCCTAGCCATCAATTTCAGTGGGTCTGTTCTGAGTATGACTAACACCAGGTACAATCCACGTATATATGAAACACGTAGATTTTTTTTTAAAAAAAAATGATGTTTATTGAGAATTTTAAAGTTACAAAGAAAAAAGAAAGAAAAGACAAGAGAAAGAGAAAAAGAAAGAAAGAAGTAGATAAACATGACAATTAAACAATACAGATCAATAAAAACCAAAGTCAAAATAAATAAATAAATAAATAACAAAACACACAATGCATCTAAATCAAAAAACAAAAATAAACAAACATTTAAAAAACAAGTCTAATATTCCCAAATCCTTAACTTTCAATAACTTATTTCAATGACCTCCTGACACCTCCCTTTTTGTATTCTAGTTGTTAATTATCTCAGCAAATCCTTTCCATCTTTCACAATATTCTGTCATTTAAATTACCTTAATCTATTTTAACCTTATCTTACCCTAAAAAACCCTAAAACTTAAAACTTAAATCTTATATATACCAAATTCTTTTAACCATAACACATTCTTACATAATTCTTTTTAACATTTCTGCTAAAGCCAAATAATTTCATTCCACCATTTTTCTAATACTCATTAATTTTACAATACTTTTCTAAATAAATTTTGAAACTTTCTTCCAATCTTCATCCATCGTCTCTTCTTCCTGGTCTCGGGTTTTGTCAGTCCTTTCTCATCCATCTAATCCATCAACCTGGTGCTCTTATGTCCGAGGCTCTTAAGTCTTTTCCATGTCCCTTCTGCAGGCCTTCTTCTTGTTTATACCTGCCCTTTACTTTGTCTTTTGTTGATCTTTTTCTTATTTTCTTTCCTTTCTCATTGGGGGGTAGGTCTCGGGAGGACTCCAATCCAAAAGTATCTCCATCTCTCCTCAGCAGATCAGCCCATTCCCCACAGTCCCATTCCCCACAGTCAACACTGTAATCTAGAAAGTATTTAAAAACATGTTTCAAAGTCTTTCCAAAATTAAGAGCCCTCACAACTCCAGACCCCCCCGGTCCACTCCAGATTCAAACTTCAAGAACAGCAGCTTATACTCCTGCAAGGCCTCGGATCTCTCCATTTGTGTTATTTGAGGTTCAACAGCAACCTCCTCCATTTTCTTCTGCACTTGTGCTTGCTCTATCAAAACAGATTCCTGGGCTGGTTCCTGAATGGTTTCTATATGGGTATTCGCCGTTTGTCCAAAGTTTTTAACTGCAACAGTCATCAAATCCATCTTCTCATGCATCTGCTCCAGAAAAGCACTTGTCTTGCAAAAAGCAAGCACCAAGACTTCTTGTAAACACATTTTTTCCCCCAAGGTTAGAGTCTGGTCTCACGATCCTAATCATACAGCTGTGAGGTCCCCAGATCAGCTCCGGCAACAAATTAACAAGCTCCGTCTAGAGGAGACAATTTCTATTTGTATCCATCTTTTAAAAGCAGGACCAACAAAGAAAAGTTACTTTCACTTTTCAAATACTTTGTTTCTTTTGATTGCAAGAAGCAACATTGGAGTCAATTTATTTCTCTCTCTTTTTTTTTTACTATCTGTCAAAAGACGTTCCGTTCACAGTCGATGAACTTCCCCATAAATTTCTGTCTCTGACACCTCGTTCCCAGGTTTGAGACGGTGGAAAATTTATCTTTCTTTACTCTCTCTCCTGCAGGCTTAAACAGTCAAAAATCCCCCTCTTTTCTCCTGCTTCCAAGAGGGGTTTTGGTGGTGATGAATGAAGGAAATTTAGAACTTTATATACGACTTTCCAGACTTTAGCTTACAAAGTTTTTGCTTCAATCTATTTACAAAAAACGGGAGGCAGACTTCCTGTTTAGAACCTTCCCGTTTCGGTGCCAAATTAAAATATTTCTTAATACTTAATCAAATTTTCCGTTCTACTCACGGGTACTTGTTTAGAGTCCAATTGTCCACAGGAAAAAAGTCAGTGCTCTCTGGCAACGGCTGTGCGGCTTCACTCCGTAAAAGTAGCAGTTGATTCAAAACACCGCGCCACTCACCCCACGTCGCTTCAGACCCCCGAAAAAGGGTTTCCCTGCGAGTAGGGGAGGCGCTCCTGGTGTCAGCCGAATCCCACGTTCCCAGGCTTCCTCCGCCTGGGATTTTTAAAGGGTCTCCGCCTTCGCTGCGGCGGCAAGACCCGATTTTCACAGAGCGGGTTCCTCTCGGTCAGAGGAACTCCGCCATTGCCGATGGCGCTGTCCCGGAAGTCCTGAAACACGTAGATGTTTGGCATTTTGCAACCTTTTACTAGGGTGTAGTTTTGGGACGCAGGGACGCATGTGGCGCTGTGGGTAAAACCTCAGCGCCTAGGGCTTGCCGATCACATGGTCGGCGGTTCGAATCCCCGCGGCGGGGTGACCTCCCGTTTTTCGGTCCCAGCTCCTGCCCACCTAGCAGTTCGAAAGCACCCCTAAGTGCAAGTAGATAAATAGGCACCGCTTTATAGCGGGAAGGTAAACAGCGTTTCCGTGCGCTGCGCTGGTGCCGGCTCGCCAGAGCAGCTTCGTCACGCTGGCCACGTGACCCAGAAGTGTCTCCGGACAGCGCTGGCCCCCGGCCTCTAGAGTGAGATGGGCGCACAACCCTAGAGTCGGACACGACTGGCCCGTACGGGCAGGGGTACCTTTACCTTTACTAGTTTTGGGACAGGGCTATGTGTACAAGAACGGATCGCAGCAATTACCTTCCTTTTCCTGCTGCACAAAAAGGAACAAGACTTTCAAAGTCCCCTTGCAAAATTCTCACTGGCTTTTATAGGAACATGTAAGTCGCTAATTATTCCCTCGCCCTGTCTCTTCACTTTTAGTCCACCCAAAACAAGCAGCTACAGAATAAAAATGTGCCCTCGACATTTTCCCAGGGTAGTTTAAACACACACACACACACACACAAAATAGAATTGTACAAAGGAATTTTTGCATCCAAAGGGACCATTTCCTGAAATGTTCCTTTACAGGGAAATATATGCATCCAAATTACTACTGGCCTGCTGCATCACATATCCCTCAACACAGAAGGGAAATTATGGTAAAACTGACAGCCTATTTACTTAGTCTGCAAGCTACATTATTTAAAACTGGATCTATTTTTTAAAAAATACCAAATGAAAAAATACTGAATATATTTCCATGTTTTTGCTAGGTTTAGTCATTACCTCCATAAGCCAGAGTGTGTGTATACATGTGCTCATTTTTCTGACTATCAGGAAATTGTTCCCTAATGGCAACAAGATCCATTAGACAGGGCAAGAACATTCCAGAGCTACTGGCAGGAGTTTCTCTCCGTGCTATTTCCCTCCATTAGGAAGATCCCAACAACAAAACACAGTTTATGAGGCATCTGAAAACAGCCAAAAATAAAATAAGAATTCCACCTACTCAACAAAATTATTTGTGTTTAGGTCAAACGATGCTCTAGCGCACAAAAAGACCCAAACCGTATAACTGAGCAAGACGTGCAGAAAATTGTTGCCAGTGCTCCTCAAATGGAGGTAGAGAGGATCATGATTTGCCTGAAGAAAACCATGATGGAATAAAGGGCAACATCCAATGTCAGTCACACTTAAGTGAGGCTTACTTTATTTCAATAGGTTTACTATGAGCATAACGGGAACAGGTCTTCTCTGCGGTGGCTCCTAATCTGTTGAATGCTCTACCCAGAGACGCTCGCCTGGCGCCATCATTATATGTCTTTAGGCACTAGGCAAAACATCCCTCTTTACTGAGGCCTTCAGCCATTAAATAATCTATGGTCTGTTAAAGAAAGGGGACTGTCGTTATGATTATTTTTATTATTATGCTGTATACTACGCAAACTATATACTATACAAGAACACAGTCATACCTCGGGTTAAAGATGCTTCGGGTTAAATCTTTTCAGGTTGCGTCCCGCGGCGACCCGGAAGTACCGGAATGGGTTACTTCTGGGTTTTGCCGCTCAGGCATGCACGTAGCTGTCAACTTTCAGATTTGAAAATAAGGGATCAGCAGCCTCACCTGTCCCGGGGACAGTCTACGGGATATCTAACAATCCGGGATAACAGCGGGAAATGGCGCTGGGATAAGGGAATTTCCCGCCAAAAAGGGAAGGTTAACAGCTATGCGCATGCACTCAAAATGACGTCACGCGCATGTGCAGAAGCGGCGAATTGCGACCCACGCATACGCGTGTTGCATTCTGCTCAGGTTGCGAACGGGGCTCCAGAACGGATCCCGTTCGCAACCAGAGGTACCACTGTACTGTACACTTGAGTGTTCCAGTTTGCGAACGTTCTTTGGAACCCACACCTCCGACATGGCTTCCGAACGTTTGGGAAGTTGAACAAACTTCCGGAATGGATTCTGTTCAACTTACGAGGTACCACTGTACTACTATGCTTTTTAATTATGTTTTTATTATTATGCTCCATAAAATACAATTTTAATGTTGTACACCACTCTTGAGATCTTTAATAAAGGGCAGTATAGAAATCAATTTTTTAACAACAACAACAACAACAACAACCTAGCCTGATAAACATTCAGTGTTTATCTAGCATGGCACTGTGGCTGCACTCAGCAAGCCCCATTTAACACAACGGAATAAGCAAACATGCACAAGATTGTGCTTCAATTAACTGATCTACAGCTGAAGCTAGACAGGAGCCTTATGGTGAGGATGTAACATCAGTCAAATTCCACTCCTAAAAATATTCTCCAGTAAAATGAGCCCTATATTTATAAAGTGAAATATTTAAATTCAGATCGGTGTTTTCTCCCCCTGGTATTCTGCTGAAATAATACCTGCTGATCTTCTCAATGAAAAAAAAAATAAGTAGGGACATCCTGGTCTCGTAAGCTTTTTGGGGAAAAGCTCTCCCCCATCCTCATGGGCGGGTATTTTCCTTTTACTTATTTCAGGGAAGAACATGTGTAACTGTGCAAAAGGCCAGCTGTGTGTGTTTTACTGCTACTATAACTAAATGTAAAAGAAAATCTATATATGCAGGAATTTACTGTGCCTGTTCCACTGTAGAAATGCTGTGAAAAGGGTGAACACCAATTTCAAACTGCCCATTGAAAGCAATAAATAAATAAAACTGGGGCAGTGAAGGGGGAGATGGAACATATATCTATTTTATCCTGATTACTGGTCAACTTTTCCTCTCCAAACTCACAACTTCACAAGCTCCACTATATTGTTTCAACTGCCCTCATATTTTAAGTGACTACTACAGAACCTTTGATAAACCGGACCATATTTATTCAGAACGCATTGTATTTTAAGGGATTTGTTTTTCAGTTGGGAGAGTGAGGCAGAACATAGCCGTTCACCAAATGAAGCCTTGATGGTTCTTTCCTCTCTCACGCAAGTCGGTTTTAGCAATTACAACTAAACAGAACAAATTAAAATACAGTACCTCTATCTTAATTCTCTTTGGTGACAGTTCATCCCTTTCTCCACATTTAGACCTAGGAGATGAAAACACATTTTGTTTTGTTTTTACTAGGTAGCGCACACTTATCTTCAGAAAAAGAAACACCTTGGAAAAATCCTTGCCTGCAACAGAGAGATAGAAAACTGAAATTTCTCATTTAAGCCTCAATTTCCAGATAGGTTCACAAAGCACGTCCTGTAGTTTAAGAACCTGACGTAAGGTTCAATCTTGCTGGACTACCATTAGAGATTATGGGCGGTGGAGAAAGATTTGAATGTTTAAATGCTCCTTTGTATAAAAAAACCTCCCTGTACAAAGGAAGCTAGCGTGTCGGGGTTGGGGTCAGATTTTTAACTTCAACCCTGTTGAAGCCACCTGATCTACGAAAAGTACAATTTTCTGCAACAACTAGGAAAAATGTGGTGTGGAAATGCCAAGACTCATGGGCTCCCAATAGGTGGGGTGGGGTGTGCACAATTCAGGGTCCGCAAACTTTTTCAGCAGGGGGCCGGTCCACTGTCCCTCAGACATGGTGGGGGGCCGGGCTATTTTTTTTGGGGGGGGGGATGAACGAATTCCTATGCCCCACAAATAACCCAGAGATGCATTTTAAATAAAAGCACACATTCTACTCATGTAAAAACACGCTGATTCCCGGACCGTCTGCAGGCCGGATTTAGAAGGCAATTGGGCCAGCTCAGGACTATGAGTTAGGGAGGGAATGGGACTCTTGATTTCAGGGTCGTGGGGGTTGGACTAGATGACAGGGTCCCTTCCAGCTTTAGATTTCTATGATTCTATGACCCTGACTGCAGAACAAGAAAAATAAAAACAGGTTTTCTGATACAATAAACCTCATTAAAGCAATTAGGATCTCCCCTCCCTTTTTTTTTTAAAAAAAAGCAGCTTACTTGGTAGTCCGGTAAGTGTATTTGTAGGTAACTTCTCGGGATATTTGTCGCGCCAGTGCAAAGAGTTCGTCCCTCCGGGTCAGCAGTGCGTTATCCTTCACACACAATTGAGCAGCGGCTTCGTTAACTGTGAGCTGGAAAACAAAAGACAAGGGATGCTTCGTTGCCTTAGCTGTATCACTCTTTTGAGGAACATGAAACCCTATGTATCTCCCATTACTGTTGCAATGTACATAAACAACATTATAGAGTTTCACAGAGAAATCTGGAGGGCTTTCTTCAGATTTCTGGCATCACGCTCAACACAGTTGCCACAGTTTTATAAAGATACGCACACGCACACACCCCGCAAAAGAAAAACAACCAAGTTTTTAAATGCTGCTAGGTACCTTTGATTCCCCCTCCCCCAATTTGAAGTTACCTAAATTCCCTCGGAAGTAAGTTGGTACTTTTAAAAAACAGTTATTAGATCGGGGACAAACTATTTTGTTTAAAAACAATGCATGCTTTTAAAATGAACTCAGGCAGACCTCAGGGATTCTGCTTGAATAATAATAATAATAATAATAATAATAATAGTCCTGAGGTCGACTCAGGGGGCCGGCTGTGTAGCCAATCCCTTACTGCGCCCTGTGAGCACCCACTGGGATGAACTGCTATGACAAACTCCTACATTTTGGTGTGATCTAATGCAATCCCCCAGAGTGTCTGGAGATTTGGCTTCCTCTGCAGCGAAGCTTTAATAGGCTGCTAACTTGGGTTTTATTTCTGAGCAAACCATCTCAAGTTAATAGTGTTTGCACAAAATGGCCAAGTGGCCTAAACCAGAGGTTTTCAACCTTGCTGAATCCACGGCTCCCTTAACCAACTACACTCGTTCTGCTGCACCCCTGTGGGGCTCAGGAGCCCAGTTACGTCACCCCTTGCCTGAAGAGCTGCCAGCCTCTCACCCCTTTTTGGGGACACCCTTGTGGAGGTTTCCCTCAGCCTCCTCTCGTTTGGGAGTCCTCTGGGCAGCAGCTGCTGCCATCTCTACGATAATCTTTATTGTCACTGTCCCATACAGAACAACGAAACTGAAAATCTACAGCAGACATTCAGAAACCAACAAGCCTGCTATCCCAGCTATCCCAGCCTGGTTAGCCCCCTAAAAAACTCTGATACCCCATAATTAAATACAATATACGCCCATAGAGACTACCTTACACTGCATTTAAAACCAAAATTGCATTTGAATAAAAACTTTCTCAGGCGGCTAGTCCTAGTCTTTATAACCCTGTATCTTCTTCCAGAAGGCAGAAGCTGAAAGAGATCATTTCCGGGGTGCGCACTATCCTGCACTATCTCTGCAGCTTTCTTATGGCACCTGGAAGCATAGATTTAATCCAAGGTAGGGACGCGGGTGGCGCTGTGGGTTAAACCACAGAGCCTAGGACTTGCTGATCAGAAGGTCGGCGGTTCGAATCCCCGCGACGAGGTGAGCTCCCGTTGCTCGGTCCCTGCTCCTGCCAACCTAGCAGTTCAAAAGCACCTCAAAGTGCAAGTAGATAAATAGGTACCACTTCAGCGGGAAGGTAAACAGTGTTTCCATGCGCTGCTCTGGTCCACCAGAAGCGGCTTAGTCATGCTGGCCACATGACCCGGAAGCTGTACGCCGGCTCCCTTGGCCAATAAAGCGAGATGAGTGCCGCAACCCCAGAGTCGGCCACGACTGGACCTAATGGTCAGGGGTCCCAGGGGGCCACTAGGGGGCGCATTGGAAGATGGCTGACAATAACATTTCTCCGACCCACACGAGGTAATTTGGAGGCTATGATGGGGGTAATTAGCCTCCTTAATCCCCCCCCAGGATTGGGGGGGGCGGCCCTTGCCTGCTGTGCCCTTTACCACCCCCGAATTTGTGGGGGTGGGGGCACTAGGCACAAAGCCCTCCTGTGGGATTTCGGCACTCCTGGACGCCGTCCCTGATTCGCGCCACTAGATGCAAGAACTTCAAAAGAAACAATTTGGATGAAAGGAATGCACATATTTCAAGAAAGAAGGGGGAGTAAAGACTGCTAACAGAAGAGATCTCTGACAAAACAAGATAAGAATAAAACATGAGAAGATACGCCAAGACAAGGTACGGCAAATGACTGATGGGGGAGGGGGGGAATAAACTCTCCCTTCTTCTCCTATGCGATTAAACAAGAATCCCCTCCCCTCATGAGTCAGAAATGTCGTTTTAAGGACTTTAGCTGTGGAGTTAAGGCTGTGTGGAGATAAACTTTCGAACCAAAGCACGTTTTAAGAAGAGCGTGGAATGTGTAAGAGCTTTGGAATGACGCAGTTAAAAATGCTGTCGCCATATTGGGAAGTCTTGAGGTCTTGAGTCTGGGAGGAGAAAGAGAGAAATAGAGCTGTTTATATATTGTGGGTTAAACTCCTCAGTGGGACTTAAGAGCGACAGTTCTGTAATTAAAGATGGAAAGCGCGATGTTATCTATGAAGGCGATGATATATGGAAACCATCTCGATTTGAGGATTGGAAGAACGGAAAATTCACACAGGACTATTATTACTAGTGGTGTTTATCGGCTTAAGGAGACTATCAGAAGAGATCATAAAGAAAAAAGAGAAAATATATGAACAAGATGTGATGTGGAAACAGCAAGATAAGATGGGATAGAATTATGAACTCTGTTTGGACTGATTTGGACTGACTGGGACATTAACGCAGCAGCAAGAAGATGATCAGAATTCCCCTTCAGATCTTGAAATATGGGTCCCCCCAACAAAATTTAAAATTCGGCTTTGTAATTCGGAATTTATGTGATATGATTTAATTTGATGTGATTGGCCAGTTAATAAAAATTATTTTTTTAAAAAAATGGTCAGGGGTCCCTTTATCTTTAGGGAGAGTGCAGCCAATTATTCTCTCTGCAGCCTTTACAACCCTGGACAACATTGTTTTCCCCCTGACCATGCAGCTCCCAAACCACACACACTGGTCTCTGGTCTGCCCCACCCCTGCCCCAAAGACAGATGCCTCCCAGAGGCACCGTTCGCTTGTGGAGTTTATAGCCAGGGCTGCTGCAATAAACAGCTGTGCAAGCCTTTGGGAGGCAGAGACGCAAAAGAGCATCAGAGGAAGGAGGAAAAGAAAGAGGGACAGAGGCCAGTGTTGCCCATGGCACCCCTGACCATCATTCAAGGCACCCCAGGGTGCCACGGCACACTGGTTGAAAACCACTGGCCTAAACAGACTAATGGGAGCTCGGAATCATTAAGCAGGTGGAACGAACCTCTAAATAAGTTTCTGATGGGTTGCCCAGACCATTTATATCAGAGATGGAGCTACTGTTCCAAAAACCAATCCGTATCCATCAAGAGGCTGGTTTTTACTGGTCTGAGATTCCCATAGAAATGGGAGACTTCACCCTCAGACTTCATCGTCTCCTCAGAAGACAGTGATGATGGATGGATGGATGGATGATTATGATAAAAGGAGAAGGAAGAGGAGCAGCTTGAGTCTAAAGATGCCCAGTTACCATACTCCCTGTTCTGCTTATGAGAGGGCTGTTTGTGAGCTGGAATAGGAATGTTGCGTGAGAAAAACGCTCCAAATTCAGATTAAGTTTCCATTTGCACAAGGTGTTGTGCAAGATTTTATACGGGCTGCTAGAGTTCATATGCTATGGCCTATATATTCCTTATTTGCCATATTTTTCATTCTTTTAACACAACGCCCATTGCACTGTGTGCATATAACTTTTGGATCCAAGCCAATATAACCTGTATTATTAAAAATGGAGAAGTGAAAGTTGCCAGATGTACATTTTCTGTTATGACATTCCCAACTGGGGTGTGTGTGTGTGTGTGTGTGTGTGTGTGACCTTTCCCCATCTAACCACTTCTCTGTGAATGAATATAATGTCACAGACTGGCTCCTGACATATTATCTGCATTCACTCGCTGGATTAAGACTGACACTATAGCTGCCAGTTCCAAGTCACAACATGCTCTACATTTGCCTGATGTTAAATAACCTCATGCGTGAGAGAGAACTGGTGTCAACTAGGGTTGCCATCAAAATTTCACCTGAAGTAGTTCAAAACAGATTTGGGGTTCCCTGGTTAGGCAAAACACCTGAGGAATTTTGAGGGAAGTCCAAAGTATCTCCATAAGGCCAGCAAAATTCCTCAATGTTATTCAGGCCAACATCCCCTAGGCCTAGGTTATAACTGAACTTCCAAAGATAGGCAATTCTCAAGCAAAATAAATGAGTATTTTTAAAAAAACAAATCCCAATAGAAGACTGTCGATTTTTCCTCTGGGGTCTCAAATATCAGGGATGTCCAACAAGTCGATCTCTACAAGGTTTTTATAGATCGTGGTCGATCACTGGCCCCATTCCGGCCTCGGCCCCTCTCCCTGGGCTGGCTTCTATTGTTGCAGAAGAGAAGCCGGAGTTTAGAAACAGAGGCTGTTATCTGGCCAGCAATCATAAGGTTAGTGGCTGCTTCTGTTCCTCCTCCCTCAGAAGAGCTGCCGAAAATTCCCTGACCCCTTAAAAACCGGGGCATTTCCCCTCCCCTAAAAAAAAGGTCAACAACTTTGAATCACTGCCAGATTTTAACTTTGAAAGTAGATCGCAGTCTCTCAGGAGTTGGCCACGCCTGTCAGATATGATAGATGCTGAGGTTTATTTCATTGCTGGCTATTAAAATGATATGGCCCTTTCATTTCAACAGTATACCAAGGTGGTTGACAGAAGAGAACAACAATGTACAGTGGTACCTCTGGTTGCGCACAGGATCCGTTCCAGAGCTCTGGTTGGATCCTGAGGTGTGCATATCTGGAGGTGCTGCTTCTGTGCATGCACGTGGCGTGGTTTAGCACTTCTGTGCAAGCGCACAGCGTGTGGAGCGCTTCTGTGCATGTGCACAGCACGTAGAGTGCTTCTGCGCATGCGGCGAAACCCGGAAAAATACTTCTGAGTTTGCCACGTGCGTATCCCGAAGGATACAGAACCAGAGGTGAACGTAAGTAGAGGTACCTCTGTACAGTCGTACCTTGGATCTTGAACGCCTTGGCTCCCAAACAAATCGGCCCCCAGAAGTGAGTGTTCCTGTTTTCGAACATTCTTTTGGAAGCCAAATGTACGACGGGGCTTTTGCGGCTTCTGATTGAAGCAGCGATTTGGTTCTCAAACATTTTGGAAGTCGAACGGACTTCCGGAACGTATTCCGTTTGACTTCCAAGGTACAACTGTATACCAAAATATAACAAGAAAAGTCTTATCAATAAAACAGTGAGGTTTTAGTAGCCAGAGATGGCAGGAGCAGGGATTAATAACCAGGAAAAGCTTAGGGTAAAGAGGAATGCTTTTAATGGCTGCCAGAAGCACCCAGCTGTTGGTGCCCACCTGATCTCTAGGGGGAGATGATTTCCCAAGGTGGGTGACCCCAGAAAGACAGCAGTTCTCCATACCACTATAAGGTGGAGACCTCCAGGCACCAGGCAAAATTTTGCACTTAGCTTATGACCACTTGCGACTAAGTGAAGATACCTGGGCGTCAGGATGGCGCCTGACACCTCCACCATCTGGTGATCATTGGATCGGGACAGTTTTCACACGCTAATGCCCCATCTGTAGAATTAACTATCAGTTCTATTTCATTTGCACAATCGGAAACCTTCATCTGGTTGTAAATATTAATAATGAGTCTTTCTGTAAAAAACCACACGATTTAAATCAAGTCTTACTGATTGGCTTGGATCAATTGGATTTAAATCAAATCCCCCTGCCCTGTGACAAAGTCATTCTCCCCTCTTTACACTTTATAATATTCAACACGTCAAATGCCTATGTACATGCAGCAATGCACAGAGCTAGAGGATTCTAAATTTTACAGACCCAGCAGCCCGAAACCTTGTCCCACTGCAACATAAAGAAATTACATTAGCCAAGGCTGAGCCCAATATTCTTTCCCCTCTTCACAATTTCCAAAGTGCCACACTCAAGACCAACAGCCATGAATTCCTCTCAGTGACTACAAAGACCTTGGAATGAATCTTCGCATCAGGAACAAAAGCTAAATGAAGTGAGAATGTGGTGGCTTATGCTGACATTCGCTACATATTGTTCTGTCAGTCTACAAGAAGATAAGATTTGGAGAATCAAGCAGGTATTATAAAAGTCTCTGAACACTGAGAACTTCAGAAAGAATGGATTTCATATGAATTAACACTATGGCAAAACTCTTGCTTACCCAGCAGAAGCTGTCTTAGAACACTGCAAAAGGATCTTTGAAGTAGCTCACACAAGAGAGCTGCTTCAAAAGGTGCTTTTGCACAGCTTCAATTGCCTCAAAGCTGACAAGCGGGGACTAAATTCTGCTGCCTTGGGCAGATCTTATTTCTGCATATCCTCCATTGCCTGCAATCATAAAACAACATTTAAATCAGTGGGATTCACCTCCAAATGAAGGTATTGTCTCAATATAAAAAAGTGGATATAAGATTTAGTCCTATTCACTGACATACATCCTTTTTAGGTCAGACTAATTACATATCTCCTTTCTCCGTGGATGCAACGCATCTTAAACACACACACACATTATGGTTGTTGATTTAAAATCACATACTTTTATTTCAGTATGTCAGGGCATTTCGTATCCTATCTTTTAAAAATCTCTCATCAGTACACAAATCCATACAAAAACAAAGAATCTGTTTAGGTCAGATAGATTTTATTGCTTCCTTGAGTAAGAAAGATTTGGTTTTCACATGCTGCCATGAAAGGACGAAACTAGTACCACAAATAATCAAACCATAGATCTGACTCATTCTATTAAGAGCCACAACATTCAAATATATAACAAGAATGTGATCTAGTTTCATTTACATTAGATCTTATACCAGAGTAATGCATGCAGTTACTAGGGCCCTGCGGGACTTGACATCTTTCCGCAGGGCCTGCAAGACAGAGCTGTTCTACCAGACCTTTGGCCAGGGCACAGCCTGACTCCCTCCTTCGGCAAGCTCTGGCCCAATGCTTGCCATTGGTTTGATTTGAATTAATTTTATAATGAATGATTTTAGAGTGTTGTGTTGTGTTGTACTGTTGTACTGTTTTATTGTTGCTAGCCGCCCTGAGGCCGGCTTCGGCTGGGGAGGGCGCGATATAAATAAAATTTATTATTATTATTATTATTATTAATGCAAAACTCTTGTAGGTTGATTGGTGCCTCAAAAAAAGAAAAGGAGATGGAAATTGAACTACCACCAGCTTAGACTTACAATGCCATAAATAGAGGGTAGAGAATCCTTTCCGGCTCCGCAAGGCAAATCTGACAGGTGGGTAGATGCACCCATCTGGTGGAATCCTACACGCTTTTCATGTCTCACAGAAGCCATCTTAGAACATTGCAAAGCATCTTTGAAGTAGCTCACACAAGAGAGCTGCTTCAAAAGGTGCTTTTGCACAGCTTCAATCCCCCCACAGCTGATGAGCGGGGACTAAATCCTGCTGCCTTGGCTACGTGATCTTGTTCTCTACTGGCCAATGCAGGATTAAACCTTAACCTCCCACGCATCAGATGACATCACCAGTGATGTCAGCTGAGGAGTGGGTGGACACAGCTTGAGGGAAACAGCATTGGGGGCCAAACTGTTCCCCCTGACGGACCAAGAGTGGCTTGCGTCCCAGAGGTTCGTCACTCCTGCCATAAACCCACAAGTAATCCAGTCATGTGACAAATTAAATGCTATAATTCGGAGGATACTTTTTTCAAATAAAACATGAGCAAGTTAAAACACATTTCACTGCTCTTACCAGTGAAATTCTGCACCTCATAGCTGGCTGGTAAGATGCTGGTAGTGGGGTTGTTTTATAAATAACCGTAGCATTTATAGTTTTAAAAATGGAGTGCAAGTGATGTTTGTGGGGCTCTAGAGTGCTATACACAGGACACGCAAAAAATAAGCTCCACTACCTCCAAAAATAGTAAAGAATAAAAAAAATACAAGGTTGTTGATACTGAATTCTTATCAGCTGGGGTGACGGTCTTTTGGATTTCTCTTTCTTCTTATCACTGATATATTATTGGTGTATGTTTTAATTATGGTTTGTAATCCGGCAAACTGTTATGAAATTGTCACATCCTTCGGCTAGTACAATAAACTTACTGATGATGGTGATGATTTATCTTGTTACTGCAGTCCTTGATCAGCCCAAAGGTGATCATTATGAGTGATGGCACTCATGAGTGAAGCAGCGGGTGAAACACTCACAATAGCCTTTAGACCAGGACTGGGGAACCTGTGGCCCTTCAGACTCCCATCAGCCCTAGTCAGCATGGCCAATAATCAGGAATTATGGGAGTTGTAGTTTAGTAACATCTGGAGGGCCACAGTCCTGTTTTAGACAGTCAGTCACCAAGGAACTTCTCTCTAGGAATCAAATGATTGCAGACACCCAATATCCAGAGCAGAGGTGGGGAATCCACCTGGGCAAAGCCTGATTGATGTGTGGGGCCACCCTCCTGCCACACACTTGATGTCACAAGGACTTAAGTAACTCATTTTGCCCACACAATTCTCAATCAGCCAAATGCTCCTCCTTTTATCGGTATTTGCATTTTTTTTGCCTAGATATTCTTGGAATTGAAGAGCCCCAAAGGCATTTTCTAAACAATGATTTAATTTTGCGAAAGTATTTGCTCGGTATGTGAACTGGAATTCCTCTTAAGATATAAGAGGGATAAAATATAAACTAGTCTAGGTATCACATTCATTTTAAGAGCATTGGCTTTTCCCCACATGGTCAGGTTCAATGACTCCCATCTGTCGATCTATTGATACCCCATGATATATTTTGTTGACGTTTAATGACACTAATTTAGATAAGTCTCGTGGCATTAACATGCCTAGATATTTAATGTTGCCATTGCAAATATAAACCTGGTATTGTTTAAATGTTTGAACCAAAAAGTTGTTTCCTATTAACATCAACTCCCGATTTGGACCAGTTTATAGTGTATCCAGAGATATTGCCAAAAACATCTATTTTGCCCACACAATTCTCAATCAGCCAGTTCACTCAAAGGCATAGCCTGCGAACCTCAGAACATGCCACATCAGGCACAGCACTCCAGAAGACCAAACAAACAGTTGTTTGCTTGCCCTAGGGTATACAGCCTCGGCCCAGTATACCTGAAGGAGCGGCTCCACCCCCATCGTTCAGTCCAAACACTGAGGTCCAGCGCCAAGGGCCTTCTGGTGGTTCCCTTCCTGTGAGAAGTGAGGTTACAGGGAACCAGGCAGAGGGCCTTCTCAGTAGTGGCGCCCGCCCTTTGGAACGCCCTCCCATCAGATGTCAAAGAAATAAACAACCACCTGACATTTAGAAGACATCTGAAGGCAGCCCTGTTTAGGGACGTTTTTAATGACTGATGTTTTAATGTATTTTTATCTCTTGTTGGAAGCCACCCAGAGTGGCTGGGGAAATATTATTATTATTATTATTATTACTACGCACAGGGCTTGGCAATTGTGGGCACAGCACTTCCCAAGCACTGCGAGTCAGCTGACTGCCTTCCATGCAAGCCCCACTATTGCTTGTCCCAGCATATATGACATCACCTGGCAGACCTTATTATGTTGGAGGTTCTGCATTCCCACTCGAGGGACAGAAGACCTTACAACAGTCAAGCGTTAGAAACTGAGATAGAAAAGCTATTCACCACATGGCTCCTGACGTTTTGCAGGCACCAAAACAAAATATCTAGTCACTTTTTTAAAAAAACAGCAAAACTTTTTTATTCTTCTTCTTGAAAAGCATGAACCACTCTAGTGCTATGTGAGCCAGGTGATCTGAGGCATGGTGCCAGGTTAAGTGCTCGTCTTTTGCCATTGGCGTTATTACAGAGGGCCTTCTCGGTAGCGGCGCCCGCCCTGTGGAACACCCTCTCATCAGATGTCAAGGAAATAAACAACTACAGTGGTACCTTGGGTTAAGTACTTAATTCTTTCCGGAGGTCTGTTCTTAACCTGAAACTGTTCTTAACCTGAAGCACCACTTTAGCTAATGGGGCCTCCTGCTGCCGCCGTGCGATTTCTGTTCTCATCCTGAACCAAAGTTTCTGTTCTCATCCTGAAGCAAACCCAAGGTACTATTTCTGGGTTAGCGGAGTCTGTAACCTGAAGCGTATGTAACCTGAAGCATATGTAACCCAAGGTACCACTGTATCTGACTTTTAGAAGGCAGCCCTGTTTAGGGAAGTTTTTAATGTCTGGTGTTTGGTCGTGTTTTTAATATTCTGTTGGGAGCCGCCCAGAGTGGATGGGGAAACCCAGCCAAATGGGCGGGGGTATAAATAATAAATTATTATTTAGTGGGGCCAATGGCCAAGAAGGCGGTTTCTGTACATGCTGAAGAGGGAGGGGAGGGGCAGATGGGACTCACTAACCTGGGAAGGTAGCCTAACTCTGATATTTTGGTGCCACACTGCCCTGCAGACCAGCTGATTGGCGAGGCATTGCAGCCATGTCAGCCAGATGATGTTAGGCCCCAAACATCTCCACTTCCTCGCAAAAGGCGGGTTGCCTGTCGCAAAATGCACCAGGCACCCGGCTAATTTTGAACGCTGGCTTACAACCAACCAAAGCAGCCTGTATGCCCTTTGAATAACACTGGCTACTTTCTTATAGGTCTTAGCGATAGAACTTACGACACACAAGATTCCTACACCTGCAACTCAACATGATGTTTTTATGCAACACTGAGTACTATCAGCAGTTGCCAACATCTGCCAGACATAACCTGCTTAAGGGAGAGGATGATCTGGCTGAGGTTTGGCATTTTACAAGACAATAAAGATTTTAGTTTCTTTTGAAATATTATCCAGGAACTCCAAGTAGGAAGTTCCACCAAGGTCAAGGAAACAGTCCCAAGCAAAAGCATATAGGATTGCATCTTAAAGCGTTAATTTTATTAGGACAAAAAAAGTTGGTCATCCACAAGTTGGGTGGTGTTGTTAACTTCTGAAAACAAGTTAAGAAACAACAAAACAATCAGACAAACTTTCTATATCATTCATTACAATGCATCAAAAGTTTTTACAGTGCTAAGAAGGTTTCTATAAATACGAACAATTCACTGAACAGTTCTTCTCTTTGGCTTTTTTCCATTGAACACCAGTTAAGTCTACAGTTAGAATTAAGAAAAAAGTAAGTTGAAAAGCAGAAATGAAAAAAATACCCCCAACTATTAAAAACATGTGTCAGCTCTTGAAGGCAGCTGTTCTAATTAGGCAGCAAGCCAAATTTAAGCAGCGTCTGAGTCAACTTTCACTGGTTTTTCACCTAGGCTGCCCTAGGGAGAGACCTTTCGCACCAATGACAGCTTTGCATTCCAACTTGGGAGGTATAGGCAATCATTGCAGATAGGCGATGGAAGAAATTTGGTGTTGCCGTCATTGCTGCCCTTGTTAGTCAATTACACCATCGTGAAGGGGGAGGGGTAAGTAAGATCCACATAAACATTGGCATTCTTTGCTTAATTGAGTATTTGACTGCAATTAAGTAATAGGCAGTCAACTGATTTATCTTTGGCCAGTCGATTACAGTGGTACTTTGGTTCACGAACGGCTTAGTTGTCAAATAAATCGGCTTCCGAACGCCGCAAACCCGGAAGTAAGTGTTCCGGTTTGCGAAAATTTTCCGGAAGCCAAACATCCAACGCAGCGTGAGTGTAGGAAACTCCTGCAGCCAATCAGAAGCCACGTCTTGGTTTTCAAACGGTTTTGGGAGTTGAAGGGACTCTCGGAATGGATTAAGTTTGAGAACCAAGGTAGCACTGTATAACCTAAATCTGACCAAAAGAATAAGTAAAGGTAAAGGGACCACTGACCATTAGGTCCAGTTGTGGCCAACTCTGGGGTTGCGGCGCCCATCTTGCTTTATTGGCCGAGGGAGCCGGCGTACAGCTTCCGGGTCATGTGGCCAGCATGACTAAGCCGCTTCTGGCGAACCAGAGCAGTGCACGGAAATGCCGTTTACCTTCCCGCTGGAGCAGTACCTATTTATCCACTTGTGCTTTGATGTGCTTTTGAACTGCTAGGTTGGCAGGAGCAGGGACCGAGCAACGGGAGCTTACCCCGTCGTGGGGATTCGAACTGCCGACCTTCTGATCAGCAAGCCCTAGGCTCTGTAGTTTAACCCACAACGCCACCAAATCCACAGATGAACACTTTAACCTTCCTGGCCATGTTACTGGTAGATCCCCGCGAGGTTTTGGTAGATCGCGGGTCGATCTCTGGCTCCCTTTCCTCATCTTCGTTGAAAATGACTCCTGCTCCGCCCTCCATTGTTGTCTGATCAGTAGAAGGGAAGATGGAGCTTTCTCTCTGTGGCTGTTTTCATTCAAAGCTATATTATTGTGAGTGACGTTTTTCCTTTGCCCCTTGCCCCTTTAACCCTCTCCAAAAACGGAACATCCCTCCTAAGAAAATATTTGTATAAAAACGGGGCTTTTCTCCTCCCTAAAAAAAAAGTGGGGGTAGATCATTGCCAGATTTTAATTCTGAAAGTAGATCGCAGTCTCTCAGGAGTTGGCCACCCCTGTCCTAAACAAATCAATTTAGGTGGGAAAATTGGAACAAAATAGAAAAACCTATGTGCAAAGCCTATTTGTTTCAACTATGGATTTCACTCTCATTTAAAAACTTGATGGAAGAACGAAAACGCATCACCGGATGAAGATTCCACCTCAAAGTTTTCTTCTACAATCCAAGCAACCACAACTCAAAATATGCTTCCTTCTGTTCAATCCATTTCAGCATCTGACTATAGCTCATGCTCGTAAAAAAAAAAAAAAGTGCTAAATTTTTAGGTGGTGCACAAATCAAAACCTTTTTTTTATCTTAAGGAAACCATGGCTTTGAACCCAACTTTTGTACCTTCCTTATAAGGGAAGCAAAACGTTTTAATACCATTGGATTAGCGTTTCACATCACAGTGCAATTTGTCTGCATCCCTGAAATGGCCACACTGCTATTCAGACATTTGTTTTATCTGAAGGTAAAACAGAGGATCTCTTTCGTTTTAGACTATAGTACACACGTTGACACGATAAATTTATATCCATCATGTGGTACAGGAGAAAATGTGTTTGTCTAAACGAGTTTTTTTAAAGTCCACAAAACTGCTCAGGAAGTTTTTCGTCGAGAAGAAAAGAGTTTTGCAGCTTTAAAGTCAGAGGACCACTGATTTCCACAGAGCTCCAGCCAGTAAATTTAACTCTGGTGGATGGAAGTACTATTACAACGCCCTTCTTTTTTCATCTTGCATTTTCTGAATGGAAATTCTTCGCTAGTTTTCCCCAAATTGTGAGGGGGGAAATGTTGCATCAACTGTAAAATGAAGAAATGCTGACACAATATTTGCTTTGTGTTGCATGTACTGTAACTGTTCATCAATAGTACCCAAACAAACAAGGATGGTTAAAACCTGGAATTTAAAGCTACAATGTGCAACTAGAAACATGCAATTTGGTAAAGAGATACTCCTGAAGCGAATGACAAGATTCATTCCTTTGTGAATTGAGGGACTTAATAATTTAGAGAATTCGGCCTATAGTCTGCTAGACCCTTCCTTAGAGATGCAGCTGTTCTTTGCTTGGACAATGATCAAGATTAATTTTAAGACTCGTGTATTAGGCCTTTCCTTAAGTGCCCACGGTTCCTTTGGTCAAACTCAGAGTTTCCTAAACTTGGGTCTCAAGCTGTTTTTGGACTACAGATCCCATGAGCCATAACCACTGGTTCTGCTAGCTAGGGATGATGGGATTTGTAGTCTAAAAAAACAGTTGGAGGCTCAAGTTTGGGAAACTCTGGTCTAGCTTAACGGAACAGGCTACTTGCACTGCCAATCTTTACCAACCAACCAGAGCAGGAAACAAAATGTTTAGTCTAGGCAATATCACTTTAGTTAAGATGTCAGACTCTGCAAGATCACACAGCAACCTTCAACAATTTTGGGCCAGGATATCTGAAAGACTGCCTTATCCCAAATAAAGCTGATCTAAGAGCTAGCTGTTATGCCCCACCAAAAGTTTCTGTTGGTGAAAACAGGGGCAGAGTCTTTTTTGTGTTGGCACCCTGGTTATAGATCTCCCTTCCTAGGAAATTTAGACTGACTTCATCTTTGTTTAGCTTTAGGAAGGCCATTGAAACTTTCTTATAACACCCAGTTTTGGGTCAGTTTTTAAAGGCATCCAGTATAACGCAGGAGACAAATTGACTTAAGCCATGCCTATCTTTAAGGTCACTGATATTGCTGGTCGTATAGTTATATAATCCATTAATTCCAGACTGTTTTTAAAGGTGATCCACACCTGCCCCAGTTTTTAATCTGTTTCTCTCATTATTATTTTTAAGCTAAATTGGGGACTTTCTTTGGGTTAAAAGGCAACACATAAATAATTGCACAGGGAAAAAACCAGCAGCTTTCCATTTAAAGTGCCATTTTAGCTATGCAGCCTGTTCTTCAGAAAGACACCTGACAACTTTCAGGTTAGATGATGCATCTTTTAAAACGTGCCCTGTTATTATTATTACTACTACTACTACTACTATACCGCCCTATACTCGCAGGTCTCACAAGATAAAATCAAAATATGAAAACACAAAATACATAATCAATATTTTTTTAAAAAAACTAACCCAATAACACCCAACACTTTTAAAAAGGGCATTGGATGTGAATCAGCCAAAGGCTTGGTTAAAGAGTTTATTCTTGCCTGACACCTAAAGGTGTATAATGAAGGCGCCAGGCGAACCTCCCTGGGGAGAGCATTTCACAGACGGGGAGCCACTGCAGAAAAGGCCCCGTTCTCATGTTACCACCCTCTGGACCTCTTGTGAAGGAGGCACACAAAGAAGTACAAATATTATGTTATAAGGTCTTGCTTGCTGCCTTAACAATTATTACTGGCCTGACAAGATTTGGATTTTCTGTGCTTCCCCTAAGAAAAATGTAGTATCTGGGCTGGTGCGGCCTGAGGACGAGAGAACCTCTGAGAAGAAGACTGGAAAAGAACAGGGAAAACTGATTCTTGCCCACGCCATTTTACCTCGTGGAGGGTGAGATGCTTGCCATCTTTCCTTTTCGAGTCAAACCTGCCATATATTGCACTGAACTTCCTGATCTCCTCCTCTTTGTGAGGGTCCTCGTCGCTCATCTCAAAGATGTGGCCCACCATCTTGGCCAGCTTTTTGTTGATTTTCAGCAGTTCCTTCACTTCGTTCAAGTCACTTTTGGGGAGGGTGGGAACCATGCGCTCGACGCACTCGGTGACCGACAGGGCCGCCGCCGCGTCCAGGGTTTCCGTGTTTTCCTTTGGTGAGGCCGGAGAGCCGACGTCGGCTGGGGAAAGGCTGTGTTCGCTCTCTGTAGTGTGGTGGCCTTGCCACAGTCTCGTTTCGCTGCCGCTCTGCAGCGTCAAGTTCCCCACCCCGTCAGACTTGCCCGCACCGACGCTCTGAACGCAGGTGGTGGCGGCACATTTTGGAATCTTCAAGTGAGGCTCCCGGGTATTACTATTCCTTTCGTAACTATTGCATGAGATTCCCAACCAAGCAGGAGATCCTTCCGGTAACTTATATATTGGGATGCTACTGACCGGTAAGGAAGTAAGAGGCTGGTTAAAAAGGCCTGGGTTTGTCACCCAGTCTCTCAAAGCCTTCTGCAGTCTTCGGACGTGAAGAGGTTTGCTGGCCATGCCAACGAGCGCCATGATCTCCAGGAACTCCTCTTCCCCGGCTTCACACAACTGCTGGACGTCATCCCCTCCCTGCTGAATGAAGGCATCGAAGTAGAACAAGAGGTTGGCTTTCTGCAAGATTCGGTACAGCTGCAATTCTCCAAGGGTTCTGGGTAACGCTGTGGCCATGGTGGGTGGAGAGCCCTGCAAAAGAAGAAGAAGTAGAAGAAGAATAAGGGTAACAAAATGAATGTCCACTTCCAGATGCGTTTCCCAACCCTCGTTGGTTCTTTCAAAACGTCTGTGCTTTGGGTGGCAAGGGAGGTTTGCTGGTGAACAAACTTATTAGTTACAGGATCTTGCATGGTACAACAGAGAGAGTACAGTGGTACCTCGGGTAAAGTATTTAATTCGTTCTGGAGGTCTGTTCTTGACCTGAAACTGTTCTTAACCTGAAGCACCACTTTAGCTAATGGGGCCTCCTGCTGCCGCCGCGCCACCGGAGCATGATTTCTGTTCTCATCCTGAAGCAAAGTTCGTAACCTGAAGCACTATTTCTGGGTTAGCGGAGTCTGTAACCTGAAGCTTATGTAACCTGAAGCGTATGTAACCTGAAGTACTACTGTAGTTACAGGATCTTGCATGGTACAACAAAGAGAGTACTGGACCGGGACCTGGTTCAATGTTAAAATAATCCAAAAAACCCTAATCATCTTCAGTGTTTGAAATTAGCCAGGAGCCAGGCGCATTTTGCACCTGGCTATTGACCACATGCGACCAAGCAAAGATGCCTAGGTGCGAGGATGGCGTCCGACATCACCATATGGAGGTTCATGCCTATCCTCATAATCGGAATGAATTTCAGGAAGCAAAATGCCTTTCCTGTGCAATTCTGAGCAGTCACCGTTAAGAAAAAGTGGTCAGAATAGGCCAATATGTATGTAGTATCTGCCCAAGTCAAATCGTAACAGGCCGCTTTCTGTGAAACATTAACCTTTATTAATATTTACAATTTTAGATCCAGGGAGCAACAACAGACTGGTTCTGCCATAAAAGGCATAAATCCCCCCCCCAAAAAATAGATACCCCTCTTGCAAACTACTGTTAAAAACAGGGAGCTGGGGACTAATCGCTGCTACATAAAATTATTAAGAAGTGTATTTGTATACAGAAAGTAAAATCGAGCTGCATATTGTGAGGGCCTTCGATTACTTCTGAACTCCTGTTTCTGCGTGTGTGTGTGTGTGCACATAGGAAACCAAATGACACGTAGCAACAGTTCTCTTACTGTCCCTGAATCAAGTGACTTTTCCTCTTTAAGATCTCCAAGTTCTTAACCTAGTTCAAGGCTGTCATCTGCTCAGACTGCACAGAAAAAGCATCTTCGGTTCCAGAAATTCATTCTAACTATGCAGATAGATAGATATATATAACTGATAGAATTCTACAGGATGTGGTGTTAGTGTGTGAAAACAAGCAAGATCCAATGATTCCCCCAGCCATGTCCCTCCAGATTGTGGAGATGTCAGGGACCATCCTGGAGCCAGGTTGTAAGTGGTCGATAGTCAGGTGAAAAACATGCCTAGCTGATTTCAAAACACTGATCAACAGTTACTATGAACCACTTCAATTTAACTTAAGATACTGAAGGGCTAGGTACGCAGGTGGCGCTATGGGTTAAACCACAGAGCCTAAGACTTGCTGATCACAAGGTCGGCGGTTTGAATCCCCACGATGGGGTGAGCTCCTGTTACTCGGTCCCAGCTCCTGCCAACCTAGCAGTTCGAAAGCATGTCAAAGTGCAAGTAGATAAACAGGTACCGCTCCGGCGGGAAGGTAAACGGCGTTTCCGTGCGCTGCTCTGGTTCACCAGAAGCTGCTTTGTCATGCTGGTCACATGACCCGGAGGCTGTACGCCGGCTCCCTCGGCCAATAAAGCGAGATGAGCGCCGCAACCCCAGAGCCGGCCACGACTGGACCTAATGGTCAGGGGTCCCTTTACCTTTACTGAAGGGCTATTCCTTTAACTTTTTGACCATTTAAACTAAGGGTAGAGAATCTTATGCCCAAGTGATGAACATGGCCCCGCTATCTGACTCGAGAACTCCCCAGAAACCGTATCCCTCATTAGCCCTGCTGCTTCACATCTCAAGTGTTTTTGCCTGCCTGAAATGTGTCCTTGGACTCAGGATAATGCTCCTTGCCTGTCCAGATGGAGAGAAGATGGGCGTTTGAGAGAGTTTGTGTACAAGTAGCCCACTGTGCAAAGGTAAAATTAAAGATTTGTTGCTTCGCCCACGTGCAAAAGCACGAAGAGCTCTGGCTGATTCCCACACACAAAAGTAGTTTTGCTGCCTGTGAACTTTTGAATCAACAGAAAACTTTCTGAAGCAAGCACAGAATGTAAGTCGAATGGTTAAACCTAAATTTTTTTAACACAAGGATGTATCTGCTAAGCTTTAAAAAGTCTCCGGCTCCTACAGATCTCCAAAAATCACACAAGAAAACTAATGAAACTAATACATTAAATAAAAAAGACATGAATAAGTTAAATTAAGCCCATTTTCAGCTCATCACTGATACATTATCTGCCAACTTGTAAATGCTACACCAGGAGTGTCTAAACCTTTTTCAAAGAGGGCCAGATTTGATGAAGTGAACATGCGTGAGGGCCAACCAAAGTGTTGAGGTGTTGTGTTTTTTGGGGGGGGATTGAAGTGGTTCAGCTTTTTAAAAAATAATTTTACCCCAATAAATAAACTACCACAGGGGCCGGATTAAATCTACCGGTGGGCCAGATTAGGCCCCCAGGCCAGACTTTGGATTTGGACATGTATCTGGCCAAGTCAAATCGTACCAGGCCGCTTTCAGTGAAACGTCAACATTTATTAATATTTACAATTTTAGATCAAGGTGGCAACAGAGTGGTTTTGCCATAAAAGGCATAACCCCCTCCCAAGAGATGCCCTTTTGCAAACTAAAGTTAAAAATGGGGAGCTGGGGACTATCCACTGCTACATAAAATTATTACTAACTATATTTGTATATAGAAAGTAAGTAAAATCAAGCTGGATATTGTGAGGGTCTTCAATTACTTCTGAACTCTTGTTTCTGCCTGTGTGTGTATGTGTGTGTGTGCACATAGGAAACCAAATGACATGTAGCAACAGTTCTCTTAGGTGCTATGCAGATTCCACGTTTGGTCTTGGGTTCTAGGTATAACCTGAAGCCCACATAGCACCTAAATGAGTCCTGTTTGGAGGTCTGCTACCTCTTCCCATAAGAACAGAAGAAAAGCTAGCTGATGGCCCATATAGTCCTGTAATCCCTTTCCCACAGTGGCCAACTAGAGATTGATGGGAAGCCAAGAAGGTGGGCCCAAGGGCAACAGCGCTCTCCCCACTTATGAGTCCCCCACTGCTTCCAGAAGTGGAGGCAGAGCCTAGCTGTTTTGGTCTGTACCTACTGATAACTTCACCCTCCTTGAATTTGTCCAACAGTTTTTTAGAGCCATCTAAGATGGCGGCCGCCACAACACACACATTTCACCTTAAGACTGTAACCAGAGGCAGACTCCAGGGATTCACCAACATCTAACCTTTTCTCCAAACACCCACCATCCCTGAATATGGGTTGGGTCCAGAAATGCATGATCTGTATGGGACTAGCAGAAGGTGACTTTCCCAACCCACCTGCCCAACACTTAGAAGAAATATGGGAAGGTGACTGGGGATCGGATATAAGAAAGTCTGCTTCTATCAGCCAGCTTTGCATGCTCATCTCTGAACTTTTCAACTTTAAATTTTTTTTGGTACACTGCCTCAGGTGTCCGGAAAGGCAAAGTAGATCTGTTTTAAATAAAAATTGACTCCCGTGGGAAAGTCTTAAAGCTTGTGCTTAGCTTCCCTGCTGCAAACAATGAAAATGTGAACGGTGCAATTCTATAGACGTCTGCTCAGAAGTTGGCCGCGCTGTGCCTAGGCCTGACTCCATCATGACCCAAATTATTAATGTGCTAAACCTGAACCTGTTGACAAGCCCAAAGATCTCCACCTGTTGTTTTGGTCTCGCAAAGCATTAAGTCAGAATGGCGTTTCTCAAAGGGTGTGGCACGCCACACTGGTGTGGCAAGAGCGGACGGCAAGTGTGGCGGGAAAGTTCAAGAAGAATAAAAGAAACATTTAAACATATCAGTGAAGTAAGGTATAGTGTATGTTTGTGTTTGTGTACACACACACACACACACACACACACACAAACAAAAGCTAGAAACAGTATCCATGCTTCTCTTCAAGAGCATTGGCTATTATTCTACAGTTCTCCATGGCACAATATATTGTGAATGGAGATTTTCAACTCTTGACAAGTATGAAATATGAAAAAAGAGAGAGAAAGGCTTCCTTGTGTTGATGAGATGAGATTCTGCTTGCCTCAAGTGCAAATGCAAATGAGATTAGCCAGCAGAAGCAAGCTCACACCTCTCATTGAGTTTGTAGACACACTTAAATGTACAGTGGTGCCCCGCAAGACGAATGCCTCGCAAGACGAAAAACTCGCTAGACGAAAGAGTTTTCCGTTTTTTGAGTCGTTCTGCAAGAATTTCCCTATGGGCTTGCTTCGCAAGACGAAACGTCTTGCGAGTTCTTGCGAATTTGTTTCCTTTTTCTTAAAGCCGCTAAGCCGTTAATAGCCGCTAAGTCGTTAATAGCCGCTAAGCCGCTAAGAGCCGCTAAGAGCCGTGCTTCGCAAGACGAAAAAACCGCAAGACGAAGAGACTCGCGGAACGGATTAATTTCGTCTTGCGAGGCACCACTGTATTTATGCAAGCGGCTCGCTTATAATTATACGGTGGGAATGGTTCATGGGCTTATATAGCTGCATTGTTTTATACTTTGTGGATGTCCCATGATCATATTATAAAGTAGCTGTGTTCTGTGTGGGGACTCTGGGGGTGTCAAGGCCATGCCACAGCACAGCTGACATTATTATGGGAACCAAATGCACTCCAGTGAGTGTCTCACAGCAGCTAGAACTCCCAACACACTAAGGAAAAACCAATGAAAAGTTTCCAAGATATGTCTCCCTGGATTCAATCACACTTTTAAGCAAACCTAGGGAGGACAGCATTGCAAGCCTGCAAACTTCAGAATAGCTACTTTCAGGGTGGGGGAGCCCAGCTGCAATCAGTAAGCCTTACCTCCGAGTAAACACCAGTAGGATTGTCCAGTTTACATCCCTTAAGGAGCCTGGCACAATGCAATACTCTGAGCAACTTTAAACAACACTACTACCCTACCGGGCCTGAGCTTCCCCAGATTTTTGGGCCTGGGTTTCATTTCATTACCACTCCATGCCCTCTCGGAGGCTGATTGCTAGTCTTCCACTCAGTGTTAGAAACTCAGATATATAAAGCTAGGTGCCAAATGGCTCCTTGAACCAGGGTTACAGGTGCCAAAATGGAATGTCTAGTTGCCATTTAGGGGCCAGACAGCTCAAAGGTTGTGATTTTCGATAGGACGTTTTGGTTCCTGAAATTGGCCCCATTGTGCAGATTAAAATATCGCTGATCAAATTCTAAATGATGTGTTGCTAGTACAGTGGTGCCTTGGTTCTCAAATGCCCTGGTACTCAAACAACTTGGAACCCAAACACTGCAAACCTGGAAGTGTTCCGGTTTGCAAACTTTTTTCGGAAGCCAAACATGCTCCGTTTTAAGTTTTACGCTTATGATTTGAGTGCCACACTTCCGTTTTGAGTGTTACGCTGAGGTCTGTCTGTTTTTGCGGCTCTTTGTGTTTTTGTTTTTGTGACTGTGTGGAACCCAGTTTAGCTACTGATTGATTGTGTGTCTGCAGTACATTGTTTATTGCTTTCATTTTATGGATCAATGGTCTCGTTAGATAGTAAAATTCATGTTAAATTGCTGTTTTAAGGGTTGTTTTTACAAGTCTGGAACGGATTAATCCGTTTTGCATTACTTTCCATGGGAAAGAGCGCCTTGGTTTTGGAACGCTTTGGTTTTGGAACGGACTTCCGAAATGGACTAAGTTTGAGAACCAAGGTACCACTGTATGTGAAAACAGGCAAGACCTGAGGATCCCAAGGCATGCAAGTGGCCTATAGCCAGGTGCAAAATGCGCCTGGCAAATTTCAAACTCTGATTCCACTCATAACAAACACCTTTCCAGTGTAAAGTGCAGCACAAGACAGGAGGCGGCAAAGAACAGGGGAGCAATTCCACCTCAGTACATACTTATAGTCTGCCTCCCACTTTTTTCCCTTGCCAATCCAACAAGCTTCTCCTTTGCACACAACATATTAATTAGGGTTGTACATGTATGGCCTTGCATGTTTCTGAGAGCACCAAGGCCTCTTGTGCTCCCATAACCACTTACATCTAATTAAGGCCCAACAACAGCGGCTAATCCAAATTCCAAGCGAGAGGGCGTGCCGCTCATGTGAAACCATGCACCAAGTGGAAATCCAAGATTTCACCCTGCCACATGGGACTTAACAGGAGGGGAGGGAAGCAGATACTCCGGACGCAGCGTCGCCTGTCTGTAAATGGCTCCCGTGCACTAAAGAATGGTTCATACAATCATGGTTCGAAATTAGCAGGGCACCAGGTGCGTTTCGCACCTATGGATTCTCCATTTGCAAGCACCTCAAAAGGTCTGGATGCCATTTTTTTTCACGTGGACGACACCCGAGGAGTACGGAAAGGTATGTGCTTTGAAGCCTCAAAGTATATGTTGAGGATAAACAGTATGCTAAGGAGTCTAACAAGAAAAAGTAGAGTGTTTTGAAATTTGAAGTACAGTGCCAATATTTTTATTGTAAACACCAAATTAAACATGTATTAACCATTTCTGCTAAAAATGTGATCCTAACAACGTGTCACTTATGTGAATTGTGTACAGTGGTACCTCGGGTTAAGTACTTAATTCGTTCCGGAGGTCCGTACTTAACCTGAAACTGTTCTTAACCTGAAGCACCACTTTAGCTAATGGGGCTTCCTGTTGCTGCCGCGCTGCCGGAGCCCGATTTCTGTTCTTATCCTGAAGCAAAGTTCTTAACCTGAAGCACTATTTCTGGGTTAGCGGAGTCTGTAACCTGAAGCACCTGTAACCTGAAGCGTATGTAACCTGAGGTACCGCTGTACTAGTTCATGCCTATCAAAATAATAAATAAAAATTTTTGCCGACCCCCTCCCCATGGCAACTAGACATTCTGTTTTGTCACCCACAACCCAGGTCGCAGGAGCCATTTGGCTCTTAGCTTTTCAATCTCACTTTCAAATACTGCATACAATGCATTTTTTGTTGTTGTTCAACGGCCACAGCTTCACAGATCAAAAGGCACGGGTCGAATTCTGGGTATCATCTCTGGGGCAATGCCGGTCAATAGAAGCTAAAGACATATTTAGCTGTGAGTCGTCCACCATCAAATTATTAACTGGCACATGTGAATAAGCGGCTGTTCAGATATTTCCCTTTCAGCACCTACAGGTTTGCACGTATGAACATGCAACCAGCCTCAAGAGGCTTTTAAAATTCCCTCAACAAGCTTTAAGTTGTCTGAGGAGTTGAAGCCAGATCTGATGACAGGGAAACTGAATGATAAACTACATATGTTGAATCCTCTCACTGAATCATCAGGGTGAGTGCAGCCTTAACTTTGAAAGTTGTAAAAACCTTCTGGTAGAAGCAGTGATACCAGGGGGGAAGTGTGTAAGAGAGAAAATTTTCAATACATTTTCAATATTTTGATTTTTCAAGTAGGGTCTGGAGTGATGGGGGGAAACACCAGACACCTTTTATATCCAGGGATTATTCACCATTTCCCCCCTAAGTATACGTCTTCCGTTTCCTGCTTCTGTCTTGTGCTGTTTCTTAAAGAATTGTTGCTGTATTTGTACTGTTTTATGCTGGTAGTCTGGGAAGTAAATGGCAGGCTGAACTTAACAGCAGGGTTTAAATCCCCTAAATAAAAAATAAGTTACTAAGGCCAGTTACTAAGAATTGGGGGGGGGGGGGGCGGCATTTTTCTAAATGGGATTGGAAGGGGAGTAGCAAGAAAGAAAGGCTTTGTTTTCCACAGCACCAGATGAGTTTGCATCCTTAATAACAAAAGCACAGCGCTGCTAAGACTGCAATCCTAACACCAATTACCTTGGAGTAAGCCCCGCTGAACTAAATAGGATTTACTGGCAAGCAGGCATGGTTATGGTCACACTGTAAAGCCAATTGTTTTAACTTACAATTACAAGATGTGATATGTGGCAGGCATTAGAGGAACAGCCTGGGGAATGCTACAGAAATGCTAAGAAGTGTGGAATTACTGTACAGTAGTTGTTTTAACTATCAAACAAACGACGGGCCAGAAATCTTCAACATCTCCCTATCCAAGTCAACATCTTGGGATGACCAACTTTTAAAATAGAAATTCCTGCCCAGAGCAGAAGATGGAAATTGCAGGCTTTCTGTGAAGGTTACAGAGAGGAGGCGTTGCTGCTGCGAATGTTGTTCATGTAGGCGAAGCAGGATAAGAGGAGAAGTCAAGAAAGTGTGGGCTGTGAGGGTGGGCTTAGCATGCATTAACCAGTTCCTTCCCAGGCTGTCTGCAGCCTGCCTTGGTAGCAAAGGCAACTGGGAACGAACGTTCGCCTAGAGAGATGTTGTATGGAACCGAGCAATCAAAATTTCACAGTCAATTTCTGGGCACGCTGCGCAGAGGGGAACCAGCAAAGACCCAAATTGTCGCCTTTTAAGGCACACTCCCTGCCCTCACAAAACACCCCTACTTGCCCCAATTAAGGCTGAATTGAAACAGCAAGCCTTGCTGTATTTTTTTCAGCAGCGATACTCTGGCATTATGGGGTGTTTTCACACGAGACTCCCACCCGCATCTGTAAGACAAATGACTAGCACGGAATACCTTGGAAAAAGAAGGGGAAGGAAGAGGAAGAGAACTGTTTTACATTTCCCCCTATATTTGCACAGGTGTTGCTTGGTTTTCAATGCCCCCCCCTCCATTTTAAGTTCTCTTTCTGTCTCTCTTCACGTGGCTAAGGAGCGCTCCCATTCAGCGAAAGTTAAATGGCAAGGAATGAAAAGCAAAAATAAATATAAAAAATGATCTAGTAACAGAGGCGCCGGCTTCTTGTGCACATCTTCAGATACAGTTAAAGTGGTTGTATGCAACAGAAGGTTAATTCAGGAGTTGGTGCGGGGCATCTTTTTAGGTTTTGAGTGTCAGCAATTCCTTCCTGGCCCCTGCCACAAAAGAGAAAAAGGAAATCCCAGGCTTGAAAACTGGGTTGCAGTAGCACAGATCTCAAAAGCCAGCAATAGTGAGAATTCTATAGGTACAGAGGACTGCCTATATTAAGACAGAATGGGATGGGGTGAGGGGTAACATCTCTTGCCATTCCCACTGCCATTGGGCACATGTTTAGATCTCTCACTTGCAGGAAAAGCAATAGAATACATCCATAAACAATCTCTTCTGACATTCCAGAGGTGGGCAGAAGTTCAAACTGGGATCTGCTAGCGGACCTCTGGGTTATTTTATGTAGGTCAGCAAGGGATTTATGGCTTCCAGTCATTAACAAAATGGAAGCAACCCAAACGAGAGTGTGTTTGTGACCCGCCTCCCTACTCATTATAATGCTGAAATCATGAAACCTAAGGGACTGGGAGACACCAGGAGCGGATTTGGTGTGGAAGGAATGTGAGCTCAAGTTCCTGGGCTTGTTAATTCTTTCATTCTAAATGTACGGATCTCAGGGGTTTCTAGAAAAAACAAAGTACCGTACATCCTGCAAGCCTGCCCACCCACTAGACTTTCCAAAAGATTTATTCCAAAACGACTGAACAAAAATTTGTGCAGCTCACAGAATCACTGTATTTTCCACAACACTCGATTTATTTTGAAAGGCTCTGTATCTTTCTGAAGCCTAGCATTCCGGTACGAAACATTAGTAGATGGCTATTTCTTTTTTAGCAAGCAGGGTTTAAATGAACAACTTTATCAGTGGCATCTTGATGCTAAACTCTGTTTGCTCTGATGTAAGTCCATTCTAATTTGATGCAGATTATATATATGGTTTACTGCCTTCCTTGATGTACCGGGAAGAAATGTTAAAATCAACAGGGCTTCTTTCCAAATTCAGGATGAGGGTGCTAACAATACAATCCCAATATTTTCCCAAACAACCAGCTATTTAGAACTTTTTTTTTTTTGCTAACTAAACAACAAGGATGGTGTTTGTTTTTTTTCTTTCCCAAACTAGCATTTCTTTCAAAATATGCAATCAATTCTGCTCCCCTACCAAAATGGCATTTAAGATCTACTGATGATTTATTAAGGATCTCTACCTTAAATTTATTATGTTCTGTTTTGACAATCCAACAGCTTTTCAGTACAGTATTATGTTTTGGTAGTAGAATATCTTCAGCACTCTGCCCCACCACCACCACCTTGGAGGCAGCTGAATTATTAAGTTACCAAGAAAAACAGTCTCTCATCAAAGTTGGTAAATAAACCTAAGTCCTTTATTAAAACAAATTGTTGCTTTCAGTAAAATAATTTGGATCACCTACCTACGCTTTCAAAACCCTACAAAGTGCATCATTCTTTTGAGGGGGCGGCAGAAAAAAACAGGAATCCTCCCATTCAAAAATATTAAGCTGACTTTAGTTTACAACTTGGGTGTGTCTGTGCAAAAAAAACACCCCAAACCACACATCATGTACAGTATTTCCACACACATCGGAGTATGCCCGCAGCCAAATGAAGGGAAGCTGTTAAAATATATTTGCTGGAGGGCAAATATCGTGAGGACAAGTGTCTAAGAGGGACAAGGAGCAACCGCTAAAAAAAAAAGTCTCAAAAATCTGTAGCATAATAAATTTTCCCAGCACTTAAAAAAAGTTCACAGACGTAGAGAAAACATAGTAAAAAAAAAATCCCACCCAATGTAGTGTTTGGATTTGCACTCCATCCCCCAAACTTTTAAGCGAAGACAATACATGGACGTTTCAGTACTTTCCTCCCACGCCCTCACCCTTTTCTGCTCTGGATTTCTCTGGGAATCATCCACACTCCGCCTACATATACACGAATCCGCCCTCTCCTTCCGGCAATCTGCAGCAGCAGAATGAATTGTACCAAGCAGCAGCTAAGAAAACACCCTGCGGGACGGGGCAGAAACTTCTCCTATTTTCCCTTTATCCCATTCGTCCCATCAGCCTCAAGGCAGCATGGCCAAAGGTCAAGTAGTGTGATGTTAGGGGACCTAGATACCTCCAGATGCGGTTGGGGACTCCATCCCTGCCTCAGTTTCTCCCAGTTACACCCCCCCACACACTTTACCATCATCGCAGCCTCAGAACGCCAGCGAGGCTGAACCAGAACTTGCAGCAGAAGCCTCGAGCATTCTTAAGATACTCGCCTACCGCACCAACACGCGAGGGCCTTACACTCGCATTCACACGTGCGTTTTTGACGCGCGAGATTGTCCGAAGCACGCAGGCAAGTTTCAGCCACTGAAAAGCCAAGCGGGGGGAAATGCCTCCCGAATCGCGAGCAAGAAAAAAAAAAACATATCCATTGCGGTCTCTCCAGAAAGGCTTTTTTTTGTGTGTGGGTTAGAAGGGGCGCGGGGAGAAAACTTAGGTCCTGCATTGCAGAGGGGGCTGGACTGGATGACCCTCGGGAATCCCTTTCCAACTCTGCAAAAGCTGCAGCCTTCAACCCGAAGAGCGGATCCCATGCCAAAGATCTCGCTTTGCCGGGAAGCAAAGGCGCGCCCCTCTTTTAAGAGAACTCGACGGCAACCTGTTCGCCCGGCGCCAACATTTCGCAGCCCCGTCTCTCCGTGCGCTTCCTCGGCAGCCAGGAAGAGAGAAAGGATCCCCGCGATCGCGCCCCCCCCCCCGCGCCCGGTCCTGCGCGCGATCCAGTGCCCACGAGGGTCCCCGACTTACTTCTTCCTCGCAGGACGCTGCTGCCGCTGCCGCCTGCCCGGCTCTTCCCTTCTCCCGGCGGGCGCGAAGTTATGGCCAGGGTCGCCTGCGGCCGGCCTCGTCCTTCTGCTGCTGCTGCCGCCTTCCCATGGGTGGGCGAGCTGCCTCCCGCCCCCTCGGCCCAGCTCTGCCCGGCAGCCCCGCGACAACCCAGCACTGGCGGCGGCGGCAGGGCTGCAGGGAGGCACCGGCGGCGGCGGCGGCAGCAGCCTCGCCTTGCCTCCACCTCCTCCTCCTCCACCGCCGCCTCCTCCTGGCCTTCCCGCCCGCGCGCACATCCAGGTCCCCCCCTCCCGCGCCGCCGCCGTCACGTGGGGAGATTCCGCCCGCCCGCCCGCCGACGAGCCTGCGCCGGGCCCACCTCCCACGCGAGGCCGCGTGACGCAGAGTGGGGAGGGGGGCGGAACGACACGGCGGCGGAGAGAGCGAAGGAGGGGGGAAGGAAGGGGACGGAGGAGCGCCCGGCCCGGCGGCGGCGAAAGGGAAGCAAGGAGCGCGGAAGGGGGAAGGAGGCGCCTCCTCGCTCGCGCCCGCTGCGCTGCTCGCGGGGCAAAGCTTTAGCCGTCGGAAGGGAAAGGGAGGCTCGTTGGGAGGTTGGAAAGCTCTCCTTTTCTTTCTTTCTTTCTTTCTTTCTTTCTTTCTTTCTTTCTTTCTTTCTTTCCCTCTCCCCCCTTTCTCTTTCTCTCCCTCTTTCCCTTTCTTTCTTTCTTTCTTTCTCTCTCTTTCGCTTTTCCTCTTTCTCTTTCTCTCGTTCTTTCTCTAACTCTTTCTCTTTTCTCTTTCTTTTTCCTCTTTCTCTCCCTCTTTCCCTTTCTTTCTCTCTTTCTCTTTTCCTCTTTCTCTTTCTCCTGTTCTTTATCTAACTCTCTCCCCCTTTCTTTCTTTCTTTCTTTCTTTCTTTCCCTCTCCCTTTCTTTCTCTTTCTCCCTTCCTTTCTCTTTCTTTTCTCTTTCTGTCTCTCTCCCTTTCTCTCTCTTTTTTCTCACTTTCTTTCTTTCTTTCTCTCTCTCTTTTTCCTCTCTGTCTTTCTCTTTCTTTCTTTCTTTCTTTCTTTCTCTCTCTTTTCTTTTTCTCTTTCTCCCTTTCTATTTCTCTTTCTTTTTTTCTTTCTGCTTCTCTCCTCTTTCTCTCTCTAGCTTTCTTTTTCTTTCTCTTTCTTTCCGGGGCACAGAATGTTACATGAAGTGATCCCATCCATCCCTGCCTGTGCTTTAAAGGCAAGCTTATCGGGAGCGCGTTCTGTGAACCACGCTGAGGTCTATGGATAAGGAGCTGTATAAAAATGTAATTATCTGCTGCTACTACTGTTATTATCAGAAGTTTTCTTCTGTGTACCCTTAAGTACCCCCAGAAAAAAGGACTGATTATTATTATTATTATTCTGTGCTCCTCATTCCCACAGGTTTTCCAGATGGACTTCATTGGGCTTTTTCCCAGCCAGAGCTGAGCTCCAGCACCTCTCAGGTGGGCGTCATTGCCATTCTAAGGGAATAAGGGAGAAGTTTGTGGTGAGCTGCAGCCCCTCTTTTGGTAGAAAAATAGCTCTTCTTCTTGTTATTTGGCACTTAACAAAGTGAGTTGTCCGTCACAGCTTCCCTGCTATTCTCCCATCCCCACCCCTACGTAAAAGGCTGCAAGCCTGCACCAGGAGCTCAGCGTGGTTTCTGCCCTAGAACTGCAATGTTGGAAGGGATCCTGGGGTTCATCTAGTCCAACCCCGAGCAGTGCAGGAATGGCCACAAAAGTACACCTGGCCTTCCAACCTCAAAGGGTAGCTTCATTGACTCGGAACCCCAAAATTTGGGACCCCCTCCCAACCTGTGCCCAAGTTTTGCAGTTGTTTTTTGCAGCCATCTTCCGCCTTTGCCGGGGCTCTGGAGCACTTCTTCAGAGCTCTGGAGGCATGTGAGGTGGGCAGCCGAGGGGTCTGCTGCTCTAGATGTAGTCCGATCCTCTGAATGCAAGGCTGAACTGCGCCCAGAGGGACTTGCACTGAAGCGAGTCAGTGACTCAAGCCCTTTGCTAACTGCACAGTAGCAAAACCATGCCCCCACCTCTCAGATTTATTATTTATTTGGGGACTGTGTTGTGGACTGAGCTTTACATCCTTATTCCACTTTGATTCTGATTTGATTTTAGGATGTCTTTTAATTGATTGCCTAATTTTATGGTAATATGTTATATATTTGACGTTAGCCGCTCTGAGCCCGGTTTTGGCCGGGGAGGGCAGGGTATAAATAAAATTTATTATTGTTACTGTTGTTAAGATTTTGATTTCTTAGGCACCTTGAGTTTATTTTGCAGTTTAAGAAGATAAGTTTTAAAAATGAATAAAGGACTGTTCCTTTATTAAGCTACCTGTTAGCTTCAACAGTTCTGTTTTAATTCTATCCTTGTTTTCCTTGTGTCAGCTTGCCCTTTTGATGTACTTAGAGCCTCTTATTTCCTTCTCCTTTTCAATGTTGTCTCTTATAATATGCCATTGTATGAAATGCATCCTCCTCCAATTAAATTTTCTTGGGGGGAAACCCCAGAAACTACATACATATTTGCCCTTTTCGAGTGGAGAGACACTCCAGCTCAATAGAGTTCTAGTGGGGAAAGCTGTTAAGGAACTTATCTCTCATTCTGAACAAGCAACGTGGGCTCCGGTTTGTAGCATGCCTTGTTTGACAATGGTTTCCTGGAAACTTTCTTTTCAAAACGCATATCCCCCCCAAGCATTGAAAGAACCAAAAGTATTCCATTGTTCCTGTAAATGAATATTACTGCATTAAAAACACATTATTCAAGCTGATCTCATTGAGACTAGCAGTGGGAACCAGAAAAATGCTCTCCACCCATCGCGGATCTCAATCCTAAAACATTTTAATCCGGAGTTATTTCAATGGGGCTTACTCTCAGATAAGTGTACTTATCTGTACTGGGGCTGTACCTACCTTGAATGACTTCTACCTAAGTCCTCAGGAGGTTGAACTGAAATTGGTGGGTGTTCCGGGTATAAGTTGTTTATAGTAACACGAGGTTCTGAAGGCAATAACCTACCGTATTTTTTGCTCTATAAGACTCACTTTTTCCCTCCTAAAAAGTAAGGGGAAATGCGTGTGCGTCTTATGGAGCGAATGCAGGCTGCACAGCTATCACAGAAGCCAGAACAGCAAGAGGGAGAGCTGTTTTCACTGCGCAGCGATCCCTCTTGCTGTTCTGGCTTCTGAGATTCAGAATATTTCTTTTCTTGTTTTCCTCCTCCAAAAACTAGGTGCGTTTTGTGGTCTGGTGCGTCTTATAGAGCAAAATATACGGTACCTTGTCAGAAGCTTGAAGTGGGTGGCGGAGGTGTTGGGCACCATCTGTATAAACCCCCAAAAGCCATATTTGGACCTTTTATTAGGACCAGCCTAAATGGAAACATAAAGTAGGTGTGGCGAACCTGAGGACCTCCATATATTTCTGGACTACAACTCCCATCATTCCTGGTCACTGGCTGCTATGAGTTGTAGTCCAACGACACGCCCATGCAGATGCAAGCTGCAAATCCTGTGCCCTTTGCACAAGCTTATCTTCTGCAGTGGAGCAAACCCACCGTCCCACAAATCCACCATTTTTATTTTGCCTCAGTTCCTTCCCCTTCTTTTCAGCAAAGCTTCCACGGAATTAGTATGGATGCTAGCGGCAAAAAAGCAGTGTTCAGATCTGAGTAGAAGGCAGACTCTATCCTTTCAAAAGGGGTCGGGGGCAGCCATTGCTCCTTTTCTCCCAAAATCCTAGGTGTGTAACCTGATATCTATGGCACCTGACAGATTCTAACAATTCCATCTTGGAATTGACTGCGAAAGCTGATCTCACAGCTGCAACATCCAATATTCATATTTGTATTTGTTTCCTCCCACCACTCATCCCTCTCCCTCCAACTTTGTGTAACATCTGAAGAACTTGACAGCTTGCCGGTATTTTGGTTGATCCTAACAAACACAGCGGGTGGCTAGGGCTTGCTGATCAGAAGGTCGGCGGTTCGAATCCCCACAATGGGGTGAGCTCCTGTTGCTCGGTCCCTGCTCCTGCCAACCTAGCAGTTCGAAAGCACATCAAAGTGCAAGTAGATAAATAGGTACCACTCCAGCGGGAAGGTAAATGGCGTTTCTGTGTGCTGCTCTGGTTCGCCAGAAGCGGCTTAGTCATGCTGGCCACATGACCCGGAAGCTGTACGCCGGCTCCCTCAGCCAGTAAAGCGAGATGAGCACCGCAACCCCAGAGTTGGTCATGACTGGTCAGGGGTCCCTTTACCTTTACTAACAAATGTATTGCCCAAATATTGATTATCTGTCCTGTTGTACACATTGAAAAGCATGTGACTCCCTCCCCCAAACAATCCTGGGAACTGTGATTTGTTAAGGGTGCTGGGAATTGCAGTTTTGTGAAGGGGTAAACTCCAGTTCCCGTGATTGTGGAGAAAGTCCATGGGCTTTAGATGTACAATGTGTATTCAGCAGTTGGATGGCAGCAGTTTCCTAGGATCTCGGGCAGAGAGAGACTTTTTCCCAGCACTCTTCTGCGAGTTCTTTTTCACTACAGAGGTGCTGGCAGACTGATCTGTATTTGCTAGCTCTATATAGAACAGGAATCACAGAATTGTAGCACTGGAAGGGACCCTGAGGATCATCTAGTCCAAGCCTCTGCAATGCCAGAATATGGGGATTGAACCTGCAACCTTAGCGTTTTATCAGCACCATGCTCTAACTAACTGACCTATCTAGGCCGACATACATGATCTGGGTGTCTTTCTTAAAAAAAATTAGAGATTATAGAGGCTTTGCTTTGCTTTTAATAAATCAATATGCAGTACCAATGTACAAATAAAATACAGAATAACAATAATATTAGCATTTTAAATAAATAATAATAAGCCACAAATTAGCCTCTCTCCCCAACATCCCAAAGCACTCTCACTAGCTTCAGTCAGGTACATATAAAATCTTGCTTAAATAAGAAAGACCTCGTGCTTCCTCCAAAAACAGGTTAAGTAGGCATGGCCTTTTGGTTTGAGAGAGATGGGAGTTGCAGCTTGATAAACTAGAGAGATACAGTGCACGTGATTTTTAATTATGTGTCCCTTTTCCTTTAGAAAATTCTTCCGCCACCTCACTGTTCTTCCAGACACTTGGCATCTTTTCAGTCCATAAATCCAATGCAAAATAAGACTCTTGCCTAGGCTTATACTGCAATAAGCCTGAAGGAACCAAACTGCACATTCAGAAATATCATATGGTAACAGTCCTCCTTTTTTTGGACTGTCATTCCAGAGTCAGGGTGGGGAGATTCACGGTTGCATGGTCTCTCACACCAAGACCTCCTAGTCTATGGAAAGCTCACATGGCAGAAAGGTGGTTTCTGGCTTTTTTAAAAAATGGAGTGGAAGTACAGATTTTCATGAAATGTATGACAGATGCTGCAATAATTTCTCTGCCCGAAAGGACAGAAGTAGTTTTAAAAAATCATGGAAACACCATCTGTCAAGGCAATTTACACAGTTTGGGCTAAATATAATTTCAAATCGGCTCTGGCGGTATCTGCATGTACATCTTGTTACTATAATGAACAAACTCATAATTAAGATGTTTTAAGGGATATTTCATACTGGGGAAAGGAGAATCTTAAGTGTTTTGGAGGAGTTTATCTCAGGCTAAACTCTCTTAACATTTGAACAAGCGGCGCAGAAAATGAATCCCTATAGTCCTAAATTGCTGGTTTTTTCTTCTTGAAATTAGCCATGCCATTATTGGAGAAATGGCCCAATTAGAGAGCGCAAGTGGAAAATTTATTGCTTTCCCTAACCAATAAAACACCGGCAGACAAGACAGATGGAATACTCTCAAGTATTCGATCTGATGGCATTTTCAGAATAAATAGGGAAGAGATAAACCTGGAACACCACTACCAAACACTGATAGTTGCTATATGGCGTACATGGAGGGGAGAATTCATTGTGATGAACTTAAAACACACCTTTTAAAGTTGTTACATCAGTGGTACGCAACTCCTTTGAATTAAAATTGACTTACGGTTTTTGTCTCATGATCATTGCTGGTGTTAACAGCCAACTACATACAATTATATGAAAATATATTGAAAATGCTAGGAAATCAGAAGTTTGGGCTGCTTTGCACCATTGGATATCTAACAAGTTGCTGGGTATTAACTTCCAGTTGATCCTTTCAAGAAGGCAAAGGCAATATGGACAAAAATGGTGCAGAGATGATAATTAATCTTATTTCTGTGAAAATACAGTACCACAGTGGAACAGAACTATGCCCTCCCCAGCTGATTGTGTACTTCTTACACAACAGCAAGAGAGAATGATAAATATAACAAATTTGTCAAAGAAAATGCCTTCTATCATTTGTGGGTTTTGCTGATATGCCTACTGTAAAAAAAATATTGAAGGTACAGTACGGCAATCACTATCAGTGTGATCTGGGGCAGGAGGACTGCCTGTTATCTGGGCCTCCTCTAGTGAGACTTCCCCATTTCCTGACCTGCTGCTCCCCATTTTGCATGTTTATATCATTTCTCTAAATTTGCAAATCCCCTTGGGTGTGTTGGCAGAATGGCAATTTATGAATGCATTGGAGAAATAATAGTAGATACAGACTCCAAGAGTATCCAGGCCTTCTTTGTATGTTCTGCACATTGAAGTTAGTAGTAGTAGTAGTAATAGTAGTATCTCCATCTGACTGGGTTGCCCCAGCCACTCTGGGCAGCTTCCAACAGAATATGAGAACACAGTAAAACATCAAACATTAAAATCTTCTCTATACAGGGCTGCCTTCAGATGTGTTCTAAAAGTTGTGTAGTTATTTATCTCCTTGACATCTGCTAGGAGGTGGGTGCCACTACCAAGAAGGCCCTCTGCCCGGTTTCCTGTAGCTTCACCTCTCAGTGAGGGAACTGTTGGAAAGCCCTCGGAGGTGGACCTCAAATGGGCATGGTCTGGACAGGTAAAAAGGTAAAGGACCCCTGGACAATTAAGTCCAGTCAAAGGCGACTATGGGGTTGCGGCGCTCATCTCACTTTTCAGGCTGAGGGAGCCGGCATTTGTCCACAGACAGCTTTCTGGGTCATGTGGCCAGCATGACTAAACCGCTTCTGGCGCAGCAGGACACCATGACGGAAGCCAGAGCACACGGAAACGCTGTTTACTTTCCCGCCGCCGTGGTACCTATTTATCTACTTGCACTGGTGTGCTTTCGAACTGCTAGGTTGGCAGGAGCTGGAGCAGAGCGACGGGAGCTCACCCCGTCGTGAGGATTCAAACCGCCAACCTTCTGATCGGCAAGCCCAAGAGGCTCAGTGGTTTAGACCACAGCGCCACCCGTGTCCCTGGACTGGACAATGGAGATGGAGACACTCCTTCAGCTACACAGAGCCGAGGCCGATTGGGGCTTCAAAGGTCAACACCAATCCTTTGAATTGTGGGGACCAGTGGGGACCCCTTCGCTCTTACCAGTAGCCCATAAAAGTACTGACTATCCATTCAGAGATCTGATATGGAAGCAAGGAATACACGCAAGAGCATTCTTTTCATGACTCGTTTCCAGGGCTCCAAATGAGTAACCTTGAAGGTTTAGGCAGCATTCCCCCCCCCCCCCCGGCAACATTTTCCCATGAGAAAATGTGGCAATGTGCTACCCTACAAAGCCATAGAAATCTTCACAAAGCTGCCATCTCGCCTCCCACTCATTTCCCCCCACTCCATACCCTCAGGCAGTACAGTAATGATAATTAGAGCTGCAAAATACCATTATGGTCTACGGCCCTTTCATCCTCAAGATATACAGCATGCATTACCCAAGGGTAGGGGAATCTAGCAAAAAGGGGAAGGGGTGTACAAATTGAGATTGAAAAGCACCAAGGCAAAACTCCCTAAGAAGCCTCAATGTACTTTTAAATTTTTATTTAAAACCCAAAACCAAGCACTTTCCATTAAGTCGTGCTGCTGTATTTAAACTGCAAATGCAGGCAGCTTCTGCTTGTGAAATGGGGGGGGGGGTGAACCGTTTCATCCTTTGCCTCTGGTGGCAAAATGTGTCAGCGTGGGTCTGCGGAGTCCCATAGTCCTGTCTAATGATGGATGGAACCCTTGGGAAGACATAATTTCTGGAGCATTAGACAAACACTTTGCTCCACCATTCCAACTTTTGCTTCCCCTTTATTTATCTTAGCAAACTGGAGGCCTGGAATCATGCAGATGCCCAGCCAAATTCGAATCAGCAGGGCTATTGGTTTTAGAGTCGTAATGGGTGGAATCCTGCAGGTATTTACCGTATTTTTTGCTCTATAAGACTCACTTTTTCCCTCCCAAAAAGTAAGGGGAAATGTGTGTGCGTCTTATGGAGCGAATACAGGCTGCGCAGCTATCCCAGAAGCCAGAACAGCAAGAGGGATCGCTGCGCGGGGGGGAGAGGTTTCAAATAAGGAGGGATGGCCGCTGAAAACGATGGAATACACAGAGCTAGCAGGCCTAACCAGCAAGGTAAGAGATCAAGAAGAACGGGTCTATTAAGAGGAATGGAAACTATTGCAAATTTGACAGTATAATGTAGATTAAGACATAATAGAAAAGGGAAAACTAGAATGAGGAAATAAAATTTGCAGCCAATTTTGGAAGTATGGTCGTACCTCAGAAGTCAAACGGAATCCATTCCAGAAGTCCGTTCCACTTCCAAAATGTTCGGAAACCAAAGCACAGCTTCTGATTGGCTGCAGGAAGCTCCTGCAGCCAATCTGAAGCCACGGAAGCCCTGTCGGACGTTCAGCTTCCAAAAATAGTTCGCAAACCGGCACAGTCACTTCCAGGGTTGCGGAGTTTGGGAGCCAAAACGTTCGCGAACTAAGCTGTTCAAAAATCAAGGTACGACTGTATGAGGAACCATGGAAGCAGAGGAAGGGAAGCCGTTGTATGTACTGTTGTATATTTAATGGTGGAAAATGTAAATCTAAAAGTTTAATGATTTTTTTTTAAAAAAAGGGGAATCCCAATGGTGTAAGAAAAAATCAAGTAGTTCACTAAAGGGGGAAAAAGCTTGTGCAGAAATTCTGCACATGCATCCTGCTGATATTGTTTAATGATTATGCCTACCATGATTAAGCCTACCATGCAGAGATGAAGAACAGCATACCCTCAACATTTCTCTGATGAAAATAGGGACATCCTATTCCATAATTTTACTATTTATACCCCACCCATCTCACTGGGTTGCCCCAGCCACTCTGGGTGGCTTCCAACATATATAAAAACATAATACAACATTAAACATTTCAAAACTTCCCTATACAGGTCTGCCTTCAGATGCCTGCTAAAGGTTATGTACGGTAGTTATCTCCTTGGTTCGGGGGTCACATAACTCCATACCCATCATTTCCCCAATGAAAATAGGGACGTCCTAGTGATGTATGGAAGTGAGAGCTGGACCATAAAGAAGGCTGATCGCCAAAGAACTGATGCTTTTGAATTATGGTGCTGGAGGAGACTCTTGAGAGTCCCATGGACTGCAAGAAGATCAAACCTCTCCATTCTGAAGGAAATCAGCCCTGAGTGCTCACTGGAAGGACAGATCCTGAAGCTGAGGCTCCAATACTTTGGCCACATCATGAGAAGAGAACACTCACTGGAAAAGACCCTGATGTTGGGAAAGATGGAGGGCACAAGGAGAAGGGGACGACAGAGGACGAGATGGTTGGACAGTGCTCTCGAAGCTACCAACATGAGTTTGACCAAACTGTGGGAGGCAGTGGAAGACAGGAGTGCCTGGCGTGCTCTGGTCCATGGGGTCACGAAGAGTTGGATACGACTAAACAACAACAACAAGGAAAAGTGGGACATTCCGGGATCAAATCAGAAACCGGGACGGCTTCTGTAAATCCAGGACTGTCCTTGGAAAACGGGGACATTTGGAGGCTCTGCATAGAAGAGCCTTGAAATTAAAGAAAAGTCGACAGCAAGCAATTGTCTGAAAGGCGAAAGCTGCAAGAAGGATCCAGAGGCAGTACCATGCGTGCCAACAGAACAGCTGATGTCGCTCCCTGCGGAGGAGATTCTTGAAGCACACGTCTCCCACGTCTTGCTCCTTAGAGGAGGAGGAAGAAGATACAGCACTAAACAAGCATGCAGTTGCCTCACCCCCTCAGTACAGTCTGTTTAGTTCTGCAGGCTAGGAAAGGTCACAACACAAACAGAATTATTACATTAAAAGTGTATGCTTAACCATATTTCCTGAAGACGCTATCGACGCCTGTGAAGAAAACACTTCCAACTGTTTGCTTTTTAACATTGAAGGTTGATGAGACTTTACATATGCATCTTGGTGTACTCAAAAGTAGCATTTTAAAAATAGCGCCCAGGATGTTTTGGCGTTGGTACAATGTGCTGAACAAATAACGGGTTCCGACGAAGAGTTTACGGTTAGTTGAATGCTAAACTGCAGATTTATGTGGGAATAAAGCCCATGCAACTCAACGGGCAAGCAGCCACGTATTCAGGTGCCAAAGCAGTTCTGTACAACAATTTGACAAACCACCTGCTTTTGGAACATATCTAGGGCTGCAAAAGCCAAAAGTTCTGCATCTGAAACACCTCACAGGCCATAATGCATGACTGGCAGATGGTATGTCTGACATTAGCATCCATCCTGGTGACCATGAGTTTTGAAGGATCCACTGGGGCCGACACTGTCAACCCTTTAAAAATACATATATATATTGTTACGAGAGTTGGGTGCCTCCCCCTCTCTCTGCCGTGTGGTGGCAAGAGGCCTTAAGCATTAAGAAATATAGTTTATTCACCTATTTGTACCTTCAGTCTGCATGGAGGTAGTCCAGATCTTACAGCATGGTCGTTTTAAGAGGGGCTTGTACCCCACAGCAATGCAGCCAGCCTTCAGCCTGCCTTCCCAAGATGGATCCCAATCTTTCTACCTCCATTTTCTTCCCAGAACACCCTGCTAAAAACTCCCTTTTCCTGTCCCCTCACAGCCAGTTACCATGGCAACCTTCCAAACCCTTGTCTCTGTTCACACCTCAGAGCAGGGAGAAAGGACAGTTCTCATCGCCCATGACCCTCAATGGCCTTTTTGTTTCTTAATGGCCCTAGCTTGGCCAGGTCATTTTGCATAGGCTAGCCCAGGAATTCCTCTGCAGCTTGTATTTCTCCCTTCACAACCCATAATAATAATAAAAAAACTACCATTTATTAATTTCAAGGTTGGGGGAGGGGTCCACCTGCCATATCTATCACAATAAAGGTAAAGGGACCCCTGACCATTAGGTCCAGTCGTGACCGACTCTGGGGTTGCGGCGCTTATCTCGCTTTATTGGCCGAGGGAGCTGGCGTACAGCTTCCGGGTCATGTGGCCAGCACGACTGAGCTGCTTCTGGCGAACCAGAGCAGTGCACGGAAACGCCGTTTACCTTCCCACCGGAGCGGTACCTATTTATCTACTTGCACTTTGACGTGCTTTCGAAATGCTAAGTTGGCAGGAGCTGGGACCGAGCAACGGAAGCTCACCCCATCGCGGGGATTCGAACCGCCGACCTTCTGATCGACAAGCCCTAGGCTCTGTGGTTTAACCCACAGCGCCACCCAGTCCCGTAATCTATCACAATATTTTACCTTTATTTTATTTATATCTCACCTTCTCCCCAAGGAGCTCAAGATGGCACACATGTTTTCTTTCTCCCACATTTTACCCCCACATTTTACAGCAACCATGACTGACAGCCAGGCAGAATTCCTTCTGCAAAGGAGTCTACGTACGCAGTGAACTTAAATGGCACAATCTATTCTGGTTACAGCGTTTGGAGGGGGCCCCTGTTTTTAATAAAACCTGGAGTTCTCTAATGGCAAAAACCTGGTCTTCTGCCCTGGTTTCCATGTCTACAACCTAATGACTTAAGGCTGATTCATATGACCAAAATTGGCTTTCTCACACAGCAGTCCAGAGCGTGGTACACATTCCTGCCCGGCTGTAGAAGGCAATCTTTGTTGTTGGTCCATTCACCTCATCAGTGAAGATGTTTTTTCTTCCTGACCATCTGCGACATGCAAATATGCGCAGAAGGTCGCTCTGGGGTCATGCAAATTGCCCCAAGGACTCTTCAGTTTCTGGAAGTGTCTGTAACACTTCCTGCCATAGCTTTCAGATGCAAAAGAGAAGGATGCAAAAATTTTAAAAGGGGGTTGTCACAATGTCTCACCTTACTGTGATGAGCTGCCCCTGCCCCAGATCTTTTTGCACTGGCCTTCCACCAGCCCTTTGCAGCTGCCCATAGTAACATCAGGAAAGGGATGCGGGTGGCGCTGTGGTCTAAACCATGGAGCCTCTGGGGCTCGCTGATCAGAAGGTCAGTGGTTCAAATCCCCAGGGTGAGCTCCAGTTGCTCTGTCCCAGCTCCTGCCAACCTAGCAGTCCGAAAGCATACCAGCACAAGTAGATAAATAGGTACCACTGTGGTGGGAAGGTAAACGCCGTTTCCATGCGCTCTGGCTTCCATCATGGTGTCCCATTGCGCCAGAAGTGGTTAGTCATGCTGGCCACATGACCCAGAAAGCCGTCTGTGGACAAACGCCGGCTCCCTCAGCCTGAAAGCGAGATGAGCGCTGCACCCCATAGTCGCCTTTGACTGGTCTTACTGTCCAGAGGTCCTTTACCTTTTACCTTTACCTTTCACATCAGGAAACGGTCCAGATCTCACCTTTCAAATCCTTATTTGGTGGCCATTTTCAGAAGAAAACCTAAAAAAGGAACGGTTTTGTTTTTTTCCATTAAAGCTGCTAATTTAATGCCGATGGCATGAATAATGAACAGGACTGGTTTCAGCTAAATGAAGTGGAGCACAGATTCCTACGCAGTTCTGCCAACGCACTTCAGCTCTGACCCCTAGCCACCTTTCCACAGCCTTCCTCCTGAGCCTCTTGCATGGAAACAGGAGTAGCTCTATGAGCCGGTGAGAGCAACTAAAGAGAAATGGCAAAGAGGGATTGCAGCAAGAAAAGCCAGGAGCGGAATTCTGCCTGTATAGACACCATACATTTAAAGTACATTCCCCTGCTCAAGAATTGTGGGAACTATAGTTTGTTAAGGGTGTTGGGAATTATAGCTCTTTGATGGATAAATGACAGCTTCCAGGATTAGGGTGGGAGAGAATGTGCTTTATCTGTATTTTGTGTACACCGTGCCATGTTTTGAGGAGGTAAAACTGTGTGTGTCCCCCTCCGCTGTTAAGCCTAAACACAATATACCTTCCTTATTTTTACTGGTGTTATAGATTGGGGAGGACCCCTTAAACCATAGAAATTAATAAATAGTGGAATTTTGATTAATTGAGATATGGATGAAAGCAGAAGCTGTAGAACAGGCATAGGCTAACTCGGCCCGCCAGATGTTTTGGGACTACAACTCCCATCATCTCTGACCACTGGTCCTGTTAGCTAGGGATGATGGGAATTGTAGTCCGAAAACATCTGGCGGGCCGAGTTTGCCTATGCCTGCTGTAGAACTCTGCTAGGCAAGGCTAGCTTATGCAAACCAGTCTAGAGAAGATGACAAAATGGATTGATGGGCCATCTTAGATGAATCCTTTGGGCTTAGAAGACAGGAAAAGAGAGTTTTTAAGCAAGGTGTGCTGGCAAGAAGAAGGTGGGGAAAAGGTTGAGATCCATCTTGGGCAGGCTGCAAGAGCCCCTCTTGAAATGACCAGACTGTAAGTTCTGGACTTCCTCCATGCAGGCTGAAGGTGTAAATAGGTAAACAAACCATATTTTTTAAGGCTTACAACAGTCTCTGCCATGTCTCAATTCTCCGAAGGAGTACAGGCTCTAGGTGAGCGTCTGGAACTCCCTGGAATATTGCAGAGAGTGGGGGGTGTCCCCAAACATTTGCAAGACTATTATTAATTTCTAAGCTGCCTTTCAGCCCTGGAGGTGATCAAGATGCTTACAACCTGGTTAAGGCACAACCATCTTATAAAAACAGCAGCAAAAATTCTCCTTGCCTTCAGAATTGTAGAGAAGCTTCCTACAATCGTCTTTGCTGCCCACTTAAAAACAAGCATTGATGGGCCCATCCCCAAGGAGCCCATTCAAAATCCTGGCCGCCTCTGAAACATCATGAAGGTCTCCCTTCCAATGGCTGGCAAGGGGAATGAAGGACTCTGGTCCTCGGCGGTTGTAGATCTTTAAAGGCCAAAGACAACAGATTGGACTGAGCCCAGGAGCAAATTGGTAGCAAGAGAAGCCAACAGACGATCTGCACAGGCAGTTCCATTGCAGCTGAATTCTGGATCAAACACTCGGACTGCCTTCAAGCCCCTTACAATAATCTAATCTTTGGGGGTTTTTAAGTGTCCCTCTCAGTGCTAGAAGTATTTGTTTTCTGTGAAAATGCTTGATCTGTTTAAAAAAATAAAAATGCTGGAGGTGGCAACAGAGGAGGACAGGAAAACTGGTTTGACTGACGGCGAGTGTGGCTGTGAACTCGAGAAGTGGGTGTTTGGCTTAGCAGCCAGTCACTTAGATCTCCTCAGTTCCCCAGGAGCCTTTTTAGTTTGTAAGGCTAATCTTATAATTCTCCCCCTCCCCTTGCGTGTGGGAGAGCAGTGCACGCTGGTGTGAAACTTCTGCAGCCCCTGCCTTCCTACGTATCGTGTGCACGCGCAGAGTGCACAGTCCATGTGTTAACTACAAAGTAACTGAGACATAGACAACAATCTATGTATACCAGGGGTCAGCAAACTTTTTCAGCAGGGGGCAAGTCCACTGTCCCTCAGACCTTGTGGGGGGCCGGACTATATGTTGCCTTGATTATGACCCGCATTTTTTGGGAAAAAAACCTTATTGGGACCAACCCCAACGTTGCCCAAATGTGATTGGGGGGGGGGTTGTTCCCTCATACACCCACGCTGCATCCTTTGTGTTTTACGCGTTGACAGTTATTGTTTCTCTCATAAGGCGGGCTGGGGGGCTGAGGTAAGCGCGCCATTCCTGTTCATACCTGTCAACCGTCCCTTATTTGGCGGGAAACTCCCTTATCCCAGCGCCGTGTCCTGCTGCTGTCCCTTATTGATGATGTCCCTTAAATTTCCCGGGTTTCAAAGGAAGCAGCTCCTCTCCCTCCCTCCCTGCCGGCCAGGGAGGAGGGAGGTTCCAACTATGTTGCTTGGCTGCGTTGCTCACCCAATAAGGAGTCTAAGAACGACTGGGGGGTGGAGCTTGCATGCCTTGTGCCGATCAAATCGGCTGCGTTGCCTGGGGACTCGCCTTTGCTCAGCGCTTCCCAGCGGAGAGGTGACAGTGGTTTTCCTTGCTGCATCCCCTTTGCCGGGTTGCTGCACTGTGGGAACCACCGCTTGAGGCTTCGTTTGGCTGCTGGCTGGGCTTTCTGCCTTTGGCTTGGAGGGGCTCAGAAGCTGAACATAACTGTGCCCAGAAAATCCCTTATTTTGGCTGCTGATCCCTTATTTTCAAGGCTGCTGGTCCCTTATTTTCAAATCTGTAAGTTGACAGCTATGTTCCTGTCAGCCCTGGAGAGTGTGTGCGCATGCGTGGGTGAAGGGAAAAGCCGTTGGCCACACTAAGTCAGGCCGGTGCCGCTCAAGCAAAAACTTTCTTTTCCCTGCGTGAGGGAAGACGAGGCGGCAGCGGCTATTTACCTTTCCATGGCTCACACCGTGTAGCTAACAAGCGGCCTCCCCAGCAGAGCGCAGAACGGATTCGGAGTGCAGCCGCCCAGGCACTCCCCACTTCCTATGGCAGGGAGCACCACCGCCACTGACACCTGTGGGTGTCGCTCCTGAGGCGCCTCTGAGCCCCTGCCGCCACAACTGCCCTTCCTGAGGGCAGTTGCCGGCAGCTCCATGGTGGAAATCCAAACTGTGGCTCCTTTTCCTTCTTCCCCACCCTGGAAGAAAAGATTGCTGTGCATGCGTGATGCATGAAGAAGGGGCTTATCTCGAGCAGCCGCCTGCCTCACTTTTGACCCCCAAGCCTGGCTGAGTCGCAAAAACTATTGTGTGTGTGTGCTACGGTGGCTTCCTGGATTCCCAGACCATCCACGGGCCGGATCTAGAAAGCAATTGGGCCTGATCTGGCCTGCGGACCTTAGTTTGTCAACCCATGCTGTATACTAAGATGGGTGTGAGCTGCGGGGTGTGTGTGTGTGTGTGTGTGTGTGTGTGTGTGTGTATGCGTCTGTGGCTTCCTCTATTACTCTTTTAAAAAATCCTCACTCCAAATAAAGATTTTTTTGGCCTCTTTCAAGATGCCTCTTGTGTGAATCTTGACTGTAACACTCCTCTGCGTTGGTGTTGTCAAAATCCCACTTCTAAGGAATTTCTCCCACTCTACGTGGGCTTCTAAATGTCATGGAACATGACTCTAAGCAGGAAAGCATGTCCCGCATGCACATACTGTACAAAGAGAATCATAGAATCGTAGAATTGTAGAGTTGGAAGGGATCCTAAGGATCATCTAGTCCAACCCCCTGCAATGCAGGAATATGCAGCTGTCCCGTTCAGGGATCGAACCTGCAACCTTGGCGTTATCAGCCCAGGTCTTTTACAGCGATGCATGCTTTGCTTGCAAATTATAATCACATACCACTGCTTTTTAATTTTCCTTTTCAAAAAGCCCTGCCCTACAAACCATGCTTTTAAAATATCATTTGCATTTTGCAAATGCCATAGCAGTTTGCACAGCATGGTTATTGCAGTCCTATCCATGTCTACTCAGATGTAAATTCTACCAAATTCAATGGGGCTTACTTCCAAGAAAGTGGGGATAGGATCGCAGCCTAAATATTTGAGAACCTGAGGAGTCTCCACTATGCAAATTTCTCCCATCCCTGCTTCCCAGGGAGTTGCAAAAGATAATAAACCTCAAAGACCTTGAAATCTCCAAGAGTTGCAGTTGTTAGGATATTTAATATGTACCAAGGGGCCTTTTCTAAGTCAGGAAAAGGCATTTCACATTCTGGCACCTTCCTTCTTTTGCATCATATTCAGCGTAGGCATTGGTCATTATCAGGAAGTGACTCCCCCAGTTTACAGCTGGCAACACCACATGTGCCAATCTGATTCCAGCCAAGACAGCCAGCCGTTCATGCCCAGAAGGACACAAGGAAAATGGACTTTGACTACAATCCTATGCTAGGGTTGCCATATGCCCGGGGAAATCAGGACGTATGGCAACCCATGTCAGAAGTCTGTATTTTGCCAAATCTCCTTTAAAATAGCTCATAAAAACCCCCTATCCTATGTAGACTTAGCTGGGAGTAAGTCCCATTGAACTCTATGGGGCTGACTTCTCAGTAAAGATATCTAAGACTGCCCTGTTACTTGCTTGCACATTTTCCTGGAATTTTATTTCTTTTCCAAAGTGGCATTTTGACTAGTTTTGCAAAGCAGTTTGCCAATAAATTTCAGAGCTTATAAAGGAGAACTAGCCTTCCTACCCACCTGTTTTATAACGCTGTTCCATGTTAATAAATGGCTGTCCGAACCAGACTGCCTGGGTAAATAAATGGTTACCTAAACCTTAAAGACTGAAATACATAGTGAAGAACTGGGAGATAAATGTGGTGAATTGCCGCCAGAGTAAAATGAAGACATGAACAGAAAGAAGGAACGCTTGCTCATATCCAAATGCACATTCAAACTTCTTGAATGGTACAGTACTTGTATCCCACGTTAAACTATGTATATGTTCCATTCATTATGAATGGTGTATGCAATCTTCTCCTTTTTCCAATTTGTTATACTTGAAATCTATCATCTACAGCAAAAAGAGCTTTTTGACTCGCATACCCTCCAACAGGGACATGGGTGGCGCTGTGGTCTAAACCACTGAGCTTGCTGATAAGAAAGTTGGCGGTTCGAATCCCCGCAACAGGGTGAGCCCCCGTTGTTTGGTCCCTGCTCCTGCCAACCTAGCAGTTCGAAAGCATGTCAAAGTGCAAGTAGATAAAGAGGTAACACTCCGGAGGGAAGGTAAACGGCGTTTCCGTGCGCTGCTCTGGTCTGCCAGAAGCGGCTTAGTCATGCTGGCCACATGACCCGGAAGCTGTCTGAGGACAAACTCCGGCTCCCTCAGCCTATAGAGCGAGAGTCATCCGCGACTGGACCTAACGGTCAGGGGTACCTTTACCTTTACCCTCCAACAATTAATGCAATAGGGACGTCCTATTTCGAACCTAGCAGTTTGAAAGCACGTCAAAGTGCAAGTAGATAAATAGGTACCGCTCCGGCGGGAAGGTAAACGGCGTTTCTGGTTCACCAGAAGCGGCTTAGTCGTGCTGGCCACATGACCCGGAAGCTGTACACCAGCTCCCTCGGCCAATAAAGCGAGATGAGCGCCGCAACCCCAGAGTTGGCCACGACTGGACCTAATGGTCAGGGGTCCCTTTACCCTTTACCTTTAAGGGGTAAACTACAGTTTCCAGAATTCTTTGCGGGAAGCCCTGTGCTTTCAGCGTATTGTGCATATGCAGCCTATAACCCATTGGTAGAAACTGTTGCGCAAGTGCTAGTGGAAGATCATAGGAGAAAGTATCTGCAACTTGCATCGCTGTGTGCCTGCCGCAACAAGCCCACAAATCACCCGCTGGAAAACAAGCTCATTGCAAAGGAATCCTTCATGTCTGGGGGTGCAAACCGTTCCCGATAGGAAGGTGCTTGCAGCAGCGACTGCCAAACCCCAAGCACAACGTGTGCCTTCCATTCTTTCAGAGAGCTGCTTTTAGTGTATTTTTGGTCTCTGCGGAAGCCGCCCAGAGCGGCTGGGGAAACCCAGCCAGATGGGCGGGGTACAAATAATAAATTATTATTATTATTATTATTATTATTATTATTATTATTATTATTCCAGCCATTGGACCTTGCGCTGCAAGAGGGAACCACACGATGCACGCCAGCCATAGAACTTGCTTTGACAAGTATAAGGGATTGAAACAGTTAAAGGGATAAACTTGGATCTAAAGATCCTCTGCACAAGTAGAAAGAGGCTTCTTGCCTCGCAGAGGGTTGGACTGGATGACCCTCATCTCCCTTCTAACTCTACAAGTTGATGGTTCTCTTATTCTTTGATCACCAGTTTTTGCCACTCCCCGCTTCCAACTGCTTTGAAGTTGGGGCTGTCGACAGGGATGCCACCAAAGGGGGCAACACTTTGGGGATGGAACAAGGGCACAGGCCAGCTCCCTTGTGCTAAAATTATGGTTTTAATGGGGGTGGAGTTTTAACTTGGGTAAGGGACGCGGGTGGCGCTGTGGTCAAAACCACTGAGCCTCTTGGGCTTGCTGATCGGAAGGTTGGCGGTTCAAATCCCCAAGATGGAGTGAGCTCCCGTTGCTCTGTGCCAGCTCCTGCCAACCTAGCAGTTCGAAAGCATGCCAGCGCAAGTAGATAAATAGGTACGTCTGTGGAGGGAAGGTAAACGGCGTTTCTGTGTGCTCTGGTTTCCGTCACGGTGTTCTGTTGCACCAGAAGCGGTTTAGTCAGGCTGGCCACATGACCCGGAAAGCTGTCTGTGGACAAACACGGGCTCCCTCGGCCTGAAAGCGAGATGAGTGCTGCAACCCCATAGTCCCCTTTGACTGGACTAAACTGTCCAGGGATCCTTTACCTTTTTCTTTTCTTACCTTTTTAACTTCGGTGGCTGTTGTTTGTTTGGGGAGGGTTGTTTTTTAAGTGTTCTTAAGTGTTATGTGTTACCAGTAATTTGTATTTTGTATTTTTTTTGTTTTATACGACTGATTAATATTCTACAGACTTTTAAATGTGTTTGTAGGGTGGGAAGGTTGTTCAGTGTTTTGTTTTGTTTTGTTTTGTTTTGTTTTGTTTTGTTTTGTTTAACTATTTACTTGTGTTTTTAGCTTGTATTTTTATCCAGTGAACTGTGCTGAGATATTGTGAAAAGGGTGGAATAATAATAATAAGTGCTTTTTTTCTAAAATAATGTTTAGGGGTACTCTCATTTTGACTCAAGAAAATCACCATTTTGTAGTTCAAATCAGGGGAAATAGATACAGTAAATGGACAAAAGTACAAAGATTCACAAAATGTTTAGGGGTATGTGTACATCTGTGTATCCTCAGAAAAAAAGCACTGATGATGATGTTGATGATGATGATGATGATGATAATGCAATGTTTTCCCACGCCCCAATGCCCACCCTCCCCAACCCTCAGGAGCCGGGAGCCAATACACCCCAGTTCTCTGTGGTCAGGATCCAGGTTACGGAATCCAGAGAAAAATTAGCAACCTATTCTGTGCAAACAGTTATGCAAAGGGCAGGAGCAAATGGAAGAACTCTGGATTTCTGTTGATGGTTTTTCCACAACACTCCAAGTCCGAAACAGCCCTTGTATGAGTAGATGAGGCTTTCCATTTCTAGAAGAGCACTTTTGGACCGAAGCCAGAATGTCTGTCTGTTCAAAACCAGCTAAGTATATGAAGAAAGGGAGAGGAGGTGTGAAAAGCATTGGTGTCACTGTTAGATTGCGATTGTCTAAGGGCAAATATATATGTTATAATTAGGGGAGACTGTGGGAAGATTATTATTTTTATAAGTCATTGAAATCCCAAATGTCAGTAAAGGAAAAGGTGAAAAATGGCAAATTAACATCCCCCCCAAAGGAACTGGAACTCTTAAATACCAGAAATGGTTGTTTCTGGGTACCATTTACAATTGAGTTAATGGCACTCCAACAGTGCCCTGTTTCAAATGGTGATACTTTGAATTTTGATGATTATTCCCCACTTTTTCCTCAAGACTGCAATTGTGCTCCTCTAGAAAGAGGACCTTGCCAACAAAGGTCCCTATAGTTAAAGCTATGGTTTTCCCAGTAGTGAGAAGTGAGAGCTGGACATAAAGAAGGCTGAATGCCAAAGAATTGATGCTTTTGAATTATGGTGCTGGAGGAGACTCTTGAGAGTCCCATGGACTGCAAGAAGATCAAACCTATCCATTCTTAAGGAAATCAGCCCTGAGTGCTCACTGGAAGGACAGATCCTGAAGCTGAGGCTCCAATACCTTGGCCACCTCATGAGAAGAGAAGACTCACTGGAAAAGACCCTGATGTTGGGAAAGATGGAGGGCGCAAGGAGAAGGGGACGACAGAGGACGGGATGGTTGGACAGTGTTTTCGAAGCTACTAACATGAGTTTGACCAAACTGCAGGAGGCAGTGGAAGACAGGAGTGCCTGACGTGCTCTGGTCCATGGGGTCACGACTAAACAACTAAACAACAAGAAAGAGGTAGAATATATACCGTATTTTTCCATGTATAAGACATGGGGCTTTTTTTACCAAAAAATTAGGTTTAAAATTGGGACTCATCTTATAAAAGGGTAGTGCTGAGGGATGTTTTCTTAATTTGGAGTCCCAAAAAATAGGGGGCATCTTATACATGGGTGTCTTATAGACGGAAAAATACAGTAACTTTGGTTTTGACCATAAGTATTAAACTAGGAATCCACAAAAGGGAAAAGTACTGAATGGGGATTTGGGGGGGGGGGTGGCTTGTCTGTTAATATATGGAAGTGTTTTGTATTCTGTCATTCCTCTACATGTTTGACAGTGTTAGATTCAATGAAAACTTTATTATTATCATGCAAAATTATTTCCCCCCCCCCAGGTCTGTGAGATGAATCATTTCCTCATATTGATATACAGATTAAATAAATATAAACTGACCGAGGACAGGTTGCCCTCTGTAGATTCATACACCAATAATAAGAGGATAACAGGAATATAATCCCCCTCCCTACTTGGACTAGCAAGTCCTGCTGTGGCCAAATGGGCCTTTTCAGCAAATTTGTGGCAACAGGAACAAAGGTTACCCAATAAAACAGCTTTGAGGTTATGCTGGGTGGGCAAAATGATATAGCTGAGGCATTAGAGACCTTGACTAAACATGACTGCTTTACTCCTTCTCACAAAGTACCTCTTCTTCTTCTTCTTCTTCTTCTTCTTCTTCTTCTTCTTCTTCTTCTTCTTCTTCCTCCTCCTCCTCCTCCTCCTCCTCCTCCTCCCTAGTTTCCACCCCACCATTTGCTATTCAGAAAATGAAAATAACTAGTCAAATACTTTCAAGTAGGGTTATTATTTGGACAGCACTATTCTAACACTACGTCCGTTTTTTTATGTAAAGTAATGTATTTCTCATGGCCTTGTGAAAATCGTAACTGTAATTTTGCCGGTGAATCTTTTGTGTCTGGGTAGGATTGGAATTCTAGTCGATAACTCTTTGGTTTCTTTTTCCCCAGTAACGATCAAATGTTGGTGGTGAATCGACATGCGTTTTCAAAGTTGGCCAAGTAAAACTCAATAAAAATACAGCATGTGTCCTAACGTATATGGATTTATTCAGATTTCATTCTTTGAGGTACAATAAAATGAAAACATGACAACTCTTTATATTGATGGTGCTAAGCCTTAAAAACCCCATCTGAAGTCTTGCATTTGTTTATTTTTACAAGTTTTAATAGGTTTGTGAAACTTACCTTTTCTCATGTTAGATGAAAGTTTGTTATGTTAATATGTCCAAACACCAGGAAGAACTTTCTGATTCTCACAAGAGGTGGCAGATTCTCCTTCCTTGGATGTTTTTAAGCAGAAGTTGGTCATCTGTCATGTATGATCTAGTTGAGATTCCTGCATTGCAGGGGGTTAGACTAGAGGACCCTTGGGTCCCTTCCAAATCTATGATTCTATGAAGAGACATTGAACTATTATTCAAATGAATAATGGGCAACTTTAGGCCCTCCAGACATTGGACTACAAACTCCCATCATTCCTGACCATTGGCCATGCTAGCTGAAGCTGATGGACAGGAGTCCAGCAACATCCTTCTTCTAACCGCCAGTGCTAGTTCTTAAAGATAAAACTGGATAAACCTGACTATTTCTAGGGCATCAGATATAGCCTTCGCTGGAGGCTGGATGGCAGGCCGGATGGATTAAAGGGATTTCATTGCTGCTGTTGACATTAACAGGGAAAACATAAGCAGGCAATATCTGTGATGATTTAAATGAGGAAGAAATATACCATTGAACAGATTGTTTTGTAATCCTGATGGGTTCACCAGCAGGTAATAGAGAGCCAGTGTGGTCCACAGTGCTGTGTTGGATTGGAGAGGCTTGTGTTCAAATTCTCATTTCAGAAATAAAGCTTCCAGGGTGGCTTCTGGGTCCGTTGTCCTCTTTCCTGGCCCAGCAGACCTCACAGAGTTGTTGAGAAGATGAAATCAGACATGTTTCTTTTTCACTGCCTTCAGCTCTTTCAAGGAAAGGCGGAGTTCAAGTGTAGCAAATAATTGTTGGGAACAAAATAGACCGTAACGTCATCACCTGCATGCTGGAATTGATTTGCTTTTTGCTATGTTATAAGAATTTTAATGTCTTATATATATAAAGACAAATATATGAATGTTCATAAATGTACCAAGCAAGCAAATACATAAATGTATAGACCACACGTCTGAGAACCACAGAAAAGGTCCTGAGACCATTTGTCTCTTCCAAATTGACCTCAAATATTCGGTGGCGCTGTGGGTTAAACCATAGAGCCTAGGACTTGCCAATCAGAAGGTTGGCAGTTCGAATCCCCGCGACGGGGTGAGCTCCCGTTGCTCAGTCCTGCTCCTGCCAACCTAGCAGTTCGAAAGCACGTCAAAGTGCAAGTAGATAAATAGGTACTGCTCCAGCGGGAAGGTAAACGGCATTTCCGTGCGCTGCTCTGGTTCATCAGAAGCGGCTTAGTCATGCTGGCCACATGACCCGGAAGCTGTACACTGGCTCCCTCGGCCAATAAAGCGAGATGAGCACCGCAACCCCAGAGTCGGTCACGACTGGACCTAATGGTCAGGGGTCCCTTTACCTTTATTCCTCTGCAAGGTCGAAGGAAATGGGAAGCCTCCCCATTGTTTCTTTGCTCACAAATCCTGTCTCATGGGCACATTTAAGGTATGAATAGGGTGAGCCTGTGACCTGGATTCAGGAACTGAGTAGTTATCATAACAAAAGAGTGGCCAGGATGCCGAGGTAATCCTTATCAGGTAACCGGGCAGACAGGATAAAAACAACGCACTCAGATTTCTGTTGTAGTCCGCCCCTTCTCTGAAGTAAGTATGATGTTTCTGGGGGTGCTCTTGGGCTCCAGGGTGGGCAGTTCAAAAGTCTGTATAAGGGCAGGCACACCTTTGTTCTGGGTCTTCCTCCTTCCTGCGTGTGAGGGGAGCACCCTGTTGCAACATCAGGCTTACTAGCTGCTTTGCGTCTCAATACACCGGTACCTTGGGTTACATTCGCTTCAAGTTACATACGCTTCAGGTTACATACTCCGCTAACCCAGAAATAGTGCTTCAGGTTAAGAACTTTGCTTCAGGATGAGAACAGAAATCGTGCTCCAGTGGCGCGGCAGCAGCAGGAGGCCCCATTAGCTAAAGTGGTGCTTCAGATTAAGAACAGTTTCAGGTTAAGAATGGACCTCCAGAACGAATTAAGTACTTAACCCGAGGTACCACTGTATTCTCTGGTTGGCCTCTGTTATTTTCTCCTACTGATGGAAAACCTACATAGGACTCTATAAGGGCTCTTGTGTACCCCATAAGAGAAAGGGAGCAGTTTTTGTTGACAACAGCTATGTGGGAGGAATCCAAAGTATACTTTTATGGAGTGATTTCTAACATTTATATTGTCTTTCGGGGGTAGGAGGACTTTTTATGTGTGTCTGAGTGCCGTGTTTCTTTCCATACCTTCCGGAATGCCCCTATTTCCCTTGCCAGCGCCAGCGCTGGCAAGCTCAGGAAAGAGGATGAACCGGCGCTTGTCCCGAGTTACGACTGTGGCGGTGGTTGCGGCATCTCTATGGTCACCAGCGGTGGCGGCCTCCTCCTTTGTACAGAACAACAAACCCGTGTTGCAACCTTAACACAACAAACAATACAAGCAACACGCAGACCGGTATTCTAGATAGCACTGTAATTCTTATTGCATAACATACATGATTTAGTAACAAAAACAAAATGTGTGCACTTGTAAATTCTCTAATATATTTGAAATCAATTGAACACACGTCTGTCAATCTTTGAAAGTCCGTAGAAGTATAATAAGTCTATGGTTGAAACAAAGTAATAGAAGTACCGTATTTTTCGCTCTATAGGACGCACTTTTTCCCCTCCAAAAATGAAGGGGAAATGTGTGTGCGTCCTATGGAGCAAATGCAGGCTTTCGCTGAAGCCTGGAGAGCGAGAGGGGTCGGTGCGAAGCTATCCGCAAGCCTGCAGCCCGAAGCCCGGGGAGAGCAGCGCTGCGCACCCCGGGCTTTGGGCAGCTATCCGCAAGCCTTCGGAGCCTGGCAGGAGTTCCCACCGGGCTCAGAAGGCTTGCGGATAGCACAACCTCGCCATCGCTCCCAGACCCATTCTGGGGGCTGGGGTCGGGGGAAGTTCGGGCTTCCCCCGCCCTCAGCCCGGCAAGCTCCCGGCAAGCTCCACCTGCCTTTAGCAGATGCTGGAGAGCGGGTGAGGAGAAGAAAGAGAAGCTGCAGCGGCCAAGGCCCAGCCCTGTGTGACGCACCAGCTCTGAGGGGCAGGCAGAGGATAGGGCCACCCTAGGCAAGAAAAAAGGGGGAGTGAAAGGGAATGTTGGAGGGTATGCAGCCGCATAGGTAGTAGCACCATTGAAAAGTGTTTGGTGAAAAATGGCGCATGCGTCCAGCGTTGTTATGTACTGAGTTGAATAGGATCCAAAATGCAGCAGCCTGATTGGTCCTAGAACAATAGGATTCAGAATGCAGCAGTCTGATTGGTCCTAGAACAATAGGACCCAGAATGCAGCAGTCTGATTGGTCCACAGGAGCCACCCAATCCAGCTCCAGATGGAAGGGAATCCGCAACCTGATTGGCCTACAGGAGAATCCCGGAATTAGCCAATCATGTAGAGCCCATTGTGTAAATAATGTATATAAGGCAGACATTCTGGGGGAACTTCCATTCCTCCTCACCACTATGAGCTGAATAAAGAGCATGAAATCCACTCTCGACTCCGAGTCTATTTCAATTTCTGTACAAGTAATCCTAATCTATGAGTAGAAAGAAAGAGACCACCATGACTCAGGTCATCATTATTATCTTGCTTTTCCAAATCAACTCGTTTGCCTTCGTTATGCAGACCATTGCTACCGGTTCAGCATTCAACCAGCCTAACCAAATATCAGAATGAGCCCACGTGAAGCGGCTCCTCAGTGCTCCCCAGTGTCAGGGACTAGAAAGTGAGTCTGTCTAGCAACAAAAATCCTTCCATTTTCCTCCTGCAGGCTTACTACAGTCTCCAAATAGCTTCAGCTCAGGCCCAAACACCACAATCTAACCCTTGAGGGGGTGTTAAAGAGAACACAATGTGTCATGCTGCTATATTTACCCTTGGTTAATTGTTAGATTTGCATTGGTGACTGGAGAGGAAGAGAAGGGCCCAAATGGGTCATTGTTAAAAATGTCATGAGGAAAATATCCCACGAGGATTTCAGGGATAAACAAGAGTCATATAAGGAGCACAGCATTTTTAAAACTAACAAGATCGTCTACTGGTAGAATGAGGTATCTGTAGAATGCATATTGGCTTCACAAACACGTATTTCTTTAAAGCACGATCAAAGCACATTCTTCTCCATAAAGAATTCTGAGCATTGTAATTTACCCTTTGTAGAGTTGCAATGCCTAGAAGATTTGAACAAACTACAGTGCTCAGAATTCTTTACCGAATTTCCCCCATCCCAGAATGTATTTCTTTTTTTTCTTCCCCCCCCTGTAAATATTTTTAAATTAATTTTCCACAGTTATGTTTTCACAATTAAAAACAGAAATTAATTCACATTTCTACCAGATTAGATTTATACAAATACATTTTCACGAACCTTCTCTTTGAGATTCTTTGAATGGACTTCCCTCCATACCCTCTTCTGGATCCTTATATATATCAACCAAATTCTTGTGCATTTCCATACTTATACTTTTCCAATTACTATTTCCCTTACGGTAATTTTTTTCTAATTTTCTGCTAGTTGCAAGCGTTTACTTAAAATCCTGCCAATGTGTCATTCTGTTTACAGTATTTTTGCACATAAACAATGAACGATTCCCACTCTTTTTAAAACTTCTCGTTATCATAGTCTCTGAGCTTTGCCATTAGTTTTGCCATTTCTGCATAATCCATTAGCTTGATTTGCCATTCTTCTTTCGTCGGTCTCCTTTCTTCCTTCCACCTTTGGGCTAACAGTATTTGGGTGGCTGTTGTAGCATACATAAATATTTTCTTCTGTTCTTTAGGGAGTTCAGTTCCTATCAATCCAAGTAAAAAGGCTTCTGGTTTTCTAACAAAAGTTATTAAAAAAAATTCCTTCAGTTCATTATAAATCATTTCCCAGAAGCTTTAATAATCTTACATTCCCACCACATATGATGGAATGTACCCTCCTTTTCTCTGCATTTCCAACACTTTTTAGAACTTGTTCTATACATTTTAGCAAACACAAATCTCTTTAAAGCACAATCAAAGCACATTCTTCTCTGTAAAAAATTCTGAGCACCGTAGTTCACCCTTCATAAAGTTGCAATGTCTAGCAGCTTTGAACAAACTACCGTGCTTACAATTCTTTACAGAATTTCCCCAAACCCAGAATGGATTATAAATACAGATTGTAAGACATGATTGTGGCACTAGCTCATCAGGAAAAGTACGGTACTACTGAGACTTTCCCAAACTCTTGTCTCTTTCATGACAAGTTTCTCGCTTGCGGTGCCTCTCCTATGTTTTGATGTAAGGAAGAACATAAAAACTCAGATGGAATAAATCAATTAAAGCTTAGCCTGCCCATCGCCACACAGCTCTACTGGGAACAGCAACTGTCGCTAGAACAATTAAGAGAAAATATTCAATGAATAAATTATAGACGAATCCCTTTTATTAAAGGGATAAAGAGGGATCTGTAGAAACAGGCAAGGAACTACAAACAGGAAACTTTTAATTAACTGCCGAGCCATTTGGAAATCATTGTAACAAATTGTTCAGAACGCAAGATGTTCTGAACTTAAACTATGGGAGAGGAAGGGGCTTTGGAGCCTTGAAAGTTCAATCAGCCCCCATATCTACTGTTTTGTAACCCTAACCCTACCTCCCCCCCCCCAGCTAATGTTTGGGTGTCAGGCTGTTGGAACGAGAGCTCTGTATAAATACAGCTTCTTAAAAAATACTCTAGAATTGCTCACACCAACTACTTATGACCCACCTAACAGCTGCAGCACTTTTTACTGAGTGAATGCAAGGAATCAGACAGATAGCAGGGAGGGCAAATGAATGGCTTAACCCTAGACATTTCTCACTCACCAGTCTCAATTGTTTCCCCCCTGTCCAACTAACATAGTCGTTGCTGGCCTATATGGCTTTCTGATCCCTAGAGGACAGAGCAAGGAGACTCTAATGGTTTCCCCAAACTCTTGGTATACTGCTTTTGACCCACACAAGCTGCTGCCACACACACAAAAAGTCATCCACAATATCTCCACCCAATCCCCCTTTCACACAAATAAAGGCAAAAGTATTAAGTAAAGAATAAATGTTTATTACAGAAAGAGACACAGGTTCACTGTTGCGCTTTCTCTGTAGCAGAGTCACAAAACAAAGGGGAAAGCTGTTCAAAGCAGCAAACACACCCTCCCGCCTGCCTGCGTATCATATGAACTGTGCTAGGAACTGTTTGTAGGTGTGACCTTCAAGGAAACAGCTCTGAGCATGCTCAGAACTCAAGTATGAAATGGGCAGGACAATTCATCCGCCAGTCATCTGTTGTATACCCCTGCTGTACATAGAGCCTTATGCAAAGCTTAAAACATCAGCAGGTAGGTGTTGTGATAGTGATGCTCCCTCAAAAAGGTTTTAGTAAAAACGCAGACCTCTTCTCAAAAACAGAGCCTGATAAAACCTACGTCAAAGTTCTGCATATGCTTATTCTAACCAGTTGATCATGATTAGCAATTTTGTGTGTGTGACTAAAATGGCTGTTGTTTACCACACAGCTAGCTCCACGCAGAGATTCAGCAGTCTCCTCATTTCTCATGATCTTCATGTTCTCCACCCACAGAATGCCCATTTGAAGATGTTCTTCGGCATCACTTAATAAAAAACAAAAAAGGAATAAGAAGAGCTACACTTCAAGCAGGCTTTATTCCAAAACAGCAGAATACTGAATATGACAGTGCATGCAAACAGCTTATAAAAGAGTCTGTGTTAACCTATTATACCAAACAGATTGGGCCATTTGCAAAATCTCAATTTTCCCATACCCAAGACAACACTTATCTCTTTATCTAGCTGATTTGTCTTTACCAGGTGATTCATGCTTCCTGTTACACAATCAGCCATACCCTGCAAACATATAATAGAAATATCAGCAGTTGCTAAACAACATATTTAATGTCTGAGCCATCTGCAATCATCTGCATGGACTCTAATCACTTCTTCAGCGCTCAGAAAGGCAAAGAACACTTGCAAAAGCTAGTGAAAAGTTTCAATGATGACATGGCATCCAATATTGGAAATCCCACTGAATCGTGCCATTACTGGTTTCTTCTGCCCTCTCTGCCAATAACTGTATATTACTTAGGGCTCAGCTACATTAGTACTGAAATAGCGATTTGAATGCACTATAAACATGCAACACCAGATGGCACCAGAGAGCAGTCAAATTTAAAAAGTGATTTTTCATAGAGGTTTTTTCTTTTGTTATAACAATCTAACTTCTAACTTAATTATAGCATGTGTTTTTCCTGTGTTTAGATCTACCCTTACTGCATGTGATTTTCTGGGTGCAAATGTTTTATGTATATATGTATGTATATGCGGTGTATGTATATGTATGTATATGCAGTTCTTTTTTCGGGGGAGGGGATGCAGGGGACATGTACCCCTAAACATTTTGTGAATCTAAGTTTGGCCTCATTGAGGATCAGTATTTCAATATGAGTAGGAAAATGAGAGTACCCCTAGACATTTTTAAAGAAAAAAAGCACTGTATATATGTATGTAGTTAACACTTTTGGGCCCAGAGACTCTCAAAGCAATGAACAAAGCAGAAATTTTAAATCCTTATAGCAAAACGTTTCAGCTTCCACCTTCGTCAGTTGCTCTGATAAAAAATGATGCTGTTTCCAAGGTGGATGGAAAGCTCAGAAGGGCTTAAAATGATAGAACTGCAGAGTTTTAAGGGACCCTCATGGTCATCTAGCCCAACCCCCTGCAATGCAGGAATCCCACCCACTTAGGGACTAGAAACTTGAACAGATAATGAGAAGTACTAACAAACCCCCAAAGAGAATAGATTGTGGCTGCTGCAGTCTCCCTCAGTCCTTTTGCTTCCAGGGCTAAACCATAGTTTGGTTTAGTGTTATTATGTCCAAATTTGAGCTCATGCCTTGTTTTTCTCCAGACAAACCACAAGTGGCAGACCAAGAACGAACATTTTTTTACAGGTTCTGGTTTTATTCTGGAACTAGACAAACCATCAGTCTGGGTTTGGACAGAGCACATTCAACCAAACCATGACTTAGAGCCAGTGTGGTGTAGTGGTTAAGAGCGGTAGACTCGTAATCTGGGGAACTGGGTTCGCGTCTCCACTCCTCCACATGCAGCTGCTGGGGACCTTGGGCTAGTCACACTTCTCGGAAGTCTCTCAGCCCCACTCACCTCACAGAGTGTTTGTTGTGGGGGAGGAAGGGAAAGGAGAATGTTAGCCGCTTTGAGACTCCTTCGGGTAGTGATAAAGCGGGATATCAAATCCAAACTCTTCTTCTTAGCCACAAGTAGCGTGGCAACAGTAGGAGCAGAGAAGGAAAGCGTCCGTTGCCACCCTCTACTCTGAGAATCTGCCTGTTTGTTCATTCTTGCTAAAGTCTGGCTTAGCATTTAAAGGCAACTTGGGTCATAGTAAATTACGGAACAGCTCACTGAAGGCTGCTCTGGTTTTCAGAAGAAGAAAAACACTCATAATTAGTACCGCCACTCCCTCCTTCAGGAGTAAAGCACTAGGTGTTAAATAAAATGGTTCGTAAAACATGGCAAGGACAAAACTGCAAATTTCCCAAACGTGATTTCACTACCAAGAAGCTGATACACGACTGAGAGTGGGTGGAAGCAGAGGGGTGGACAATCAGCATTGTGTTTTCTTAGTGAATATGAAAGAACAGCCAGCTAGGGTGATGTAGTGGATAAGGGAATGAGCTGTAAATCAGAAAGTTCTTGTTTCAAACTTTATCCAAGCTATGAATTTAGTGGGCGGCCTTTGGCGAGTCTCGGTCGCTCATAGCCACTCTTCTCCCCTGCAATCAGCAGTATGGAAATGCGAATACTGGCCTATCTTAAAGGGTAGTGGTAAGGATTAGTGATAGATTAAGCGCTTTGAAATCCTATACTGTATACATCTGTGTAAAAGTCACAGGGAGCTCTGTGGGGTTTACTCCCAGGTAAGCGATGATAGCGTCAGTGGCATAACATGGTGGGGGGCCACAGGGGTGGTTGCCCCAGGTGCAAAATTGTTAGGGGCACAAAAAACCAACACCTGGTGCTGCCTCAATATAGCTGCTCCTTTCTGCCGCTGAACTCCGTTTAAAGCTCCTTCTCCATGTGAACCAGGAAGTGACCCCTCCAGATGACAGAAAAACTCTTCTTATCTCTGTGGCTGCAATCTCCTGGGCAGTTGAATGCGCATGGTACTCCAGCTGTTTCCCTCCCTCCCACCCTCTGTGTGGCCCCGGGCACTAGCAAGCTATGCTATGTCACTGGATAGGTTTGAAGCAAACCTGAAATAAACTCCTTTAGAACCACGGGGCTAACTTCCAGTTGTGCAGTGATGGAATTAAAATAGCACACAGAGCTTTACTTTTGTATTGCTAAGTCTGGCCAGAATGTACTGCAGAACTGTGAAGATGCTTCTCGGTTGCTTGGATGAAGGATGGAAAGATGTATGTGTGTAGAAACCTTTGATTTATATGTGGCTAGAACGGAAGGAAGAATAGCATCAATCGGTTCATCCACTTTTGTCTCTGGCCCTGACCAGCACTTGCATGTGACCCCCAGAATGTTCCCAGGATGGAATGTGGACTGGCAAAGATTCTACCCCTGTTGCCGACACATTTGTAACATCAACAGAAACATTACATTCAGCACAGATGCCTGGATATGGAAGCCTCACTTGTGAAAATTCCCTTAGGTCTTGTCTAGATAACAATAAAATATCATGATTAGAACAGAAAGTGGTAGCATAACAACAACAACAACAACAACAACAACAATAATAATAAATTTATACCCAGCCCATTTGGCTGGGTCTCCCCAGCCACTCTGGGCAGCTTCCAACAGAATATTAAAAACACGATAAAACATCAAACATTAAAAACTTCCCTAAACAGGGTTGCCTTCAAATGTCTTCTAAAAGTCAGGTGTTTATTTCTTTGACATCTGATGGGAGGTCATTCCACGGGGTGGGCACCACTACCAAGAAGGCCCTCTGCCTTGTTCCCTGTAACCTCACTTCTCACAGTGAGGGAGCCACCAGAAGGCCCTCGGAGCTGGACCTCAATGCTGAGCAAAGGGGGTGGAGATGCTCCTTCAGGTATACTGGACTGAGGCTGTTTAGGGCTTCAAAGGTCAGCACCAACACTTTGAATTGTGCTCAGATATCCCATATCCAGCTATAATATGAAACCATGGTTTGTTTTAGCACATTGACCTGACCATGGTTTCTTTGGTGCCAGCAAACCAGGATCTTGAAGTCAGAGTTTGAAGCTGGTTTGTGAAGCTCAGCTGCTGCTAAGCATGGTTAGCTGCTGTTATGATTGAATTCCTGGACCATTGGCAAGCCACATATGGGGCCATTGCTCTGCATTTGAGCGGCTGCCACACCAAGGAGCTGGGAAGGAACATATGAACTTAGAAAGCGGAATCCTGCGCCGATCTGAGAGAAATCAAAGCAGACAAACAACTGAGAACGAGAAGCTGTGGTTTTGTATCGACTGACTAGTCATTAACTAGTCCAGTCTTGTAGATACACCCACAACATTTACCAGCCCTGGGGTGGGGTGGGGGACTAGCCTAAGCGCCCCCGGTGTCTGTGCTGATTGCAGCCAGCATGTAAACCAAGCTGGTTAGCATAGAAGCAATTGTTTTATTTCCAAGCTGGGTGTGACATAAGAAACACCCTCTCTTCTGTGGCAGTAGGATGGCAGGACAAGGATGGAGAACTCTACCCCTCCTTTCCCAGGCAGCCTGCTCACCTGCATAGAATTTCCTGTTGCCTATGGGAACCCAGTGAGACAAGGATTTATATTGTTTGATTGTCTTCTGAAAATATCCGATTCATTGTTGAATGGTGACACTAGCTGCTTTGGGCTTCCTTAGGGAGGGAAATCAGCCCTGAGTGCTCACTGGAAGGACAGATCGTGAAGCTGAGGCTCCAATACTTTGGCCACCTCATGAGAAGAGAAGACTCCCTGGAAAAGACCCTGATGTTGGGAAAGATTGAGGGCACAAGGAGAAGGGGACAACAGAGGACGAGATGGTTGGACAGTGTTCTCGAAGCTACCAGCATGAGTTTGACCAAACTGCGGGAGGCAGTGGAAGACAGGAGTGCCTGGCGTGCTCTGGCCCATGGGGTCACGAAGAGTTGGACACGACTAAACGACTAAACAACAACAACAAAGGGAGGGGAAAGTGAGATAAAAACATTGGGAGGCGTTGAGTGGTTCCCAATCTCCCCACTCTCCCCCCCCCCCACTTCAATGGACAGGCAATTGATGTGGGTTCTTTCACGAGGGGACAGACGATGGGTGGTTTTGGCGACGCGTGCAAGTGGCAGCGTAGGTCAGGAAAGTGAGTGATTTTTGGCAAACCCCCCTAAAAAAGGCTCCACAATTCTGCCCCAAAAAAGCTCAACAACTCTGGGCAATCTACCCCCATTTTTTAATTTGGAGTCCCCCAAAATAGGGGGTTCTTATACACAGGGATGTCTTATACACGGCGGCATATTAAACACAGAAAAATACAGTAAACGAAGACTCTGAATGTTGCAAACGATCAAATGCCAAAGGACAACCAAAGACTTGCCACGGCTGAAAATGAAACTCAGCATTTCTTGCAGCTTCGACTGGAAGGCGTCCAAGCACACGATGATGTGGGAACCTCACTAACGCCAACCTGATTCCTACGCTCGGCTTGAGAAGGAACCCAGCTTTGCAGCGGCTTTGCAATAAGTCTTGTTTTATTCCGCTTATAAAAAGATGATGCTCTGATAATTACAGGCGGGATAAAGATCAAACAATGTCACGGGCGCTATTCCAGCAGCCTCACATTCTACCCAGCACAGAGTAGGAGGCAGAAGCAAAACAGAATCTTCCTCGATAACCAATGCCAACGTGTTCTGCATGTACCTACCTTACCAGGAAGGGCGAGTGTGCCACTGGGTTGTGAAGCTTCATTCAAGGAGGTGCGAAATGGTATCTCTTGTGATCATGGTTACCCAGGGAGACCATGGCTGTGCTGGGATTTGAGCTTTCACTTCCCGGACCTAGGTCTAACACAATCCGTACCATACATCTGAAGGACTCTACAATAGTCCTGGCTTCCAATGATGTGCAGTGAACTTTTTCATAGGGGAACAGTTACGGCCAGAGGTGCCAGCTTGCGAGATGTTGTGACGTCCTGATGTCGCATGTACAAATATCGTGCCTTCCTCCTTAAGCTGGGCAGAAGCTTCCTGGGCTTTGGGAAGGAGGCATCAGGGCTCTGGCAGGATGCTAGAGCCCTCCTGCCTCCTTTCCAAGGCCAGGTAGGCTTTGGGTAGGTGGCAGGAGGGCTCTTGGACCCATCAGAGCTTCGTGCCTCCCTCCCTAAGCTGGGCAGAAGCTTCCCAGGCTTTGGGAAGGAGGCACCAGGGGAACATTAAGGGGACTAGCGTAGGCTGGATCTGCACGGGGGGGGCCCGCTAAATTAGATCGTTATAACAAAAAGAAAGAAAAAACCCTATGTAAAGTCTCATAGACAAAGTTTTGTGCTCTACAGTGCCCTCTGGTGCTGCATCTTTACAATGGAGTTACAACAATATAACTGAGTCCCCCTAGTACACCGACCGCACACCACTGCTGGCTTCCACCAAAGAATTCTGGGAACTGTAGTTGGTTAAGGGTCTGGTGAGGGATCTGCTGACCGCTCTCAGCATCCTTGACCACCCCCTTGACACCTGGAGGGAGGGCGGAATTAATGATTAGTACTTCAAAGTATCAAAATAACTGACCATTCGAAAGCAAATGAATAAAGGAGGTTTAGTTTTTTGGAACAGCAAATGGTACCCGGAATCAGAGAAGCAAGCATGTTTGTATCCGGGAGAGCAAAAAGGATGCTGGTGATGCTGCTGTAAGGATAAGCTAGCGCGTTTGGAGAGGGGGCTGCTGTGTACCCCTCCACTAAAGACTCAAGGTTGTGTGTAGGTGTCAAATAAACCACATATCATTAAGACATATTAGCCCACATTGTGCCTAATTTCTCCAAAGGAACATAGACCCTGCATGAGAGCCTGGAACCGCCCCCGCCCCCCGGATTTCGCTACCATTCGGCCGAATGTGGGGACGGTGCCCAACTTTCGTAGCAATATTAACAACAGGGAGGGACACAACAGAGGAAATGCCGCAGCTACGCCCTTCCAAACTCACTTGGTGGTTTTGGAGAGTGGATGTGAGCCACGTTTTTAATATCCTAGTGTTCTGATCACTCCACGGCATTGCGGGAAATTTGAAATGGCAGATCTGTCTCCCATGGGGCTTGCCAATTGCCCGAGGGTGATGAGTTGATGAAATATCTCACCCCCAGAGGCAAAGCGGCAAGGTGTCAAATGAGTTAGGGGCCTGTCTGAAGAGAAGGTAAGTGAGAAGCCCGAATGAGGGTATATTATACTACAAAGTTTTGTTTCAGTTCCCAGTATTCTTGTGGAGGGGAGGGAGTGCCATACCAGCTAAGTGATATAAGCCACAGCTTCCCCCAAATAATGATCTAGATAAGGATGACAGGGTGTTCCGAATTCTGTTAGGTTTCCTTTCCCCATTCTCACAAAATTACAGTCCCCAGCGGGCTCCTTGGGAAGAAGGAATGATGATTAAACCCATTTATAGCCTTTGGCAGTGAAAAATTGCCAGATTATCTCTCCCCTTCCTTTGCTGCCCCACCCCCCCACCCCCATAAATTGTGCAAGCAGAAATGAAGGATGTGTTTGCAATTGTATAAATGAAGTATGGTAATGCCATGGCTCTGATTTGCATAAAGCTTACATCTAATTTGCATGGTGTGTGAAGGAAGTTGCCAGACTGGGGGTCCTGAATATGGTGATGCTGTGCTGAGACCCAGTCAAAACTGGCAGGAAGAAACCACATGCAGATCATTAAAAGGAAACTGAGTTTAAATTTGCAGGTTGCGGTGGGTGGCTGGGAAGGGATACACAGAGAGACTCCAACAGCAGTCGAGTCCAGCTCTCTTCATGCATTATAAATTTGTATCTGTGGGGAAAGCCCTGCTCTTTCTTGCAAAAAGCAAGAAACTGCAAGCACATTTGGCTAGGCACAATAGAATTTCCTCTGCGATTGGAAACTGATTGCTTGGCTTGGAGGAGAAATTTGATTCCCTTCACAGCAAAAGGCCGACCTACCTAATTTGCACTTTCGGATACAATATATAAAACAAAAGATTGTTAGCCTCCAAATTCTCCAAATTTTACATTGCAGTTCTCTAGCCAAGTAGGCCACTTTATGTGCACAAAACAGCATACTAAGGGGAAAGTACACACTAAAAGGGACGCAGGTGGCGCTGTGGGTTAAACCACAGAGCCTTGGGCTTGCTGATCGGAAGGTTGGCGGTTCGAATCCCCGCGACGGGGTGAGCTCCCGTTGCTCGGTCCCTGCTCCTGCCAACCTAGCAGTTCGAAAGCACGTCAAAGTGCAAGTAGATAAATAGGTACCGCTCTGGCTGGAAGGTAAATGGCGTTTCCATGCGCTGCTCTGGTTCGCCAGAAGTGGCTTAGTCATGCTGACCACATGACCCAGAAGCTGTACACCGGCTCCCTCGGCCAGTAAAGGGAGATGAGCGCCGCAACTCTAGAGTCGGCCACGACTGGACCTAATGGTCAGGGGTCCCTTTACCTTTACCTTACACACTAAAATGCATACAGTTGTACCTTGGTTTTCGAACAGCTTAGTTCTCGAAAGTTTTGGCTCCTGAGTGCTGCAAACTCGGAGATGAATATTCTGGTTTGTGAACTATTTTTGAAGCTGAACATCCGACGGGGCTTCTGCAGCTTCTGATTGGCTGCAGGAGCTTCGGGCAGCCAACCAGAAGCCGCGCTTTGGTTTCCAAATGTTTTGGAAGTCGAACGGACTTCCGGAATGGATTCCGTTTGACTTCCAAGGTACAACTGTATATTTGTGAAATTACGCACATGTATTCTATTGGAGAAATTGCTTCGGGGAAGGGAGGAATGTGTGTTGAAACAAAAACATGTATTTGGGGGGTGGGATCTCATTAAAATGCTGGTGAATTTTCATAACGATTCATTTAAGAATAACAATAATCACAAACTGATGTGGAAATGTAGAGAATTGAACTTAAGATAGCAAGAAATGAGAAACTGAAAGAAACCAAAATGGATAGATTTGCTGACCCCTACTGATTGCACAAAAAGGGACACGGGTGGTGCTGTGGGTTAAACCACAGAGCCTAGGACTTGCCGATCAGGAGGTCGGCGGTTCGAATCCCTGCGGCGGGGTGAGCTCCCGTTGCTCGGTCCCTGCTCCTGCCCACCTAGCAGTTCGAAAGCACATCAAAGTGCAAGTAGATAAATAGGTACCACTCCGACGGGAAGGTAAACGGCGTTTCCATGCGCTGCTCTGGTTCGGCAGAAGCGGCTTAGTCATGCTGGCCACATGACCCAGAAGCTGTAAGCCAGCTCCCTCGGCCAGTAAACGAGATGAGCACTGCAACCCCAGAGTCGGTCACGACTGGACTTAATGGTCAGGGGTCCCTTTACCTTTACCTTCTGATTGCACAAATCCATGCATGTGGGAGATTATAAATACATTCAAGTATACATTCAATGCACACTTAAAATCTCACTCCAGACCTTCCTGGTCAACCCAGGGTGCAGCAGGTATGAATGGCTCTCGCTTCAAATTTAGAATGGCTGAAGAGGATTTATCTGTCTGTCTCTTTAGTTACTGGTAGTTTAAGATTAAAGCTTGTATACCCTGTAGTCAGAATGGTTCATGTTTGGGGAGGGCCTTGTGTGTTGAGGGGAACCCCCTGAAAGTGGAATGCATCATCAGAAACCGTGTATGCAACTGAACTGTTGGGAAAGAATGAACTGTATTGCGTTCTTGGGCTCCAAAAATATTCCTTGTCCCTGAACCTCTTCCATGGAATTATCTTACCCCAGGGGAGATTGACTGAACAATTATTTAACTCTATATAAAAAGAGAGAGAGAGGAAGGAGATTTCCAGATATGATCTGTAGGGAAGATTATCTCCTGTAGCTAATTGATCTCAGGGTTGGGTTTGTTTTTGAAAAAGAGACGTGTCCCTGCTTGTCCGGCCTTTGGCTTGGAAGTCCTTCCTGGTAACCATAGATAAGAGAAGGGAAGACTGGCTGTGGTCGTTCAGTGGTGAGGGAAAGGCACTCTGCACATGCTCAAAGGGCAAAGAGATCACACAAATAATAGCAGAGTCCTGACAATGAGTACCTTTTCCAAGGGCTAAACAACTGTTGCTGAAAATAAAGGCTTGCTCTCAGACCCCCAATATAGGGTGCAAGCCCCCACTTGTTCCTGCTGCTCCTATTAGTCGGTCTGTCTGTGGAATAAGTTGCCATGATTGTGCTAAGTTTCTGTTTGGGGCAGGAACCAGGGCATAAAGAACTCAGGACCACCGAGTCTTATACTGTCTAGACCTACTGGTAGATTACTGGGTGATTTAACGTATCCCCCAACTTCCTTTCTTGTTCCCAAAAAACCCCTGCTCCACGCAACTCCTCGCCATCTGCCTGCCTAGTTTTTAAAAGGAACATTTTTTCCTGCGAGCACAGCCTCCCCTCTCCTGCTTTCAATCCTGAACCTTTTTCCGCCCACATGGCAACTCTGTTTTGCACAGATGCAAGGATTTCTCTGGGCAAGGCCACCAACACCTTATGTCTTATCCCAGGTGAAGCTGTGGCTTGGAAAGGGAGCTTAGCCACTGGCCTAGAATCTTCCCTTCAATCCTTCAAATGTTATCGAAACACTACTTTATTTTCTACCATTTCACTAACAGATCCTGTTACAATAACAAGCTAAGGAGAGCCATTCTGAATCAGAACCCTCCAAATGTCCCAGTTTTCCGGGGACAGCTCCAGAATTATAGAAGCTGTCCTGGGTTCTGATTTGATCCCAGAATGCCCCTATTTCCCCTGCCAGGGCTGCTGCTGCCAAGCTCAGGAGGGAGGATGAGCCAGTGTTTGTTTCATGTGGCGGCAGTGGTGGCAGCTACGGCTGTGAGGACTTCTCCATGGCCACCACCGCTGACCTCCTCCCTTGGGCAGCTTTTAGTGGCTGGAGAACAGGACAGGAGGAGAGGTTGGCACCGCCAAGGCCCAGCCCCTCGTGTTCTGCAGACCAGCTTACCCTTAGATCTGAGCCCAAACCAAAAACCCCGGACATTTTGGATAATGAAAATGATGGCCTATGCAGAAATGGTGAAGCTAACTGGGAAAATCAGGCACCAAGAGGACAACAAATTTAGCAAAGAATGGCATAACTTTATAGAATATATTAAAGGTCACTGTAAACATTTAAAAAACGTCAGCAGGATTGATATAGCGCTTGCAATTTAAAATGATAACGGATAAAAAATGGAAATGTAATGTTAGATAAATGCAATTAGATGCAGAAAAAAAGGAAGGAAATTTTTGGAAGCCATGGGACGGGTAGAGGCAAGTCCGGGGGTTCAGGGAACCCCATAAATGTATTGGTATGTACTATGGTGTTAATGTAAATGTGTGTGTGTGTGTAGAAAATGATTTGTTTTTTTTTTTAATTTGAAAATTATTTTTTTTAAAAAATGGACATTTTGCCAAATTTTAAAATTCCGCCTGGACAGACAATGTAATACTGAAAATGTCCAGGAAAACAAGGACATGTGGTAACGTTAGTATAATGGCATTATGATGTCAACAGTCTTATTTTCAGAACTTTTCCCAACAACCCCTGGTATGGAATTTGCCTTTGTAGAGCTCCCTTTATGATCTTGGATAATTCTCAGATATATATGGTTTACTGCTTTCTCGGTTCATCTGATGATGATCCATCATAAAAAACTTTTATTTCCAAGACCAATCTACAAATTACAGCTCTCACAGTGAAAGTGCTTGAAAAAGCCTCCACGTGGCAACTGTTCCACATCTAATGAGCTGTGCTGTGAGCTGCCTCCTACCTAGATCACTACCATCAGGAGAAGAGTTTTCACAACACCATCAACACCCATGGCCAGCCCAAGACAGGTTATTATTGCCTGAAGCAGAGCAGAAAATCAAGTACCAAAAACCAGCCAAGTTATGTTGGCACCTGAAGCAGAAACTCCCCCTCCTTGGCAGTAAAAAATATGCAACAACATGACACACAAAATTAGATGCCTGAGGCAGCTTTCTCACTCTGCCTAAATGGTAGGGCTGGCTCTGTCAGAATTGAACCCAGAATTTTGGATGGTGGTATGAAGACTCCATGGACTCAGCTACACAGCTGCAAATAAAAGGTTTTAAGTGTGTTGTAAAGTGCAATGTACAACCATGACACTAGATGGTGACGGTGAGCTATGACAAATCCAATATATTTTTCAAAATGTGCTTTTTTTAAAAAAAGGAATTTTCACGATGTTCTTCATATGTGTGTAGATTCCACACATCTCATGTTGACAAGCCATGAAGGCAGATAAGACGCAGTTTTCCCCTCCTAAAAAGTAAGGGGAAATGTGTGTGCGTCTTATGGAGCAAATGCAGGCTGCGAGGCTAAGCCAGAAGCCAGAACAACGCTCCCTCTCTGCCCTGCGGAGGCTTCGCACGGCTATCCCTGGCTTTTGCGGGAGAAAACCCCCAAGAAAAGCCCCCAAGAGCCACACTCCCTCTAAAGAGCGTGCGGCTCTTGCGGGAGGAGGGGGGAAAGCCAGGCTTGCTTTCGCTGAAGCCAGGAGGGCAAGAGGGATTGGTGAGCACCGATCCCACTTGCTCTCCTGGCTTCAGGGATAGTCCCACAAAGCCTCCTGAGCGGAGGGAGGTGCACTCCCTCTTAGCTCAGGAGGCTTTGCGTTGCTTTCTTATTTCTTGTTTTCCTCCCCTAAAAACTAAGTGCGTCTCATGGTCCGGTGCGTCTAATAGAGCGAAAAATACGGCAACTAGAGCATGCACCACTCTGGTGAGACAGTCCGCAGGTAGGTAGGGGCTCAGCCTGTGTACCAGATGGAGCTGGTAAACAGCTGCGCTGGACACAGAAATGACCTGCGCCTCCATGCACAGCTGCGAGTCCAAAATGACTCCCAGGCTGCGCACCTGGTCCTTCAGGGGCACAGTTAGCCCATTCAGGACCAGGGAGTCCTCCACACCCACCCGCCCCCTGGTCCCCAAATACAGTACTTCTGTCTTGTCAGGATTCTACTTCAATCTGTTAGCCGCCATCCATCCTTCAACCGCCTCCAGAAGATCTACCACCAGGCAAATATATGGTAAAAGGTTAAGAAATGGAAATATTGTTAAAAAGGTGTAGTCATAGGTATATCGGTACTCAAATCTGAAATGTTAAATTGTGTTATTAGTGTTATTGCGGTTTTTGTTGTATGTGTTTTTGGTGGTTGTTGTTATTATTGAAAAAATGATTAAATAAAAATAAATAATTAAAAAAAGAAATGGATCCCCAATTGCATGTTTAGGTTAAAAGCGGTATAGAAATTTGTGATTTGCTTGCGTTGTTTTCTGGTTTTGTGCAAATCTTAGGAAACAAAGTGTGAGTGGGGGATAGATACATTTATTTATTTATAACCCCACCTTCCATTCAAAGGGGATTCTTAGGATGTATCCCATGTGTGCTTAAGCTGTGATCTACCTCAGAAATTACAGAAAGATGGGGAACGCGAAGTGCAATCTACCGGTATTTTGTCCCGAAGAAATAAATGCAGTCCTAGCTTGTTTATCTTAGCCTTGACAACTGTTCACATTTGTGTGTTTTTTGACAGCTTGCATCTCAACTGATGCATTCTGTATTCATTTACGGAATAAACCAAAATAATTAGCTTGTCTAATCAACAACACACAGGATTTGGTTTGCTACCAGACTTGTTTTCTTTGCTAATTTGCTCTCTTGTCTGCTGCTCTCCCTCTCCTGCCACTGTCACTCAGACACTTTATTTTTACTATGAAGGAAAAGGGGGGGGGGGGACTTGCGAGAGATAGATTACCTCAGCTACCTCTTTTGGTCCTCTTAACAGTAAACTTCTCATGGGGGGCTTACATTTTCTCAAGATACTTAAGTAGTGGATACACCGCTCATAAAAGATCTAATATCTTCCTCTCCTACTTTCTTTCAAATGTGTTTTAATTTTAATAGGCATCATATTTCCAGTTTTAGTTCTGCATCTATCGATTTCTGAACCATGAAAATTTGGTGGGAGTGTGAGAGTCAAAGGAGGGGGAGAGAGAATAAGAATGGATCGTACACAGAATTAGAAAGCTAGAAATGCAAAATATGTGGTACCCGTCACTATCTTTGTTTTGATTTTTGTGGATATGGAAATGAATTCTCTCCTGCTGGGATTCCTAATTCGAGGAGTGTGGTGGACACACCTCGCTGAGGCTAAACACATATTTGAGGCGATAAAATTGCAGGACTACCTTTTATGAGAGACAACTGATCTTTCCCTTCTGCATCCTCCCAAATTTAGTTGACTAGAAGGCATTCCACGCCAAGGAATGTCTTTGTATATTTTGTGTCCTTTGTATATTTCGCTTCCCCCCTCCACCCCACAATTTTTATTAAATTTTCTGTTTTACATTTTAGAATATTCATTTAAACCACCTTAAAATATCAATGACTTCCCTTCTTCTCTTTCCATGGTTCATTTTGCATAACATAAATCCCTGCGTATTTTATATAAACTAAACCATTGAGTATTCCATTATTACATCCATCAAAACTCATTTACACTGTTGAATTTATCTTAATGCTGCCCACGTTTTCAAATATACACAATTCCCGCCCCCCATATATTCAATAAACATTTCCCAATTTTCTTTAAACATATGTTCTTCTTGTTCTCTTATTCTATATGTTAGGTCCACAAGTAGCACATATTCCACCAGTTTAAGTTGCCATTCTTCTTTAGTCGGGACTTGGCTCGTTTTCCATTTTGGGGCTAACAAAACACGGTCTGTAGTAGTGGCATACATAAATAGCCTTTTTTGACACCTGGGAACTTCTGTCTGAATTATCTCCAATGAAAAGGACTTTTTAACCTGAGGCTCTTCTGCCCTTCCATTGAAAAGAGGTTCTCTTTCTCCCTCTGTTGGTCAGATGTGCTATTGGTTATTTCTTTCCTAAAAACAGAGGGTGCAGTCCCTCAAACGTTAGCCCTAATTTTAGCAATTCAGTGTGCCATTTGTTGGCGATAAGCTCTACTCAACTCAAATGGGATTTCCTTCCATGTAAACACATGTAACCCCAGGAGTTCTCCAAACTTACAACAATAGCTATCTATCTATCTATTCATCCAGAGCTTTTTTTCTGGGGGGCGGGCGGGGGGGGGGACGCATATCCCTAAATATCTTTGTACTTTTGTCCATTTACTTTATTTATTTTCCCCGATTTGAACTATAAAATGGTGATTTTATTGAGTCAAAATGAGAGTACCCCTAAATTTTTTTTTAGAAAATAGCACTCTATCTATCTATCTACCATCTAGCTAGCTAGCAAGCTAGCTATCTGTGTCTGTATATGTACACATACATACACACACAAATGCAAAAAACTCTGAGGTCAGCTATACATTTTCTGTTCAAACAGCAAATGAAATGATAAACCTGCTTTTCAATTGTGCCACTTCAGGCTACACCAAATTCAAGGATGGAGGAGAATATCCCAAACTGAGAAAAGCTGACCAAAGGAGAGCCCTGTCTTCTAAAGCAGGAGTATTCTGGAACAGCTGCAAATATAGGGGGAGAGAGTGTTCTTGGTACCTGCAAACACGTCTGTGGCTTTTTCATAATTCCTGTCATGGCTTCTACTGTTCATAACATCGTTGCCATGACTCCCCTGTGGCTCCCCCCTCCCAAATGTGTTCTGATGAACCAACAACCCCAGCGGTAATTATAAAGTATTATTTCAAAATAACAGAAAGTCATTATTGGCACTTCATGAGCACAAAAAAGAGGCCTACTCTCATCTCGGAGAGGTTGACAGCTTCCTTTGAGCATGTAGAGCTTAATCGTTAGGCTACCTCAACACATTGGGGCTAAACTATAATTCTAAAAAAAAAGGACATTTTCAAACTGCAATTATCTTTCCCCATCTTTAACAGTGTTAGAAATGGAATTTCCAAGCACATGCCCTCAAATTATCAACAGCAACTACTGACACAGACATGACAATAATAAGCAGCTACAATTTATTAAAATGCAAATGTGGAAGTGCGATGCAGAGAAAAGAGCAGATATGTGTTGAAGGAAGACCAACGTTGTGTTGAAGACACACACATGGCAAATCCCATGGAGCGGGCAATGTTGATTTAGATTTGCTTCATTAAAAAAGAAAAGAAAGGAAGGGATACATAGGATAAAAATCAAGCATGTATTCTTGGGACACCGGATTATTTTTGTCACTGCTTTCAGTGGATGATGGATTTCATTTCATCAGTGCTCCCTGGAAGGGATGACTGGCAAAGACTTTGTGCCTCGGTCATTAACTAAGGTGCCAGTCTACAGGTTCAAGAAAATGCATGCATAAATGCAATGGCCGCCGCTAAGTTATTGGTTGCTAAAAATTGGGAATCGGAAGAAGTACCATCTGTGGCAGATTGGCAACATAATTTTTTTGAAATGACTGAATTAGCAAAAATGACAGCAACAATTAGAAGGCAATCTAACCAAAATCTCAAACAGGAATGAAAGTGTGTGGATGAATACATGATTAAAAGATGCTCCAACAAAAATTGATTGATATGTATAGACTGATCTCACAAAGTGAATTTAAATAGATATACAAGAATGTATGTTTAATGATTAAGATACAAGAATACAATCACAATAATAAAGTTATTTTTAAAAAATTACGAAGTCACGCACGGATGGAGGGAAGACATAGGGTAAGACAAGAAGTAAGTAAAAGGTAAAGGTAAAGGGACCCCTGACCATTAGGTCCAGTCGTGAACGACTCTGGGGTTGCAGCGCTCATCTCGCTTTATTGGCCGAGGGAGCCGGCATACAGCTCCCGGGTCACGTGGCCAGCATGACTAAGCCGCTTCTGGGGAACCAGAGCAGCGCACGGAAACGCCGTTTACCTTCCCACCGGAGTGGTACCTATTTATCTACTTGCATTTTGACATGCTTTCGAACTGCTAGGTTGGCAGCAGCAGGGACCGAGCAACGGGAACTCACCCCGTCGCGGGGATTCAAACCGCCGACCTTCTGATCGGCAAGTCCTAGGCTCTGTGATTTAGACCACAGCACCACTCGCGTCCAAGAAGTATGTAAGAAGTGACTAAATGTTGGTACTTAATGAAATGAAAAATGTGAATTTGCAGGTATGATGTATATGTAATATTATGTAAACATTTTGTATATGTATTGAGATATCAATAAATAAACAAGAGAGAAAGAGAGAGAGAGAGAGAGAGAGAGAGAGAGAGAAAGAAAGAAAGAAAGCATAAATACCTACGCTGCACCTGCTAGTACAATGGGTAGGGCTTCCCTCCACCTTTTCCTCCTGTGCACCCAGCGCTGCCCCCAGCTTCACTCTGGAGGCTCAAGAGACCCCCATCCCCCAGAACAGTACCGGGACGACGACGACAGGGGATCGTTCCATAGGGCAAGCAAAAATGCATGCACTTACGGAACAAGCAGAAAAACCCCTCACAAAATTGAATCCCTCTCTAAATTAATTCCAGGACATCTCTCCCTGTCCATCATATTTGCCCATCTCTCATATAGTTCTGTTTACAGAGAGCACGTTACAACTTCTGGGCTAAAGATATGATGACAGATTTCTACCCCGCATACAAAATAATAATTCTGTCACTTTCTATTTTTACCCGACTGCATCCGGAGGGGACAGACATCAAGGCTCACACCACCATGAAAACATAGATGGACCAGTTGCCATTTGCCTCCTCTGCTCTCATATCTGTCTCTGCAGTGGCCAGTCCAGCTGCCACTCTTATTTCATGTTTTTTAAAGGTACCTGATTTAGCTTGCTTTCCTCTTCCCTCCCTAGTTGCTTTTCTTTTTATATCATGCCCATTAAATTGAAAGCCTTTAAAAAAGTCTGTGTACAGTACTTTCTCGGCCCGTTACTACGATGAATGGAATGTTCAGACGAAATGCTAATAAAGCATAACCATAAACCCAAAGACAACTTTGCAATAATCATTCTGGCATAAGACATACATTGTTTTGGGACAAATGACTGTGAATGAGTCTAATAATAATAATAATAATAATAATAATAATAAACCAACCTCACTTCTCACCTGCTCTGCCGCTGCTGTACACCTTGCCACATCTTTCTTTCTTTTTTGCATTTTAATCCTTATTATTTTACATATTAAGTCCCTTCACCACAAACAGAATGAAAGAAAAAACAGATCAGATCACATCAAATACAAAGAAAATGTAACTTATAAAATAATTTTTTCCCATATGTTAAGACTTCCGTCATCTTCAGTATGAGTCCTACGTTTCCTTGTTGACTACATATTTATATATTCTTTAACTTATCATAAATTCGTCATAATCTTTGTAGCATATACGGTAACATTGCAGAAGTTAATCAAAGCATGTCAGAGATTTCAAAAGGAGAACAATGTTCTTTTAAATATAATCTGAATAATTCCCATTCTTTGTTGAACTTTTGGTTTGTCTGATTCCTGATTTTTCCTGTCATCTTTGCCATATTCAAATAGTTTCACCTGCCACTCCATTTTAGTTTCACCTGCCACTCCATTTTTTCTCCTTTCCACCCTTTAGCTATTAACATTCTCGCGGCAGTAGTTGCATACATGAATACCTTTCTCTGTTCCTTCGAAATATCTGCAGCTATGATGACTAAAAGAAAGGCTTCTGGTTTTTTGATAAAAGTTAGTTTGAACATTTTTTTAAGCTCATTATAAATAATTTCCCAAAAGTTTTTTATCTTATTACATTTCCACCACATGTGTTACTTTGTTCCTCAGATTCTTTATGTTCGCCAGCTTGCTTGGTGTAATGTACCATCAATAAAACAACCAAGTTATTTTCTTTTAAAGTATAGCAAGCTGTGAACTTCAAGCCCTTTCTCCAAAGTCTTTCCCAAGATGCCATTTATATCTTATAACCAAAATCTTTAGATCACTGGATCATTACTGATTTAACCTCCTTCACCACCTCCCAATCCAACAGGAGCCTATACTTCTTGGAAAGTAGTTTATCCTTGCTTTGTAGTAAGTCTTTCTCAAGTTTCGGTATTTCAGTGGTGAACCCTTTTCTTTTATCTAATTTAAATATATCATTCAACTGATGGAATTGTAACCGATCAGTTAAGTATTTTCTAATTTCCTCAAACTTTTTCAATTTTAATCTTTCAATGGTCTGGTTGTGCTGATTTCAGGCAAGATCTTCCCAAAATGGGTGCCATCTTCTGCAAAATCAGCTCAGATAGTGGCGGTGTTTCTCTGCTGCTGGCGGAAGCGGTGGGGTACCCGTGAGCATGTTGTTTGGGGGGCGGGGCTTCTGCTGCTTGAGGCAGTGGCCTCATCCTGCCTCATGTACATTGGAGGAACAGTGACCCATCACCAGTGTCAAAACAAGATTCTTCACTGCCAGTCTAATCTGGTTCTATATGTGGTAATTGGGGTAGGTGTGTGCCATCTTGTTGTTGGCCTCAGGCAGCAAAATGTCTTGAGCCACCTCTGCCTATGATGGATGGGACTTGGAGAGCTTGAGGGTCCCTAACACTGACTTAGATGAAAGGCAACTAAGGTGATTTCACAGTGGCTGCATGTCTGTAGCCAGGAGCTGAAATTTCTGCAAACTACAGCAGGACATAGGGAACTAATGGCTGCTATAAATTAGCACACACATATATCCTGGAATTTTCTTCATCCAGTAAATAGTTCCTCTGCATTATAGAACAATGCTAAAATGCATGTCTAAATGTCTAGAATGCATCTCCCTTTTCCTTTCACATAGCCAGGCAAGCTGTTAAAAGTCCTCACAGCATCACTGATTCCTTAGAATAATGTTTTAAACCTTCAGTGATCTGTTTGCAGGTTAATGTGCACTGATAGTAAGAAGGCCCAAGTTGCTAATTAAGAAGCCCCTGCCTTTGTTTTGTTCTGCTCCTCATGTCTGGAAGCAGCCATGAATCTCTGAAACAGACACACGTTATTTCTGGGAGGCAATAAACAATTTCGGAAGGAATTCTTCCTGACAGATCTGGAGCTGCCCTGGGGGCTTTCGCACAAAGTCAGCAGCAGTCTGTCACAACTGTCTGGCACCCAACAGCTCTGTTTCTGAGGAATGAGCAACCGACCCCTTTTATAATGCAAGTGGGTATCAAGACCCTGGCCTCTTAACTGCAGGACTGCAGCGTAACCCTCATATTCACAATGGGAAGATGTTCTATGGCACCGAGGCTGTGAAATCTGGGGCTCTGGCAGCGGGGAGCCACGTATATGATGTAGCACCTCCATGTGAACAGTATATATAATCCCCTGGGATTTATGGTGACTGCACTCTTCAGAGCTGTCAGTCAACATGTATTTATCTATATCCCACCTTTTGCCCTGACAGGGACTCAGGGTGGCTTAGGGATTAAATAAGGGCAGCTGAAAACAAAGCAGGACAAAGCCCAATAAGTAAAAAAACAAAACAATTTAACATAAATAGAATTAAAACTCTCTCTCTCTGTGTGTGTGTGTGTGTGTGTGTGTGTGTGTAAAATCAGTTTAAAAAGGAAGGTAAGGGACCCCTGGATGGTTAAGTCCAGTCAAAGGCGACTATGGGGTTGCAACACTCATCTCGCTTTCAGGCTGAGGGAGCTGGCGTTCGTCCACAGACAGCTTTCCCGGTCATGTGGCCAGCATGACTAAACCGCTTCTGGCGCAACGGGACACCTTGATGGAAGTCAGAGTGCACAGAAACACTGTTTACCTTCCCACCACAGCGGTACCTATTTATCTACTTGCACTGGTGTGCTTTCAAACTGCTAGATTGGCAGGAGCTGGGACAGAGTGACGGGAGCTCACCCCGTTGTGGGGATTCGAACCGCCAACCTTCTGATCGGCAAGCCCAAGAGGCTCAGTGGTTTAGAGCACAGTGCCCACCGCGCCCCCAAAATCAATTACAATCAAACAGATAATACAATAAAAATAGCATGGCACCAGCCCTTTCATTAAGAGCAGTTAGTTCCCCAAAGCCTGTTGGAACAAGAAAGCTTTACCTGGTGGTGGAAAGACAACAAGGAAGGAGCTTCTCCAGGGAGGGAGGTCCAAGGTCTGGGAGCAGCTGCTGAGAAGGTCCTGTCCCACATCCCTACCAACCAAGCGTATCTGTGAGGGTGGATGAACCAAGCAAGGGGCCTCCCTCGAAGAACTCAGAACCTTAGCAGGTGTGCTGGTGTGAGGCAATTCCTAGGGTCCAACACTTACGCAGCCAATCCGTCACACTTTCTGAGGTGTTGCTTTTCAAATGCAGCGTTGGCCTAGCTACCCAGGCACTATTATGGACTACATCATCGGGGGTTCACCGAAGGAAAGAAACAGAAAGAAGTGAAGAGAGAACTGAGTGCCATCTGCAAAACGCTGCATTTGCATACAAATCTTTAGTGGAATGAATAGTAGCTGCCTAGGCCCAGGGCTTCATGGCTTCTAGTCTCACAAAACATTTTACAACCCATTTCAAAACTGCTTCTGCATCGCTCAGCTTTCAAATAACCTCTCATTGTTCCGCTCCAGCATTTCTCAAGGGGAGGGCAGCACCAGCCCACCTGAGTTATTACAGTAGATTAGGATAAGTGTTCCCAACAACAGAAGAGTCTTCATCCTGGTATCTATTAATGTCAAATAAAACATAAAGTTTAGCATAAGAATACTATAAGGGTAAGCACAGCTGCCTATTTTCTTGCAAATCACCCTGTGGGTTTCCCCACCCCCAGCAAAAGGAACATAAAAAGCAAGCCCTGCGTTATTTTATCGGCAAAATATTTCCCTCTAATGTGCTTCTCAGCAAGAAATGAACATGTTGTGAAATTACTTGGCCTAATTTTAACTCTGTCGTTCAACGCAAATCGTTTAACATTCAACATAAAAGGATTTGATGTATATATACCCATAGATGCAGATACACACACACACACAAATACAAATATATACAGTGGTACCTTGGGTTACAAACGCTTCAGGTTACAGACTCCGCTAACCCAGAAATAGTACCTCGGGTTAAGAACTTTGCTTCAGGATGAGAACAGAAATCGTGCAGCGGCGACAGGAAGCCCCATTAGCTAAAGTGGTGCTTAAGGTTAAGAACAGTTTCAGGTTAAGAACGGTCCTCTGGAAGGAATTAAGTTCTTTACCTGAGGTATCACTGTACAAGGACTCTTTTTTGTATTGCTTAATGATACTTATTTTGAGAGTTTCATTCTTAGAATCAGGATACGACAGAATGAACCCTCTCCCTGAAGTTGGAGGGGGATCTGGAAGGTGGTTAATTACCAGCGGTTGGTAAATTAAAGCAAAACAACAGCAAAAACAGCAGCAACAGCAGCAAGAAACTTGATTAGGTAAGTGCTGATTCCAGTGCCCAGTTTTGTCATATAGGGCAGGTGAAAAAAAGACATAACCAGCAAGGCCTTCTTAGTTGTCCTTTACTCTTTCGTTTTCAGGAAACCAAATATTAAGTACCTGGGTTACAAAACTGCTCCGAAAAGTCAAGCCCACTTCCTTTGACGTTCGCCTCCTACGAATGACACACAATCTAACACCCACCTACCAACCCTGAGAAACATCTACAAAACCTGCATCCACTTTCCTTCCAGCCAAAGATAAAACGCCCCGCAGCTCACAAAGCAAATATAACGAGTGCTTACGTAAAAAGGAAGGGGGGGGGGGGAGAAACCAAGAGAGAAAGTCCTTAGTCATCAGGAGTCTATGCAGCAATTTCGCTTGCTTTTGTATTTATCTGTTATTATTCGCTTTCAAACGCTAAACAATGGGCAATATTTCTTTTGGTGGGAGAGCAGGGCTGAAACCATAATGGGAAGGCGGTTATTTGAAATGGAAGGGAAAGCCCAATGGTGACATAAATCACTTCACTTTGTTCCAAAACACACCACACATTTAGCTGTGACAAGAATCGACTGGCTAGGCTTTGGATTCAACAACACATTAAGAAAAGAGGGAGATGGCAGCTCTCTTATGGCCATAATGGACCAGGGTTAGCTTGGGCGTCATGGCGATTCAAGTTCCCCAACAGCCAACCAAGTGTAGCATCCCGTTCCCCACAGTGGCCAATCAGATGCTTTTTGTGGAGCCCACTAGGAGATCAGGAGGGCAATAGCCATCTCCCATTGTTGCTTCCCAGCAACCGGTATTTAGAGGCCTATTGCCTTTGAACCTGGAGCTTACATACAGCAACCCCACAAAACAAAGTGAGGCTGGTGACTGCAGGGTCTTTTCAGTAGTGGCTCTTGAGTCGCATCTGGTGTCATGAAATCATAGAATTGTAGGGACCCAAGGGTCATCTAGTCCAAGCCCCCTGCAATGCAGGAAGATCAGCTAAAGCATCCATGACAGATGGCCATCCCACCTCTGCTTAAAAACCTCCAAGGAAGGAGAGCCCACAACCTCCTGTGGGTGACTGTTCCACTAGCAAACAGCTCTTCCTGTCAGAAAGGTTTTTATTCTGAATGTTTAGTCTAAAGTTGCCAAAATTTTTTCAAAGAATCCGGGGACACTTTTTGTTTTTGAAAAGAGAAAAAAAAGTTATTTCAAATAATAACAATTAAGAAGTAGTATCTTCTCTTCTGTGGTCTCCTCTGTCGCACAGCCTTCCTCTGGGCCCCGGCCTGCTATCTTTGAGTGCTAGCTGCCGTGGAGTAGGCTCGGGTCAGCCTGGGCTCTACCACGTGTCCTTTCCCTCCTGGTGCTCTCCTACCTCTCCTTCTCAGTCGCGGCGGCAGCAGTGGTGCGGCAAGGTCAGGGCTCCCATCTTTTTTCTCATTCCTCTTTCTCTCTCTTCCTTCTCCTCTCCTTCTCCCTGCGTCGGCCCCGGGGTTTTCCTGGCCCCTGAGCGCCACTGGGCAGTCAGCTGGGTGGCCAGGCACTCTTGTTCCCGGCTCAATTTGGGTCATGGGGGGTCAGCGGTTCCCCCAGTTGATGCGCTGGGTGTCCCTGGTTCCCCCTTGGCAATGGCAGCAGCAGTCTAAGCAGCTCGGAGCCAGCCTGGTAGTGCAGTTGGCTCTGGCTGGCTTCAGGAGCTGCTCGCTGCCATGGCGTCCGCCCTTTTGCCTCACCAGAAGTCCCTATATGATGTGTCTTGTGCCGTTGAACCAATCACACAACATTCATTCCCTACTAATAAATCTACAACACTTAAATCCGGGGACATTAACTGAAAATCCGGGGACATTAACTGAAATTAATGGGGACGGGTTTTGTAAATCCGGGGACTGTCCATGGGAAACAGGGACATCTGGTAACCATAATTTAGTCAGAATCTCCTTTCTTGTAACTTGAAGCCATCGGTTCAAGTCCTACCCTCCAGAGCAGGAGAAAAGAAGCTTGCTCCCTCTTTCATGTGACAGCCCTTAAGATATCTGAAGATGGTTATCGTATCTCCTCTCAGTCTCCTCTTTTGCAGGCTAAACATACCCAGCTCCTTCAACCGTTCCTCATAAGGCTTGGTTGATCATCTTGGTTGCCCTCCTTTGCACATGTTCTAGCCTGTCAACATCCTTCTTAAATTGTGGTGCCCAGAATTGGACACAGTACTCTAGGTGTGCTCCGCCCAAGGCCCAATAGAGTGGTACTATTACTTCCCTTGATCTGGACAGTAGACTTCTGTTGATGCAGCCTAGAATAGAGTTAGCCTTTTTTTGGCGTCATATTTATGGTCCTTCTAGCATCAGGTTAAGATGCTTCTGTTCAGCCAAGCTCTTGCTTTACTGGTCTTTAAGAAGAAATTTTTGTTTCAATGGTTCTTGTGCTTATTTGTGTATTTTAGGCATATTTACTAGGAAATATGCCCCGTTGAAGACTGTGGACCATGCATAGGATTGCATTGTTAATTGTTTTACTGCATTGTTTCTGTTTAACTGGAAATGTGTTGTTTAATATTTCATTTTATTAAATTGTCTTTAAGGTGCTCTGAGCACCTTTAAGTAAAAAATAAATCAGAAAAGTGGAGCAGGAGGAGGATACATAATTCAATTTGCAACTGCGGCAGCTTAAGCCCGGTGTGAGAATTTCCTTATTTATATTCCTGTGCTTTGAAGTCTTCATTTTGAATACTTGGAACAGACTTTGTTTTACTTCAATGTATCAGCTTCCCAGGCAGCTGCCTTCTTTAGATAAGTGTGTGTCTTACCCAAGAAACAGGATATGCGGGGATATTGATTTAAAAAAAAAGATTCCAAACCAAGTTATTTTATTTTACTAAGCAGGAATTAATAATAATAATTATTATTTTACTATTTATACCCTAAAGTACAAAATAAAAAGGAAATTGGTACAGTCACATAGCATCATGGCACTGTTTACATTTTGATAGCAAGCCTTGTCTTTAATATAGGTTACAGAAATAATAAGAGGACTTTCCAGATATGGCTCCCCACCTGTGGAATGCCAACTTCTTTTCGGCGCCAGGTAAAGAATTACCGTATTTTTCGCGCTATAAGACGCACCAGACCACAAGACGCACCTAATTTTTGGAGGAGGAAAACAAGAAAAAAAATATTCTGAATCTCAGAAGCCAGAACAGCAAGATGGATCGCTGCGCAGTGAAAGCAGCAATCCCTCTTGCTGTTCTGGCTTCTGGGATAGCTGCGCAGCCTGCATTCACTCCATAAGACGCACACACATTTCCCCTTACTTTTTAGGAGGGAAAAAGTGAGTCTTATAGAGCAAAAAATACGGTACCTTTTTCTCCAAGCCTTAGATGGGCTGTGCTGATTCTGTTGTATTGTTAATGTGCTGCACACCTTCCTATGACTGTTCTTGAGATAGAATGCCATTATTATTATTATTATTATTATTATTATTATTACCCATCCTTGTCCCTGGATGAGTTACAGCAATTTAAAAATTCTGTTTATGTTTCTAAATGTAAGTCATTTGGGGACCTTCTAGGTAGCAAGCAACTAATAAGTTTAATTATTATTAATAGTAATAATAGCAACACATAAAAAATATATGATGGCATACCAGACCCACAACCACAGAGAATTTTCCCATAAAGATAAAACGGTAAGTTGCAATGCATTTCCCAAATGTTATCACATTTCCTTTTTCATGTCCCAGCCTGATTACAATTAATGCAGCAATTTTCTTTGACTTTGATTAAGCCCCTATTTTTACCATTAAAGCGGGGTAAGTTTAGCAACATTTAGTGGAGACAGATAAAATACAAACAATTGCTACTTTAGAAACCATATGTGGCTAGACGTTACAAAGACGTGCTATCAAAAATCTCAAGTGCTAATTAATTATACTTTCTGATATGTGTTTGGAATAAAGTGGGATTTCACATTTTGCTCGCTTTGAAAAACTGGCTGGTGAGTTTGAAAATAGCCGAGGAACTTCAAGTTGCTTATCTGAAAAGAAGGAATCTTGGCAGAAGCAAGAACTTGCTGGTCTGTCGTGCTAACTGTTTCTCTTTAACAAGGTCAGAATAAGTATTTCAAAGCTTTCATTATTTGTGCAAGAATAGACGTTGTGTCTGGTTTGGGTTTAGGGGATTTGGGTGTCTGAGTTAATCTGACACCTGCTTTGAGACAGTCTACCATTTTCCTGCCAAACAAGCTGGAAAAACCTGTCACACAACATACAGAACAGCTTACAAAAACAAAGCCTCACCCTGAATATTTATATTTTATTTTTATTTTTTTCAACTTTATATATTTGATTTTCCATAGAAAAAATTACACTCACACCACAACATATTATATAAAAACAGGATTCTCACGAATCCTCTGAACTTCCCTCCTCCCCTTTGTGGTTCTTTTTGTTAAACCTTTCCTACTGCATCTTTTAATAGTCCAAAATTTTATATCTCCATTATATCCATAGTCCTTGTCAGTGCTTTTTTTCTGGCGGGACGCATACCACTAAACATTTTGTGAATCTTTGTACTTTTGTCCATCTACTGTATTTGTTTTTCTCGATTTGAACTATACAATGGTAACTTTCTTAAGTCAAAGTGAGAGTACCCCTAAACATTTTTTTAGGAAAAAAGCACTGGTTCTTGTTACATTACAAGTGTTATTGCAATCCCGCTAACAATTTTAACTGTTTACAGTTGTCTTTAAGGTAAGTTATAAATTTCCCCCATTCCTTATTAAAGTTTTGGTCTTCCTGATTTCTGATTTTTCCAGTCATTTTTGCCATCTCATCATAGTCCATCAACTTGATCTGCCATTCTTCTCTGGTAGGGACTTTGTCTTCTTTCCATCTCCCTCTTTCTCTCTCTCTCTTTTACTGAATACTTATATTTTAACTTATAAGAGCCTCTTTCTTCCAAAATGGTTATTATTTATTGACAATAGCTTTCTGGCTTTGTCTTAACCTGCATAACCTAGTTGGATTGTTATTCTACAGGTTAAAGTTTTCCACAGAGATGAGGGACCTGCAGGCACTTCAGAGGTTGATAAACTATGGTTCTTTATCGCCCTTCACTATCAGCCAAGCTGGCTGGGCGCTAATGGGAATTACAATGGAATTGTTATAAGAAAAACTGCTCCCTTTCCCTTATGGGGTATTGCAGAGCCTGTATAGAGTCCTTAAGTGGGTTCCCTATCGGTAGGAGAAAACAGAGGCCAACCAGAGTATATTGAGAAGCAAAGCGGCTAGTAAGCCCGATCTTTATTAAAGGAACTGTTGCAACACTCACCATGCGCAGTAGAGAGGAGAACCCTGAACAATGGTGCGCAAGCCCTTATATAGACTTTTGAAATTGCCCACCCTGTAGCCCAAGACCCCCCCTCCCTGAAACATCATACATACATCACAGAAGGAGGCGGTCTACAGCAGAAAGCCTGCCTGCCAGTATACCTGATAATGGTCACTGATTGCATTACCTGGGCAGCCTGGCCATTCTTTTGTGATGGTTAATACTTTAGTTCCTGAATCCAGGTCACAGGCTCACCCTATTCATGCATAAATACGCCCCTAAGACAGGATTTGCGAGGAAAAGGACAGTGGGAAGGCTTTCCCCATTTGCCTCCCTTACTGCAGAGCAATATATGTGGTCATTGGGAAAGTCAAAATGGCTTCAGGATTGCTCTCCCATACCATTTCAGACACATGGTTCATATATTTAGATATGTGTGCATTTGTGAATATTTATTCTATATTTGAGACCTTAAAATTCTTATAACAAAATCTAGACGTCCACAGTTCCACCACCTATGTCAATATAGGGATGATATAATAGTGAAGTCCCCCCCCCTTAAATGTGTCCCTTACTTTCAATATACCTGAAACCACTCTGCCTTTTGAGAGAATGGAGTAAAATATTGAGAAGTAAATAAAAGAAATTTGTCAGGAACAACTAATTAACTGCAAGTCAGAAGGAGACTTCTGGTTTGTTAACTAGGCTGAAGTGACCTAATCATTTGGTCTTTATGTCCACCTCCTCAAATACACTTTATCATGATTTCCCCCTTCTGCATTTGCTGACACGAAGAGGGAAGTGTTATTTTCTGACACCCATACAAGTACTGTGGGACAGATTGCCAAAAGTTCAATATGTGGGGGATATTTTTGTATCTCAAAGCCTCATTCCACCCATGCAATTCAGCGACGTCGGAAATGTTTTGTGCCCAATTCAATGGGCCATTCGTGCTTGCTTGCTCTGTTTTTACAGTTTGTGACTCCTGACATGGTGGCACTTCTGTCGAGTGGCGCTGAACTTCCTGCCTCGCCGTTTTTCTTGCCTAAATGTTTGCACTTTGCTATCAATGCGATCTGCAGTAACTGTCAGAGAGCTGCACATTGCTTCTCTCAATTAAGAGGAGAATGTAGCTCTAGGGGACGGTGGCCTATCAAGAACGATTAGAAGGCTTTGCCTGAATTCTAAGGAGGGAGCTCCATCAAGCAGTTTATAATAGCTGTAGGGAACTGGCTTGTGTCTGTACAGAGTTCCTTGATAAACAGGCTTCTAAAAGTAGCAGGAGAGCCTTAAGAGTTGATTCTTCTCCAACAGGAACGGAAAATATTACAGCAGGGGTGAGGAACTTGCGGCCTCTCAGAAGTTGTGGGACTACAACTTCTATCATCCCTGATGACTGGCCATGCTACAACTAATTTTAGACTCACAGTTGTCCATGGAGGCACAGGTCAACTCTATGTCCAGGGCAGCTGTATACCAGCTCCATCTGGTACGCCGCCTGAGACCTTACCTGCCTGTGGACTGTCTCACCAGAGTTTTCTCTAGTTATCTCCCACTTGGACTGCTGATATGTGCTCTGCGTGGGGCTTCCTTTGAAAGTGACCCGGAAACTACAACTAATCCAGAATGCAGCAGCTAGACTGGTGACTGGGAGTGGCCACTGAGACTATATAACACCGGTCCTGAAAGACCTACATTGGCTCCCAGTACATTTCCAAGCACAATTCAAAGTGTTGGTGCTGACCTTTAAAGCCCTAAATGGCCTCGGTCCAGTATACCTGAAGGAGCGTCTCCAGGAATTCAGTCATAACAGCAGCTAACTATGCTTAGCAGCAGCTGAGCTTCACAAACCAGCTTCAAACTCTTGACTTCAAGATCCTGGTTTGCCAGCACCAAAGAAACCATGGTCAGGTCAATGTGCTAAAACAAACCATGGTTTCATGTTATAGCTGGATATGGGATATCCGAGCACCATTCAAAGTGTTGGTGCTGACCTTTAAAGCTCTAAACGGCCTCAGTCCAGTATACCTGAAGGAGCATCTCCATCCCCTTCGCTCAGCCTGGACATTGAGGTCCAGCTCCGAGGGCCTTCTGGCAGCTCCCTCACTGTGAGAAGTGAGGTTAGAGGGAACCAGGCAGAGGGCCTCCTTGGTAGTGGCACCCATCCTGTGGAATGCCCTCCCATCAGATGTCAATGAAATAAATAACTATACAACTTTTAGAAGACATCTGAAGGCAGCGCTGTATAGGAAATGTGTAATGCTTTGTTATGTTTTTATATATGCTGGAAGCCCAGTCAGCTGAGCGAGGTACAAATAATGATGATGATGATGATGATGGATGGGGACTGAGGCAACATCTGCCTCAGATTTCCCAGCTCAGCATGAGAGCTTCAATAGCAGTACTCTCTATTTTTCCATGTAATATGGACTTAGGAGCACTGTTCCTTGGTAGGTTAGTTACTTCCACATCTTAGACAAACTCTTGTGCGAAAGAAATGAACAATTGTTTCTTCTTATAGGTTCTGAACTGGCCATGCCAGAAGCAGATGTTTATGATTTCTCGAGAAATCAGGTTTTAATTGATCATGCCCTCAAATAAATGCAATTTTTTTTGAATGTGTAAAAAACCACAAGTTTTCCCAACCACCCTTTGTTTGGAAGCTTTTAACACACGTTGCTTGTATGAGAGGAGTACAGTGGTACCTTGGTTTTCAAACGCCTTGGTTTCCAAACACCAAAAACCCGGAAGTAAGTGTTCTGGTTTTTGAATGTTTTTCGGAAGCTGAACATCTGATGCAGCTGTCGGCTATTGTTTCCGGGGCATCTGCACCAATCAGAAGCTGCACTGTGGTTTTAAAACATTTCAGAAGTCAAACGGACTTCCGGAACGGATTAAGTTTGGTGCTTTTGTTTTTGCTATTTATTTTTAGTTTTTGAGGCTTTTTTGGTTAATTTGTTCTTGTGACTATGTAGAACTAAGTTCAGCTACTGATTGATTGATTGATTGATTGATTGTGTGACTGCGGAAATGGATAAAAGCAAAAGCAAAGGCCTGGAAACGATGCCTTATGAGGAACGGCTAAGGGAGCTGGGCATGTTTAGCCTGGAGAAGAGGAGGTTAAGGGGTGATATGATAGCCATGTTCAAATATATAAAAGGATGTCACATAGAGGAGGGAGAAAGGTTGTTTTCTGCTGCTCCAGAGAAGCGGACACGGAGCAATGGATCCAAACTACAAGAAAGAAGATTCCACCTAAACATTAGGAAGAACTTCCTGACAGTAAGAGCTGTTCGACAGTGGAATTTGCTGCCAAGGAGTGTGGTGGAGTCTCCTTCTTTGGAGGTCTTTAAGCAGAGGCTTGACAACCATATGTCAGGAGTGCTCTGATGGTGTTTCCTGCTTGGCAGGGGGTTGGACTCGATGGCCCTTGTGGTCTCTTCCAACTCTATGATTCTATGATTCTATGAAATCCAAACAATGACTAACATCAGTGCAGGTAAGAAAAGAAATACTTTTAATTTTTATAATCTACAATACTGTGTTATTTATTTTATAGTACAGTGCATTGATTATTGCTTTCATTTTACGGATCAATGGTCTTGTTAGATGGTAAAATTCATATTAAATTGCTGTTTTAGGGGTTGTTTTTAAAAGTCTAGAACGGATTTATCCGTTTTGCATTACTTTCTATGGGAAAGAGCACCTTGGTTTAGGAACGGACTTCCGGAATGAATTAAGTTTAAGAACCAAGGTACCACTGTGCTGTTTCTTGTCCATTGTAACTATTCTGAGTTTTCGAACACCTGGTAAAAAAGCTCTTTATCGCCCTCACCTGGTAGTTAATGGAAGAGAAGCTTGGGATCTTCACTGCACATTGCACAGCAATGAGTGACTCACGCATTCTCTGTTTAAAGTGCATATATGCTACCCTCTGTGACCCACATGGGTGGAAATAATCCTGGCACTGATAAACGCCCATGGCTTGTAGGACAACCTGTGGGGGTTTGTGAAAGTGATATTTACCAAGCTGACAAGTTATTTTAATCCTAATGAACAGGAACAAGCCACAAACCTTTTCAAGGCAGATTTGGACATGATGAGAAAGTGGAACGATGTCCAAAAATAAAGGAAGTGCTAAGAATCATACGTACCACAGGCAGGTTACATCTGGAGGGCCATATCTGACCCATCTCAGTTTTAAAATTGATTTTGAAGTTAGGATTTCCAGCTTTTCAGCCAACCACTATAGCTGTGCCCTTCACAGTGGGTTGCAAGCATATTGCAGATGATATTTTATCTCCATGCGGTGAGTGAAAAAATTTACCTGCTGATTTGTGAAGATCGAACTACTGCTAAATGGTAACTTTACTCGAATCTATTTATTTGTGAAGCTTCTCTTGGCCCTGGCAAATTATAATTACAGATAATATCCCATACTCTCAAAAGACACGAAAACATTAAAGAGGTTTTTTCCTTCCAACCATATGTGCTAGGCCGCGTTTAATTTAAACTTACCTCACATGAAATAGCAATGATGCTTGGAAGTGTGTAAACTGCTTTGGGATTTATGTAAACCACGTAGAGGTTTATTGGGGATTAAGCAGCATAGAAAAAGCTGTTTAATAATAAAACCTTGTATTTCAAAGTTTGTGTTGTTGTTTAGTCGTTTAGTCGTGTCCGACTCTTCGTCACCCCATGGATCAGAGCACGCCAGGCACTCCTGTCTTCCACTGCCTCCTGCAGTTTGGTCAAACTCATGCTGGTAGCTTCGAGAACACTGTCCAACCATCTCGTCCTCTGCCGTCCCCTTCTCCTTGTGCCCTCCATCTTTCCCAACATCAGGGTCTTTCCCAGGGAGTCTTCTCTTCTCATGAGGTGGCCAAAGTATTGGAGCCTCAGCTCCAGGATCTGTCCTTCCAGTGAGCACTCAGGGCTGATTTCCTTAAGAATGAAGAGGTTTGATCTTCTTGCAGTCCATGGGACTCTCAAAAGTTCAAAGTTATTGAAATACAATTAATCAGCTAAATATCAGATTGTTAACTTCAGAGTTTAAGTTCAGAACCTGCAGAATCACGGTTTCGCCAAAATCCCGATGTCATCCGTTTCACTCAAAAACGGTGCCAAACACCTGCAACACTTGGCAGTGCAAACGTCGTGTTTCAGGCACGCCAAAAAATAAGCCCTCAGCACCCTGACCCGCGGATCATGGTTTGACCAACCAAACGTTTTGCCAAACAAACCTTGGAGGGACCTTGTGCCAGTGTTTGGATCCACTTTTGTGTGAATCGGACGATGTTGAGTTTTAAATCTTGACGCCACGGATTAGGGCGTCGAGGGGGTTATTTTGTGGGGCGCTGTGAAACGTGTTGTTTTAACCGCTAAGCGTTGCAGTGGGACTCGTGTCAACGTTTGCAGCCGCTTTGGAGAGAATCGAATGACGTCAGAGTTACCGTATTTTTTGCCCTATAGGATGCACTTTTCCCCTCCAAAAATGAAGGGGAAATCTGTGTGCGTCCTATGGGGCGAATACAGGCTTTCGCTGAAGCTTGGAGAGCGAGACGGGTCGGTGCGCACCGATCCCTCTCGCTCTCCAGGCTTCAGGATGCTAGCAAGCCTGGGGAGCCCTGCGGGAGTTTCCACAGGGCTCCCCACGCTGCGGACGGCAGCCTGCCGCCCGTCGCGCAGAGCACCCTGAGGCAGAGCGCCCCGGGCGCCAGGCAGACATCCGCAGCGTAGGGAGCCCTGCGGGAGTTCCCGCAGGGCTCCCCACGCTGCGGATAGCAGCCTGCTGCACGGCTGAAGCAGAGCGCCCCGCACTTCGGGCAGACATCGGCCAGCCCCACAAGCTCGGGGGACAGCGGGGAGGCGCAGCGCCGCCATCCCGCTGTTCCCCGACCTGGTTTTGGGGGGGAAATAAAGGAAAAAATTTTTTCCTTTATTTCCCCCCCCCAAAAAACTAGGTGCGTCCTATGGGACGGAGCGTCCTATGGGACGAAAAATACGGTAAGTGAAAACTCATCAGTTACAGTTGCAAATGGCAACAAAATGCCTGTGCAAGGAAAAGGAGCAGGTTCGCTCAAGTGTGTTGCAAGTAGAAAAGCTGTTTGTAATGAAGTGAGAGATGGAGTTTACTTGCCCGCATTAACAGTTTGCTGAGTGCCACAACCCTGCCCGAGCGTGGTTTTAATGCAAATTTGAATCACAACAAACGTGCAGTTGCCAAAGATGGTATTTTGTATGGACAGAATTTTGAAAACAATGGATCGGGGGGGCGGGGTGGGGGGCTTGTGTGCTTTGCTCCGGAATCAGGATTATAGCAGACCTGCAAAAAAGTGGGGCATATAATATTAATTCTTGCAGGCGGGGGTGTGGGGATCTAAATGGATGAACTACTTGTTCTCAATCACTTATATTCCTAGGAGTTTATGGGTGGTGTGTTTTAGCTGGGTATATAAATTTTTAAAAAGAAGAAAAAAGAAAAAGAAGACAAGGTTTGGTGAGAAGAATGGATATGAAACCTTGTAAAGTTGACCTGAATAGTGAAATATCCCAGGTGGGGCTTGGTAGCTTGGGAAGCAGGTGTCTGATGCCTCAGCTGGAGAAGGCTCAGGTGAGGGTCAGATGCCTCGTAAAGCCCAGAGGATATAACAGGAAGACCTGCGTCCTGGCCAGGCCTGCGTCCCATCGTAGGACATAAAATGAGCCCTCAGTGCCCTAACCCGCGGGGTGACAACTTCACCTAAATCCCGACATCGTCCGATTCACTCGAAAACAGTGCCAAACACCTGCAAAAATGAGCTCTCAGAGCCCAAACTCCGCTGTAAACCAGCCCAGATTCATGTGTGCAGCTGGAGCGTGCGGTTTCAAATCAGTTCAGCTCTATGTATTCCCCAAAGGGCAAAATTTGGCCTCTTGACACTCAGTTCTATGTATAAACACGGACTGATCCTGCCTGCGGTCACAAACACAACATACATAATGCTGAAAGCACTTTATTAATTGCATCATCCATGTGTCACATATTAATTGTAGGCAAATTAAAGAGGAGAAACAACCTCTGCACTAACGGTCCCTGGAGATCTGCCTTCTAGCTTTCCGAGTGTTTAGCCTGCAAGAGTAACAGCACAATCCTACGCTTATTTACTCAGAAGCAGGTCCCACTGGGCGCAATGATACGTATTCCCAGATAAGTGAATGTAGGTTTGCTGACTTGGGGTGGGGGGGTAGAGAAGCAGCCATTTGTGGTGAGGGCAACAGCAAGTGAAATGAAGATGACTCAATGGGGAGGAGGGCAGGGCTCCCGCCCCTTTCATCCCCCAGAGGTAGCTGTATTAATCTGTTGCAGTGAAAACAAACAACATGGTGCGGTGGTCCCACTTGTTGGCATCTGTCTATCTGCGGAGACAATGAAGGAGTGTGCCACTGGGGGTGAAGTCAAGCAGTTGGAGAGTTACAGTTCCTGCTGTGGCAGCAGAGACTGATACAGGAGAGACATATTTTGTTGCAGCCGGGGCAGATGAAGGCATCTGGTTCTGCTGATGATGATGCAGATTACACTATGGCGTTTCTTCTCTCTGTGCTCCTCTCAGAGGTCATTTCTCCTTGGGTCACTGCTATGGATGCATGCCCGTTTCCAGGGCACTGTGGCTGTATGCAAGAGATTCCCACCCGGTGGGGTCGATGCTGCCAGCCTTCGTGTCACGTTTGCAGACATCTTTGTAACGCAAAACGAACGGGCTCTACAGTGCATGTCAAGCAGCAAGTTGGACCCCAAGATCTCCTACAATGATTTTTTTTGCAGATAAAGTCGCTCAGATTTGGAAAGAGGTAATCTCCATCGTGGGAGCAGGGCCGGGCCAGGAGAGTGCTAGAGTCCTGTCTAGTCAAGTTGTGTGGGATCAATTCCAATCTGTTACCTCTGAGGATGTGGACAGGCTTCTTGGACGAGTGAAACCGACCACCTGTCTCCTTGATCCTTGCCCATCCTGGCTCATAAAAGCAAGCTGGGAAGGGCTGGGTGATGGGCTCTGTGGGGTGGTGAATGCTTCCCTCTGTGAGGGAGCCTGCCCAAACCCACTGAAAGAGGTGGTTATTAAACCGCTTCTTAAAAAAAGAATCTTTGGACCCGGCCAATATGGCCAACTATTGCCCAGTCTCAAATCTACCATTCTTGGGCAAGGTGATTGAGCAGGTGGTTGCTGAACAACTCCAGGCACGCCTGGAGGATGCGGATCACTTGGATCCCTTCCAATCGGGAACTGTCCATGGGACTGTCCATGGAGGGGCAGATCAATTGTGTCCAGGGCAGCTGTCTACCAGCTCCATCTGGTACACTGGCTGACCCCCTACCTGTCTGCAGACTGTCTCGGCAGAGTGGTGCATGTTCTAGTTATCTCCCGCTGGGACTACTGCAATGCACTCTGCGTGGGGCTACCTTTGAAAGTGACCCGGAAACTACAACTAGACTGGTGACTGGGAGTGGCCGCCGAGACTATATAAAACCGGTCCTGAAAGACCTACATTCGCTCCGTTTCCCAGCACAATTCAAAGTGTTGGTGGTGACCTTTAAAGCCTAAACGGCCTCCGCCCAGTATACCTGAAGAAGCATCTCCACCCCCATCATTCATTCCGGACGCAAAGGTCCAGCTCCGAGGGCCTTCTAGCAGTTCCCTCACAGAAGTGAGGTTACAGGCAACCAGGCAGAGGTCTTTTAGGAGACATCTGAAGACAGCCCTGTTTTTTATGCTTGCTGTTTTATTGTGTTTGTAATATTCTGTTGGGAGCTGGGGTATAAATAATTATTATTATTAGGCAAAAAGTTCCCTGCATTGCAAGGGGGTTGGACTAGATGATCCTGGGGGATCCCTTCCAACTCTGCATATTCTATGATGAGACGGGCCAAAGGTCACCCACTAAGTTGTTAGTGGGGATTCCCCCAGGGCAGTCCCGGGGAGGCACTTTCCTCCCCGTTTTCCTGCCTCCCTCTCTACCGCCTCGGGGCGCGTTTAATTTCATAGTCTTGAACTGCTTTCCCCAAACTCCCACTGCGGTGTGAGATCTCCTCCTACCGCCCTGGAGGAAGCGACTTCCTTCCCCCGCGGTAGGGAGGAGCGCCTTGATCTCCTCCGCCCCCTCCAGCCCCGGCTAGCCGATCCCCCATCGCCAGGGCGCCTCCAATGCGCAATTGCGCGCACAACACAAGCCGGTTCTCTGCATCCAGGCCTCGGCCGCCGCGGCTCTCGGCGCTTTCCGAGGCATCGCTTTGTTCAAACAGCGGCGGGCAATGCAGCTGGGATCCGGCGCGACCCGGCAGCGGCTGCCGCCGTATTTGGTGCTCCTACCGCTGCTGTGCGCCCCAGCGGCGGTTCGGCCGGTCCGGTCCGGTGGCGCGCCGGCATTGCTCGCAGGTAAAGCGGCTGGAGGCTAACGCGCTGTTGGGCAGCGATCCTGAACTGCCTTTCTCAGTTTGGGTTCCTAGAGGTTGATGGACTACAGCTCCCATCGTCCCTCGCCACTGGTCCTGCTAGCCAGGGATGATGGGAGTTGTAGTCCAACCAAACCTCTTGGGGACCCAAGGTTGAGAAAGGTGGTCGGATTTACCTCTGAGTAAACATGCATCCGATTCAGGGCTAAGCTGCAGTTCTAGGACCATAGGAGCCAACTCCGAGGGGGCTGAGGTCCCTTTGCCCCCCAAATATTGTGGGGGGACCGGGCCCCCCCGAAAGTAGATGGGCCTTGCCATTCAAATAGTCAAATGGTGTGCTTGTGCTGCGTCGTGTTCAAGTGGAGCAGGGCTTTTCTGGACTTGGCCCCCCCTCCAATCTTGTATCCAAATTGCCACTCCTGCCTTTGACGTTGGGGACAGGAGAAGCTGTAGTGCTTCCAGACGTTGTTGGACTAATGGGGGTTGGACTAGATGACCCTAGGGATACCTTCCAACACTATGATTCTTTGGTTCTGCAGGTACACATGCTCCCCATACCTGCTACTGCCATTCAGTAGGAATTTATGTAATTTGTGTAAACATGGGATAGGCTCGTGTGTTTACTTTTTCTCTCTGGTTGTGCGTTCAGTACTTTGTCTTGGCAGTACTTTGCTTCCCATAAATATTCCAGTTGTGTGCAAATGTCAATCAACCCTTGGCCTGTGATCCGGTAACTAGAATATGGGAGACTAAATAGCTTCATGGTGGTGCTGTGGTCTAAACCACAGAGCCTAGGGCTTGCCAATCAGAAGGTCGGTGGTTTGAATCCCCGTGATGGGGTGAGCTCCCGTTGCTTGTTCCCTGCTCCTGCCAACCTAGCAGTTCAAAAGCACGTCAAAGTGCAAGTAGATAAATAGGTACTGCTCCAGCGGGGAGGTGAACGGCGTTTCCGTGAGCTGCTCTGGTTCGCCAGAAGCGGCTTAGTCATGCTGGCCACATGACCCGGAAGCTGTACGCCGGCTCCCTCGGCCAATAAAGCGAAATGAGAGCCGCAACCCCAGAGTCGGTCACAACTGGACCTAATGGTTAGGGGTCCCTTTACCTTTATGTACATGTTTGTGTGAGGCACCCTGTGATCTCCCATCCACACTACTGATCAGAAGCTCTGTTAACCGCAAGCCTGAACGGCTGGTATCCCCTCAAAGTCTCTCCCAAAGTTTTGTGCTGGTTTGTAACTTTGAGATTCAGTTCTGCATCATCAGGTGCTTCAAAACAATTCTCAGGGCACAGTGATCTTGATCTAAGATATATGTGTCAGCTTGCATTTCTTAGTACAGAAAGTATTGATCTGATGTGTAGAGATCTTTCCTATTCTAATTAATTCAAGAGGCTTCTGGAGAAGCTTCTCTGCATGAAAGAAGCAAGCAGAAGGTTCATGATGTTTGAGTACAGCTGGTTTAAACTGGTTCTCTTCTTACCTTTTCTGTCAAGGTCATGCTGGCTATAAAAATAGGGCCAGAAGGAGCTTCGGTTTCACTTTCTATCTCTCTTCCTTCTGCTGAGGTGTTCCGTACATAGTATGCTTAGTGTTAAAGTTTAGACTTATTATAAGTTATTGTAAGCTTAAGTCTGCTGCAACTGGATTTCTTACGGACAGTGCCAATCCTGAATGTATTGGATTGTGACCATTATGCTCATTTGCCTTCAGTAGCAGTAAAGCTCTGCTGGATGAGATACAATTGCCTCTGGTCTATTTTGGGATTAATCCTGCAACGTGTTTAAGTTTTCCTTTGCTAACTATACATTGGAATCTACTCTGGATCAATATTGGGTAGAATCCCATGACGATATGAACTTGTGCCCGAGAAGGGTTGGCTGATGTTACGGAAGACTTAGAGCAGTGGTTCCCAAACGGTTTGGTATGGTGAGCCACAAATCCAAATTTACCAAATATGCATCCATTTATTGTCATTTGAAGTTAGACCTTAGGTCAGGGGTCAGCAAACTTTTTCAGCAGGTCCACTGTCCCTCAGACCTTGTGGGGGGCAGGACTATATTCTGAAAAAGAAAAAGAAAAGAAAGAACAAATTCCTATGCCCCACAAATGACCCAGAGATGCATTTTAAATAAAAGCACACGTTCTACTCATGTAAAAACACGCTGATTCCCGGACCACCCACAAGCTGGATTGAGAAGGCAATTGGGCCGGATCCAGCCCCCGGGCCTTACTTTGCCTACCCATGCCTTAGGGCTTTGGCAGTTGATGGGTTCATGCATTTTAACTGCAAGCTTGCCTGTTTTTAAGCAGCACGTGTGGCACCAAAGCAAAAAAATTATTTAATGGCCCTATTAATGTGGAATTTGTCGAAATATTTACAGTACTTCCAAAGTCATTTACACTTTAGTTTGTGCGGTGGGTGCTGTGTTTAGGGATACCTATCAGCCAAGGAGAGCAATTTAAAAAGTAACAAAAACGAAATCAGTAAGATGAGATCCAAATATTGTAATCTGTTCAACTGCTGTTTCCAGTCATGTTGCAGTACTTTCTCCTAAGCCCAGATATGCAGAAGCTGAATGTTATTCCACAGTAGCAAGAGCAATGCATCTTCTCATCTTCAGAAACACTCTCCACACACAGATCTTATGGCCCCAGGGACCTTAAGATTGTAGCCTGACTAGTGTAGCATGATTTCAAGTTATGACACCAGTTCCCGGTTTACTTCCAGCCTTATTGTGGGGCTGCAGGCCAGGCAGTTGCACCAATGCAATTTTTCTTTTTTCTTTTTTTATAAGATATTTATTAAAGTTTCAACATAATACAAAAATAAGCGAAAAAAGAAAGAAAAAAAAGAGGGAAAAAAGTACAAAATAAAAACAGTTAAAAAACAGATTAGTCTTTCCGTATCTTAACTTTCATTTGCTTGTTTCCCCGACCTCTTCACACCTCCCTTTTTTGTATTCCAGTTCAAATTAGTTAATTCAGCAAATCCTTTCCCTCTTTGATTCTATCTTAATCTTTTATCTTAATATATTGTAACTTTAGATTATCACCTGTTAACAATCCACTTTTACATATTCCTTTATAACATTGCTGCTAAAAACCATTTAACTTCAATCCAACATCATTCTAACATTCATTAATTTTACAGTATTTCTGTAGATAGTCTTTAAATTTCTTCCAATCTTCTTCCACCAACTCTTCTCCCTGGTCTCGGATTCTGCCTGTCATTTCCGCCAGTTCCATATAGTCCATCACCTTCATCTGCCATTCTTCCAGAGTGGGTAAATCTTGTGTCTTCCAGTAGTTTGCAATAAGAATTCTTGCTGCTGTTGTAGCATACATAAAGAAAGTTCTGTCCTTCTTTGGCACCAATTGGCCGACTATGCCCAGGAGAAAGGCCTCTGGTTTCTTCAGGAAGGTATATTTAAATACCTTTTTCATTTCATTATAGATCATCTCCCAGAAAGCCTTAATCCTTGGGCACGTCCACCAAAGGTGAAAGAATGTACCTTCAGCACCAATGCAGTTTTTCATGGGCTGCATGCCTGCAGCCTAACACAGTAAAGCACATTCGTCTATTTTTTGCTGGGAGGGGGAAAGGGGAAAAAACTGGAATCATATGATTCTGGTCACCTGTTGAGGATTGGACAGGAAGACTCACAATAGCTTCTCTGTTGGAACAGTCTCAGCGGTAAGCATTTGGGGGTTTAGCAGTGGATTTTGCAGTGCCAGCATATCACACCTATTAAAAATACGCTGTCAATCAAGGTTTGTAGCTGGGAAAACCGATGTATACTGCAGATTACATATAGCAGCAGGAAAATGTCCGAGCGACTTGCATGCATCTCCAGACTTTGTGACGCCTTCTTCTTTCTCCGTCTAGAGAATAACTGTAGGTACTTGGAGACGATGGACGTCAGCCGTAGTTCAGAACCGGCTTGCTACTGCTACATTCCGCATGGAAAGATACAGCTGAAAAATATTTGGTCAACTATTCAGGTACAGCCCCAGCCCATGACTCATTCATCCCAAGGGAACGTGGTGACTGTTCTTCTCCCTAAAGAATACAGTTCTCACGATGGAAGACTAATGTATTGGAAGACAACTGCCACATGTTGGCATTCGGAAATGCCAGAAGGGGTGTTGTGTAGGAGAATTTGGAAGGTGTGACGTGCTTTCCTTTCTATTGTGGGTAGGGACTTTTGTGACATATCAACACCTTTCTTTTGAGTGGGCCTCTTTGCAAGACAAGTGCAGGAACAAATGTAAAAATCAGTGACAGCATATGGTATCATAAATATTTCTCAGTAACGAGTGTCTTTCTCTAACAGCAAAACAATATATTGAGAGGAAAGGTGGCAGCAAGAATCTTAGTTTTCTATCCCAACCAAAGTGGACTGGCAGACAAAATTACTAGAATTTACAGAATTAGCAAAGATAACGGGAAGAATTAGAGATAATACAGACCAAACGTTTATTAGAGAGTGGGATATTCACAGAAAACATCTTAAAGAGCATTGTAAAAATGTGAATTCTCTGGCAGGCTTGAAAGGACCCCTGTAGAAATATAGGAAATCTTATAGAATTAATGATACGGGATAAGACTGGAGTGATAACGAAAAGTGTGTTACATAAAAGTAACCCAGGACCCTCGATGGTGTGGTGGAAGTCATAATAGAAGTTGTGTTGTAAGAAATCCACTTACTTTTTGGAATTTGTATTACCTTTTGGTTTTTCGTTAGTTGACTGTTTTTTCTTTTTAAAAAAAACACTAATAAAGCAATTAAAAAAAGAGAGGAAAGGCAAAGCTAAATCTGCTTCTGGGAGTCTGTTGCAGGTCAGCAAGCAGAAATTTTGGACAATGGGATTTAGGGCGTTGTGTTTAATGGGACTTAACTTCCCAGTATGTATGTTCTGGTACGCGTCTTAAGGCTGAAATCCCAAGTTATTTCCTGGGAGTCCCATTGCACTCAATAGAACTTACATCAGACTAGATATGTACAGGACTGCACGGCATGTAGACATGCAAGTCTAGGTTGATTTTGTACTCAGAATCTTAGGAATTTTAGTTTTGGGGAGGGAGATCTGCCCCATGCTGCAGATCTAAAGTTCCGAAGCTCCTCTGGAGAGACAGAATAACTGATGAATCAGGTTGTTGGATAGATCTGTCCCTCTGGGCTCAATCAGAGTACCTTCAACACATAGACTTTCTGAAAAGAGCGGGAACATGGAATAAGTATCTCCCACTTCTGGGTAATATAGCAATGTGGCTCTCCAGATATTGTTGGATTCCAACTCCCATGAGCCTCTGGCAGGATGGCCAGCAATCAGGCATGATGGGAACTAGACTAGCAACAAGCGAAGGGTCGCAGCCTGCCTATCCCTGCTGAAAAGGCGATAACTCTCTACCTCCAAGGTATTTTGATCAAAGGTTCTCTTCTTCAGCTCTGCTATTTGCGTTAAGAGAGAATGGATGAAACAGAAGGCTGATAAGAGTGTGGCTTAGCATATTTTAGCTTGGAAATCAAGCCAGCTTATCCTGGACCCTCACAGAAGCCTTATTGAGGCATGCCGCTTGTACGTAGATCCTACACGTGAGCAAGGAGAAAGAAGCACCTTAAGTTGCTCCCCCTTTATTGCTATTCTCCTCCTGCTCCACAACTTGGAAGCTGACGTCGGGGCCTCCACAACTTGTGGGGCAGAGACTCCGTGCTTCAGATTTCCCCCTCCAACCCCTGGAGGCTGTTGGAAACAGTGGCAGGGGAGAGTGCTGTTGTGCTCAGGTCTGCCTTGTGGCCGTGGGGCTTCCCAGAGGCTTCTTCTTTCTTCTTTGGCGATCACTCGTAGCCGAGTAAGATTGTCTTCCATGAACACGGTTTTAACAGTGAGACCATAAGTGACTGTGGAGGCCAGTTCTGGACCCACACATCCTTCCACAGTGGGGACGTTGGTTTCCAAGCGGGAGTTGATCATGGTGTGGATTTGCCAAGCGTGCCTTCCTCTTAACACCTTTCTCCCTTTCGTCCCGAGTTTGACCTTCTTCAAAGCCCACGACACCTTTGGTAAAGGCTGTTCTCCAACTGGAGCGCTCGCAGGCCAGTGTTTCCCAGTTGTCGGTGTTTATACGACATTTTTAAAGATTTGCCTTGAGAGAGTCTTTAAACCTCTTTTGTTGACCACCAGCATTACACTTTCCATTTTTAAGTTCAGCCATGCGGTTGGCCGCTGTGAGAACAGGACGCTGTTCTCAATAGGCCACTGGCGAGATCCAGCAGGGCTCTTGTTTCTCATTTGTGTTCTGCTTCTCTCTTATTTTGCACCCTCCAGCTCGTGGAGGGTGATGGAGATAGCAGCACAGGGGGAAATGGGGTTTAGGACATTCATCCGCATTCACTCTGCTCCTATGCAATCAGATCTATGATTGTCTACCTATCTATCTATCTACAACTCCCATCATCCCATGTCATTTGCTGCCCTGGCAGGGAATGATGGGAGTTGGAGTACCAACAACATCTGGAAGGCCGCAAATTCCCGTCCCTGCTATAGGCAAAATCAAATTGGAAAAGCTATCGCAGAGTTTCCCAAACTTGGGTCTCCATCTGTTTTTTCGGACTACAACTCCCATAATCCCTGACCACTGGTCCTGCCAGCTAGGGGCGTCGGGAGTTGTAGTCCAAAAAACAGATGGAGACCCAAGTTTGGGAAACCCTGAGTTATGTGATTGTTGTTCATCCCTGCTCTGTTATTTCCTCCTGTCCTAAGCCGAGAGGAATAATTCAGGTATCTTCTTCATAGGTGAAGATAAGCAGCTCCGAAACATTTGAGGTGATGTCCATCCCAGAGGAACGGAATTGCCAAAGCTCTGAAAACCTTGCCTTTTTCAAGTGCCTATTTAACAATATTTGGCATTTGGGCGTGTCTAATGAAACCACAATATCAGCGAGCCTGTATGGAGAGAAAACCTGTTTCTGGGTGCAGCCTATGAACAAAGCACCCTTCACTGTACACACAAAACTAAACAGTGAGTCACTTTATTTAATCTGTTTGTAAAGTGCACTTGTGTTATTGGAAGGATGCACAACAAGGAAGCGACTAGCTTAAAAATGAAGCAATGTGGACTTTCCTCCATTTTTTCCATTCTGTTCTATTTTAGTGTTGGATCGGACACTCTTTCTGCTGTTTCTCACTGGCATCCTTCTCTTTCATTTTGCGCATAATCTGAGCAGGTGAGATTCAGCTCTGTTTCACTGGGTGTATCCCTTATGACTTTAACTTGCTGTTCACGAAAAAAGTGGTGTGATCCATTGGCTGGAAGAAAAGCACTTGGGTTGCAGTGTGGAAGAGGCTTTGGAGACATAAACCCTTGTTAGTGGCACAGGGAAAGGTTGAGGTCTTCTCTCCCATGCACCACTTTTGCTCTGAAAAACCAACCACTCGTCTCTCCCTGTATATATATGATCAGGGGAGAGCTGTGCCTTAAATATGTTGGCTTCTACTGCACAGAGTCTGATCCAGAGTTGCAGGAAATCTGTTTGCACAGAGCTTCCCCTTTCCGTCGCACACAATTTGATCTAAGAAACATATCGTAGCCGTGGCAGTTTTTGAAACCTTTTTGCAAACAGTGTACCTGCTGGAGAGAGACAGCTAGACAGCTCATCCATTGAGGAAGAGAGACAAAAAAAATAGCTAGCCTCGCTCTTTGGCTTTCTAGCCTTCCCATGTTGAGCAGGGAAAGTCTGAAGGGGGAGCGTTATACCTGTTTGCTTGAACACAGGGAGAAGGCTCCGTACGATTGAGATCCTTGCATGGGATGGTTGGAAATGGAGAGGGTGGGACTGGTGGATTGGAGTCAGCCAGTCACCCCACGCCTCTAACTTATGTAAATATTTCCCGAGCGGAGCTTAGGAGGAGGAAAAAAATGGGGGTTGTGAGCTGAGACTATGCAGGGACCCAAAGAGAGAGAGAGAGAGAGATTGAGGATGCTCCCTATGGTATATTTAGGGAAAGTCAAATAATGTGCTATGTATAAGTATCCTTGCCCATAGGTCTCTAAAGTTTTAGTAAAATTGTGTGTTTTTTCATTTCTGTGTGTCTGAAACCACCTGCCTGTCCACAAAAGTTCTAACAGCACCCCTCTGCTCTCAAAACAGGAGTATCACATTCTATTATTCTGCTGGAGTCACATTCGGTGTCCTTGCCACTCTAGTCTTTCTCCTTTTGATGCTTAAAAGATTTATTCCCAAGGTGAGTGTACCGCTGATAACATAAAACAGGCTAGATAAGTATATCGATGCTAAACTTTGCTTTTCAATTTCAATTTGCTTTTCATCCATTCCCGGGCTTCCGAAAGAAATGATGTTATCGATGTAGGATTCTTTTTAACAGCAACACGTCTCAGCCAAATTTCTGACATTATTTGTGCAATTAATTATTCTGTCCTTTCAAGAAGCTCCTCTGAAATGATGGTTCTTTCCTTCGTTCCAACCTCTTCTTGGAGGAACCTGTAGCCCTGCAGACATTGGTGGACTTCAACTCTCATCAGCCCTGCCAAGATAGCAAGTCACAGAATCATAGAATTGTAGAGTTGGAAGAGCTTGAACCTGCAACCTTGGCATTATCAGCGCCATGCTCTAACCAACCGAGCTAATCAACGATCAGAAATGATGGAAGTTGTAGTCCTTCAATGACTGGACGGCTTGGCTTAGTGGACAAGTCTAAGGCAGGAGCAAGTGGTAAATGAAGCCTTTGTATAATTCTTGACATAGTTTTGTTTTTCATCATGGGACAAACAATTCTGCAAACAATAGCCTGGTCGCTCTAGCCTGGAATCCCAGGGTGTGCTTTGCCCCTGAACCCCAAATCCCTGGCTTCATCTACTCCATGGGTAGGCAAACTAAGGCCCAGGGGCCGGATCTGGCCCAATGGCCTTCTAAATCCAGCCTGCGGACGGTCCGGGAATCAGCGTGTCCTTTTATTTAAAATGCATCTCTGGGTTATTTGTGGGGCCTGCCTGGTGTTTTCACAAGAGTAGAATGCGTGCTTTTATTTAAAATGCATCTCTGGGTTATTTGTGGGGCATAGGAATTCATTCATTTCTCCCCCCCCCCCCAAACAAAAATACAGTTTGGCCCCCCACAAGGTCTGAGGGACAATGGACCGGCCCCTTGCTGAGAAAGTTTGCTGACCCCTGGTCTACTCCATCCTTCAACTTCCTGCGTGGAGTAGGAAATTCTCTTACAATGCCCCTTCAAAGCTTCCCACTCAGGGTGGATGCTCAGAGCAGGTTCTGTGCGTGTGGCTTCACCTCCCCCTTCATGCAACTCCCAGCAGCCCACAACCAGCATGGCCGATGGGGCAGAGATGATGGGAAGTTGCAATCCAGTAGCTTCATCCTGGTATTAGATTGGGGAATAATATTAGCAAACTGCCAGCATATTTTACGTGTGACTTAAAGGGAAACGGCAGCAGGAAGTTTGCGTTGCGTAAGAGACCTTAGAGGAGTGTTGAGAAATTATAGGGGTGTTGAGTGGGTTTGTAAAAGAGTCTTCGTCCCTTTCCTACTTTATAGGCTCAGCCTGGTACCTGGATGTAGTTAACACACCAGTAAGAATTAAAAGTACAGTCGTGCCTTGGAAGTCGAACAGAATCCGTTCCAGAAGTCCGTTTGACTTCCAAAACGTCCGGAAACCAAAGCGGGCTTCTGATTGGCTGCAGGAAACTCCTGCAGCCAATCGGAAGCTGCGGAAGCCCCAGCGGACGTTTGGCTTCCGAAAGAATGTTGAAAAACCAGAACAGTCACTTCCGGGTTTGCGGCTTTCGGGAGCCAATTTTTTTGACAACTAAGCTGTCTGAAAACCCAGGTACATGAGACGGCGTCTTGATCTGATTGAGAATGCAGCCTATTTATCCGCTTTAGGCAAAGCTGTGCCTTTTGCATCCGGTTTCTCCACATTCCAGACTGATGTGACCCCCCCCCCGCTCGCCCCCCGATTATGTTAATGTGTTGACATGGGTGCTGACATGATTGTGACAGCTCTGTCGCACATTCACACAGCCTTTAGGAAATGTGATAAGACGTCCCTGTTCACTTGACTTCTGATTTACGAGACGGTTGTTTGAAATGTACTGTTGGACTAATGGCCTGTCTTTTGTGTCAGATTTTTATTTGGGGGCAGGTAAGATTGTCGTATCTAGCAAACAGTGGGCCCCATGCACATGAACCTATATGTACACTAGTAGCCAAAATTGTGGAAGTATATTTCTGAGGTTTGATGGTTCATAACACCACTTTTTAGGGGGGGAGTAATACCATAACATTATATATCAATGGAAATATAATTTAATGAAGAATGTAATGCAACAAGGTTTGTTCAATTATCTGTATTCTATCAAATGTTATAGCCAAATAACCATGAAAAGGAGTGTTTAGAGAGTCAATCAGGTGCCATCTTGTTTTGGCAATGATGGCTCATAACACCACTTTTTGGGGGGAGTAATACCATAAAATTATTTATCAATGGAAAGATAATTTAATGAAGAATTATATATCTTTCCATTGATATATAATTTTATGGTATTACTCCCCAAAAAAGTGGTGTTATGAGCCATCAAAGCTCGGAAATACACTTTCTCCAAAAGGTTTTGACAATTTTGGCCACTAGTTTATGTACAAACAAATTGCCATTTTTGTTCATCTGCCTCCCTTTTTATCTTCTCTCACCATCGTTAGGTAAGCACTTTCTGGATTTTAATGAGTGGCTGCTGGATCTCTTCCCTCTATTTTCTTTACACGTGGAAAGAGGATTTGAAATGGCTGTGGCATCACTGCACACACTATGTACTAGGTAAGAGAATGTATAGAAACAGAAAACTGAAAGTGAACATTAGGCTGTGTCACACAGAAGGCATTGTCATTCATAAAACAGAAGATTTCTAAAATGGCACTTCCCCCTCTAAGGTTTTAAAGTTGCAGCCGCTGGCTTTGTTCACAAGTGAATTTCGCAATTATCTAAGAAACGTAAGAGAAGTTCTCCTGGCTTGGACGCAAGCCAGGTTTGCTCACGGGAATAAGACGGTTTGAGCCTACTAGAGCAATCCTGGTCCAACTGCACTGGCTTCCAATTAGTTTCCGGGCCCAATTCAAAGTGCTGGTTTTGACCTATAAAGCCTTAAATGGCTCAGGACCACAATACCTCAAGGACCGCCTCTTCCCATATGAACCTACGCGGACCCTGAGATCATCTTCTGAGCCCCTTCTTCATGTGCCTCCTCCTCAAGAGGTTTGGAGAGTGGCAAGACGAGAACGGGGCCTTCTCTGCAGTGGCTCCGTGTCTGTGAAATGCTCTCCCCAGGGAAGTTCACCTGGTGCCTTCATTATGAACCATTAGGCGTCACTTTTTAACCAGGCGTTTGGTTGATCTGTTTGACATCCTATACCCTTTAAAATGTGGCTCTTTTCTGAGGGGGCGGGGTGCTATTGGGTTGTTGTTTTTATTCTGATTATATATGTTGTGATCTTTTTTGTGAACTGCCCTGAGGCCTCCAGGTATATTATTATTAATAATAATAGTAACAACAACAAGAAGAAGTTGTTCAGCATCAGGTTTTCACAATGGCCAAACAGAGATCTATGGGAAGGCTGTAAGCAGGACATGAGCACGACTGTACAGTGGTACCTCGGGTTACAGACTCCGCTAACCCAGAAATAGTACCTCGGGTTAAGAACTTTGCTTCAGGATGAGAACAGAAATCGTGTGGTGGCAGCAGGAGACCCCATTAGCTAAAGTGGTGCTTCAGGTTAAGAACAGTTTCAGGTTAAGAACAGACCTCCGGAACGAATTAAGTACTTAACCCGAGGTACCACTGTTCTCTCCCCTAGCTTAGCACTACATCTAAACTGCGGGTCATTGTTTTGTTTCACTCCAAACCACGACCTGTAACCAAGGTTTGCACTTGTCTTACTGATTGTGGTTTGTTTGGATGTAACCCTAACCCAGCGATCGTGGTTTGTTTCTCCCTGGCAACAGCAGGAAAGAGCAAAGGGGGTGAGACCAATAGAGTCAGAGTAAACCATTGCCCACGGTTTACCGTGACGAGCAGGGTGCCTGATAAACAATGGCCATTGTTGTGGGACCTTGCAATTAGGCTGAAATCCTGTGTACACTTACATTGGGGGTAAGCTCCGCTGAAGGCAGTAGGGACTTGCTTCCAGTAAACAGGGAAGGAATCGGGCTTCGTAATTGAGCTCACTTCAGTTTCTTTTTAAAGTTTTGTCCAAATGAGATTCTAAAATTTTCCCTTAGGTTTTTTTTTGAAATGAATGTGCACCTCAGCTTTTTTATCCACATAAAGAGGTTACACCAGAAACCGAATGTGTGAACTTGCCCACAAGGGTCTCTTTATTCTACGAGGTGGAAAGCAGACTTTGCAAATACAGTGGTACCTCAAGTTACATACGCTTCAGCTTACATACGTGTCAGGGAACTGGAGACAGAGAAGGGGGAGGGAATGGGAGCTTACCGGGAGAAGGTTCCTTTAATAAGCAGCTGTTCGTCTTTGGATGAGAGAGAAGACGAAGTGGGGTCAGAGGGGAGTGACTCTGAGAGGGAGGAGGTACTTCTTGGACCAAGCACCTCTCATCAGAGAGGAAGAAGGAGGGCTGGGCTTAGACATTGGTTATGCTGGCCCAAAAGCGGAAAGAAGCCAGTCGGGACAACTAACCGACCATGATGAAGTCGCACTTTTGAACTGCTTGTATATAGCTTCAAAGAGGCAATAAATCTTGTAAATATGGTTGGATTCCCGGACTCTTATCTTCATTAAACACTCACAACTCACTGCCTGACAATACGCTTCAGGTTACAGTCTCCGCTAACCCAGAAATAGTGTTTAAGGTTAAGAACTTTGCTTCAGGATGAGAACAGAAATCGTGCTCTGGCGGCAGCGGGAGGCCCCATTAGCTAAAGTGGTGCTTCAGGTTGAGAACAGTTTCAGGTTAAGAATGGACCCTCAGAACGAATTAAGTACTTAACCCGAGGTACCACTGTAAATTTATCAGCTTGCCTGCCTTTCGTACGGTCATGTGCGACATTGCAGCACCATGGAAGCTCCCTTCCAGTTGAAGTGATTTCGCCCGGTCTCCTAGAACTGATTCTTACCACAAATAATAGGGCAAGGGGCAATTTACTAGCTTGAAATAAGCTAAGATAGTAGAGTTCCTTCCTTGTTGATTTTTGTATGGTTTTGTCGTTTGCTTTTCCAGGGTATTGCCTGATAGTCGGATCCATCAGTTTTGGTTTTTGTCACAAGCATGGGCCGCTCAAGAGTGAACAGAGTATGAACCTTCTGATGTGGACACTACAATTTATAGGATTGGTTTTCATTTATATTGGCATTTCCATTCCAGTGGTTGCCTATGCAGTCATTGTCACCATGCTGTGTTCAAAAATCCTGCATTATCCTCTTAGAGTATTCGGCTACATTGGCAGGTTAGTATCCTTTTGGGCTGTTAAACCACGGGATGAACAACCCCCTTTAATGAACATGTTTCCTCCCACCGTGTATGGAATGCAGGATCTGCCCACATCTGTTGGCTTGGATCATGTTACTTAAGAAATATTATTTTTATTGGTTCTGGAGAAAGCATGGGTTGGAAGGGACTTGGGTGGGAGTTGGCCATCCTCTAATATGGGCCTACATCTGTTATATTCTATGTATACCTTGGCAGTACGCTTCTCTTGTCGATAATACACAAGATTGCACAAACAGTGCATTCTAAAAGCACAAGCGCACCTTTTCCAGCACATCTTCCCTTTGATGGCATCCCTGTTAAGTGCAGCTGCTTTCACGACTCGCACGAAGGGGCTGTTTGTTTTCCACTCTGCCTTTTAAAGAAGGTGCCCAGCAAAGGATATCGTGAGTTGTTTAAAGGCAGGTGCTGTTTTAGCACACATATAAAAATAGGAATATTGGGCATGAGCCAGTGAATAAGCTCCCTTCACAAAAGGACCTTGGCTTCCACAATGGGGCTTTCCCTCAACCTCTCTGGCCCCTGTGCCTTCCCCAAATTGGCTCCAGAGAGGGGAATAATAATAATAATAATAATAATAATAATAATAATAAATTTTATTTATACCCCGCCCTCCCCAGCTAAGACCGGGCTCAGGGCGGCTAACAACCAATAATAAAAACAAGTTGATTGAAATACAACTTTAAAAACAGGATTAAAATACAACATTAAAACAATTAAAATATTAAAGAACATTAAAGAAGAGGACTTACCCATTCAGATGGAACAGCCAACGTAGCACCATGTTGAATTCCTCCCCAAAAGTCAAGCAGTATTTTAATTTTAATTAGATTAGATTAAAATATAATTGAAAAGTTAATCGGTGTTTTAATTTGCAAATGCAGGGCTAAGGAGAAGGGGAAGCTTGGGAGTTTTTTGCCTTGTAGCATTTGTTATTTGAAAACATTGCTTCCTTCCCTGTTCCCTAGTGTTCTATATATGGTCTGCAGCCTGGTGGGGAGAGCACTGTCTTGTTTAGGATCAGTTACATTGCGGCTACAAACAAGTTCTAATTTCCCATTGTCACACACTTTTTTTGTATTTCAAATCCACGGAGCAGCTTTCGATCCGCCAGCTGTGGCCTTTTGTTTTCTCCTTTTCAGAAAAGCCAGCCGGCTCTTCACATCAGGGAAGTTGGAGGTTCATTACCTGACTGAAGAAGAGTATCGGGAGCAGGGTGAACAGGAGACCCTCAAGGCCTTGGAGGACCTACGAACCTTCTGCCGTCGCCCCGATTTCCCCTCTTGGGTAGCAGTGGTGAAGCTGCAGTCGCCGCAAAGGTAGGAACATTCTTCTTCTTCTTTAGGCCAATCAAAATTTCACAGAATAGCATGCCAGCTTTTGAGTTCCACAGAACTCTTCATCAGAGTTCCACGGAACCTTCTGCCGTCGCCCTGATTTCCCCTCGTGGGTAGCAGTGGTGAAGCTGCAGTCGCCGCAAAGGTAGGAACTTTCTTCTTCTTCTTTAGGCCAATCAAAATTTCACAGAATAGCATGCCAGCTTTTGAGTTCCACAGAACTCTTCATCAGAGTTCCACGGAACCTTCTGCCGTCGCCCCGATTTCCCCTCTTGGGTAGCAGTGGTGAAGCTGCAGTCGCCGCAAAGGTAGGAACATTCTTCTTCTTCTTTAGGCCAATCAAAATTTCACAGAATAGCATGCCAGCTTTTGAGTTCCACAAAACTCTTCATCAGAGTTCCACGGAACCTTCTGCCGTCGCCCTGATTTCCCCTCGTGGGTAGCAGTGGTGAAGCTGCAGTCGCCGCAAAGGTAGGAACTTTCTTCTTCTTCTTTAGGCCAATCAAAATTTCACAGAATAGCATGCCAGCTTTTGAGTTCCACAGAACTCTTCATCAAAGCAGCAGGGGAGGTGTAAGTGTGGATCTTAGCTGATGGCAGTGCCACAGGCCTGCAGCTGGTGAGTGTCTTGAGGCAGAATTTATTCACAAAGTAGCTTTCTAAAGGAAAAGGGTGGCTTTCCCCCAAAGCGAGTCTGTATGAGAAGGAAGTTAAGGAAGCATTCATTTGCTTTAGGCCAGGGGTGCGGGGAAGCTGTGGCCCTTCGGATGTTGTTGGACTACAATTCCCATCATCCCTATTGGCCATAGGGCTGGGGCTGATGGAAGATGGAGTCTAACAGCATCTGAGGTCAAGGACGCCGGTTCCCCATCCCTGGTGTAGGCTGAATCTAGGAGCCACTTACGAAGCTGAGTTGTTGAGTTTTAATCAAGTTCTAAACTGCACTTCTACAAAAGGATTGTTATTATTATTTGGGGGGTGGGTTGGGAGAAAGTTTTATTAACTCTTTTCACATTGCAATAAAAAACAAACTGATAACGCACACAAAAAAGCAAAAGAATAAAAGAACAGAGAAAAGGTCATAGAGACTGGTAAGTAGACAGGTAAGTACAGAATCCTCTCTCACAGATGTATCTTTTGTCCCATACAGAAAAGGGTGCGTCCTGCCATCATAACTGGGGGTGTCCCTTTCATCTCTCAGCCTCTCACCCCTGTTTAGGGAAATTTTTTATGCTTGATTTTTTTATCGTGTTTTTAATATTCTGTTGGGAACTGCCCAGAGTGGCTGGGGAAACCTAGCCAGATGGGCAGGGTATAATTTATTAATAATAATAATAATTTATTATTATTACAGTGGTACCTCTGGATGTGAACGGGATACGTTCCAGAGCCCCGTTCATATCCTGAAGTGAACGCGACCTGCGTCTGCGCGGGTCGCGATTTGCCCCTTCCACACATTATGTCATTTTGAGCATCTGTGCATGCGCAAGCGGTGAAACCAGGAAGTAACGCGCTCCGTTATTTCCAGGTCGCCTCGGAGCGTAACCTGAAAACACTCAACCTGAAGCGCATTTAACCCGAGGTATGATTATATTATTATTACAGTGGTTCCTCGGGTTACATACGCTTCAGGTTACAGACTCCGCTAACCCAGAAATAGTACCTTGAGTTAAGAACTTTGCCTCAGGATGAGAACAGAAATCGTGCCGCGGCAGCAGGAGGCCCCATTAGCTAAAGTGGTGCTTCAAGTTAAGAACAGCTTCAGGTTAAGAATGGACCTCCGGAACGAATTAAGTACGTAACCAGAGGTACCACTGTATTATTATTATTACTACTGCTACTGAGAGACTTCCCCTTCACTGCCTCCCACACAGGGACTGTACATCACCTTCACCCGCGTGCAATTCTTACCCAAATTCACTAAGATAAAATAATTAAGAGAAATAATAGTAAAATACTTAGAGAGGAGAAAGTAAGAATGGTAACAAAACAGAAAGAGATGGAAAGAAGGTTGAGAGCAACTTCCTACCATCCATCTGTTAGTTGTGCCAGCAAGTATTCCTCATCATAGTCCAAGTATAACGGGCAACCAGCGCTGGCTTATGCTTGCTTTGCCCATTTTCCCCCCACTTGAAATGTGCTCTAAGACACAAACATGTCTTGAAAGACCTTTGATGCTATGGCCTGTTGGCTACGCAAATAAAGTCCTTGTTGTTGTTGTTGTTGTCTTGAAAGATGTGGGGGATATTGCTGGTGCTAAGAACGCAGTGGGTGTGGTGGACGAGAGTTTCCGAGCGGCACTTTTATATATAGCGCTTTATGACATAGCTGTCAACCGTCCCTTATTTGGCGGGAAACTCCCTTATCCCAGCGCCGTGTCCCGCTGCTGTCCCCTATTGATGATGTCCCTTAAATTTCCCGGGTTTCAAAGGAAGCAGCTCCTCTCCTTCCCTCCCTGCTGGCCAGGGAGGCTCCAACTGTGTTGCTTGGCTGCCCGGCCCGCCCCCCTCTGGCCTCCTCTCACCAGCCTCGGCCCCTGGGAGCCCCTCCCCGCCAGGACTGAGGAGCCTTGAGAGGAGAGCGAGGGCAACCATAGAGAGAGCAGTTCAGAGAGCGGAGGAGGAGGCAGGTGTTCCAAGGGCTAACCATAGAGGGGGAAAGCGGAGGAAGGACCGCAAGTGCTTCTCCCATAGATTTGTAGTGGTAGACTAGCATAGATGGTCTGATCTGCGGGTTTACTTCGGGTGCTATCCCCCCCCCTTCCTCCTGCCCCGCCTGATGGAACTGAGAGCTGCAGATGGAGCACGAGAGAAAAGATACAGAACTGCAGCAGCATTTTCGTAGCTTGGACTTCGTTTTGCGCGAAAAGTGGTTGCTGCTTGTAGTTATTTAATCGCAGTGTTTCATCGGGTGGTGTCTTGAGCAGCAACCTCTGGAAACAAAGGGCTAAAAACCGGCGCTGCACTCCCAAATTATCTGGTCCCTTTTAACTTCGTATTTCAGCTGGTTGACTAAAATCCCTTATTTTGGCTGCTGGTCCCTTATTTTCAAATCTGAAAGTTGACAGCTATGCTTTATGATCTCTCCTGCCCCACCCTAGATTTGCAAAATTTGTCCTGGGCCTTCCGCACGTGTCGCCTGAGGAAGTGGCCGCCCACGACGAGCAGTACGGCTTGGGAGGGGCAGCCTTAGAAGAGGAACTTTTTAATCCAGAGGCCGAGGCCGAGCCAGACCGCCAAACGGAGCCCTGCGAGGTGGAGGAAAACCCCGAGGAACAAAAGCAAAACTTTTTCAGTAAAGATGTTCTCTGAGTCACACTGTCTGGAGGTAGTGAGGGAAACGCACCGCAGTTTTGCAAGTGGGTGAGATTTCGCAGAACGGACCTTGGAAGGTTCTGCTTTCTGAACTGCACTGCAGGGGGCAGCCAAGGTTTTCCGAAGGAGTCTCTTCTGCCGCTTCAGATATCTTTTTGCAACCTTTTAAGGTGGCAGAGATTTATCGGAGAACGCATGTGCTCCCCAAAAGTACCTGGTTTAACCGGAAGTTCTACAAGACTTTTGTTTTTTATTCCAAATCAGAGGCTTGCAGGGAAATTTCCTCCCTGCTGATAAAAAAGAAGAGGACCACTTTTATATGGTTTGTTTGCCCGATCGTCAAAAGACTCAACTTCTGGGGTGTTGAGTTCAGAAAACGAGCAAGAAATTAAAGCCTAATAAAAAACTATTTTATTTTATTTTCAAAAGGCGAGGGTGAATCAAAGTTGTCAGTCTTTGGTTTTAACATGGTGCTGATGTTTCAGAGGGAGTTGTAGCTCTGCTGCAATTATCCTCTTCCCCATTTGCATATCCTGGTTTGGAATAAGTATGTATCCTGTGGTAGAGGGAGGCAGCATTTTCCACTACCGCATGGTGTGTGTGGAAGTCCACAGCATCTTACGGGCCCCACATCCATTCAACTGTGGGTACAAGGCTTGCCTCCCCAACTCTCTGCTGAATGTCTGGATGTCTAGGGCAGCCCTGGGCAGGCCAGCAAGTGGGGTCTTGTTCTTCCTTCCAAACATAGACCGTGGGGACTCTTAGGGACACAATCCCTACCAGAGAAGAATGGCAAACCAAGCCGACGGACTATGCTGAAGTGGCAAAGTTGACTGGAAAACTCAGGAACCAAGAGGACAAGAACTTTATAATAAAGAATGCGGAAAATTCACAACTTATTTGAGAGACCACGGTAAGCAGATGGAAACATTGGCAGGATTTGGATTTCACTTGTAGTATAACAATTGTCATGGAAAATAAGGAATGATGTGATAGTTAAAGAGTCTGGAGAAGATGCAGTTTTAAACGATTAAAAGGGGACTCCAGGGAAGGGGTGGAGGCAAGTTCTGAGATTCAGAGGAATCTCTATATATGGATATGTATTTGATTATTTTTTTTGTAATTTTGTATTGTAAAAACCAAATAAAAACGATTCAAAGAAAAAATATACACTGTGGCGTACAAGCGCACAGCTTGGTCTCTGCTTTATCACAAGTGGTGTTGAATGTTTTATTTTAAATAAAACAAGCCTGTCTGTATATCACATGCATGATGTGTTTTAAATTCTCTTAATGTACTTTTAATCTTTTGCTGGAAGCCGCCCAGAGTGGCTGGGGAAACCCAGCCAGATAGGCGGGATAAAAATAATAAATTTATTATTATTATTATTATTATTATTATTATTATTATTTGATTGCATGGAACTAATGGAACACTCTGCAAAGGAGCATTTGATATGGGTTGGGAGAGATTCTTGTAGGGGTGGGGTGTGCGATTTTGAGAGCTGTTGATGGTGTGTATTCAATACACTGCATGCTGAGCCGATCCCTTTATTTTCCCTTTCTCGGGTGGATAATCTGGTTCAGAGTCTTTATCTTTCTACCTCACAAGGATTATTTGCAAAGCTAAAAAAACGAAGGGAAAGATATAGTTAAGTACATCCTGAAATCTCGGGAGCCTGGGGAGGGGGAGAGGAGAGAGAGAGATCACAGCCAAGATTCAAATCAGTACGAATGACTACGCTGCTCACGCAAGACGGCTTTTAAAGCTGAGCTCGACCGCCCAAGGGGACGTCGAAAGGCAGGGGCTGCCCAAGCACAATATTCTCTTAAAAGTAGAGGAAGCAGAAGCATGAGCCAGAAAACTCCCAACGCTGTCGCCAGGAGGGGAGTCTTGCAGAGCGCATCTGTATCCAGCAACAGCCGAGGATGCTGAGCAGTGAGATTTTGAATGGGCAAGGAAGCGAAGGTGCTATTCTGCCCGCTCCCTGTAGGGCTAGAGTTGGGATGGGTAAACGATGGGTCTGGAGAACAGCAGACATACCATTTTGTGCTATTAAATACCAAGGATGAGCAAAGTGGCTCCCCAATAAATCAATAAGATTGTTTGTTGCACAAAGGTGCCTCTACGAGTCGTTTTTGGCGATTAATGAATTTCTGGTGAATGAAGCACAGGGGTGCCAACTATAGGGGGCTCTGGGTATCCAAGCTCCCACAAAATTTTCGTTGTGGGTGCTCAGCAGCCACATCACAGGGCCCCCAACACAACGTCCGGTGCCTTCGGAAACACCGGAAGTCACATCCGAGGCCTCGCAAGACCTCGGAGATGCTGTCCATGGCTTTGCAAGAACTTGGAACCTGACTTCTGGTGGCACTGGAAGTCAGGTTCCAAGGCCAGGGGGCGTGTGTGATGTCATGACATAATGACGTCGCAGTGTGACATCATGACGTCAAGGGCCCCCATAACCTGGGGCCCAAGTTGGCTCCCCTGATGAGGCATATGCAAAAAATAAAAAAGCTGTGTCCATGGTTTTTCTATTTTTTTAAAAGCACACAATCCCACTGTCCACAATTTTAAAAGTTTACAGTCCCACTGTCCACAGAAATATAGTTACCTGTGCCAACTCCATGCAGTTGTATGAACCTGGATGTAATAATTGAGCAGTGCCAGAGATCTGTTTTACATATACAGTGAAATTTTATTTCTCTCACTACATCTTAACAATTTCCACAAATACGAAAACCCGTGTACGGTCTCATTGCCCGCGTGTAACAAAGGAACAGGTTCAACAGACAATTCAGACGTGTAAACGTTAACGCATAAGCTCGAAGCGTTACAATGCAGCTGCTGCACATTAAGGTGTTACTGGCAACGTTAGCCATGTGAATCTCTCTACGAATTAGCTAAAGAGAGGGTTTAATATTTTATTTTTAAACTGTTTTTAGCCTGTCATCTGCTTGGTTGTTTCCTAACCTCCACACACACGTACCCCAGCTGTAACATAATAAATACAATTCCGATTCTCTTTCTTTTAAAGGACACTTAAACAAGTCATGAGAAATTTACAGTACATTTAAGTGGAAGTGCAAAAAAACCCAAAACACTTATCAACTACTCTCTGTTGTTTGGTCCCAGGTGTCCACGTCTAGATTCTGTAAGGCTTATGCATTGGAAATACCCCATAGTATTCCATGCGGAAATCTGAGGGGCTCTTTTGCCTTCCTCACAACCTAGCTTGAGGTATTCCGTTATGTGGTCTGCATTCGAGCAAAGTGTGACCCCCCACGCAGCTTTGCCTAGAACAGATCTAAAAATCTGACATGCTTCCTTGCAAGCAGCCTTTGCCAAGCCTGGAGCCCCACTCCAGCCTTTTGGGACTACAACTCCCAGAAGTCTCAGGGTCACACTGTTGTGTTTGGGGCTGATGGGAGATGTAGTCCAAAACACCTAGGGGGTGGACACCAGGCTGTACATTTCCGTTCGCCTTTTAAAAGGATTGATCGCCTGCGGCCATCGCTTGTCTCGATTACATGGAATGGAATGTCTCTCCCCGTTGCCACCCAAAAGCCAGTTCAGGAAATGAATCTTAGTATACGGGCTGGTCTGCCCAGGGGTGTAAGTGCTGGGGTGGGGGGCAAACACAGCCATTTGCCACGTCGCTTGGCTGCCAGAAGACAACAGTGGTTTGGTTCTGTGCTGCCTTTCAGTATGAGGGCAACTCTGCCCTTTTTAAGCAGCTGTTCCTCAGGAGAGAAAGCTTTTAGCAACCCTCTTGAGCCTCAAGGCTTCGGCCTGGAATAAATAATAATGTTAATAATTGTATTCGCCACCTGTCTGGCTGGGTTGTCCCAGCCACCATAACATTTCTTTTCTCAGCTATAATCGGCAAAAGCGGGTTCGACTAACATTTGGGAAACATGAAAAGAAAAAGAAACCTGAATCTGCCAGTGTATTTGACAAGCAACACAAAGTGTTGTCGCGACAGCTCAAAACGTACTGTGCCGATTTTTGATTTACGTAGGATGGCTCTCCTGTCATTCCAGCTATGTTTATATTAATGATTTCACCTTTTCCTAACCAAGAACCATTAGGAGTTGTGTCCCACCTCTTTTGGCAGTCCACAGGCACTTTAAATGTACCCCACACATCGAGTGGGGAACTGGCAGTCTGCCCCCCCCAAATGCTGCTGGACTCCAGCTCCCATCAGCCACAGCCCATGGTCAGGAATCATGGTATGTGTAGTCCTAGCAACGTCTAGAGAACCGCAAGCTCCTCACCCCTGCTATAAATAAATATAACCGCCCCCCCCCAATAAAATAAATTTTACACTATCGTGAGATAAAACATATTGGCCCTGATCAAGAAGTGCAGTGGCCAAGCTCACAAGGATCCCCTCTCTTGCACCAAACAAAAGGTGCTATCAGCACGAACCACATGTGAATCCTGTTATGGGTTTTCCCTGGCAAGACTTGGGCGTCCCCCAAGTCCAAAAAAGGATTCTGACATCCTATGTGAGCTAGGAGAAGAGCCATCGGTCCCAGATGTGCATATGTGGCTCCTGCCTCTCAGCATGAACGCAAATACCCCATAGCTGACTACAACAGGGTTCGAAAGGAAAGATTCACCTCCACAGACTGTTTCTCCCTGCGTTGGGTTGGGTCAACAGGGTCCCATATTCTCACAAACGGAACAATTGCAGTCAAGCGGAGTTTTTTATGCATAACGCCGAATCTACACAACACAAACACAAGCCCTAACCCACAGCCTCGTAAACGAAGGGTTGTAGGCAGCCGAATGGTTTTGATTCAGCCTAAATGCCCTTACCAATGCCCTGCGGCCTGGCCAGAGAGCAGTGAACAGCAACCTGGCCAGTTCAAAAGGTTCCAAGACTCGTTTTTAACATAGAACTCAACTGGCCCAAAGCTATTCAAAGTTCCTGAAAGTCTTTACAAAAGACAGAATTCTAAGCCGCTCCTTCATTTAGGTATTTAACTAGTGTAGTCTCTCTATAGAGTTTCAGTAGTTTATGCATCTGTCCTTGGGAAACTAATATGCCTCCCAATAAATTAACATAGATTTAGGGTGGGTGGGTGGAGAGAAATACCTATGAATTCTCTTTTCCCCTTCCCTAAGAACTGATTTTAAAAATAATAATAATTCATTGTCTCGAGCAAGAAGGAATGCAAGGCAGCATTCCTCTTTCAGAACCGAAGAAAACTTCCCTTTCACAAATTAAATCCACTACCAGGTTAGATTTCCATTTTGTTTACGCACAAATGGACCCCAAACCTCATTCCCGCAAAGGTTGAAATGCGTTTTGTGTGGAATATTTTAACTCCTCTGCTAGTTATTTTGACACCGGCCTCTTCTGGCCTAGCCTTCCTAGGTTTTTAGTCCATCCTGCCACAGGCCTATTGGGCTTTGACACAGAAAAGGCCTTAAATATTTAAAAATGCGTGCTGTGTCAGGTTACCATTGCGGAGATGAAGGGAGCTGCAGTTTCAAGCTTTTCGTTTCAGCATTCCTCTCAGCTCCCCCCAAAGAGCAGGATCCAGTGCAGCAAGATGAAGACAGGCAGCAAAGGCCTATTCCTGCCCTGCCTCGGGAGGCTGAGCGCTGCAATCTGCGGGAGCTGGGTCTGGATCAGGGCAGCCTGGGCTGAGATGGGTTTCAGGAGCTGCCGTAGGTACAGAAGTCTCTGAAGACGCATCGCTGCTTTGATTCTGAGGGACGCTTGGTGGAGAGTCATGACTATTGTTGGCTTTCTAGGAAAGAGAAAGGATCCCATGTAAAAATGCATACTTGCAGTTTTCCCGCTGCTCAGGAAAGCGCACATATCCTTCTACAGCAGGTAAGCCAGGCAGCCTTGTCAGAACAACAGCAGCAACGAAAAAAATCATAGACAGCACGGCACATAAGCGTTAAAAGCAATTAGGGGGAAGCGCTATCATATCCAGGTAAAAACGTTGGACAGCAAGATGTCAAAAAACTTACCTTGCTTATTATCTTTTCCTAACTGCTCTTCCCCAAGAAGCATGCATGAAAAGAACTTGTTGTATTTTAAGGCAAAAAAACGTTCTCTCGAAATGTTACATAGGCAATAACGCAACACATCCCTACGGCTTGTTAACACATTTTGGCGCTCCTGTGCGCATACTTTCCTTGACATATTTTCCGTGTAATCCTTTGCATTAGCACCACAGCGAGTTAGAGTTTGCTATTTCTGGAGCTGAGCTATGAATATTTCAGGAGACTTACTAAGCAGCAGGCCATTTTCCCACTCATGAAAAAAAGGGGGGGGAGGGAGATTGTAACATTTTCTCTGGTATTTTTAACGAGTTCCGTTTCTACAATATGCAAACATAAAGCTAAAGCTAAAAGTTAACACGACCCCCCCCCCAAATCCAAACACTAAACAATTCCCACAGACCATTGCGGCCCAATTGGAACATGGCAGCAGGCTTGTGTATTCAGATCTCCCTGCTAGCTTGGGTCCGATGGCTGCAAACGGGCCATATTCTTTCCTGACTCTAATGTGGGTGACATCTATCATTCAAGGGCTGAGATGCTTATCCCTGGGTGCTTTAGATAGTAGTGGAACAGATTCTTGTGCAAAAGTATCAATGAGCTATCATTAGTGCCAACCTCTGAAGGGACACATTTAATCTCATTTTTAAGACAGCTGCTCAAGTGCCTGCTTTATGAGGCAGAGACTCCTCTTGATGGCAAAACTAATAATTTTGTCATTAGCCGGTTAAGCTGCTTGTGAAGATCTTGGTGGAATTAAAGGCAAATGTTGCTTGAGTGTAACAGCACATTAAAGAAGTAGTTAGTACAGCATACTTTCAGGCAAACACACACCAGGTTTTTCAAAACTCTGGATTCAACAGCGGTGTTGATAGGTTCCCCCACTGCCTTACAACAATGTGAATGTTTTCCTTCTTTTGTTGCTGAAGCCCGCCTGCAAATTACTAGTGGAATTTGGTAATTTTAAACTCTGGCCTTGTAGAGTGAGGGGAGCTCTATAGATGGCAATGTCTACTCACTTATTTCAAAACGCAATGACCACCCTGTTGTGTTGGGGGGGGGCAGGACTTTTGCTCCAAATTTTGGCCCCCGTGCATCATTGCAGCAAATCACATAGGACAGGCTTCCTCAACCTCGGCCCGCCAGATGTTTTTGGCCTACAACTCCCATGATCCCTAGCTAGGAGGACCAGTGGTCAGGGATGATGGGAATTGTAATCTCAAAACATCTGGAGGGCCGAGGTTGAGGAAGCCTGACATAGGAGGCTGGCTACACCTCAGTCCAAAGTGGGGCAATGGACACTGTCAACAATCCAGTTAATTGATCACAAATATGTACCTGATTAATCAGGAGATTCTCATTAGTTGGGGGGGGGGGTTCTTTTTTAAAAAGCAAGTTTTTAAAAAGTGATAGTTGCTACCTTATAAGAAGCATCCTCTCCAATGCTGAGAAGGGAGCATGGCTTTTCTAGGGTGGTGACGGCCGTGCACATCAATTAAAACAAATACAGTCGTACCTTGGTACTCCTGAATGCCACAAACCCGGAAGTGAGTGTTTCGGTTTGCAGATGTTTTTTGGAAGCTGGATATCCGAGGCGGCTTCTGATTGAGAGCAGGAAGCTCCTGCAGCCAATCAGAAGCCACGCCTTGGTCTTTGAACGTTTTCAGAAGTCGGATGGACTTCTGGAACGGATTCCGTTCGAGAACCAAGGTACGACTGTAATGCTATTTTCTTCGGATTTTTTTTCCTTGCACACACATTTATGCATTTTAAGATTCAGTGAATTAAACATCATTTGATTAACCAACTGAATACACACACACACACACACACACACACACACATATATATATATATGTGTGTGTGTGTATATATATATGTATGTATGTATATGTATATAATCAAGTCAGGGAGAGCCCATATTTAAAGGGAACCCCGTGTGTGTGTGTGTGTGTGTGTGTGTGTGTGTGTGTGAGTGTGAGACAGAACCTTCTTCCCAAAATCCAGGTACTTTTAAGACTGGCTTTGTTTCCAGCCTTGCTCTGCATCAACCTGCCGCAAATAATTTGATGCTTGGAGGCTGCATATAGCTGTTGTGGCTAATTTCTACTGGTTATCTGCCCTTTCCAAGAAAAAAGAAAACCACCAAAAAACCCACCCTTGTAAGATATACACATTATCTCCTCTTGTGGTAAAGCATATTCCGTAGATTAAGTCTGTGGTTGCATGAAGCAGAACTCTCTCTAGTCAGTATTCAAGCAGCAGCTAATAAGTTTTGTTGAATAACCACAATCGGAGGAGCTTCCATGTTGCATATGGAGACAACCCACGGAGTTTATGAGCTCAAGCCCCCCAGATACAACCTTCTGGGGCTTGTATTGTTTACCTCCAAGAAGAGAAGCCCCATAATTCTTCTCCAGAACCCCCTGTGTACACCACTCCTAGACTGCCCTAAACACCCCAATGGACAGATCTGCGTGGTTGAGATACCCCCATTGCTATTTCTTTTGGAATGCAAAGCTTAACAGCTAGGAATTCGGGAAGGCTTGCAAGAGACCTTCGCCTGTCAGGTAAGCACACCTGTCAAAACAGGAGAATAAGCTAGGAAATGAATTGAGCCATTTCCCACTTTTTGGATGGGGTTGCCACCACTAACTGTGCAAGAAACCTTATTTGCAACCCGTTTCTCTGCTGTTGGGTTTGACGACACGAATTAAGAAAGGGATGGCAGGTACCAATGATCACATCTAACCCCAAGAACGTTTCCTTGGAACCCTAAAAACCTCTCTCCTCCTAAAAACACCTTTTAGGCAGCAAAGCGTGGGTTACCTGCAAAGGCTGGTTCTCGAGCACCTGGTTGCTTTTGGAGAGCTGGACCATTTCCTTGATCTGATAGAGAGCATAGGCAAGAGTGACCCAGGGGGAAGAGCTGACACTCCAAGCAGGCTTGTTGACGTCTTCCTGCTCTTCCTGGTGCTTTGTTTTCTTGGGAGGAAGCTTGGGCTCTGGCCGAGGCATGATATCTTCCGTCTGCTGCTGTACCAGGTCAATGGTGGCTATGGGCACAGGGCTGGAAGGCACTGGGATCCTTTCGGCCAGCATGGTTTTCTCTGAAGTTCAAAATAACCGTTTGAAAGGTCAGTATTCGTTGCCGTACAGCAGGGGTCGGCAAGGTTTACCTCGCCCGGGCCGGTTCACTCCAGCGTAGATTCCTCCGTGGGCCTGATCGCGTGCGCGATTTCCGGCATCTGCACATGCGCAGGGACTGGCCAAGGGGGCGGCTCGGTTCAGGGGCGGCTCGTGGGCTGGTTAAATGACCCCCATGGGCTGCTTGTGGCCCATGGGCCTTACGTTGCCGACCCCTGCTGTACAGGGTGGATAAAAATCAATAATAAAATTTTAAAAATCAGATTTTTAAAAAAATTTAAATCGGATTTTTAAAATAAAATGGTTTTGGAGGGAAAATATTTCCAAAGATAATTTTCTATTTAGGTTACATTACAGTCCAAGGGCTATTCATCAGGAAATAGGATTTATTTTCAGTTTTTCATGTGTGCTTAAAACCCAGTCTTAAGGGTTGTTGTTTTTTAAAGAAAATTGTTTAACTGCATCAGTAAACATACATGGATATGATATAACATTATTGTTTTAGTTAAATAAATTGTTTAAATTGTTATTAAGCAAATTATTATTTTTTTCCTTCCAATAAAGTACAGAAGAAAGGTTGTCCAAATATAAACAGTTAACTTATTAAACCTCACAGTAATTTCATAATGATCGGTCCATGTATTTCTAATAGTATAACCAAATCAGTAATTTCAGATAGAACCGTAAAAACGACTCTGAAAATTTATTTGGTTGCAAATATTAAGATTACACTAGCAAGAATGAGTCTTTTTGTAAAAAAAAATGATTTAAATCAAGTCTTACTGACTAGTGATTTTAAATCGTAATTTAAATCAAATCCACCCTGTTGCCCTACAAAATTTACTTCTGAGCAATCAAGGGCACTTTTCAGAATGCCCAAACCCTCAAGCCCTGAATGGAAAGAATAATAGAATCCACTGTTCTATGGTTCTTTCATGCAAAGGGACACACTCAGTGCAACCCCCTGTAATTGTCAGGGACTGGGCAGAAGAGGAATTGTGGAGACCGCCTCCCCATCCTGACCCTTCCAGGGAGGAGGAAGAGGAAGACAGTTTAGATTTACAACAGGGGGTTGAGGAAGGTCACAGCTCAGAGGCAGATGAGGGGAAAGTTGGGAAATAATGGGAGAGGAGGAAGCCAAGGGGGTAACCAGCTGATGGACACAGTGTAGCTTGCAGTTGTGGTAGTCCAAAACACCACAATGGCTTCCCTGGGCCCACCTGCTGCTAAGAATAACTCAGATCAGGGGTCAGCAACCTTTTTCAGTCATGGGCCGGTCCACCATCCCTCAGACCATGTGGTGGGCCGGACTATTTTTTTTGGGGGGGGGGGATGAACGAATTCCTATGCCCTACAAATAACCCCGAGGTGCATTTTATATAAAAGCACACATTCTACTCATGTAAAAACACGCTGATTCCCGGACCGTCCGTGGGCCGGATTGAGAAGGCAATTGGGCTGCATCCGGCCCATGGGCCTTAGGTTGCCTACCCCTGACTCAGATGGAGCGCTATTTTCTTACTGCAGCTCAGTTTATCAAGAATCTGCTCATGCTTTAAAATGAATTATACGTAAGGTAGCAAGACAAATTCAGCTATGGGGCAGTGCCTATCCTTAGCAAGCTCTTTCGCTCTTAGACCCCCATTCCCAGAGACATCCAATAATAATAATAATAATAATAATAATAATAATAATAATGTTCAAGTGCTGCTGTCTTTCCCTTGTCTCTGGATCAGTTTGTCTTGTGGACAGAGGACTCAACATTTTTGCTTATTAAGTATGTCTTCTATTGAAAAAGCCCATGTGCCCAGCGTGGAAAGTTCTGCTTTAAACAGAAGAAAACACGAGGTCAATTAAAAGTAAGCCCGGCCCTATAGCCTTAAGGTTATGACTCAAGTCAAATGATCAATGAGACTAAATGGGCACGAGAGGAAAAGAGTTCAAAGCAGATGAGGAGATCACCCCAAGAGGCAGGGGAAAATGCTGTTTGGTTGGGTGCCTCTGAACATATGGGAATAATCTACCTACCTTCTTTCTCATCAGGAACTGCCACCCACTGGATCAAAGCAAAAAGCAATAGGATCACAAGACAGGCCATTCCTATCCCTCTGAATGTCGAAGCAGCTCCTGTGGAGAGAAGCAAGGAAGAGTGAGACCCAATTCAATCATGCAAAGAGCGATTTCTAGCCAGACTTGTAATGAACTAGAGGGACCAAAGGTCTAGCTCAAAAGTAAGGCAGATTCGCATCTTTATAGGTATATATATATATATATGTACCTTATTTTTTGCTCTATAAGACACACTTTTCCCCTCCTAAAAATTAAAGGGAAATGTGTGTGCGTCTTGTGGAGTGAATGCAGGCAGGAGGCTCTGTTCATCGCTCCCTTTAAAGAGCCACTATGCTGCGATCCCGCTGGCTGTCCTAGCTTCTTGCTTAGCCGCGCACAGCCTCCCCAGCCCGGGAGAGGCTGTGCACGGCTATCCCATAAGCCAGGGCAGCCAGCAGGATCGCTGCGCAGCGATCCCGCTGGCTGTCCTGGCTTCTGGGATTCAGAATATTTTTTTCTTGTTTTCCTCTTCCAAAAACTAGGTGCGTCTTATGGTCTGGTGCGTCTTATAGAGCGAAAATTACGGTATCTATCTATCTATCTATCTATCTATCTATCTATCATCTATCTATCTTCTGATGCACCTCTGAGTAGACATACACAGGATTGCACTTTTAATGTGGTCTAAGCCACTTAGACCACACCCTTTGGATGAAAACATTAGGAGAGAAGTTGTAGAAGCATTTAAAACACCATGGCTTGGATTTAGTGGAACTACAGCATGTCTAAGGACGCGAGTGGCGCTGTGGTCTAAACCACTGAGCCTCTTGGGCTTGCCGATCAGAAGGTCGGCGGTTCAAATCCCCATGACGGGGTGAGCTCCCGTTGCTCTGCCCCAGCTCCTGCCAACCTAGCAGATCAAAAGCGTACCAGTGCAGGGAGATAAACAGGTACCGCTGTGGCGGGAAGGTAAACGACGTTTCTGTGTGCTCTGGCTTCCGTTGCGCCAGGAGCGGTTTAGTCATGCTGGCGACATGACCCAGAAAAGCTGTCTGCGGACAAAGGCCTGGAAGCAGATGAGAGCCACACACCATAGTCGATTTCGACTGGACTAAACCATCCAAGGGTCCTTTCCCTTTCGGCATGGCTAACTTAAAGTGAATAAAATTTGCTCACGATGCTCAAAGCATTGAATTTATGCTAACAACTGGCGGGCAGACTTCCTCTTCTGACCATGAATGCATGATCAATGTCTCTAAATTCCTGCATGAAACCAAGAGTACTCAGCAAGGGACAGATATGGCAAGTTGGGGGTTAATGTTTAGAACCTTTGATGCATGCCCAAATTGGGTACGCCACACCTGTGTGTATCGGGACTTGAAAATATTTCCAAAGTATGGGATCATCTTCCATTCTGTTCTTCATTTGAATACAACTGTTAAGGCCTTCTTGGTGGTGGTGCCCGCCCGGTGGAATGCCCTCCCATCAGATGTCAAGGAAATAAACAACTACAGTGGGACCTCTACTTACGTTCATTTCCGGTTACGTATCCTTCGGGATACGTACGCGGCAAACCCGGAAGTATTTTTCTAGGTTTCACTGCGCGCATGCGCAGAAGCACTAAACTGCATTCATGTGCAGAAGTGGCACCTCCGGTTGCAAATTCCTCAGGATCCGACTGGAGCTCCGGAACGGATCCTGTGTGCAACCAGAGGTAGCACTGTATCTGACTTTTGGAAGACATCTGAAGGCAGCCCTGTTTAGGGAAATTTTTAATGTTTGATCGCTTTATTATTAATAATATTCTGTTGGGAGCTGCCCAGAGTGGCTGGGGAAACCCAGCCAGATGGGTGGGATGAGGAGAAGAAGAAGAAGAAGAAGAAGAAGAAGAAGAAGAAGAAGAAGAAGAAGAAGAAGAACAACAACAACAACAACAACAACAACAACAACAGCATATTATCATTATTATTATTAGGTGCTTTCAAGATGACAGGTAAAAGAAATGTCTTAAAGATACAGGTTCTTCTAAATTGGTGTGTCAAGTATCCACACAATTTCATACATAACACAACACCCCCCCCCAAAGAAAACACAAGCATGATATCAGCATTTGGCTAACATAACTTAAGCATAGGGAAGCGAAGGGCTGGGAAACATTTAATGAAGCAGCATCCAAAATGCATGAAAGGAGAGCAAATTGCTAATGGAACTATCCAACATGTTTCTCTTACCGAAATAGTTGACCAGCACTCCTCCAACCATTGCTCCGCACCCTCTGCCCAGGCCAAGGTGGAGGCCCTGCAGAATACCCTGAGCGGAAGTTCTTAATTCGGGAGGAACAGCAGCACTTAGGTAGGAAATGCAAGCTGCCCAGATGGCTGCATGGGTCACACCTGCAGAAAAGGAAGATGTTTCAGAATTCAGTTATTATGCTTCTGAAAATTGTTTTTTTCCCCCTTTCTTCTTCTTCAGCCAGATTCAGGTTGTCTTAGATGAAATGGATTTTAGGCTGGGCTTCATGGACAGAAGTTGCTTGGTTACTCTACTGGATGAGATGAGGGAGTGTGAGACCCTGTTGATTCTCTAGGGCAGGCATGGCCAAACTTGGCCCTCCAGGTGTTTTGGGACTACAGTTCCCATCATCCTTGACCACTGGTCCTGTTAGCAAGGGATGATGGGAGTTGTAGTCCCAAACCAGCTGGATGGCCAAGTTTGGCCATGCCTGCTCTAGGACTTTTCTCACCAGCGACCATGGTATCAGTGTTGATGGGCTGTCTGGTTTAGAGGTGGGAGACCCTGGTTTTTAATGCTCCCTTTTCTACTTAGATGGCTAAATGCAGAAGATGGTGCTGGCGGATGACCCTACAGCACTTATGCTATGGACTTCCCCATAGAAATCCATTTTATCACCAATTCTACTCAACATCCACATGAAACTGTCATGAGTCTGGGGGTGTGAGGTGAGGCATCATTAAGATGCAGGGGGCACCAGCTCTGTATCTCTCTTTTATCAAATCAGGAGAGGCAGGGGCTGTTTTGAAACAGTGCTTGGGAACAGAAGGACTGGATGAGGCCCAATAAACCAAGACTCGAGCCAGACAAAACAAAGGTATGGTTAATGGGAGGTTCATCTGCCTAGTTAGGCGGCCTTCAAACTGTTATGGATGGGGTTGACCCAGTCTCCCCAAACAGGGAGCCACAATGTACCGAGGGCCACAATGACCATGGTGCCCCCTCAGGAGGGTCACATGGCAAAGTGGGTGTGGCCAAAGTATAGAAGTGGCCATGGTAAGAATCGTAGTCCTGAATGCTGCCATCCAAAAACACATTTTCTACCAGCTGTTCTACACTATTTTAATTGTTTGAATCATTTGTTATTAAATCCAGCAAACAAACAAATAATATAAATTTCCAAACGGCGTGTTTTTGGGAGGGGCTGCTTGCTCCTTGTTGCAAGCAAAAGCTCTCTTTAATTGTTTTCTTCTTTTTTAAAACCAATTTTGGAAAAGGAACTATTTCCTATTTTCGAAACTGCAGGATCAGAAAGGCTAAAACAACAACAACAACCCACAATTCGGTTCCAATCTCATCAATATTGTAAAAGATTCACGTGTAATTGGTGTGTACACTAATTTCAAATCAGCACTGCTAAGCTTCAGCTGCCTGCGATTCTTGTTGCTAGAAGGGGGACCCAGCTATTATTACATTCTGAAATGCATTAGATGCAAACTAGAGTTATCCGGGTTTCTAATTCATTGATTCCGAGAGTCAGGTCAAAGGCTGCCAAGGCATTTCTGCTGCTGCCTGCAAGGTGACATGCCTTTGATCTCAACTCTACTAGTTAAAACTGTACACACAGAGAGAGAGAGAGATAGCACAAATCTGCAGTTACAGCTCTCCCATTAAAGTTTACTGCCTTGTTTTGCATCACCTGTGCTTTTAAGTTTATACATCAGGCTTAACATGGCATAGGCTGCTTTCACGCAACTTTAGTTTATCGAGAGCACCTGTTGTTTCTCTACAGCATTCCAACCTTCACTTAACAAAATGTCAAACATGTCAAAATGTCACGATGACAAAGCACAGGGACGCTTTGCTGCTACTGCCTTGAGCCAGATATATATAAGGAACGCCATTCGCTGGGCAAAAACCTGTTTCGACTAATCATGTCTTTACAAGCTGTCTTTACTTAACTGTCAGGTGACACCGCCTTCTCCACCCTTGGCGCTGGCAAAAGTCCCAGGTAAATATCTACTTTGGCCGTTAACTATCTGTGGCCTTTTAGAAGCAAGTGGGATGCATTTAATGTATTTCTCTTTCCTCTCGGTTTTAATGGGGTGGGTGGGTTACTGTCCATTTGTATGGTTGTTATGTCGCTCTGGATTGCCCCGGGCAAGATCAAGCGAGAGACAAATTTAATAACAAAATTAAAATACTTCTGTGTCACAGATCCTGAGAGACCTGCATTGGCTCCCAGTACATTTCCGAGCACAAGTCAAAGTGTTGGTGCTGACTTTTAAAGCCCTAAACGGCCTCGGCCCAGTATACCTGAAGGAGCGTCTCCACCCCCCATTGTTCTACCCGGACACTGAGGTCCAGCTCCGAGGGCCTTCTGGCAGTTCCCTCACTGTGAGAAGTGAAGTTACAGGGAATCAGGCAGAGGGCCTCCTTGGTAGTGGTGCCCGCCCTGTGGAATGCCCTCCCATCAGATGTCAAGGAAATAAACAACTATCATACTTTTAGAAGACATCTGAAGGCAGCCCTGTTTAAGAAAGTTTTTAATGTTTGATGTTTTATCGTGTTTTTAATATTTGGTTGGGAGCCACCCAGAGTGCCTGGGGAAACCCAGCCAGGTGGGCAGGGTAGAAATAATAAATTATAATTATTATTATTATATTACTGCTACAGAATTAGATCAGAAGCCTCATTAGCCAATTTTCCCTCAAGTTGGATGATAAGGATAAGATATTTCATGAGCTGAGACACAGGGAAGCTAGTTTGGCTAGAAGCCATGTGTATCCAATGAGCCCACATAGTTTTGATCATATAAACCAGGAATGGGGAGCTGGTGGTGCTTGAGATGTTGCAGGACCTCATCTCCTGCAAGACTCAGTCAGTATGGCCAACGGTCAGGAATATTGGGAGCCACAGTCTGACAACATCTCATATAAACATTGCTAGCTACAGCCCATATATTAACATGGACTCAAAGTCTGTGCTCAGGGGCAAAGGGGCTTAGTACATCCTTGGTAACTGGTGCATTGAGAAGCCGTGTCTGTTGCAAGGAACGGAGGCGGTCTCCTTGCAGAGATTTCAGTTTGGTAGACGTGGGACAAGGGGGATGTGAACGGAAAGCCCAAGACTCGTGCCAAGTACTAGCCCCAAAGGCACAAGCCCACCCCACAAATACACACCCAGCCAGAAAAACAAGAATTCCAAACACAGCCTGCAAACAGGCCCCAATAAATGGCACTTGTGTGAACTGCAGCCTTCAAAAACGTCAATGCCAATTGGAGGGAATATGGCAGGATAGCACCGTGAAGTCTCTGTGGAAATAGCATGGGTCGTGAGCGTAACTGAACAGTGCAAAAGGACTATGCAAAGTAGAGAGGATGGCAACTAGGCATGTTCAGAAACATACCAAGTAATTTACAGAGGCGCAAAGAGTAAGCTAGAGCATAGGAGCAGCAAGCCAAAGGCTAGACAGGAAGCTACTGTACTTTTCCGTCTATAAGACGACCCCATGTATAAGATGCTCCCTATTTTGGGGGACTGAAATTTAATAAAATGGGGGAGATGGCTATATTGCCAGAGTTGTTTGGGGAGGGTTGTTTTTGGGAAAGATTGTGCAGAGTTGTTGGGCTTTTTTGGGGGGGGGGTTGCCCAAGGTTCTTGAGCTTTTTGTGGGGGGGGGGGAGATGCAGAAAATCACTAACCCTAAAGACAGGAGCTCAGAATTGCTAGCATTGCAGAAGCCGACAAGTGTCTGCCCATTCGCAAACACAAGCTGGAAACCAAACACCCAATTGCCGCAGTGGCAGCCAATCCAAGGCAGCCCTTGACGCAGCAACCAATCACCTGCCCAATTAACGCAGGAGCAGCCAATCCAAAGCAGCCCTTGACGCAGCGACCAATCACCCGCCCAATTAACGCAGGAGCAGCCAATCCAACGCAGCAACCAATCACCTGCCCAATTAATGCAGGAGCAGCCAATCCAACGCAGCCCTTGACGCAGCAACCAATCACTCACCAAATCGCTGCTTACAAGCTGCAGCTCACAGCTGCAACCAATCACCCGGTCCCTAAATGCACTGCCCATGTATAAGACTAGCCCTGTTTTTAAACATTATTTTGGAGTAAAAAAACCCCTTGTCTAATACACAGAAAACTACGTCCGTTCCCCCCAGCCTAGCCTATTGCGGTCTGCTTTGACCGGCAACATTTATTGTGGGTCCCCAGCAAATGTTTCCCCCCAAATCCTTGAAAAGCGCCGATAGCAGGGACTGGACCTCAATGCCACTGAGCGGCAAGACTCCTCCCTCCCCTGAGATCATTTGAAAAGGCCTTGCATAAAATGCTCCAGTCCTCATAGCTGCTTCTCAAGGGCATCTGGAAATCATAGAGATGGCATCGTTTGGATCTTGCGCGTATTAAATTACATTTCATTATCTGATCGCTTCTGCCTGAACAGAATGTACCTAGAAATGAAAGGAAGGCAGCAATGAAGGGAAGCGGCTGACTCTCAGACGGCAACTGATCTCATTCCATGGACGAGGAAAACTCCCACTGATTTCATAAGGAGCCCAAACAGCACGCTCTGTGGGCATAAATAAAGGGCAGCAACTCAAAGGAGAACTGCTTAGGAGTTGTAAAAACGGATCTGGAGCCATATGCAATCTCCTGGATACTTTTATCGCTCCCACTTGAAAAGAAGTAGCCTCGTATCCAAGGGAAATGTTCGTATCAAGTTCAGGAGAAAATAATTATTTCTATTTACAAGGCCAACCTCCTTAGCTGAAGGCTCTCAGCGTGTGTGTCAGACAAAGGCAGCTTCTGCCACAAGGGATTTAAGAAGGAAGGACACGTTACAAGGGAAAATATACTTATGTGTGTGGGCCCCCGGAACATAACCCCCATGTTGGGGGGGGGGGCGACAGACGCCTGCATTGAAAAATCAGGGGGCATATTAAGGGCCATTTTCAGGTGAGGTTCTATCATATCCTGGCAAATCAGGTTGTACAATTAAAGCTGATTTAGTGCTCTCAATCAACAAACCTGCTACTCCTCCCAAACAGAAGTAAGGCATTCAATGTACACCAACTGCCCTGGGAGTGGGATTCCAGGGGAAGAGGGAGGAAAATAAACTGGGATTCCAGGGGGAGAGGGAGGAAAATAAGCTGAAATTCAAGGGGAAGAGGGAGGAAAATAAGCTGGGATTCCAGGGGAAGAGGGAGGAAAATAAGCTGGGATTCCAGGGGAAGAGGGAGGAAAATAAGCTGGGATTCCAGGCAAAAAGGGAGGAAAATAAGCTGAGATTCCAGGGGAAGAGGGAGGAAAATAAGCTGGGATTCCAGGGGAAGAGGGAGGAAAATAAGCTGGGATTCCAGGGGAAGAGGGAGGAAAATAAGCTGGGATTCCAGGGGAAGAGGGAGGAAAATAAACTGGGATTCCAGGGGGAGAGGGAGGAAAATAAGCTGGGATTCCAGGGGAAGAGGGAGGAAAATAAGCTGGGATTCCAGGGGAAAAGGAGTGGGGGAATAAGACAACCCGAAGCACCTGCCCCTGCAAGAAGGTCCTCTTCCCCTCCCTCCTCCCACCGCCAACTGGGCCATCTAACACCAAGTACCATGTCAAAAAGATGCCAGGAGACGGGAGAGAAGGAGCGGAAGACAATGCCTGGCACCTGCTTCAGTGGGTCTCCTCAGATGATCCTAATGATCAGCTTGCTCTGTACAAGGGTGACGGGCCCAGCAGGTTTCTTGGTCCCAAACTGTTTAGGTCTTTAAATGTCGGCAGCCGTACCTCGAACTTGGCTTGGCACACCAGTCTAGATCTGTCAGCCGTGTGCATAAAGTTAGGCACTGGCAGCTTCGTTTTACAATAGCTGCAGCATCCAAATCAGGCGCAGAGGTAGTCCTACATGTAGCTCGTTACTAGGGAGGTGACCAATGCATGCACCACCATGGCTAGGTTAGCTGCCACACAGACGGAAGTTGGAAAATGGGGACCCTGAGCCACTGAGATCCACTTCTATTCTGGTTTTGTACACTCCAGCATTCTCCGAATGCACAGTAGATAATAAATATTGAAATAAAGAAAACAGTGACATTGATTTGGGCAGTTTCCCCCAAACTTGGGTCTCCAGCTGTGTTGGTGTTTTTTTTTGTGTTTTTTTTTGGACTACAACTCCCATCACCCCTAGTCAGCAGGACCAGTGGTCAGGGATGATGGGAACTGTAGTCCGAAAACAGCTGGAGATCCAAGTTTGGGAAACGCTGATCTAGGAGAACACCCCTTCCAAAAAAAATTGCACCTGCTCCTTGAGAGGGAGCGCAAGTCTGTCCGGTATAGGTACACAATTCAGTTCTCAGACCTGGGAACCGCACCTCAATTGGGTGTCCACCTGGCTGGGATTCAGTTGCAGCCCATGACTGCACCACCATTCAGATTGCAGATTGAAGGGCTGGAAAATCTCATAAACTGCACTAGCAATCCCCATGCCTACTTCCTTTCCCCTGGCTTCTGCCTTCCGTCTCTTCCCTGAGTGTTTTCTGCCTACACAAGATGAAAACAGTCATCAAAATAACTTTCTCCGCACCTGATTCGATTTAATCTGGGTGTGGAGGCAAGTGTAGGTTCCACCCACCCACCTCCAGCAACTCCCATGCGCTGAATTCTTCCTGAGCCAATTAAAAGCTGTCATCCAGTTTGCAGGGTCGTTAACATGCGCAGCCGGGCATATTCAATGCGCATGAAATTGGCAGCGCTTGCGCAAAGAGAGACATCTCAGCGTTTTGTTTGTCTAAGTCAGTGATGGCCAAACTTGGCCCTCCAGCTGTTTTGAGACTACAACTCCCATCATCCCTAGCTAACAGGGCCAGTGGTCAGGGATAATGGGAATTGTAGTCCCAAAACAGCTGGAGGGCCAAGTTTGGCCATCACTGGTCTAAGCGCAAGCCAAGATCTCATGGTTGGAGAGGAGACCTGGAAAGTACAGTACCGTCTAGAAACTCAGAACCAAAAGTGGCAGGGCGGCGGGGGGGGGGGGGGAGCTGCAGCAGGAGTCAAATAAAGGGTTCCTGTAGCCAAAAAGGCCAAGTTCCTGCAACCTACCCCATATTTTTCTTCTTGAGTCAAACACTCTTCCGTTCTGACCCTTGCTGCCATAACTACAGTGGTACCTCGGTTCTGAAACTTAATCCGTTCCGGAAGTCCGATCCAAAACCAAAGCGTTCCAAAACCAAGGCACGCTTTCCCATAGAAAGTAATGCAAAACGGATTAATCCGTTCCAGACGTTTAAAAACAACCCCTAAAACAGCAATTTAACATGATTTTTGCTATCTAACGAGACCATTGATCCATAAAATGAAAGCAATAAACAATGTACTACAGTCACACAATCAATCAATCAATCAATCAGTCAGTAGTTGAACTGGGTTCCACACAGTCACAAAAACAAACAAAAAAGAGCCGCAAAAACAAAAACGCAAAATAAATAGCAAAAACAGACAGACCTCAGCTTGACACTCAAAACTGAAGTGTGGCACTCAAATCGGAAGTGTAACACTCAAAACGAGGCACATTTGGCTTCCAAAAAAAGGTTGCAAACCAGAACACTTCCAGGTTTGCAGTGTTTGGGTTCCAAGCTGTTTGAGTACCAAGGCGCTTGAGAACCAAGGTACCACTGTATTTGTTGTCTAGGTTGGTTTCAGTGTTCATGATGACACAGTTGCAATTCAAACGAACAGACAGATTAAAGGAATTTGTACGAATGAGCACTGACTATTCTGAGCACTGAGTTTTGGGATTGAACGTGTGAGTGCAATTTTTGGGAATCGCAATGTGTTTTGGGATTCGCAGCACGTGAGTGCAAATCTAACAAGGTTATGTTTATAAAACGTCAAACAGCAACTCGCGTGTGAAAAGCACCATTAGACAAGTCTTCCCTAACCTGGTGTCCTCTAGATGTTTTTAGGCTAGGACTCCACATCATCACTGACCATGCTCTCTGGGGCTGGTGGGAGTTTGGATTTTGACAACATCTGAAGGGCATTCCAGGATGAGGAAGCGCTGGCAAAATATCTTGAAAGCACAAGTCTTTTTGCTTCCCTTTGCATACAATCTGTCCAATTATTTTCCACTCCAGTCATTTCTTTCCAGACTTCATTGACCTTCATCATGATACATAAAACATCACTGATAACTGGGGAACACTGAAGAGAACCGGTTATTCCTAAACATTTACCTGGGTGTTTTTGTTTTAAGATCCAATGCTAAAAAATAATGGCCTCCTTTCTGTTGCACAATGTGAGAAAATCAGCAAATTTCAGGGATATGAATGCCTTCTAGACAGGAATAGGCTAAGGCTTATTTGCAGAGGGCACAAGCTTCCGTTAGAGCTCCTGTTCCCCTTTATTTGGGGATCAAGGTGTGTTCTGCCGTTTCACTGTTTGCTTAGGTGAAAAGCCACAGAATTTGAGGTCAACTGAAGAAACCACCTCCAGATATTAAACTTGCACAGAGCTTTAAAAAAAAAGATCCCTTGGGTTATTTACTGATAGGTACAAGAACATAGACAGACTTTTAGTTCATCATGGCCCAGATGAAGAATTTATGTACCTGGTAATGATGCAACCCAGGATCAGAAGTACACCTCCTCCTTACCTTGAAGAACTTCCATAGGCAAAACCGTCCAAGCATTTTCCAGGTAGGAGATGTAAATATAACGAGCTGTGTTACAAGCAAGGCCGATATACAGGACTCTAAAGGTAGGAAAGAAAGGAAACGACACGGGCTAGTTTAATGTTTGCCATCTCTTGCACATAGTAACAAATAAACAGTTACTAGGCTGGCTTAGAGCAATTTTCTGGCAGTTTTATACAAGGTAGAAGTTTAAATAAATGAATGTAAAAAAGGTAAAGGACCCCTGACAGTCAAGTCCAGTCACGAACGACTCTGGGGTTGCGGCGCTCATCTTGCTTTATTGGCCGAGGGAGCCAACGTTTCTCCACAGACAGTTTTTCCAGGTCATGTGGCCAGCATGACTAAGCCGCTTCTGGTGAAACCAGAGCAGCACACGGAAACGCCATTTACCTTCCTGCCGCAGCGGTACCTATTTATCTACTTGCACTGGCGTGCTTTCGAACTGCTAGGTTGGCAGGAGCTTGGACAGAGCATCAGGAGCTCACCCCGTCGCAGAGATTCAAACCGCCGACCTTCCGATCGGCAAGCCCTAGGCTCAGTGGTTTAGACCCAGCTACTGCTCTATAACAGTTCTTCCCAGATAGCTCATTTTCTGAGATATTGGTTCATTGTGCTTCCTTGCATTAATATGGACCCGGCCATTTTCAAGTTAGGAATGACGGCTCTCTCAAGTGATTTTTTTTTAAATAGGGGGCAGGCAAGCTTCAACGTTAGTACCGTCTCCTGCCCCCACCTCGAAGACTCTTATAAAAAAGAGGCTGCTGTGTTTCATGTACCAAACTGGAGGAAGGGAAACCAGGTCTCTGCAGAGGGATCAACTTAACCATTATGCAAGCGGAGATGTGTAGTTCTATACTGGGGGTGGGGGGGAGTGTACAGTCTGCAAAGGACTGAAATAAAGTAAGATGAAGCATGAATGAAATGGTCAGGAATTGTTTCAGGAGGGGAAGGTACCTTTCCTAGACTTGCCACCTTTTGTTTCTAAAGAGCTCCTTGCACCCTGAAAGGTTCCTCCCGCAAACTAACATGAAGAATATAACTTTCAAAAAGTATCGAGAGCCCAGTGTGGTATAATGTTCAAGGGGAAAGACTGGGACCTGGGAGACCAGGGTTCAAATTCTCACTCCGCCATGAAGCTCACTTCGTGATCCTTGGCCAGTCACTGTCTGCCAGCCTAACCTACCTCACAGGTAGGTTGTTGTGAAGATAAAATGAGGATTGGGGAGAGGCATGTACACTACCACCTTGACCTCCTCTTGAGGAAAGGTGGTCTGTGAGTGTAAAATATACAATAAATAAGAAGTTAGAAGGCAAGTATTGTCACTGAAAGGGGATTTGCGAATACCTGGATCACCTGAGACAGAAGAAAAACAGCTGCAAATGTGAAAATCTTTAATAAAAATTTTAAAAAACCCACAACTTTTAGCCATTACGCACTGACAGCTGGTTGGCATGGAGGAATTGTATTATACAGTCATACCTCGGGTCGCGAACGTGATCCGTGTGGGAGGCAAGTTCGCAACCCGCAGCGTTCGCAGCCTGAAGCACCGTGTCTGCACATGAGCGTGATGCAATTCGGCGCTTTTGCACATGCGCCAAAACCCGGAAATAACCCGTTTTGGTACTTCTGGGTTTAGCGCGGTCCGCAACCCGAAAACTCACAGCCCACAGTGTTCGTAACCCAAGGTATGACTGTATGAGGACACAAATCAGCCAGTGAAAAAGTACAATTAAGCATAACCAGTTATGCAGGGTTTTTAAAAAATGTTTTGTTTAAAAACGTTTCATAAAATGTATTTGGGAGGTGGCAGAATGAAATATTTTAAAACTGTTTCCAGTCTTTAGAGACACAGTTTATGGCATTCACATGCTATTTACACATTTCTCAAACTGAGATTGATCCAGCTCTGGTAGTCTCTAAGTTTATAGCATCTCAAGTGTCTAGTATAAACAACAGACTAGGAAGCATATCCAACTAGTTACCCAAGAATAGACTCTTTATTTGCTTGTAGTCATTGCTAACAAAGCTCTCCGAAGAAGACAATAAAACACTTAGCAAAATTCCTGGCTAAACAAGGTGGATACAATACATAATCAGTTTCATCAACTGAAATTAATTATTTTCAAACATTTCATTTGTAGCAAACGTCTCTTCATTAAAAAAAAAAAAGACTTCTGAAGTTAATACTGGAATATTCTAGAATACTCAGACAGCAGCCACTGATAATCATAATGCCTATGAATAACCGCGCTGAGACCTTCGGGTATAGGGTGGTATATAAATAATAATAATAATAATAATATAATAATAATAATAATAATGTGTCAAGTCACTTTTAGATGTATGCTTGCCAAGACTGCCTCCTTTTTGTATACATTGACCCACTGTGTGCAGGAGAGCTTTCAATTCTTTTTTAAAAGAACAAAATTTTCTCTGGTGATATGCAGTTCAACTATTGTGAGAAACGGAGGATGAATTATTCACTCCCCCCCCCCCCGGTCATTTCTGATTTATGTGCATCCCATAATGCCCTTGTTTACTCAGCTCTTTTCTATCTGCAGAATTCCAAAGGAAGTCCATCCGAAGAAATAATTTATACACACAAAAGAGAAAAAAGCAATCGGTCAAATATTACTCTATGCAGTGCTATTTTTCTAGAAAAAGGAGTGCCGGAACTCACGCCTCCCTTGTTCTCTTATACAGCGGTACCTTGGTTCCCAAATGGCTTAGTTGTCGAACAAATCGGCTCCTGAACGCCGCAAACCCAGAAGCAAGTGTTCCGGTTTGCAAATGGTTTTCGGAAGCCGAACGTCCGACGTGGCTTCTGCTTAAGTGCAGGAAGCTCCTGCAGCCAACTGGAAGCCGCGCCTTGGTTTTCGAACGGTTTCGGGAGTCAAACAGACTCCCGGAACGGATTAAGTTCAAGAACCAAGGTTAAGTACTTAATTCGTTCCAGAGGTCCGGTCTTAACATGAAACTGTTCTTAACCTGAAGCATCACTTTAGCTAATGGGGCCTCCTGCTGCTGCCGCGCCGCCGGAGCACAATTTCTGTTCTTATCCTGAAGCAAAGTTCTTAACCTGAAGCACTATTTCTGGGTTAGCGGAGTGTGTAACCTGAAGCGTATGTAACCTGAGGTACCACTGTAATGGCAATGGTGCCCACCTGAGAGGTGCCAGAACTGAGTTCCAGCTGGAAAAAAAAGCCCTCTGTATTCCCTCTGTACAGTGGTACCTCGGGTTACATACACTTCAGGTTACATAGGCTTCAGGTTATAGACTCCGCTAACCCAGAAATAATGCTTCAGGTTAAGAACTTTGCTTCAGGATGAGAACAGAAATCGTGCTCCGGCAGCGTGGCGGCAGCAGGAGGGTCTCATTAAGCTAAAGTGGTGCTTCAGGTTAAGAACAGTTTCAGGTTAAGTACGAACCTCCGGAACGAATTAAGTACTTAACCCGAGGTACCACTGTATTCCCAAAGAAGTGGCTATTCATTGTTGTCCCTTGCCTCTTTGAGAATCTGCTGAACTATAGATTCACATTGTTTCCTGCAGACCCCATTCATTAGCCGTATCACATGGCTACCTTCTTGGCGAGTGGTCCTCTCCTATGTCATAAATAACACTACCCCCACCAATACTGTCAAGTCTTACACAAGTGTGCATCTTTATTTTATTTTTTTGATTTCAGGCAAAATATATTGAGCGGTCTTTGTGTGTCAAGGGCATTATTATACCTGCACAACTCGTATTTCTGTTACTTTTCCGTTCCACCTTTTCTGGTTCTTCTACATTTCTTTTGTATTAGGATAGCTAAAGTGTATGCAAACACCAAGTGTGACATGATTTCTAAGAGGGCATAATGACATATGCCGCATCTATCCCATTTCCAAAAAAATGATTTTTTCGTGACAGCAATAAATAAATGTGGTTTTGTTTTTCCACATGTTGCGCTTAGCTTCGCACTCCAATAACCATTGTCCCAATGCTGAGCCATTTTCTGAAATGTCTCCAGACCTGCATTAGAGCTAAAGATTTTGAAATATTGTTATCATGAGAACATTCCAATATGTATTTGTTTTCTAGCATACGTTTCCCACCTTCCATGGTGGAACATGTGGAACTGAATGAAAAGAGGGCAGTCGCTTTTTTGCAACTTCAATATGCTTTGAAACCTTAGCAGCTTTCTGCCCATGCGCTCTACGTGGGGCTACCTTTGAAGGTGACCCGAAAACTACAACTAATCCAGAATGCGGCAGCTAGACTGGCGACTGTGTGGCCGCCAAGACCATATAACACCGGTCCTGAAAGACCTACATTGGCTCCGAGCACAATTTAAAGTGTTGGTGCTGACCTCTAAAGCCTAAACGGCCTTGGCCCAGTATACCTGAAGGAGCATCTCCACCCCCAGCGTTCAGCCTGGACACTGAGGTCCAGCTCCGAGGGTCTTCTGGCGGTTCCCTCAGTGAAAGAAGTGAGGTTACAGACAACCAGGCAGAGGGACTTCTCGGTAGTGGCGCCCGCATTGTGGAACGCCCTCCCATCAGATGTCAAGGAAATAAACAACTATCTGACTTTTAGAAGCCATCTGAAGCCATCCCTTTTTAGGGAAGTTTTTCATGCTAGATGTTTTATCACTTTTTTATCATTATTATTAAAATTCTGCTGGGAGCAGCCCAGATGGGCAGGGTATAAATAATAAAATATTATTATTATTATTATTAATAATAATAATAATAATAATTGGCTCAGGGCATGAGACAACCTTAATCTCATGGGTTCAAAGCCAATGTTGGGCAAAATATTTCTGCTTTGCAGGGGGTTGGGTCAAGGGTCAAAATCCCTTCCAGCTCTACAATTCTAAGATTCTATGGTTCCCAGGTGGTCTGCTATCCAGGCACTAGCAAGGCCTAGACATGTGTGTCATCAAACCATAACCAAGATCAGTTACCTCATTCATTTCCCTTTTCAGATCATTAGCGGGTAAAGCAGAAACAGGAAGCCCAATGCAGATATATGTGATAGTCTTAAGTGAAAAAAGAATGCAGCTTGCCACGTAGGAACATGAACGTGTCCAGAGGAGGGCAACCAACATGGTCAAAGGCCTGGAAACGATGCCTTATGAGGAACGGCTAAGGGAGCTGGGCATGTTTAGCCTGGAGAAGAGGAGGTTAAGGGGTGATATGATAGCCATGTTCAAATATATAAAAGGATGTCACATAGAGGAGGGAGAAAGGTTGTTTTCTGCTGCTCCAGAGAAGCGGACACGGAGCAATGGATCCAAACTACAAGAAAGAAGATTCCACCTAAACATTAGGAAGAACTTCCTGACAGTAAGAGCTGTTCGACAGTGGAATTTGCTGCCAAGGAGTGTGGTGGAGTCTCCTTCTTTGGAGGTCTTTAAGCAGAGGCTTGACAACCATATGTCAGGAGTGCTCTGATGGTGTTTCCTGCTTGGCAGGGGGTTGGACTCGATGGCCCTTGTGGTCTCTTCCAACTCTATGATTCTAACATAAGATGTTTTTCATCAAGTCAAGGCCATTGGTACATCTAGTGACAGCGACTCTGAAGGGTTTCAGAAAAGGGGATATTCGCAGCCCTATTTGGGGGGATTGAACCTGGGATTGTTTTCCATGCAAGCACATAACTCTACCGCTGAGCTACAGAAATCCATTTCAACTATGGCGTGGATTGGTGCAATCTTGCTATTTGCTTGGTTAGCTGCCAACAGCGTAGCCGAAGACTGCTATGAACAGCAAACTTTGAAAAGGTTGCTCACAGGAGCAAGACGGTTTGAGCATATTAGATTGATCTTGGTCTGACTACACTGGCTACCAATTAGTTTCCGGGCCCGATTCAAAGTGCTGGTTTTAACCTATAAAGCCTTAAACAGCTCAGGACTGCACAACCTCAAGGACCGCCTCTTCCCATATGAACCTACCCAGACCCTCCTTCGTGTGCCGCCTCCTTCAGAGATTCAGAGCATGGCAACACGAGAACAGGCCTTCTCTGCAGGCTCTCCCCGGTCCTTGAGGTTGTGCAGTCCTGAGCTGTTTAAGGCTTTATAGGTTAAAACCAGCACTTTGAATTGGCTCCCTGTCTATGGTATGCTCTCCCCAAGGAAGTTCTCCTGGCGCCTTCATTATACACCTCCAGGCACCAGGAAAAAGCGTCCCTTTTTAACCAGGCCTTTGGTGGCTCTATTTTTGACATCCTATACCCTTTTAAAATGTGGCTCTTTTCGGGGGGCCGGGGTGTTATTGGGTTGTTGTTTTTATTCTGATTATATATGTTGTGATCTTTTCTGTGAACCGCCCTGAGACCTTTGGGTACAGGGCGCTATATAAACTCAATAAATGAAAAATATAAATAAATAATACACAGTACACGTATCTCTATAACAACTCTAAAGTGAAACTGTATTTAAATGAAGAAAAAATTTAATTCTTGCAGCGGGGCAAACTTCTCATAGTATGGTACCTCCGATTCGACAATCATGCACTTTCTCACTGCTAGAGTTACCCAGACTGGAAGATTATTGTATATTATGTTGCTACCAAAAAAATAAGATAAATAAGCAGCAAGTGACCTACCTCTGTGCCCCAGAATACTTTGTTACCTAAGGCAGAAAACCTTCCTCATTTATTTGGCAGAACAAAATGGCATGCATAAAATAATTCAAAGATGAAAGGTCATAAATATCTTTCCTGGGATGTGGGGGGAAAGGAGTGTTATGTTGGAAATTTGAAAAGGAGCAGATGAATTTTGTGGACCAAACATTTCTACTACATCAGAAACCAAAGTTCTTTTAAAGCAACCTCCCCAAACTGGGTTTTCTTAACGGTGCCATTGCTTTAAAGGCATACTTGTGTTTTTTCAAGCAAAACTTGCAAAAAAATGACAGTTCGGTCATTAGTTTTGCCAGGACTTTCCCTTGAAAGGTACTCTTATTTCATTTATGGCAGCATGGCAGAGAGATATGGAGTCTATGTGATGTCACCCTGCATTACAGTGCTGTCCGGGGCAAAGTCCCAGCTGCCAAATATTTCCCCTGTGGCAGCTTTTGAAAGATCATCTTTCAAGGTTAGGCACTGGGAACTCTATTTGACCCCACCGACGGTTATTATCCATGCTATGGAGAACAACGCATTTGCGCCAGTAAAATCTAAGCCTGAGGCTATAATCCTATACCCACTTTCCTTTAAATAGGCTTTGTTAAACTCAATGGGGAGATTGCAAAAGGGCTCACTTCTGAGTACTCACATACAGGCTTGCACTGTTAAGGTACAGGTGGCTATATCCAAGTGAATTACACTCAGGGTGGGGCCCACTGAAATCACACCAAATATGACTCAGGCAGTTCCAGCTGGTCCACTCACGGCCTTCCTTAACAGCCGGTTTGCATGCATGTATTTCTTGTGTGGTTACTACATGTTAATGCATTTGAAAGTCCTAATCATTTACCCTACCCTGTTCAAAACATCTCCAGTGTCTGGTTTTATGCCAGATAACGGCTGTCACCAAAAAACAAGCCTTTCTCGTGCAGTTTCATGAACTGGCTTCAGGCTGACAGTTGTTATGCAGAGCAATTTATTAATCTGTAATCCTAACATTGGCTGGTACCATGTTATGTGGGAGAAATGAAACCATCAACAGGTTAAAAAAAAATTTAAAAAATCAATCAATCAATCAGTCTAGCAAATACTGGGAAAATCCAGAAAATAGCTCCTCAAATACTGACGTATCTAATAGATCAGATATAATAATATTGAACATTTACATAGTTCTTTTAACCATTCAAAGAATGTATTTTCAAGTATAACCCTTACAAGAGCTCTTTAAGCCAAGTAATTATTATGCTACAAATTGCACATCAGAAGAATGAGGCTTAGAAAGAGTGGCTTGCTTAAGACCACCTAGTGCGGTTTTGCCACATGTGAAATTTGAACGAGGGACTATCCCGATTCACACCTTAAGCTATGTACACACGGTACATTTTAAAGCGCGTGCACACCCACCAATAATTTTTGGAACTGTAGTTTCCCCCAAAAGAGCTGCAATTCCCAACACACTTAAACTATAGTTCCCATTATTCTTCCTAGAGGAGGAAGGGACAGAGGTGCTTTAAACGTATATGCAGCTTCACTCCCCTGGGCTGCAATCTTAAACCCACTTACTCGGGAGTAAATCCCACTCACTTTAATATAACTTGGTTCTTTGTAGATATGCTTAGGACTGCACCGTTTTGCCATCACAATTCTTTTGCACCTTCAGATGTGGCGGCAAATCTTTGGCTCTCCAAATGATTCAACTCCCAGTAGCCCCAGGCAGCATGGCCAGGAATCAGGACTGACGGGAGCTCTAATCCAGCAACATATGGAGGGCCAAGGTTTCCTCGCACTATTACATTCGTACCTTGGATCCCAAATGCCTTGCGAGTCGAACATTTTGGATGCCGAACGCCACAAACCCAGAAGCGAGGGTTCCGGTTTGCGAACGTTCTTTGGAACCCAAATGTCCAATGGGGCTTCCGATTGGCTGCAGGAGCTTCCTGCAGCCAATCGGAAGCCGGACTTTGGTTTCCAAACGTTTTGGAAGTCAAACGGATTCCATTCGACTTCCAAGGTACGACTGTATTGTCGGAACTCCATTCGACCAAGCTGATAAGGCTCATCTTTGGAATCGCCTCCCGACGATTAATTGACGACCTGATCCTTTGATAAGGCCTCAGGCACGTTGTCCCAGCAGAGCTTCAAAGCAGCACGGAAGGATGAGATAGTATGAGCTACATTGCTATGCTTTATTTTCTAGCTACGCAGAGAGCAAAGAAATATACATCCTCTCCCTGTGAGAGCAGAGAGCAACAGAACAAAGGAACAAAGAAAACAGGAAACCACTAATGTCACATCCCGTCTCCCTTCCCGTGAGACTTGAAGGTCTCTGGAATGTAAACAGAGTCCTGTGACTCCCAGCAGCTGCTCAGTGATAAGAACAGAAACTAACATGTATATCTATGCTTGGCGCAACACTGACTACGGCTAGTCAACCACCACCGTACCGTTTGCTTACCTGATGTGTCCAATTAGCTCGATCAACTTGTGGCTGAAGAAATAAGCAGTCAGTTCGGACACGTGACTCAGGACGGAGCAGACCCCGAAGAGAGTGGTGGTGCCGTTCAGGTCCTCCAAGTGCCAGTAAAGGAAGGTGAAGACAAATCCGTACCCAAAGCCCATGAACCAAGCTACAAAGAGCACGGAGCCATATTGGATACTGCAGAGCAGCTTTATCAAGTCCCAGAAACTAAAGGAGGGCGACTGGCTCGTGTCACTCGGGGTCTCGTTGGAGGAGTCGTGGGAGGAGTTCCTGTCCGCCTGGGAGACGTCCCCTTCTTTGCTTTGGTTCTCCTCTTGTTTGTAGTGGTTGTAGTGGAACCGGAACTGGGTGGCCACGATCAAGGAGAGCGTCATCAGCACGCCAAAGACGATGAAAACAATCCTGTAGTTCTTGTACTCCGGGGCTTTGCAGCCTTGCCCTTCGATGAGCACATCGATGCGGGTGGCGTCGATGCCGATCCCTACTGAGAGCATGGCCAGGCCCCAGCCCAGAGAGCCCCACATGCGCTGGAGCCCATAGCGATCTCGGTGCTTGCCAAGGTACTGCAGGGTCACCGTGTCCACAATCGTGACCGACGACGCGCTGAAAAACTCCCCTATGATAACAACCATCAGGATGAGCAGGAAGATGGCCTCCACTTCCTGGTGGTCGTAGACGAGAGTGGCAGCCCCGGTGGTGGCAGCGGGAGGCATCGTCGGACGGGTCAAATTCCCCAACGACCCGGCAGTAACGATGCCTTTCGGAGTACTGGGAGGAACCACGCTCTCTTTGGCCCTCAACACGTTCCGCGTGGTCAGAGGGAATGTGGTTTCAGGAGGAGTTGAGCTCACCGTTGCCAAGCTATAAGGAGAAACGTCTCTTTTCCTCCGGCCCTCTGGCGACGCAGCCCGGCCGGTAGGAATCGCCGAAGGAAGGGAGACGTTTTGCGTGGTTGCCGTTGAGAGGTGGCTGGCGTTGGTGGGAGAGACTGGCAGCGGGAACTTTGGTACGCACCTCAAGGTAGCCGGCTTGACGAACCCAATTCCCAAATTGAACAGCACCCAACATAGGAGGGAGAAGAGGAGGACGACTTTCCCTTTTTTGAAGCGGTCCGCCACCACGCCCCAGAACGGAGCGCTGCAGAACTCAATGAAGTACCTGATGCCCACCAGCAGCCCGCTCTGGCTGGGTGTCATGCCCAGCTGCTTATAATACACAGGAAGCAGCGGGTAGAGCGAACCGTAAGCAGCATAAAAGAAAAAATAAAAGACTTTGGAGATCAGGAGATCGTTGTTCACTTTGACACAGTGCTTTTCGAGCCAATCCAGCTCCTCGTCCGGAATGGTGGTGGTGGTCTCTGTCGAAGGTGTATCGCTTTGGGTTTGGGGGTCTGGCTCCTTCGAAATCCCGTTGAAAGGGTCAGCGAGCACATACTTCCTCTTTTGCTCCTCTTCGTCGTCGGTTAAAATGGCTACTTTGTCGTCGGCTGCCATGGCTTACTGTCAGCATGAGCTACGTGCCCAGATCTCCAAACTTTAATTCAAGTAGCCTGTGGAAACACACAAGAATCACCACGGTTAAAACACCATGCTTAAATACAGGCTAAAATATAGACCAGGGATGGACAACATGGCAACGGCCAGACGTTGCTGGACTACAACCCCCATCAGCCCCAGCCAGAATGGCCAAAAGTCATGGATTTTGGGAAATGTAGTCCAATAATTTCCAGGGGGCCACAGGCTCCCCATTATGATATACTCATTTCCTATGGAATAAAATATGTCTTTTATTGTTTATGGCTACAGTTCAGGATCTTAAACAGGACTTTAGGACTGAACACAAACGTATTAGCCCTTACTTACAGAGATATGGCAGCAATGAATAACTCAATTTTTTATTAACAACTTTGATCCTTACTACAGTAACATAAGACCCTTGCAACATTTGTAAATACAGAACTAATAAACGTCTACATGCAATTGTCAAAAAATCTCTAGTTCTTATTATACGAATGACAGTACTCCAATAAAGAAAGGACAAAGGATTATTAAAGATAGATACCTGAAGTGTCTCTATGAGAAATTAATGCCAAGGTTATTTATGTATCATTAATTACCATATTTTTCGCTCTATAAGACGCACCAGACCATAAGACGCACCTAGTTTTTGGAGGAAAACAAGAAAAAATATATTCTGAATCTCAGAAGCCAGAACAACACACAGCGATCCCTCTTGCTGTTCTGGCTTCTGGGATAGCTGCGCAGCCTGCATTCGCTCCATAAGACGTACACACATTTCCCCTTACTTTTTAGGAGGGAAAAAGTGAGTCTTATAGAGCAAAAAATACGGTACTTATTAAATTTCTGTTTCTGTTTGCCCACCTTCCTTCCAAAGGAGCCCAGCGCAGCAACCAGCGAGGGATAAAACATTAAAATCACCATTAAAAAATTTCTTTTAAATTTCTTTTAAACAATTTCAATACAGATGCAGTCTGGGAAACATCTCAACCTAGAAGGCTTATTGAAAGAGAAAGGTTTTCAGTAGGTGACGAAAAGACAACAGAGATGGCACCGGTCTATTATATAAATTCAATTAATAATAATAATAATAATACTCAACAGGGTAGGTGCTACCACACTAAAGGCCCTGTTCCTACATTTTGTAGAATAGACCTCCTGTTAAGTTGTTATTCACAGGAAGCCATACTGTGCAGAGTACAGTGAAGGGATGATATGATCTTTCAGGTATGATTATTTATCAGTCAGGAAGAATATTATGGATCGACTGCAAGGAAAACTTGCTCTAATTCTTTTGGAGGGATGGCATTACCTCTTCTGGCTACAACCCTCTGTGCCACATTGAAGGCTGTTCTGGAAGATACCACAGAAGCAAGGCCTATTAATAATATCAGTGAGTCTCAGGTTGGGGCCTGATTTATTTATTTTTAGTGACAGTTAACAGTGTTGGCTCTGCTTCTACAAAACCCACAGGTGTTCAGTACCTGAGGGGGTGGGTGGGAATGAGAACAGGCCACAGAATTCATACTATAAAGGGAAGAAATGAATCGTGCTAAAAAGTGAGGAAACAGTTCCTAGCAGGGTGGATAAAAATCAATGATTTTTAAAAAATGGATTTTTTTTATTTAAATGGATTTTTTTTATTTAAATCAATTTTTTAAATTTAAATTAGATTTTTAAAATTAAATGCTTTTGGAGGGAAAAAAATCTTTCTAAAGACAGTTTTCTATTTAAGTTACATTATAGTCCAAAGGCTATTCATCAGGAAATAAGGATTTGTTTTAAGTTTTTCCTGTGTGCTGAAACTCACTCTAAGTTTTTTAGGGTTTTTTAAAAGGGTTAAACCACATCAGTTAACAAACATGGATACATATGCTGTAATGTTTTTGTTTTAGTTAAATTGTTTAAATTGTTATTAAGGAAATGATTATTTTTCTCCTTCCAATAAAGCACAGAGGAAAAGTTGTCCAAATATAAACAGCTAACTTGTTAAACCTCACAATAATTATCTAAGTATTTCTAATAGGATAACCAAATCAGTAATTTTTGATATACAAATGTAAAAAATAACTCTGAAAAGTTATTATTCCAGAAATGAAACCTTCATCTGGTTGTAAATATTAAGATAATACCAGCAGGAATGGTCTTTTTGTTTAAAAAAAGAGAGATTTAAATCAAGTCTTACTGACTAATGATTTAAATTGTGATTTAAATCAATTTGATTTAAATCAAATCCACCCTGGTTCCTAGAAACCTGGGAGGGCTTTTCACCTCAGGAGAAGGGAGCAAAAGAGCCCAAGTCATTAAGCATGCAGCTTTCGCGAGCTTTTTCAGTCCTTTCCACATTCCTATACAAAATGACTGGATCCGTACTTCTTAGACTTTTGGGCACATCAGAAAAATCAAAATGGGAGATGGTCTGGGTTCAAATGCCACTCTTTTGTTGTTGTCGCATTTATTTTCTGAGGAACCATTGCAAAAATAGGGGAGTCTGCCCATAGGGACAAACTTCCTGTTACATCACACTCAATAATAATAATAATAATAATAATAATAATTTATTTATACCCTGCCCATCTGGCTGGGTTTCCCCAGCCACCCTGGGCAGCTCCCAACAGAATATTTAAGAACACGACGAAACATCTGACATTAAAAACCTTCCCTAAACAGGGCTGCCTTCAGATGTCTTCTAAAAGTCAGATGGTGGTTTATTTCCTTCAAAGCCTGACTTTGCCCTCCTCACAACCACAATCCCATGAAAGGAACGCTACAGCCTCCCACAAACTCCATAAAAATCAAAATTTCTGAATAAGTTTTCAGGGCCAGAACCCACAGTATCCCAAAGCCCCTTATGAACATGGGCAGGTTAAAATCAGTTGCAATTATGATGCAGGACTTAGTACCATGATGAGACGAATGATGCATTATTATGAAGTACAAATCCAAAATCCGAATAGATTTTGTTGTACTATCCAAAATCCGTGGCAAAACCATGAAGCCTATACCGCTTCCTTTTAGATTAGATCTATGTGTTTTAGGTAATAGATCCTCAGTTCTTCACAAGATTGGTCAATAAAGATTAGGCTAACAGATCAGTCAAATATGGCTCAAATACTGAGTCAGGGTTTTTTTTTTTTAAAAAAAAGCATTAACTTTATTAGAACAGCAACAACAAAAAAGAATTAGTGCTTAAGTCTTCAAGGGCCTTGGTATTTCTGCCAACACCTTAATAGTAAATTGAAACAATCAAATTAGCTTTTATAACATCATAATGTGGGAATGTCATCCAACTGGCAAGCTTTCTGGAGATGTATAAATTAGTTTAATAACAAAACAAGAACCGATGGCTATCTCTTCACTAGTATTATTATGGGATGGGCAAAATGAAGGCGGATTGGATAAAGTATTGATTCTGTTATTTTTTGTTCGCTGCCTGAATGTTTATCGCAAGACATATTTAGAAGAGCTAAATAAGGACGGTAAAATCTGGCCCATGGCTACTGATGACAAATTAACTAAAATATTAAGATATAGTAGAGTAGAAAAAAATATATAATATTCATTTTCAACAACTAGGCAAAACATTATTTTATGACAACAATGTTTAAATGCCTCAAGGGAAATATGGCACTATTTTGAATTCTTAATAACTCTTCAGCTTCAAGTGAGAATATCATAAAACTCTGAGGACAATATCCTGATATTACAAATAAAACATTTCATTTTTAAATAAAAGGCATACTACTACCCTCCAATAGCAATAATTATCCTTCCCCCCAGGGACTGTTAATGCAACAACCCCAATTTGTATTATTTGGGTATGTTTCATTTTAATTCAATTGTCTGTTTTCTGCTTCGTTTCCTTATTTCGTATATGTTATAAGTTAATGTTATGTGTTACAGAATGATATGTTTTGATTAAATAAAAATAAATATTATAATGAATTCTTTTTACTTTCTACAGTGCTAGGAAGATTTCTATAAATGCTAACCAATTACTGAACATTTTTATTTTATACAGGAACACCAGGTCAATCTATCGTTTCCCAACCTCGTGCTCTCCAGAGACTACAATTCCCTTTAAATCCATTTTTGCACAGCCATGTCATGTTTGGACTGATCAGAGTTGTAAGTACAGAAAAACTTCACTGTGCCAGGTTGCACACTGGCCTATAATTGCATGTTGCACAGAAGCCTGGCCTATAATTGCATGTTGTTGTTGTTTTTAAAAAATGAAATTAAAAAAGAACAGAAATAATGCAAAATACAGCAACCATTTTAAAGGAAGCTGAAAAAAGCTACACCATGGTATTCTTGGCTTTGTAGAATATTTGCGAAGAGTTGACTGCAATCAAATATTAAGTAGTTAACTAACTGCTCAACGGCCAATATTTGACTGGTCAATTGACCAAATAAAATTCCTTCTATAGATTCTCTTAGAAAGCTAAAACTACTGAGAGTTTTGCTCAACTCTTCCAGGAAACCATACGGTTTCTATTTCTTAACATCTACCCCGGTTACCGATGACAGTGTGGTTTTCTACATGCGCTGAAATACAACTCCCTAAACCTCTGAAGGAAATAATGATTTCTCAGAAGTTTCTGTAAAGGAACTGAAAAATTTAGGGAAATACAGTCATACCTCGGATTGCGAACGTGATCCGTGTGGGAGGCACGTTTGCAACCTGCAGTGCTGCGTCTGCGCATGCATGTAATTCGGTGCTTCTGCACATGTGCAAAGCGTGATTTAGCGCTTCTGCGCATGCGCCGAAACCCGGAAGTAACCTGTTCCAGTACTTCCGGGTTTGGCATGGTCCGCAACCCAAAAATGCGCAACCCGCTGGATTCGCAACCCGAGGTATGACTGTACTGCTGGTATTGGATGATCGAAAAACCATCAGAAGCCTTGAGTAGACACCCCCTGCCTTATTTTAAAGCCATTATACATTTGTGAATGAGCTCTTGCTGCTAAACCTAAGTCACTAGTTGCTTAATAATAATAATAATAATAATAATTTATTTATTTATACCCCACCCATCTGGCTGGGTTTCCCCAGCCACTCCGGGTGGCTCCCAACTGAATATTAAAAACACGATCAAGCATCAAACATAAAAAACTTCCCTAAACCTAAGGTGAATGTCAGATACAAAGTGAGGTTGCCTAAGTTGTCTTAATATTTGCTGTGCAAACTTTTCTTTGCAATACATGCATTTGCATAACTGTGTGGGTTTTTCTTTTTTTTAATGAAAATTCAGGATTTGTAAGGATGAGGCAAGTTTAATCGCTGGAACAATCTTATTAACTGCAAATACGGTGATACTGAAGTTTCTGATTATATATAGTGGTGTTTATTTATTTTATTGCACTACACCAGAAGGTGCTTTTTCTTACATTCTAGGTAAAACCAAACCTTGCAGTCATTTTCACCACAGGCAATGGATCGGAGGCAGGAATGCCCACCATCACTGATCTTCATCCTCAAGATCAGGGGTCAGCAAAAAATTTTCAGCAGGGGACCGATCCACTGTCCCTCAGACCTTGTGGGGGGCCGGATTATATTTTTTTGGGGGGAGGGGAATGAATGAATTCCTATGCCCCACAAATAACCCAGAGGTGCATTTTTTTAAAAAGCACACATTCTACTCATGTAAAAACACCAGGCAGGCCCAACAAATAACCCAGAAATGCATTTTAAATAGAAGGACACATTCTAGTCATGTAAAAACACACTGATTCCCAGGGCCAGATTTAGAAGGCAATTGGGCCGGATCCGGCCTCCAGGCCTGTTTGCCTACCCATGCTCAAGATACTAAAGTAGCAATATCTCTTATCTACCCCGATCGCCCTGAAGTTTAGGTCACATTGAACCGAGCAACTTAAAATGCAGTCAACAAATATTTGCCTTTTGAACTTATTGATTCCTAGGTGGATTTCGGGCTTACTGGCTGCATGCAGATGAGCTCCAACAGAGAGCTTCCTACCCCCACCACCAACATGCGAAACTGTCCCTTGCACCTTTCAGAGCTGCTGAGGTCACAGAAACCGAGGAAGCCTGGTGAACAGCAGCTACGGGGGAAAAACCCAGAAATGGTGCTGTTTAGCCAGCACACCTGGCCATAAGCTCACCCGCAGATTCTTCTGCAAGAGTAAGCAATGAAGAAAGAACTATGCCGAGCAAATGAAACCAGTGTGCATTACTAAATGTCAACCAGGCACTGACATCTACTTAATAAAAGGGAGCACGTGTTGCAGTATGTGTAAATATCCCTATGGAAGGAGCAAAAATTGGGACCAGCACCACCAGGGCCGGATTTAGGTTTGATGCGGCCCTAAGATACTGAAGGTAAAGGGGCCCTTTATACGTCCAGCTGTCCTTGTCAGCAACAAATTGTTGCTGTTTTCGTGTGTGTTGAATATACCGTATGCTATATGGTAATTTATGGACCTACAGTCGTACCTTGTTTTGCGACCGGGATCCGTTTCAGAGCCCCAGCCACTAGCCAAAAAGGACGCAGGGCAAAGTGCCGCGTTTGAACATGCACGCGGAGCTGTTTGTGCTTCTGCACATGTGCAAAGTGAAATTTAGCGTTTCTGCGCATGCACAAGCGGCAAACCCGGAAGTAACCCATTCCGGGTTTGCCGTGGACATTCGCCGGAATGGACGCTAGACGAGGCGGACGTTCGCGGAGGTATTACTGTAATATCTATCTAAAGCCATTTGCACATGCTGACATGCAACCAGTCCCAGCAGAATGCAGGCACCCTATATATAGAAATGAGCAAACCATTACTTGCATCATAGGAGCCTACACAACACAAAACATTGTTGCTGTATGTAGGTTTGTTTATTTTTATCTTATATTTCGGAAATGTACATCACTGGTTTTTTCCCTTTAAATTTTTTGGGGCCCCCAAGAGAGTGTGGCCCTAAGCTATAGCCTGTTTAGCTTATACATAAATCTGGCACTGAGCACCACTGACACTTAACAGCAGAACCTAATTATTCACATGTCAGTTTTAGACGATCCTTCAAGGGACTTGGAAGCACAACCTCACTGACTCAAAAGGAAGTCCCTCCAAGCTCTGTGGGGTTTTTCTTCCTAATATACGTGTTTCAGACTGAAGCCTCACTCAATGGAAATAATTATACCCTCGCCGTTTACAATGGTAGTGTAGCCTCGCTGAAAGTCAGCATGATCACATCAGCACAAATTATCATTCTTAAAGAAGCCGGCCTCCACTCTGGGGCTTAATTCCTAACAAATAAAAAAGAGTTTAAAAGACAGGTTTATGGGCCGTTCGGCTTTCAGCCTTCCAGAAAATTAATTTCCCATCTGAACTGCCATTACGAACGGTCTGCGTTATAAAAGCACTGCCATTCATTAGCGAAACCATGTGGGTCTCTCTAGCAACACATACAAATCCACAAGTTAAGTGATTCATGAAAGCCTACCTTAGCTTTGACTTCTTCAAGCCACCAGTGTCTGAAATTTAGTGATTTGCCCATCGGCCAGTACTGTGACATCTATTATTACCTCACAGCCCACCATCTCATCCCCCCATTTGCCTCTGGTCAGTGGGTACAGGTGACTTGTCAGGTTGAAGGCAGGGGTATGAAGTCAACAGCCCCTTAGGCAAGCTTGACCTCCAACTACATGAACCACAAATGAGATGATCAGCAGCACTCACGTCATGACTTTTTTTAAAAAAAATTAAAATTAAAATTAAATATCAGTCACCAATTAACATGCCTACTCTCAGGGAACTGGGTATAGGATTGCAGCCTGAATAAATGTTGAAGCTTTACTAACTAGATTTCGGAAAAGCATCTCTCTCTAAAAAAAGGTTCTCTGTTTTATTCAAAAAGGGGAAAAAACGGGTTTATAAGTGGCACAAAATAATATTTTAACCAGAGACAGGAACTGGAATATAGGAAATATCCCTGGTGACAAATGCAACATATGTCACACCGGGTTGGATATATTTTACGATATTGCTGCTAGATTGTTTTCGCAGCCCACTTGGCTTCGCACGGCATTTTACAGCATTGGTGTGAAATTAAAGTGAGAAACTTCTGGGAACTCGCAGGTGGGACTAGGTTATTTTCTTAACCACCAGTTTTCATCCTAAGGAAATGCTTCGAGCTAAATCAAGATAAGAAAAGCTCTTCCCTGCACATTAGGAAATACCTAGACGTTACAACACAGCCAATGGCGCTGCCTCTAGCATGACTGGATGGAACAATTATGCATGCAAAACTGCCAAGGGTTGAAGAGAAAGCTTGAGGGAAATTTTCCACCCTAAACAACAACATAGAGCATAATCCCAGCGAAAGGCTCGCGTTATGAAGGGGTGCGAAAGAGGTAGATCAGCAATAAAAGCATCCCTTTAAACCATTTACAGGTGCAATTTAAACCAGCATTCGGTTTCCAACAGTGACCAACCAGTGTCAGAAGCCAGCTGGCAGCAAATCACACTGATCAATTTGGAATATATTAGCAAGAACATGATTTGCACAGACTGGGTGGAGTGTCATGCCTAATGAGCACAGCAGTTCATCCCTAGTAGGTCTTGCCCCCATGAAGCGGTTGCTGAGACTGAAAGTCCCGCCCCCCCCGCCCAAAACCGTCTAAATTTCCTCCTCTCCAGGGCTTTTTTTGCAAGCAATCAGAGACTGTGCCTGCTTGAAGCCAACCTGTCCTCCACCCTTTTCATGCCTTTTCTGGTTCTGGGAGATCAGAGGGAAGGAAGACACCATGACTCTTCACCAGCCTGACTCATCTCTGCTTCTTGGCCTCTCTCCTCTCTCTTCAGCTTCTGCCTCTGATTCTGGACTTTTCTCTGCCACAGACCTCCGAACTCACTAAGCCCTGTTACCTCTTCAGCTTCCAACACCTCCTCCCATTCCTCTCCCTTTTATCACATATCGTTGTCCCACCACCACATCCTGGGTTGTTAGGAAACACCCTGTTTCCCTCACCAAGCTACAATTCCCTGAATTCCCTGTGAAGAGGGGCCGATTGTTAAACCACTCTGGAAATTGCAGTGCTGTGAAGGGAACAGCACTCTCCTAACAAGTCACCGCACTCCTAAAAAACTACATCTCCCAGAATTCTTTTGGGGGAAAGCCAGGACTGCATCAGAGCACTTTAACTGAATGGTCCAGACAGTGTTAGAAACTGAGATACGAAAGCTAGGAGCTAAATGGCACCTTAAACCTAGCTTACGGGTGCAACAGCAGAATGCCTAGGCGCGCTTTTTTAAATAACAAAAAAAAAACAAAGCTAAAAATGAATGAACTGCAGCTAAAATATTATGTTCATTTTCAAATGGTCTAGTCCTTCCCCTGTCCCCCCTAATATTCTTAAGAGGGTCTCTTCTCCAGTCAGCAGAGAGTAGCTAGAAATGGGGAGGCAGAAAAGGGTCCTCTTTTCCTTCCACTCTGAAGTTTTAATCTGAAATCTTAGGCGCAGCACTGCGCCCAGAGCTCAGAAACTGCTTGCACTAATGAAATACCCTGTTGCAAAATGCACCCAGAACAATGGGAGTTTCGAACTGGGTGCAGAGGTGGCCTTAGCCTTCAGCAATCTAGGATGAGTGGTAGCTACTTCAGGAATAATATTTGGCGGAAAAACTGTCCATCGTTCCTCTTCAAAACTTTAGGCCACAGGTGGGGGACTTGCGACTCTCTAGGTATAGCTAGGATTCCAATTTCCTAGTGTTGTCTATTCCCAGCGCTTGCTATCCCAAACGCATAATTAATTGCAATACAATTAATTAATACAATATAATTAATTGCAATACAACAGGTAATGACAAAGAGATTCTCAGTCTCCAGCCTCTCTCCTTCAGGAAAAAAACACTATTCGGCAAACATCCGGACTGAAATGCTAATTCAGTGAAGTTGGAACCACAACACTCACAAATGTGAACTAACACGGCCAGTTTGGTCAGTCTTCCTAATCATTTTTTTAAAAAGATTATGTTAATTAAAAGAGATACAACCTCCTTTCAGCCTCATGTGCTTGTTTTCAAAACACTCACAAATGACTCTAACCTATTGACTTCTGATGCCCTGCTGAGGGGCAGGGAGGAAGCCATTCAGCTTGTTAAAAATAAAACTCATTAGGGCCGACCTATTTGAACGTTGCAGCAATAAAAAATGCTACAGTGGCTATTATGCAGCTAAAATAAAACTAAGGTGGGTGAGTGCGATAGTGAGAATGCAGGCAAAGTCCCATGAAAGTGTTTTACCTTTGTGCACAAAAGCCCTCCGATATTTTAGCTGCTTTTACAAGCAACAACACCACTTTTGCAAATGACACCGGTAACAGCAAGGATGACACACAGAGAGGTGTTGTTTCCTTTTAGTAAATGCAAGCGCACGATTGGCTGCCTCTCTCTAAGTAGCCCTCTCTTCCCATGTTAACCACCGCCCAGTTGCTTTTGCAATGTTTTCTCTTTCCACTGGCAATTACATTTGCGGAAGTCCCCGGCAGGAAAACGCCGGCTCCCTGGCACATCACAAAAACAAACAGGAGTCGGGTTTATTAACAGCCCCGCTGTCCCTCAAACATCCAGAGGACCTGGTGGAGCAGTGGGAAATGATGCCCGTCTGATCCTCTTGTTAAATAATTTAATTTTGGTACTCATTTAATGTTTTGTTTTTTCAATTCTCCCAATGCACTTAAAACTTAAGCACTTAACACAGAAGCAGAGGGCCAAGGATAACAGCAGCAGGAGCAATAAGCCAGAATTCAGGAACATAGAGCTTGCATTGTCATTATTATTATTATTATTATTATTTGCATACCTCCCTTCATCCAAAGATCACAGGGCGGTTCACAACGGAAAAAGACAAAATGAGAACACAAACTGTACGTAGAGCGTAACGCCAGGACTGTACACACTTGACCTGGAGGCAGGTCCCACAGCACTCGGATGAGTTTTCCTTCTGAGGAGACAGTGCGCAGGCTTGATCCATTGACAGGAGCTTATTAACTCCCGTGTATGTCTGTGCATGTGAATTCAACCACTCTGCCCTGTGCTGCGTTCCCAGCACATATGAGGATTTCAACGCACGTCAAATTATTTTCTAAGGAACTTAAATAATGTCACAAACACCCATCACAGACACACCCCCCAGGGGTGCCAACTTTAATAAAATATTGGGGATACCCAGGTAAGCCCTGCCCCACATAATCATTCACATGACACAGTGCATGCAACCTATTTGAACGGGAATGGCCATTAACTTTGGGGAGGCTGGCCCCCTCAAATATTTTAGGGGGGGGCAAAGACCTCTCAGGCCTTAGGGGCTGGCTCCTATGCACCCATCTTCCTTTCAAACCACAGGAGCCAACTCCAGGGGGCTGTGGGTGCTTCACCACAATAATATATTTGTGGGGACTGGGAACCTCCCCCCCCCCAAAAAAAAAAGTCAATGGGAAAAGTTGCAGGCATCCACAATCTTCGGCATGGGGTGGCACCTATGTTCCAAATCCACAGAAGGAGCCCACCCGGTCTATGCAGAAGTAACAATTTTGAGGAGATATGGAAGATGTTTGTAGAATTTTGTACTGTTAAAAGGGAAAGGGGTCAAACCATCAAAAGGTGTTGAAATTTTGGGAGGTTGGATAGCTCCAATGGAATGGTCTCTTAGGGGTGGGGGTGTACATTTTTATTTTTATATTATTATTACTTTGCCAAAATAACAAAACAAAACAAAAAGGAGCCCGTCCTAGAGTTTGCCAGGGGTCCCTTATTGGAAGGTATGGCCTCCGCAGATTACTATTTCTCTTTCACACGGAGAGAGACACATACACATTCGGGTTCCTCCAGGCCACGCCTCTGCCATTCCAATAATAATAATAATAACAATAATAAACCACAAGAGCCAACTCCAGGGGGCCGTGGGTGCTCCGGCACCCACAATAATATATTTGTGGGGACTTGGCACCTCCACCCCCAAAAAAAGTCAATGGGCAAAGTTGCAGGCATCCACAATCTTCGGCGTTGCGATGGCACCTATGTTCCAAACCCACAGAAGGAGCCCACCCTAGAGTTTGCCAGGGGTCCCTTATGGGATGGCATGGCCTCCCCAGATTACTATTTTTCTTTCACACGCGGAGAGAGAGATTGATTCGGGTTCCTCGACGTCACGCCTCTGCCGTTCTAATAATAATAATAATAATAATAATAATAATAATAATAATAATAGCAGCAGCAGCAGCAGCAGCTGGGGAGCAGCTCCACCCGCCAGCCCTTCTCTCAGCCTTTTGTTCCTTCTCCGCAAGGCGCGAGGGCAGCGCGCGCCTCTCCGCGCTCGCCTTGGCCGGGGAAGAGGAGGCGGAGAGGCGGGGAGGGGCGCGCGGAGGCAGAGACTCACCTCGGCTCCGCGAGGGGGGCGCTAGGCTCGCTAGGCGACTGCAGCTGGGGGTTGGGGCGGCGGCGGCGGCCCTGGCAGCCCTAACGTCGGCGCCTCGAGTGCTGCTGTTGCTGGACGGCGGCGGATGGCGAGCGTGGCGCACCATCTCCTGCTCGCCTCGGCGCGTCTGGCTGGCTGGCTGACCCCGGTCGCGCCCCAGAACACCGGCGCCCTGCAGGGCCCGCCTCCCCGGGCTGCTGCACGCTGATGCTGGAGGAGGAGGAGGCTTCGCCGGCTGCCGGAGCACCGCCTCGTCCGCCCGTCTCTCGGGGGACCCGCCGGGGAGGAAAAGGCGCGCCAGGTGCAGCCCAGCAGCGCTCCGCCTTCGCCGCGCCGCGCCTCTTCCTTGCGCAGCTTTTCCTCCTCCTGCCGCTCTTCCTTACCTTCCTCTAGTCTAGAGTCTAGCGGCTCCTTCTTCTTCTTCGCCTTTTCCGGGTCTTTATAATATTTTTCATCCATCCAATTTCATACACAAGGCCTTCTTTTTCCCCCAAATTTTTTTTATTAGTTTTCACAATATTATAAACAAACAAAACACACAAGACAAACAAACATAAATCATAGCCTTATTGAAAATTACAGTTATTAACTTTGTTAAGTGACTTCCTCGCTTCCCCTTGGTTGAATTTCATTGCATGTTCTTTTAACGGTGTTCCAAATCCCAATTTTTATGAAATTTAACTTAAACACGCACAAGGCCTTCTTTGAAGGTATCACATCTCCACACTGGTTTATAAAGCTTTGCTTGTTGTCATGATTGACAACATAGTCCGACTCGGCAAGTGACCCACGGGAGAGAAAGCGGGAGCTGATGGGTGTTTGCAGCCCTTCAGATACGTAAAAAAAGTATGCTTTCTTTCTAAAGGTATTGTGGAATACTGAACTTTAAAAAACAACAACCCAGTATTTTTTTTTAAACATCTTTATTGAAAGTTCAAAAAGTACATAATGCACTAAGCATGGTGAGATGTAAATGAAAGGAAAAGAGGAACAGAAACAGTTTTTTTAACTGTTTTGCAGCAGTTTTTTACTAAAAGATATAAACTTAGAGGTTTGTGGAATTACAAAAGCTGCAAGGCCTCAAAAAGACAAGAAAGTGAGTTTTTCTGTGGAATTCATTCCATAAGTGGGGGGCCACCACTAAGGAGGAACTCCACTGGCAACATTTCTCAGATACATTAGCCCCTCCCCACGGAAGGTCTTAATGTGTGGAAATAGATGGGTCTTTGAGCATCCTAACCTGAGCTAAACCATGAGTAAAGGTAAAGGGACCCCTGACCGTTAGGTCCAGTCGTGGCCGACTCTGGGGTTGCGGCACTCATTTCGCTTTACTGGCCGAGGGAGCCAGCATACAGCTTCCGGGTCATGTGGCCAGCATGACTAAGCCGCTTCTGGCGAACCAGAGCAGCGCACGGAAACGCCGTTTACCTTCCCGTCGGAGCGGTACCTTTTTATCTACTTGCACTTTGACATGCTTTCAAACTGCTAGGTTGGCAGGAGCAGGGACCGAGCAACGGGAGCTCACCCCGTCACGGAGATTCGAACCGCCGACCTTCTGATCGGCAAGTCCTAGGCTCTGTGGTTTAACCCACAGCGCCACCCGTGTCCCTTAAACCATAAGTAGAATCATAGAATTGTAGAGTTGGAAGGTTTCCCAGGGGTCATCTAGTCCAACCCCCTGCAATGCAAGAATCTCAACACATGGTAATTTAAATGTTGCTCTTTTTTTTTTTTTAGTACTTCGCATTGGACTGAGAAAAGGACTGGGAGCTGTCGGCATAGTACAGAGGTAACATGTTTAAAACACAGAGCCCCTCAGTTAATCTAACAGTTGTGTTCCGTAGTAAATGAAGTTTCTGAACTGTTTTCAAAGGCAGCCTCACAATAGTGTACTACAGTAGTCTAATTTGGAGGTTACCAAGCCCAGATAGCTAACCCCAGGCTACGTTTGTCCAAGTGGGGATGCAGCTAAGGCCCAAAGTAAACACTTATTTGATAGGCAGCATACAGCTACGTATCTACATTTTTTCTGACTTAATTACAGGCAGAGGGGGAAATCCTTATCAGGAAGGCAGTGCGAGGGAAGAAGGGGTGGGGGGCAATCGTTTCCCTTCCCACCTTGCATGGCTAGAAGTTGGCGGGATGAGATAGCCAAGACAGACTTTCCCCTGAAGCTTCCAAGCTGCACACGGTGTGTGTGATCACGTTGGAGAGGTAATGACAGTTGGCTGATAATTAGAAGCACAAGGTGCCTGAGTGGTATCATTAAGTGAGAAAAAAATCCAGGTACATAGCTTCCAGGTTCTGTTTACTGAATGTTTGCATTCAAGGCTTCTGGTAACAAAAAAATGAATCAACTCACACCTGCTCCCAAGTTGCAGATCTATTCTGTGTAGTCCTATGTAGTCCTATGTAGCGTAGAATGAACACCACGTGCTTAGACAGACGAACCATCCACCCAGAATATATCAGTCTTGATTGGATACAGCTTCAGATTACTGGCTACAGCCTGCCCATTTCCCTGTGGCTGGAATGATGAAAGCAGGTGGCATGGAGGAATGTTTGGATCCCCAATTTTATTCCCATTATTATTATTATTTCTTCCACTTTTGAACCGTTTTAGGGAACTGATGCTCACAACCATAGGGTTTTTGTATTATTATTTCTTTTAAGAATATTTTTTTATTAACCGACCAATCACATCAAATCAAACCAAATTACATAAATTCCAAATTACACAGCCGAATTTTAAATTTTTGTTGGGGGTACCCATATTTCAAGTTCCGAAGGGATCCAATCAACTTCTTGCTTCTTACTGCTGTTTTAATGTCCACAAATCTAACCTTATGATGTTCACGGGATAATCCAGTCCTTTCTTATTATTTTTCCACATCTCTTGTTGTTATTTTCATATATTTCTCCTTTCTCTTTGTGACCTCTGATAGTCTCCGCAAGCTGGTTAGAACAGTTTGTAATCCTGCGTGGATATTATTTTTTTTATCCAGTAGCCATATCCAGACGTTTTCCATATAACATCACTTCCATACATCAAAACAGTCTTAGTGTCATTAATCTGCCTCCTTTTTCAAAACCTCTGAGGAGATTCACTAGGAATGCAGTCTGAAAACAAATCCATTCTTCCTCCCGGCTATAAATCCTTTGGCAAGATGGCGACTCTGAATTAATTGCTGCGCCATTCCCAAAAGCTCTTATTGCTTCTCGGTCTCCATAAAGCATACTTTTGGTTAAAGTTTATCTCCACACAGACCTTAATCATCCTGCTTGGGTCAGTTCAACCGACGGTTCTAATGAGGAGGGGTTCTTGTAAATCACATAGAAGGAAAGTGAAAAGGTTCCTCCCCCCATTCAGCCCCGTTGTCAATATACCCCGCCTTTGGTGTATCTTCATCGTAAAATATTCCTGTTTCTCCAGCACATCATCTTCTTTTGCAGAGGTCACTTAAATTAGCAGACTTCACTCCCCTTCTTCACTTGAAATATGTGCATTTGCTTCTTTTGTAATTAATTATTCCAAATTGCTGCAACTAGTGCGCGATCAGAGACAGCGTCCAGGAGAACCGATGTCCACACGGGGGCATTCTGACTAGGGCCCTCACCCCCTTCTGTCGAATTAGGGGGTGATTTATGGGCACAGCAGGCAAGGGCAATGTTCCCCATTTCATTGGGGCAACAAGGGAGGCTGCCTACTCCCATAACAGCCTCTTAATTACCCCGTGTGGGTCGGAGAGATGGTATTGTCGGCCATCTTCCAATGCGCCCCCTAGTGGCCCCCCGTGGGTTTTTGTATTTTTTTTAATAATAATTTGTATTAAATTTTCTGTTTCACAATTTAGAAAATTCATTTAAACAACCTTAAAATATCAATGACTTCCCTTCTTCCCTTTCCATGGTTCATTTTGCATGGCATAAATCCCTACATATTTTACATAAACTAAACCATTCAGTGTTCCATTATTACTTCCATCAAAACTTATTTACACTGTTGAATCTATCTTAATGCTGCCAACGTTTTCAAGTGTACACAATTCCCCCCCTCCCATATATTCAATAAACATTTCCCAGTCTTCTTTTAATGTATGTTCTTCTTCTTCTCTTATTCTATAAATTAGATCAACAAGCTGCTGTGTTCTAAACCACTGAGCCTCATGGGCTTGCCGATCAGAAGATCGGCGGTTCAAATCCCCTCAACGGGGTGAGCTCCTGTTGCTCTGTCCCAGCTCCTGCCAACCTAGCAATCTGAAAGCACACCAGTGCAAGTAGAAAAATAGGTACTGCTCTGGTGGGAAAGTGAATGGTGCTTCCGTGTGCTCTGGTTTCCATCACGGTGTTCCGTTGCGCCAGAAGTGGTTTAGTCATGCTGGCCACATGACCTGGAAAGCTGTCTGTGGACAAACGCCGGCTCCCTCGGCCTGAAAGCGAGATGAGTGCCGCAACCCCATAGTTGCCTTTGACTGGACTTAACCGTCCAGGAGTCCTTTACCTTTACCTTTTCCCTATTCCATCAGTTTAAGTTGCCATTCTTCTTTGGTCGGGACCTCGCTCGTTTTCTATTTTTGGGCTGACAAAACACGGGCCGCCATAGTGGCATACATAAATAACCTTTTTTGACACCTGGGAATTTCCATCTGAATTATCCCCAAGAAAAAGGACTCTGGTTTTTTTTGGAAAGGTGTTTGTAAACATTTTTTTCCCAATTTGTTATAAATAACCATGGAGTTGCTCCTCTCCCTGCATTTTCCCCTGCTCCTCATTCAATACTAATAAAAAGTGTTTTTTCAATCTCATTTGTTCTCACTTCAATGAAAACACTCCCATTTACTAGCATATTCCCGCTACTGGTTTGGGAAGAGGCATGTGCACAATGTTGACCACACTCCATATCTATCTTGTTGTTTCTTAGGAGGAAATACTACATTTTTCTGCATTTCCCCCGAAACCAGCTTTGATTCGAATTGAGAAAATGATAGACCCACCTGCATTTTAAGACAGTAATGTGTAAAACATTCTTATTTGATTAATCATGTTGCTTTTCACAAGTCCTTCTGTGGATAACATTTTTTTCAAAGCAATGCTACAAAAATAATGTTTTTGGGGTTTTTTTAGTTTCCTTTTTACAGTGCTTCAAGACTATTGCTGTTTTTGGATGGGATTCAGCCACACACTGGCAAATTCAAGTTGCACAATTAAAACTGATTTGGAGCTCTTGCACAACAACAACAACCCTCACCCAATTCACCCCAGACTTTTGCAATAAGGAAAGTGACAGGAAAATGCACTGGAACGTGTGAGATAACAATTGCTTAATGCAATGTTTATCTGTTTATCTACTTGCACTGGTGCGCTTTCGAACTGCTAGTTTGGCAGGAGCTGGGGGAGAGCCATGGGAGCTCACTCTGTCGCACGGATTCAAACAACCGACCTTATGATTGGCAAGCCCAAGAGACTCAGGGGTTCAGACCACAGCGCCACCCATGCACACCGGAAGATAAAACACCTCATAACTTGCTTTTTCTCCCACTGTAATCTCACCCCATGGGCACTCGGACACCATCTTCTCAGTCCATCGGTGGAAGTAGTTGCAAAACGTCATAGCACAATATACAGAGGGGTACCAGTTGGTCCTTAAAGATATGACTAGACTCACTCTCTTTGCTGCTACAGACTAGCTCTTCTGGAATTTGTCTCTGAGGAAGGGCGGAGTTCGCTCTATTTGTGTAGCAAGGCAGAGACATCCACCCTTACTAAATAAACGTTGGGAGTAGCTTGGTTGCCAAGGAAGGGTGGTTGCTGGTTCTTTGCCTAGGATGTTGGGTGGTGCTGTGAGAAGCAGAAAATAAGCTTTGTTTTCCTGGATAGGAAGTGGCTTTGTAATACTGGGTGGTACGTCAAATGAAAGCTGTGCTACACAACTGTAGGTTGTGCTCACACAGCGTCAGCTACCAAGGGCGGTGCTCACATAGAAGCCCATATGTCCCGTGAGGCGGACAATACAATTGTTAATTCCTCCACCGGAACCTGAAATATATCTATCCTTTGTAAATGTGAGGAGATGGCTCTGCAACAAGGATGGCTGGGAGGGAAATTGTAGTAGTCAAGGTGATGGCATTCTGTAAATCTTCAGATGCTTCAAATGTTAGTGAAATATGAAGGCCGGTTGTTATTTTGTTTAATAAAGAACTGGGTTGTACCAAACTCGGACGATTAAACGCCACATAAAGGATATCGTTTTGCCCATTGTAAATGTCATGTATTCAGTGGTTTGTGTTTGCCTGAGCTTGAGTCTGGACTAAGGATTCTGAGCTCCTGTGTTCTGATTCGATACATGATGTCCAATCACAGAACATTTTAGGATTTGGGCCTCTGCCATTGGTCCTTGAACTCTGAGTTGTGATTTGCAGCTTGGAAGTTTAGACAGCCAGTCATGTTGGGAGTGGGAGTGGCCCAGGCTTTCAGGAATGTATATAAGCAGTTGCTTTGCCCCTGTTTCCCAGTTATGTAGTTCAATAAAGGTTCTTGCTGTTATCACTGTGTCTTGCCTCATGGGAACCCACCTACACTTCAGTAAACATATTTTCATCATACAGAAAGGTGATTTAGCTGTGTAGATGCCGTACATTTAAAGCACATTGCTTCCTCCAAAAAATCATGGGAACTGCAATTTACAGAGCTATACAGAGCTAAAGAATTCGACACCCCTCTTAAAATACAGTTCCCATTATTTGGGGGCGGGAGGGTGTGGTTTGAATGTGCTTTAAATGTATGGTGTGTGTAAACAGGAAGAATTCTACTCCTGGCTTTTCTCACTGCAGTCCCTCTTTGCCGTTTCTCTTTAGTTTCTCTCACCAGCTGCTGTGTATTTCCATGCAAGAGAGGCTCAGGAGGAAGGCTGTGGGAAGGTGGCCAGGGGTCAGAGCTGGTGTGTGTTGGTAGAACTACGTAGCAGACTGTGCTCTACTTCATTTAGCTCAAATCAGTCCTGTTCATTATTCATGCCATTGGCATTAAATTAACAGGTGGCACTGTGGTCTAAACCTCTGAGCCTCTTGGGCTTGCTGATCAGAAGGTCAGCAGTTCGAATCCCCACAACAGGGTTAGCACCCATTGCTCTGTCCCAGCTCCTGCCAACCTAGCAGTTCGAAAGCACACCAATGCAAGTAGATAAATAGGTACTGCTCCGGCGGGAAGGTAAATGGTGTGGAAATCTGTGGTGTAGAAAGAGGGTGTTTAACCCTTTCCACATCAAAATCCCCCCTTAAGCTGCTATGATTAGCCCAGGCGTTGCTTCCTCCAAATGATCCATGGAGTTGTAGTTTGGTACCGGTGTTTAGTTCTCTCTGGCTCAGCTTCCAATAACTACTGTTCTCCCCAAAAAGCTATTGTGGGGGTGGGACTAAATTAAGCAGCAGCTTCAGGGGAGCTATTTCAGCAGGGAAAGGGTTAAAGAGCTGCACCACACACCCCCAGTCCTCCAACTTGTCCTCTGCTATAGCAGGTTGCTTTTTTACAAAGCCACGAAATCTGTCACAGATCGCTAAGGCTGCGCATCGTTTGGTCCTTAGAGAAGTCTGAAATTCAGATTCGATCCTTGTATGAGACAGCTGCATATTCCTGCATTGCAGGGTTTTGGACTACATGGTCCTCAAGGTCCCTTCCACCTCTACAATTCTATATGATATAAACTTGTAGATACGGCTTCAGAATGCAAGCTTCCTGGTGTCAAAAGCAGAAAATGCCTTTTGAAATATTAATTCGGTCTTATTGATTAAATCTTTAATGGATGTCCCGGTTTATAATTATAGAAGCAAACTGAGAGTTGCCACGAACCTCTGATTATGACATCAATGAATGACTCACAGTGCAATCCAGTGCTTGGATCCTCAATAAGTTATTCCCATTGAGTTTAACGATGAGGCTTACTTCCTGGTAAGTGGAGGAGGTGGGGTTGCAGTCTCAGTTACTTTTGGTTTGGTAGCTAGTGGGCAGAAACGCTGGGGGGGAAATGGACATGTTCGTGGGAGGAATAAGCATTTGCCAGTTCATTTGCCTGATCCACATCATATAAACCAGCAATTATTTAAACTGGAGTTCTTCAAAATGCCTTCACAATGATTACAAAAGTCCATCTTGCACCACAAAGAGGCACTGAAGCCATTAAGGATTTTTCCTTCTTAAGAAACTTGAGGACACCTTCCTCTTCCACTTGAAAAAATGGGCAGCAGGACCAGCATCAAAGGTCAGCATGGCTGGGCGTCTCCCAGGGCTCGCACCACCCTGGACCTGCTCCTCCTCTTGTTAACCTGCTCCTTAGCTCTCTATCCCAGACAACAGTGGCAATGCGAAGGAAGATCAGTAGATGCCACTTCCTGCCTGGCAAGTAAGCCAGTGGGAGTGATGATGAGCCAGTAGCAAGTGACAAGGGCAGTGAGGAGGAGGCAGACTCACCCAAGGGCAAAGGGCTATGGAGAGGGTCTTGCCCAAGGGCTGCCCAAAACCTGGAGCAAACATTGATGAGCAGGCTGTCCTGATCTGGGACGCAGGTGGCACTGTGCTCTAAACCACTGAGCCTCTTGGGCTTGACAATCAGAAGGTTGGCGGTTCAAATCCCCGCAACGCAGTGAGCTTCCGTTGCTCTGTCCCAGCTCCTGCCAACCTAGCAGTTCGAAAGCACACCAGTGCAAGTAGATAAATAGGTACCACTGTGGTGGGTAGGTAAATGGCATTTCCATGCGCTCTTGTTTCCGTCACGGTGTCCCGTTGCACCAGAAGCGGTTTAGTCATGCTGGCCACATGACCCACAAAGATATCTGTGGACAAACACCATGCTCCCTTGGCCTGAAAAGCGAGATGAAAGCCACAACCCCATAGTCGCCTTTGATTGGACTTAACCGTCCAGGATTCCTTTTTACCTTTTCCTGGTAAAATTCCTGTACCAGGAATGTGCTTTAAACATGTGTTGAGCAGACAGCAAAAATTTCACTGGTTAAAATCTATCACTTAAGTGTTTTAACTGTTAGGTTTGGCTGCCACCTTTTTCCCCTGGCAGGGCTGCTGTGCTATTAAAAAAAAGAATCACTTGTCATTCATTTATTTATTTTTGTAACCAGGAATGATTTTCCCATTGAATCTATCCAGTATCTAGGAATATAGATGAGTGGCTGGCATAAGCGAAATTTAGAAACATGGGTAGAACTTTGAAAAGGGGAAGAATTTGTCAACTGTAAGGGCATACGATTTAATAATAATAATAATAATAATAATAATAATAATAAATTTTATTTATATCCCACCTTCCCTGGCCAGAACCGGGCTCAGGACAGGTAACAACACAATGACTGGAAGCAAAGGAATACATCTCTTTCAAATATTTTAAAGGAAAACGTATTATAAAGGAGACATTGTGACAAACGGAATTCTGCAAGTGAACAGGACTCAAACAACAAATTATTTTGAAACCCAGATTAAGGAGGAGTATTTTGAGGGCACATGGGTTATTACTAACATTAAATCAGAAATAACATAAATTTATGGGGCAGTGGAATAAGGACAATTTGGGCACAATAATTGGAAAACTGGATTCCCACCTCCATTTGTTTCACATTCCAAAAAAAAGCTGAATATAAAGGAATGTAAAGATTGCATTTAATCCCATAGAGGATAAAAACAGATGAATTGCTGGAAAGCTGTTAAAAGGCCCAGCAGCTCAGCAGAGAAAAGGTTGGCAACCCTGTTTTTAAGTTGGGGCTTCGTTTTAGGGCACCTGTTTCCCTAACCATTTCAGCAATTGTGCTAATCCTAGATACCATCAGAAAAGATCCTATTTCCAGAATACAATGCAACTTTAGAACCTGTCTAGCTAGTTACTGAAATGAAAACGCTCCAGACAGACAAAATGTAAACAAGGCAGAAACAGGCTATTTTGGGTTAAGCATGTTTTCCCCCTGACCTAACTTTTTAAATTAGGTTGCTGAATTATAGCTAGAAGGTGGGCTGCTGTTCCTTTGTTCCTACAAAAACACATTTGACTCTCAGTGGGAAAGAAACAGGACTACGTCCTTTGACGTAATTTCAGTGCCAATACAGTCGTACCTTGGTTGACGAACGCCTTGCTATTCAAATGTTTTGGCTTCTGAATGCCGCAAACCCGGAAGTGAGTCTTCTGGTTTGCGAACCTTCTTTGGAACCTGAACGTCTGACACTGCTTCCGCAGCTTCCGATTGGTTGCAGGAGCTTCCTGTAGCCAATCGGAAGCCGCGCCTTGGTTTCCAAATGTTTTGGAAGTCGAACGGACTTCTGGAACGGATTCCATTCGACATCCGAGGTGCTGCTGCATATTGTAAACCACCCCAATCTCTGAGCGCTGTGAGATTCCAGGGATCCTGGACACTTACCCAGGGTTTATGTTTCCTTTTGGAAATGAGGCACAGCAGAGACTGTGGTGTCTTTATGATGTATGGTTTATTTACACATATACACAACCTAAGCCTATGGTGGAGGGGTTCACAACATTAACATCCCAAAAGGGTCTTGTTTCTCCCATAGCTGCAGCCTTGGATTCAGACAGAAATCAAACATTGTGCTCTTCCTCTCCAGCTTTCAGCCTGTAGCTCTTCCTCTAGGTCCCATTACAACCAACTCTCAATTTTGGCTTTGTCCTATCTAAGAGAGGGAGGAAGAGCCCCACGCATTCACTATCTGGTATAGAGTCCCCTTCCTCATAATGTTGTTTGAGGATTTGCAGCGAAATTTTCCACACCACTGGCAGATTTAACTTCCTTTGGCCTCATTCTGTTGTTTCTCTCTTCACACCAGTCGGCAGATTAGGATGGGGTGCAGCCGTAGTTCAGTGAATCCGCCCCACACAACTACCGTATTTTTTGCTCTATAAGACTCACTTTTTCCCTCCTAAAAGGTAAGGGGAAATGTGTGTGCGTCTTATGGAGCGAATGCAGGCTGCGCAGCTATCCCAGAAGCCAGAACAGCAAGAGGGATCACTGCTTTCGCTGCGCAGCAATCCCTCTTGTTGTTCTGGCTTCTGAGATTCAGAATATTTTTTTTCTTGTTTTCCTCCTCCAAAAACTAGGTGCGTCTTATGGTCTGGTGCGTCTTATAGAGCGAAAAATACGGTAGTTCTGTTTGCTGAGCATGCACATTGCTGAGCGTTCCATTTACTTTCCCCCATTTCTTCTGCTTTTCTTCTATTAAATAAAAAATAAATAAAAGTTACCCACCTAGACCGCCGCAAATACTCCAAAAATTTGGAAGTTTTTGACCTATTTTTAAGGAAATTCGTCGAAAAATCAACACTTCCAACATGGGTTGCCATACGTCTTGAGTTTTCCTGTATATTTCTCATGATTTTCGGAAATTCCACCCGGATGCTATTTCAATGGCTGAATCCCAATATGTCCAGGAAAACCCAGATGTATAGCAGCCCTACCAGTGGCAACTGGTAGAGGGATTTATGGAAGGGCTACCTACAGGAGAAGTGAGAAGGTAGAGACGCTTTGTAATAAAGAATCAGTATTTGCCAGACTTCATTTCAGCATGTAGGGCTATGCTGTCTTTTCCATACAGAGCTTACCTGCAATATTGTTCTGTGCAACATCAATTCACTGTAACATGCAAGTGACTCTTAATGTAAAAGCCACGACAGTGAAATATTGCTGTTGCTCTATGCTGAGTCTATACCTAGGCAATAGATTTTACAGTGGTACCTTGGTTCTCAAACACCTTGGTACTCAAACAACTTGGAACCCAAACACTACAAACCCAGAAGTGTTCCAGTTTGTGAACTTTCTTTGGAAGCTGAACGTGCTCCGTTTTGAGTGTTACGCTTATGATTTAAGTGTTACGCTTATGATTTGAGTGTTACGCTGACGATTTGAGTGTTACACTTAGGTCTGTCTGTTTTTGCTATTTATTTTGCGTTTTTGTTTTTGTGACTGTGTGGAACCCAGTTCAGCTACTGCTTGATTGACGGTGTGACTGCAGTACATTGTTTATTGCTTTCATTTTATGGACCAATGGTCTCGTTAGATAGTAAAATTCATATTAAATTGCTGTTAAACTGTTGTTTTTAAAAGGCTGGAACGGATTGATCCATTTTCCATTACTTTCTATGGGAAAGTGCGCCTTGGTTTTGGAACGCTTTGGTTTTGGAACAGACTTCCAGAACGGATTAAGTTTGAGAACCAAGGTACCACTGTATTTTTGTATAGGTTGCGCCCATTGATTTATAAAAGTAGCATTGCTTCCTGGAAATATCGGACATTTTCCTGCATGCCATGTGCTGAGAAGGTAACAACGGATTTGACTGCATATTATTACTAACTTCCGCCCTTAGAGAGGGCATCCATATTCTACTTTAACTAAAAGGGCATAGGGTGGAATTGCATCCTTTGTATTTGTACGGAGGATTTGCTCCACGGGCCTGCATAAGTCACCTGCCTCTGGGCTTTTGTTTTTGTCTGTGAAATGGGGATGGGAAAAGACTCATCACAATGTGGTCGACTGTACTGGAAGCCTAATCCATTATTGGCTTTAGCTACCGCTTGCATTGGAAAGACAAAAGGGAACCTCTCCTTAAATGGGGATGCAGATCAATTTACACATAGCCCGTTGATGCTAGAAATTATCATTAGGGGCAGATGTTTATTTTGAACGCAGGAACGTATAGTAGGAGATCACAGTCAGTGTTACCTGTTAATTACTTATCCTAGGCCAGGGGTGTCCAAACTTTTTCCAAAGAGGACCAGATTTGATGAAGTGAAGATGTATGAGGGCCAACCAAAGTTACAGTGGTACCTCAGGTTAAGTACATAATTCGTTCCAGAGGTCCGTACTTAACCTGAAACTGTTCTTAACCTGAAGCACCACTTTAGCTAATGGGGCCTCCCGCTGCTGCAGCGCCGCCGGAGCACGATTTCTGTTTTCATCCTGAAGCAAAGTTCTTAACCTGAAGCACTATTTCTGGGTTAGCGGAGTCTGTAACCTGAAGCGCATGTAACCTGAAGCGTATGTAACCTGAGGTACCACTGTACTGAGCTTTTTTTAGGATTGAAGTTGTTGAGCTTTTGGGTGGCGGGGATTTTACTACCCCAGAAAATAAACTGCCATACAATTTTACCGCAAAGTTGTTGAGCTTTTTTTAAAAAAAATACCCCAAAGTTGTTGAGGCCGGATTAAACTGACTGGCGGGCCGGATTACGCCCCAGAAACAGACTTTAGACATGCCAGTCCTAGGCCATGCTTCTGTACTTTTTAATCACAGCCTCACATGGAGAAATGTAGAAGGTGAAGCTTTTCCTGGCATGGAAATAAAATTTGGGGCATAGAATTAGAGGGCGCCCTAAGGAAACTGGTGACCATGTTGGGTAAGCAACTTGCCTACAACGTCAGAGCATTTATTTAACAGATGATATATTTACAGGTAAGGGACGGTTTTATACCTAGAGATTCTAGAGTGGCCAGCTGCAAAGGCAAGCAGGCCTCCTGTACATGTAATCGTTACGTAACTAGAAGAGGGGATTTGTCAGTTTATTTGCAGCTTTTCATACTCCTACAATGGCTAAAATGTCGCTGACAATCTGTAAATCAGTGCCCAGTGCAGGCAGAGTGACCAGGGACAACAAAGAACACAATGTCTGTACTCTTCATAGCTATGGAAAAGGGGGGAATTTCATCAGATTATCAGCATTTTATGACAGGGTTACTGTTCCTCCCTCCATTGGTTCCTGCAGGTGTGCCTCATGCAGACATTAGCAAGGAGTGGGGAACCTGCCATCATCCAGATTTTGTTGGACTACGACTCCCATCATCGCTGTCCATTGGCCACGTAGTCCCAACAACGTCCAGTAGGAGGTCCTCCGTCCAAGCAGCAGAGGAAGAGTATTTATTTGTTGTATTATCTACCACATTTATGTTAAGCTTACCAGATTTTTTTCAAAGAATGCAGGGACACTTTAAAAAAGAGAGAGAGAATATATTTTTTAAAAGTTATTTAAAAAAATCAAGAAGTAATATCTTCTCTTCTGTGGTCTCCTCTGTCACATGGCCTTCCTCTGGGCCCCGGCCTGCTTTCTTGGGGTGCTAGCTGCTGTGGAGTAGGCTGGGGTCAGGCCCTGGCTCAGCCATGTGTCCTTGCCGTCCTACCTCTCCTCCTGAGCGGCAGCAGCGGCGCTGCAAGGTCGGGGCTCTCCTCTTTTTTCTCCTTCCTCTTTCTCTCTCTTCCTTCTCCTCCTCCTCTCCTTCTTCTCCCTGCATCGGCTACGGGGTTGTCCTGGCCCCTGAGAGCCGCTGGGCAGTTGGCGGGGAGCTCTTGCGCCTGGCTCAATTTGGGTCGCAGGGGGGTGTCAAAGGTTCCCCCAGTTGACACGCCGGGCATCCCCGGTTCCCCCTTGGCAGTGGCGGCGGCGGCAGCAGTCTCAGCAGCCAGGAGCCAGCCTGGTAGCGCAGTTTGCTCTGGCTGGCTTCAGCAGCTGCTCGCTGCTGTGGCCCCCACAATTTTGCCTCACCAGAAGTCCCCATGTGATGTATCTTGTGCCGTTGAACCAATCACGCAACATTCATTCCCTACTAATAAATCTACAACACTTAAAATATAAATCCGGGGACATTAAATGAAATCCGGGGACATCCCGGGGACAGATTTTGTCCGGGGACAGATTTGTAAACCCGGGAACTGTCCCCGGGAAACGGGGACATCTGGTAACCATAATTTATGTGGCACTCCTTGTGGGATAGACCGTGCTTTTGCCTGCTATGCCTCAGCAATCTGGAAGAGTCGATCAAGAGCTGTCAGGACAATCTTGTTCAAAACACACACACACAGATGGCAGGAGAACGTCCTGTGTGATTTATTTTATTTAGTAAATTTATATACCACCCCTCCTCCGTAAATCTCAGGGCAGTTCGCCACATAAAAACACAAAATATACAATAAAAACAGGAACAAAAGAAACCACAAACCAATAACACCCACTGCCTTTACACTTGCTTTCTGTAGCATGTATATGAGGCAATTATAAATGATTAGTACTAATTTTCCTATGAAATGTGTTTCTCAACAGTAAGGTGAATAAGGTTATTTTTTCCAAGGTGAAGTCTGTCTCCTAAGAGGCCATGGATTTGTTAATTCACTGTTTACCTAATGCAGACTAATACACAAAAGACAGGACATACTATTTGGCAGGCGTATTATTGGACAATAAAGCCATATTTACTGGCAACATGCAGGTTACTTGCAGATTAAAGGGCTCATTAATTAAAACTATAAATGGGATAAAAGGTTGTTGCTAAATAAATAGGGTAAAAGGTAAAGGACCCCTGGACAGTTAAGTTCAGTCAAAGGCGACTATGGGGTGCAGCGCTTATGTTACTTTTCAGGCGGAGGGAGCTGGCTTTTGTCCACAGACAGCTTTTCTGGACCATGTCGCCAGCATGACTAAACCGCTTCTGGCAGAAGGGGACACCATGACGAGTGCCAAGCGCATGGAAATGCTGTTTACCTTCCCGCCACAATGGTACCTGTTTATCTACTTGCACTGGCGTGCTTTCGAACTGCTAGGTTGGCAGGAGCTGGGACAGAACAACAGGAGCTCACCCCATCACACAGATTCAAACTGCCCACCTTCGGATCGGCAAGCCCAAGAGGCTCAGTGGTTTAGACCACAGCGCCATCCATGTCCCTGCTAAGCAAATAAGTAGCTGGCTTGTTTTGTGGCTTTTCAGTTAAAACCAATTTAGCTGAACAGGACTGAGAACAATTCTGATGGTAAAAGTAGAAAATTGCAATATAAACCAGTAAGCTTTGAAAAGTTCCCTGTTGGGACTCAAGGCAGCTTACAAAGAAAACCAAGAACCGCTAAAAACATGGAAACATCAACCATTAAAATAGAATACAGTGGTACCTTGGACTACAGATGCTTCAGGTTACAGACTCCACTAACCCAGAAATAGTACCCTGGGTTAAGAACTTTGCTTCAGGATGAGAACAGAATCCCGCGGCGGCGGCGTGGCGGCAGCGAGAGGCCCCATTAGCTAAAGTGGTACCTCAGGTTAAGGGCAGTTTGAGGTTAAGAATGGACCTCCGGAACGAATTAAGTTCTTAACCCGAGGTACCACTGTAAAACATAGATAAAATTAGAGCTATATACATATATAAAATCTTTTTAAAAATATTCCAATAATTGCAAGAAACATAAGCCATGCTTAGAATAAGTTAATGCTGAAGGCAAGAGAACTTACTCTAAGCATGACCAAGTCTGGCTCCTCCAACTCACAACTTCTAAGTCTACACCTAGCACAAAGTAATTTTGTTAGACCTGGGCACTGCAGCAAATCTGTTCTGTTTTAAATCCTTACTTTTTAATACATACAAATTATGCAGGCACTTAGGATAATTATTGAATCTTTCTGTCCTCTGGCCAGTCCTGCTTTTTCTGCTCCCAAACACATGTCAGTCTCAATTAATCAATGTGGAAAATTACGCAGAACACATGCAGAGCTGAAATGTGAAAGGATACATCTCTCTCCATCCATGGCTCTCTAAAGAAATATAAAATAGCATTGGGTTTAATTTCTGCTTTCTGTGTCTTAAATTTCTCTCATCTGCACAAACTTTTTGAAATATGAAAGGACAGTCGCTAAAACGTGTTTTTCCCCAGTCTCAAAAAGAGAGGACTTTAAAGGCTGCAGGCCCTGTACCCACTTGCTTAAGAGCAAGCCCAATTGGGACTTATTCCTGAGGGGACATGCATTCTAAGTATCCCATCTCAGAACTTCCGGGTTGACGCTTCCGGCAATCCTCCGATCGGGAGGAACTTGCTCCGTGAAAAGCAGGGTCTGACCGCCACGGTGAAGGCGGAGACCCATAGAAATCACAGGCGGGAGAAGCCTGTGAACCTGGGATTCGGCTGGCACCCTTTGCACCTCCCTACTCGCGGGGAAACTCTGTTTTGGGGATCCGGAGCGACGTGAGGTGAGCGGCGGGTGCTTTGAATCGACCGCTTCTTTCACGGAGTGAAGCCACATTGCTGTTGCCGGAGAGCGCTGACTTTTTCCTGTGGACAATTGGATTTTAAACGACTACCCATGAGTAGAACAGAGAATTGGATCTTGAAACACTTTAATTTGGCGCCGAAGCGGGAAGGCTCTAAACAGGAAGTCCGCCTCCCGTTTTTGTAAATAGATTGAAGCAAAGACGTTACAAGCTAAAGTCTTTGAAAGCTTTTGATAAAGGATTAAATTCCCACCGGACAAAAATATATAACCCCTCTTGGAAGCAGGAGAAGAGGGGGGAAGTTTTGGATCTAGTGTGCCTGCAGAAGAGAGTGAAAATCAAATTGTCACTGCTCTGAACCTGGAAAAGGGCTGCCAGATGACATTCGGGGAATGTTTATTGACAGAACGGATTTGACAGCTAGCTAAAATAAGAAAGGCACTGTTTCCATTGTCCTCTTCTGCGTTTAAAAATGGAGGAAAAAGTAACCGAAAATTGAAACTATTGTTATTTGCTTGAGCCGTGCTTGAAAGCATAGAGCTTTAAAGGTCAAAACCAGCACCTTAAACCTGACCCTGTACTCCACTGGGAGCCAGTGCAGCTGGTAAAGCACTGGATGAAAGTGATCCCATGGCAAGGACCCTGTAAGGAGCATTCTGCACCCGCTGGAGTTTCTGGGTCAGCTTCAAGGGCAGTCCCGCGTAAAGCTGCAATCCCGTCCCCGGTTGCCAGAGATAAAGTCCCATTCAAGTTATTGGATTTCATAGTATGCATAGGGCTTGCCTGCGACATTGCAACAAATTGATTTATGGCCCTCCGTAATAATAAACCTCCATTGTTCCTGAAGCTCCAATCCTAGGCAAACATATCTGGGAGTAAGCCCCAGTTGAATGCAGCGGGACTCCTTTCTGAGTAAACATGCATAAGGTTGCGGTGTCAGGTGCTGTTATGTGTATTCACTTGGGAGTTGGCATCAGCGAGTTCAGCGGGACTTCTGTTGCGTCAATGTGCAGAGAATCTTACTGTAAGGAGAGTTCGTTTTCCAACTCGCCTTATGCCGTTCTTTATAGCTCTTCCCACACACCCTTCAACAATCTGTGGCTTTGTTTACAGAGAAAAGGGAGTGTGAGCCACGTCCGATGGTGGCTTGCTTGCTTGGGGTTTGGTTTGGGGATTATTATTATTTGCTTGGCCCCATTTTTGATTCGGAACACAGGGGCTCAGAATCCTTAGTCCAGACTCAAGCTCAGGCAAACACAGACCACTGAATACATAACAGGTGTGGTTCATTACAGCCAGGCAAAATCACTTCAGGGGTTGCATAAGTTCAGGGCTGGTGGGGAGGGCAGCTCAGGGAAGAGTCCTAAAATCCAACTAGGGCTGTGAAATCCAAAACCTGCTCCTTTTCCCAGCTCTCCTTGCTCGTGCTAAGCAAACCTGGTTTCGGACTCTTCTAATTCCGCAGGGTTGTGGTGACCCTGGATACATTTCCAAGAGAGCTTCAGACAAAAAGCATCCTAATTGTTCATCAGTGTGCATTTATGCCTATCGGTGACCAGCTAATGTCAAGCAAGCCGAGATTGAGAGAGAGAGAGGCTTTGCAGCCTAGAACCGTATGAGTCAGAATACAGCGGCTGCTGTTCCGAAATGCTACCAGGCTAAAGTTGGGCAAAGATCCAGGAACAGGATGCTGCAAGGCAGGGTGTGACAGAAATTCTGCCACTCAAAATTAGCAAAAATAAATAAATGTCTGTGTACATTCCTTCCCTTAATCAAAAGAATCATTGTTGGGTTTGTTCGTGATTACATTTAGATCCCTCTTTTCCTCCAAGGAGCTCAAAGCTGCAGCGTTCTCCCGATTGGCATTTTATCTTCAGAACAACCCTGTGAGGTAGATGAGGCAAAAAGAATGTGACTTGCCCAAGGTCACCCAGGCTGGGTGGGGATTTGAACTCTGGTCTCCCAAGTCCGAGTCCAGT